AAGATACTCTAACAAATAAAATACAAAAAGTAACAACAAAAGATCCCTTATTCAAACAAATTAAGGACAACGATAAAAAATATAAGAAAGAAAATAGAATACTCCTATATTAAGGACTAATATATATACCCAGAGAAGTATAACCATAAATACTAAGAGATAACCACGATGCAAAGGTTATAGGACATTTCAGAATTAAGAAAACCATAGACTAAATAACGCAGAACTATTATTAGCCAGGCATATAGAGAGAGATCAGATGATATATCCAGGAGTGTAAAGTTTACTAATAGAACAAATCAGAATGACACGCGCTATATAGACTCCTATAGCCTATACTATACAAGGAAATAGTATAGAAATCAATAGTAATAGACTTTATAGTCAAGCTACTAAAGTTAATGGAGCCACGAACGGGCATTCAATATAATTTAATACTTATAGTCATGGATAGACTAACAAAGTATACTTATTTTATACCATTTATTGAAAAGACTATATCACTGGAGACAGTATATATCCTATTATAACATGTCTTTATAGATAAAGGATTACTAGATAAAATTATATTAGATAGAGACATAAGATTTATATATAAATTCTGGATAATACTTACTAAAAGAATAGGGATTAAATAGAAAGCCTCAATGGCATATTATCTATAGATAGATGGACAAAGCGAAAGGATGAACCAAATAGTAGAATAGTACCTGAGATACTATATTAACTATGAATAGGATGACTAGGTTTTACTACTACTAATAGTATAGCTCGCCTATAATGGAGTAAAGAACGCCTTAATAGGCATAACACCTTTCTTTATAAACTATGGAAGAGAAATAAAAATAATAAAAATACTAAAAGAAGGTAAGATACACGCCTTAGAAGCAGAGGTTTTAGTAGAATAAATATATAAACTCTATATATACCTATAGTTAGATCTTAAATTCTTAAACTATAGAATAAAATATTACTATAACTAATGGCATGTGGAAGCGCCAGACTTTAAGAAAAGAAAAAAAGTATTTTTACTCTGATAAAATATTAAAATATTAAGACTAAGCGACAAATTAGACTATAAGAAACTAGGACTATTCAAGATCTTAGAAAAGATTAGACAACTTAATTACAAGCTTTAACTCCCAAAACATATACAAATATACCCAACATTTCACATCTCATTAATCAAAAAAGCACCTTATAACACCAAACTATATGAACCAGAAATATAAACAGAAAATCAAGAAAAAGAATATAAAGTTAAAAAGATCCTAGAAAAGAAAGTAATCAGCGGACAAACCTACTACTTAGTTAAATAAAAGGGATATGACTTTTTAGAAAATACTTATAAGCTAGTATAACATCTTAAGAACTCACTAGGACTAGTTAAAGACTTTTATTAGAAGGTTTGGAAGCAGGAGAAAACGCTTTAAGAAGTTGATCAATAGAAACATCACTAGAGGACGGAGGACTAATAAGGAGTTCACCAGTAGTATTAAAAGAAGCGGCTTTATTAGACAACTTGATCTAATACTGATAGAGCTCAAGATTACGAGCCATTGCAATTAAAAGCTTGTCTTAAGCCTTAGCAAGCTTTTCCTAGGCCTAACGGACCATTTGGATATTGCTAGTGACATCTATATTAGAATTACTAAGATAGTAAGGAAGCCAGGCCAATTCTTTAGCCCAAGGAGAGTCATCCACAAGACGGCCGACACAAGGACAATCCTTACAAACACAAGAGGAACAACGTTTGCTATGGGAATCTATCACAATACAAGGCTAAAGAGACCAAAAACAGTTATCACAACAAGAACGCGATAAAGAACCAGAACAATCAATAGCTACTGCCAGAATTATACACTTGGTAGCCTAGTTATAGAAAAGATAGGAAGATTTCTTTATAACAGAATAGGGAGCCATAATAAAGGAAGAAAGGAGACTTACCTAATAAAAAGAAGGGAAATATACTTACTACTTATACACTTGTTAAGACGACTTAATAAGAAAGGAGGAGATGATATTATAGACCACCTGCGGCGCAGCCCTAGGATATACACTCATTGGACAACAAGATTCTGGGACAGAATAACTATATATCACGTGACCATAAGGACAGGTCCCAGATACCAAGACTAGGGACAGGTCCCTATAGGACCAAACATAAAAGGTCCACGAAGGGACTAGGATATCAGATCTATGATGGGACCTAAGAAGAATCAGGAGGAAGGGACTGGATATACTATATATATAAAGATGCTCATTTCCTTAGAATCAAGAGTTTTATACTTATAATTAAACTAGCTATAGTTTTACTATACTACTTAATATAAAGCACTATTCTAGTTATCTTATACTATATTTACTAAATACCCCTTTGCCTATTAATATAGGTCAACTTTGTCTTTACTACTTATAAGGACCTTTAGCCTTCATCTGACCCAGGTACTAACTAAAGCCACACTTAGAACTAAGGGATAGTCTTACTATAGTATTCTATCTCACCTTAGTACTAAGCTGTCTCCTATAATAACTCACTTCTAACTCAAGCTTTCCTTAAGACCTTTATACCTTCTGTCTTATAGCAGGTGTGAACCTCTGATTACCTTTAGGTAATCAAGGAGCGCCGTCAGCTTGTGACAATAGATTAACTTAAAGGCTACTCTTTATATATAAATTTATATATAAACTTATATAAATTAATAAATACTAAAAAGGAATTACTTATTTAATAGATTCTAAACCTAGATAAATAAAGACTATTACCTTAGCCTACCTTTATTAAGAATATAGCTAATTATTTTTTTTCTATATAAGAGTCTATATTATTACCTCCGCGAGTTAATAAAAACTAGATCTTAAATCTAGTAAAGCACTATATAGAGTTCTAAAGTTAATACTTAAGGTATTATAACTATAAATAGGCTAAATATAAAGATATTAAGATTATTTAAAAGTAATTTAATTAACTAAATACTACCTTTACTATATATAGAATTCAATAAAAAGATATCTATAACTTTAATAAGATTAGATTTATAATAAGACTCTATATAACTATAAAAGTTATTTCTAGCTCTAAGAAATATAGCTATATAAAGCTCCTATAGCCTAGAAATTAAGAATAGGTTATAGTTATTAAATTAGTAAATGTGTCTGGTTAGAATCTACCTCTATATATTATTTTTAAAGGCTAAAATACTTAAAAAAAATGGTTTAATAGGCTTCTAGATAGCTACAGACTTAATACTAGTTCTAATAGTTAGATAATAGATAAGATTAGGCTTAAATAGCTTATAAAGATATTTATTCTAACTATAAATATATAAAAAAGAGGTAGTTATTCTTTATTTATATTAGATAGTTATAGAAGCTATCTTATATCTGAATTTAATTAACTCTATATAGAGAATAATATTATTCCTCTCTATATGCCTTCTTATTTCTTATACCTCTTATAGTCTTTAGATATAAGTATTTTTACTATCCTAAAGTAAGTGTATAGAGGTTTAGTTAAATAATAAATATAACTTAGATTTAATACTATTAAGAAGCTTGATTTTTTAAATATATATTCTATAGTAAGAATAGAGGCTTTTAAGTCTAAGAATATTTAAAATAGCTTTACTATAACTAGAATTAGTCTATTTAATCTAGATAGAGTAGTCTAAAAGCTTAATATTTAACTTTATATACCTACCCCTCTAGGAAGCTAATTAAGTAACTCTTAATTATCTTAGGGTCTATAAATATCTAGTAACCCTTACTAGTTATATAGATAAGCAAATAAGGTTAAGAACCTTTTTAGATAAGACTATATAGAACCCTCTAAGCAATTTAAGGAAGGCTTTAATTAAATTATTAAGGCTTATGAGTATAGGATAGTTACTATAATAATAATAAAGAAATAATATCAGGATATATTTACTATAAATAAAAAAGAGAAGTAAAAATATATAAGATCTAATTACAGAATTTAATAATTAGAGGGTATTATAAGAGAAGAAGCTTAAAGCCTTATTACCCTCTTTAATTTATCTACTAAATATATTATTAATTAGCCTACTAAAGCCAAACTACTAGCCTTATAACTATAATTATAAGCTTAACCATAATATAGTAATTATAATATTCTTAGATATAGAAGAATAAGATATCCTAATCCTAGTATTATTTAATTTTTAATTTAATACTTTTTTTTTGGTATTAATTATTATATAAAAAGTTGACTAATCTATATATAATCAATTTGGTGGCCGGCTCGCATGTGGATTACGTTAATTGAGAAATGATATGCTTAGTCATTGGTCCAATATCCCGTGACATGGATATTTTAGATATTTACCACGTGACTGGGATTTAATCATGTGATATCAGTTTTTGCCCCTGAAATCTCGAATAAAACATCCAGCACAAGGAGGTAAATAGTAAATAGTGGTGAGTAGATCACTATATCGCTCTCTATTTCTCTATGCTGCGAGCTCACGGCTAGTTCCAGTTATATACTTCCACATGATACCAGAATTAACAGTGGAAGGCCCTTTTCTCGGGGTATTCATCTCATTGATCACAAGATGGCTCTATCTATGCTCTGCGTATAGATTCTTCTTTCTTGCTCTCACTCGAGACACCTTGCTCAGCTATACTTCCATGCCATTATTATGAGTGTGTGGGAGTACTGTAGCGCTTGTTTCAGCTAGCATACTGGCTAGCAGAATGTTGTCTGACTGCCATGACCTCGATCAAGTACCACAAGGAAAACACGCTTCCATTTAGCTAGTTAGAGTAGTATAACATATAAACGAAGTCTGCTACTCTGTTTCTTTCGGTGTTGTATAACCGTTTAACAGCATGGCCCTGGAAGGCGTTTCCCGCTCCGTTGGCGCGTCGCGTACTTTATATCTCGGTTCCCCCGAACTTGATATAAAAACAATCTCAACTCAACGCTACAACTTTCAACATCCCACCTACTGTCAATATCAGACTCGACCTTTAAAGCCATGGCTTTGAGAAATGGGCCACAGGAAGGCAAACCAACCCAAAAAATTCCTAAACCACAGCCTCCTTCGCGTGATGGCCAACGCGTACCGAGTCCTTGTAAGCGGGCGTCAGATGCGGATATAGACATGCTCCTCGCTGAAGGAAAAGCCGCCGCTGCTGCTGCCGCTTCTAAGAATGGGAGCTCGCAAAGGACGGGCGATACTCCTAATGAACCCCGGAGCAATAACAATGTCCCAATACCCACCGTCCCCTTAACGCAACCGAAACGGAAATCAGTTGACAGTGCAGAAAGACCTTCAACCTCCGCTATTACAATTACACGCGACAAAGAGGTCGCGTCTTTGCCCCAGAGGCCGCCTGAATTAGCGAAATCTTGCGGCATATCACAATCCAAGATACAGACACCCTCCCCCAAAGAAGAGAAGAATCCGCCTGCTGAGGTCCAACCAATACCAGCTCCAGTATCACCTTTCCAGAAGCCAGAAGCCACCGATGACGACGATATAAAGCCTACTCTTCATCTCCTACCGTCTACACCCCAAAGCAAATGTTTGGTCGAACACGAGTTCCAAAACTTGAGCCCTCAAGAACTCCAAGACCTCCGCGACTGGCTATTGTTTACCCGATATTACGATGAAAACTACCGTAATAATAAAATCCGCCGTCATAGGCGCCTGGCTGCTTTGGATGAAGAAAGGGCGGAATTGATCAAAGAAGAACAAAGTGAGCGGCAGGCGTTTTCTGGTGGTGCTGATTTTATTCTCCCACAGCCATGGTTAGCTCAGGTGGTGGTTACAGACCCGAGCCCTCTGCTCAACGACGGGGTCCAGTCAGCTAGGAATCCCATAACATGCAGCTCTCCAGCATTACCCTCTTGGCCAGCGTCACAGATCAGCGCAAATACCGAAAGAGCTTCATTTGCCGCTACCCCTAACTGCACCAATGCAAACGAAAATATTGATCACAAACCATTGACAGAAGGCTACTCACGGCCTACGCAGCCTGCACAACCTACACAGACGCAGAAGCGAGACCGCCCATACCCCCCAGGAGGCGACGAATCTCGACGAAAGATCTCACGTGGGGATTTATCTGAAGATCGAGGCAGTGCCCGATACTATGAAAGCCAAGGTTCGTTCCCCAAAATTAGCAAAATGTCTCTCCTAAGGGCCTCGCCTATATAACTGGCAGCCAGCGGACGATATTAAAACAATGCATAACTAGGCCAGGCAGATATATATGATCCTCAACCTAACAGAAATTATTACGCCTCCGCTCAAACCGCTCCAAGACGTGGTAAGGGTGAAATTCGATATATGATAGTATTACTTTACTAACAGCCTAGAAGAATACCGTATTAGACGTGATAGTTACAAGGGCCGTGGTAGTTCTCGTGAGCGCACCCCATATTCTCTTCCGCCTCCGGGACCAAGCTATGGAAGACATATTGAAATCGAGGATAACCAGAAAGAGAAGCGGCCTGGTACTGATAGCCGGCCAATTCAACATAACACTAAACGCCTGGGACTAAATTCAAAAAGTACGAGATGATTCTTATAGTTGCCTACGACTCTACTGATCTAACCAACTTCCTTAGACACAAAATTTTTCCTAATGAAAAGTTCCGATGGTAAGTCTATAAAGGCGTCTCAAGAAGATGTAGGTACCCACTTATCATATATGTTCACCGAGTGCATTTTCCTGTTCACAGACTTACAGTGTTCTTTATTATAGGGAATTTGGGTGCTACATGAGAAATTCAAGAAAAGTATCGCCAATGCGTTCCGAGAACATGACCACGTAATTCTCTTCTTCTCTGTTAATAGTAGCAGCGCACTTCAAGGATACGTTAGTTAAATCGTCTCCACTTATTACCAGCCACGCCTATACTGGATGAGTTTTATTTCTAACCTGAGCTACACTGTCCAGGCAAAGATGATAACTACCCCTGGCAACAAAAAGGTCCCGCTGCCTGCATGGGCATTGAGAGCTAAAAATATGAAAACCGGTAACTTGGCGGTGAGAGTAGAATGGATCAATAAATCAACAACCCCGTTTCGGCATATAGAAAAGCTCCGCAACTCCTTTAGCGCTGATAAAAGGAAATCCGTTGTTCGCGGCAGTGATGGACAGGAAATCCATCCAAGTTGTGGTTTACAGTTATGCAACATTATCGACGATGTTGAAGTGAGGAGTCGTTAGAACCGCCGGGTTCGGGTATATCCTGAACGAGCTATGAGTATTGCAAAAGCGGATGTCTCCAACTCCCTATGTTTAATTTATTTATACTCTATCTCATTATCCTTCCATGAATATACATAACTTAAAGCCTCGCCTATATATCTCAGGTGCCATTGTAGATCAGTTTGCGCGTCCCGTCGTAACCTTCTTTTAAAATTTTGACGAAAGGTAGGTAACATCTAGCCAACTGTCTATGATATACGGCAAGGATACCAACTGGCACCAATATATCTACTCCGTACAAATTTGGAAAATATATGCCGGATTTCCGCAGTCCGCGCGTGCAGCATGGGTTGTTGGCTAGCGGGCAACTTCTAAACTTCTAGACTCACAGTTTAGCAAGAAGGGCTTCTAGTTAAGAATGCGATGCGAATGTCCTGGATGATGTTATACATTTTCTTCGACTTGAAATGATCTTGTCGATCGCCGAGAGATGAGTCTAGGACTACCCCATCCAAATTGGCCACTAAGTTGGCCACTAAATTCTCCTATCCGTTCTGAGCGCGGTACAGAGATGCTGTGGAGCAGCGATATAGATGAGTAGATCATAACAGTCATGAAGTGTATTCCCCTGGCCAATGAGCCTGCGCACCGCTGGTGATAGGCTGGTTGTACTTAAACAATAAAATGACCAAGTAAGACAGGCCCATCCCACTATCCGCGTCATAAGTTGGCAGGGTTAAGCTCATGGAAAAAAAAGTATAAACACATAAAAGGAAAAACCAAAAAAAAAAAAGAAAGAAATCCCCGACATGATGCATGACTTCCCGTGTCACACCCTTATCATGAAAAGAAACTCCGTAAAGCCACGGCATGCCAGTCGTATTCCAAGTCCCCGTACATATCCCAAAGACGCATAGATTGAAGTGGAAACCGAGGCACAATGACATCAGCTCTCCTCATTCTTGACTGTCTTGAAAGAAGCAATTCTTCGGCTGATAGCATCCATATCCTCCGATATTTCCAATTCTCTCAACTTTCCGCTGCCGACGTCGTAGATGACGCCGTGTAGTTTGAGTCCTCTGTCTTGGATGGCGTCGAGGACCGCGCTGTTCTCTCGCAGAACTCGCAGCCCATTCTCGACGTTGATTTCGGCGAGCTTCACGGCAGCATCCTTGGGCTCTAGGTCCTTTAGGGTGTCCATGTGCTGTTCTCGTAGCCGTCGTAGAGGCATGAGCCAGGTGTCCAATAGACCGAGCTTCGTGTTGGCTAGAGCGGCGTTGATACCACCACAGCTAGTGTGGCCGCAGAGAATGATATGTTTGACCTTTAGGTAGATGACGGCGTATTCAATGACGGTGGCAGAGGAGATGTCGTTGTACTGCACGACGTTGGCAATGTTTCGGTGAACGAAGACGTCACCGGGCTGAAGCCCCAGGACGGTTGTTTCGGGGCAACGAGAGTCTGCGCAGCCAATCCAGAGAATCTCGGGTGCCTGCCCTGAGGCGAGGGTTGGGAAGAGCTCCGGCTGCTCTTCGACGACTTTGGAGGCCCACAGGTTGTTTTTGGCCATAGCCCTCTGGTAGGGGTCTAGCATACGGTTAGCTTGCTGTCCGTGCAACAGATATAGATGATGATTGTAGGGAGAGGAGGATGGGAGCATACCCGGAGTCGGACTCTGGTTTCTTGAAGGTGCCATGCTGGGAATTGGGTGAGAGTCAGGATCGATGCTTGACATTTTGAAATCTTTCAGGCCAGGCCGAGTCGACGAGAAGGGTTTTATCTGTAGTCCTTGAGATAAGGAATCACGCGGCGCCCTTGGCAGCGGTGTTGAGCGGATAGCAAGCGATGAAGTCGAGCAGGGAATAATGCGTTGTGAAACAGTTAAGGTTCTGATAGCATGTGGTGGTTAGCAGTGCCCAGACAAAAAGGAACGACACAGACTAGAAACGGCGGATGTTTCCCCCTCCAATAGGATGAGACTGGCTTGGTAGGAATAACGTGTAGTCCATACGTATGGGCTGCATCGTCCCCATCGAGGTGGGAGAAAAAGAAAGAACAAGGAAAAGGCAAATAAACGGGGAAATGGATATGGAGTGACGCCTCCGCTTGCAGGATGCAGATAGTACACCGTAAGCAGGCAGAGTGAGGCAGTGAAGCAGACAAAGCTGGTCCCTCCACATTTTTCCTTTTCTTGGTTTGCACACGGGGCGAAGGGGGAGTCCGCATTGGGACTATTAGGCCATGGTGGCCATTAATCCCCAGTGCAAGCAGGGAAGAGAAAAGCAAATATTGATGCAGAGAATAGTACGGGGAAGTGCAGGAAGCCGTGGGAGTGGAAGCTGACAGAGAGAGAGATACGGAGTCACTCACCTCCTTGAGAGCGAACCTGGCATAGAGAACGGCCAAGAGACGACAAGACGACAAGACGAGATGAAACGAGAGATGAGATGACCAGGCGGCGGGCTGACGCTCCGTTTATATCCAGACGAGACGACGAGGATGGTGATAAGAAGAGGAAGAGGAAGAGAAGACGTTCATGTTTCACCGTCGGCCGTTTTTCTGCGCAGTTTTCGGCCTCCGCAGGCGAAAAAACGTGACATATGCCAAGCTTTCCCAACAAACCTTGTTTATTCTTATTTTAGTTTGTTTCTATCGCGACATCAAAGAAACACTTGGTCAGGGGCAGACAAGAGAAGACAAGAAAAGACAAGAAAAGAGCCAAGTAAAGGAGAGAGACAGGAGAGAGACAGATCTTCATTAACTACTCCGTACTCCGTACAAGACTCGCCATGCAGACAAGTGCTAGATTCAGTCGAAGAGCGGCCCTCGCCAGCCAAGAGCCCAGTCGACCCTGTCCCTCAAGCTCTCCCTTCGTGCGTCGTTAGCCTTATCGGCATCGCCACTGCCGGTATTTCCTCCATCATCTGCCGCATCCACCGCTCCATCCAACCCGCTTGCCGGCCCATCACCACCGCTGTCCGCCTGCTGCTGCAGCTCAATTTCAGGTAGCGCACGGATAGGTGCTGTGGGCTCCAAGGGCAAGGAGCCGCTTTCCGTGGACATTGCTGCCCTTCCATGCTCGCCTTCTTCCCCACAGCCCACCGGATGCACGGCCCATGTCACCGCCGCCGCCGCCGTCGTCGTCTCGCTGGCTGCTTCTGCTCCGCTGATATCAACCGGTTTCCAAACGCTTCCAGCTGCGCCCGGGCATCGTAGCGAGAGGTCCATCCCGCCGCAAACCGATGGACCGATTTCCTCGGGCATCGGAGAAATAATGGCGGGCTGCGAGCTCAGGCCGATATCCCGGGCATACGGGCACTTTTTGGCGAGCAGCATTCCGGGTCCAATTATAAACAACACGATCGCTAGCGATGCAAGCTTGATGCAGTAGATTATGAAGTGCACTGGCCCCTTTTCCCCGCATATGTTGCTCAACATAACTCCGAAATCGCGAAGTGTCTTCCTATATGCCCTAGACGACACGTCGACGTTAGATTGGAGGTCCTTGAAAAACTCCTTCACGACCCGAGACCCAATGCTTAACCTCTGGGTGACCACTCCGGCCATGGCTATCAACCGTTCTTTATTCACCAATGGTGAATTATGGAGGTGGTATGAGCAGCACGGGCAACCTCCCCCGTCAGTCTCGTACACCAATGGTGCTTGCTCCTGCACGTCTCCCCCCAGGCGCCCCTTTTGACAAGTACTATCTTCCCAGGCTGTACTTGGAAATGGAAGCATCATGCATAAGTTCAGAGCCCATCCATCAATATTGGGTGGCTTGTATGTCATTCGCCATGGGATACTATGGCCGATATCGTCCTCTGGTAGAGCCGCCTTGAACTCTTCCGAGTTATTGGCTAAAGCACCCGTCAAAGTAAGGCGGACCTTTGCAACGATGAGGAAGATGCCTGGTATGGCATTAGATGTTGTTCTTATCGTCAACACGCCATTGGCCACATCCAAAATCGGGTTTTCAGAAGCGGCATCGGCATCGGTCAGAGCTTCGGTGCAATACCACATCATGCTACGCTGCGAGGCTGTCGACGGGCTTGGAAGATCTATACTTCCATCCCGATAGCCTTCGGCCGAACCTTCTTCGTCCAAACCCTCTTCATATGAACAGCTTTCCTCCGACCCTGGATCGTCGTCGAGAGCCTGATCGTCCTGTCCGTAGAATACATCGATATCAAAATTTCCAAATTCTGGATATTCGGAGTAACCAGGGGGCGGTCCCATTTCTTCCAGCAGGAGTGGCTGGCATTGAGCATTGTCAGTATCTCCGTTTTCATTCTGTTGGCTAAACAAAGGCTCTGAAACTTGGTTTTCATCCGCCTCCGCAAAGGTATTGCGTTCTCCGGCAGACCCTTCCGTTGGCCACATGCAGTCATCAGAATTGCCAATTGCACTTGATCCGTAGTCCGAGGAGCTCCTTGGTAACACAAACTTTGTTGGCGTGTCAACCTCTGGGAACGACTGCATGGCAGTCGACGCTGTTGGCCCAGCGTTGGAACTCTGAATATCAAGGTCTTTTTCGTCTGCCTCAGCATCTGCATTTATGGTCGACAAGCGAGAATTTGATAGCGCACGAGCCATTATAGCCATCCGCGCGATAGGTGAACTCCTCTTATGCGTGAATTGTGGGGAAGCGGTACCATCTTGTGGCCCGATAACATTGACAGGGGCGCGATCAGACCCAGATGATTCATCTTTGTATATCCTTTTGATGGGGATCCTGCTTACCGGCCCGTTTTGCACAATAGATCTTGAGGTTCGCTTAGGAACAACAATGGAACTATTAGGAATCCGTGATGGTGTGATATCGTTACCGGAGTTGACAATAACAGGAGCTTCGTTATTCGGGTTAGGGGAGGAAATGCGGACAGCGGTAAGATCTCGTGTTGGGACGAGCTCACCCAGAGGAACCCGACTTCCCAGCCGTTTGCATTCATCTTCACCATCTGGGACCTCATTTTCCTTGTTATCGACATCAACATCCATATTGATATTATCCCATGGGATACCGAAGCTGAGATCTGCCAGGCGAACTCGAGGCTGCAATCCTTTCGTAAAAGTAGCCTCGAGGTGATTATGCCACTCTTGACGGCCAGCATCATCCTCTGACATGTCAAATACCCCTTCGTCGTTAGCGATACCCCTCACCTTCTCGTTGCTGCTTCCACTGCTATTGTTATCCTCGTCCTCCCCAGCATCGTCATCACTGTTCTCGCCCTCTTCACAAATGTCAGGGCTTGGTGGGAACAATCGCTTTTTAAATGGCGATGGCGATATTCTCATACCTCTTGTGAATAGCTTTCGTGGTGTCTCTTCAACTTTTATACTGACGTCATCGCTTGATGCGTCTTCTTCCTCTTGGTAAGGCACTTCATCTTCTATTTCTCCGTTGGGTGGCTGTTGATCCGCTGTATCCGGTCGGGGATCAGGATCAAGGTGACGTCCATTCTCGAGTTTATAGACCTGCTGCTCTGTGATATCGGCAATCATATCCGGCCCTATGTCGAGCACTGAAAGTACTGCATCAGGAGCCGACGTGATCTATATTAAATGTCAACTTATGCTATCCGAAAGTAACACGTATGGTCTTGCCTGTGTACTTACTTGGATTCTCATATCCAAATCAACATAATGATGGCCCTGGGCATCAGCATTCCAGGAGCCACCCAACACCACGTCGCGCAAATGCGCAGCCATGTTCAAATCAGAAGCCAAGTTGCAGCTACAAGGTGTAATACGACAGTTAGCTCTTACTTGCCACGTAGAAACATATATGATAGAGTGTTCTCACGTATATGAGCAATAATATGTGCCGTTTGGTTTGCGCGTCGTTGGCGTGTGTCTTGAGAGGGGGAACGACGAGATACACAAGTAGTAGGTTCACGAGGTAAACAACAGCGAATAGAGCGGCGAGAGTAGTGTCTAACTGCATCTCCCTGAAAGGTTGGGCGAACGGTTACGGTTGAGGTGGTAGAAGAGAGGAGAAGAGATAGAGAGAGAGACGAAGGACGATGTCATGTTGTTATGCCCTCCGATTTCCCCTTTTGGGCGAGTGAGGGAGTAGCAGCTGTCAGGGGCAACAACCACAATATGCGGTAGGAGCCTTGTTATGCTACTACTTCCTTACGCTTTAAATGGGATCCTCCGGCTCTCTTGAGCCATATGGGAAAAAGAACATGACATGCTCTGCATTTCGGCGTAAGTAGCTAACACGATAACGAACGTAGGTATTGATAAAGATAAAGATAAAACAATAGTTTAACAAATTTAGCTCCCTTGATGCAAACAAACACCTAACCCAGGTCCGTAATCACCCATAATTTTCTCCTTTTCAATGCCCCCCGAAACCGAAAACGCGCAAACGAAAACTAGTACAGAAATTTAAACGAAAAGAAATGGAGGAAGGGAGGGGAAGAGATTAAGAGTTAGAGGGTAGGTGGTAGACGGTAGAAGAAGGGGGAAGGGGGGTGAAGTGAAGGAAAATAACAGAACGATATGCAAGGCAGCCAGGTCCATAACTCCCGATGTAAAGTAGCATTGCAATAAATCTGATAGGCAATTCCTTTCTCGCGAAAGTGTATTCCATCTGCATGCAGGGTTGAAGTCTAAAGTAATTTCAGCCATCAAGTGGCCGACCAAATGAGAAGCAAACGAAGTAATAAAGGAACCAAAACAATGTCTTGGGGAATAGGGAAAGGGGAAAGGGGTCGTAAAATGATAGGGCAGAGGGAAATAACCAGGAGTGAAAGGGATTAATCAAGGGTAAAATAATAAGACAGCCAGGGAAAGAAAAGAAGGAAGATAATATCATCAAGAACAAAACGTATGCATCCAGCATACTCACCTTCCACCACTCTTTTTCTTTTTTTCTTTTTTTCCTTTTCTGACCTGAGTAATTTCCTCTTAAACGTCACCTCCGCATAACAAATAAGCCATTATAATGCCGTCCAAATAAAGATAGTAGGAAACAAGAAAAAGATCCAACCGGATAGGAGAACCCCGTTATCGTGAAAACATTGACCGTGACCTCAGTATGCATGACCCTCCATTGACGCCGAAACTTATACCTTTACTCCATCATAATCAGATCATAATCAGACTTTATCGGCCTATGGGATACCATGGAGAAGTGACCGCGTTATTGTGCATTGGAAACTGATGCGCCGGATAACTTGGTTGAAGTGGGTGGTTTGGATGACCTAGATGGCCTGGGTGACCCGGATGCCCGGCATGGCCAGCATGGACGGGGGTGTTTGGATAAATCGGGACACTTTGATGGGGGTGGCCTGTATGGGGTAAGGCCTGCCGCTTGGGAGAACGATCCTGGGGAATAGGCGAGGCACTGTATTCTTCGCTCTGAGCATATTGTCTCTTGGTTGACCTGCCGAGGTTGTTAGTTAGGGTTATCCATTTACCACACCAACAGCTATCTAAGGTTCCAAGGGCATACAGTAACGTTCGTGGCTCTTTGCGGATTCGGAGCTTTACTCCCTGGTCAGCGAACGACTTTGATATGATCGTTGATTCGGCCATTCCCGGGAAATTCTTAGGAGGTAACACTAAAGGCCAATCAGTTATACAATGGCCCTTTCATTACGCTGGGGTTTCACTCACCTGTGAATGATTCCGAGCACAGTGATTTGATATGACCAACGTGGTCTCTATTGGGCCTGATTAATTGTTAGCCAAGTGCCATTGCGAAGATGTCTCGATCAGACAGGGAAAGAGATAGGTGAATGGACAACCTACCCCTTCAACTCAAATAGGTCAAACATGAGTTTGAATTCGCCCTCTAGTCTGATAGATAGGTCACCGAATACGAAAAAGCCGCCATCTGTTTTAGAGTAAAGGGGGGTTTGGTTAGCGGCATTCTCGGGGCCAAACATTGCGGGTTGAGTTGACGATGCCCACCTTGGTTAGTAACGTCTTTGAGACGGTGTAGAGAGGAGACCAAAGTGCCAGTCAGGGAATTAGAGGGTTCCACTGGGGTCATTTCCTCAGGATCCTCGGTTGCATTGTACAGAGAACAGCACATAAAGTAGTAAGGGCTCTGAAGGTAGTTGCTACAAAGCCGGTTAGGAAAATATACAAAACAATGCTTCATGCGTGAATGGGACGAACTTACTTTCCTGCCTCGCACTCTGGGTTCACACGCAGCTGGATAATAGGGGGTGGATCAATTGGCTTGCGTTCTATAACCCGGAAATAGGATGTTAGCTAATACCACTACGTTTATCGAGACAAACAGTTCAGACGTCGAGGTGGTCTTCTTTTACCTTTATCCTTCACCCCAGCGACTCGAGCACGCTCTGGCTGCTGGCGGATGAATAGCTGATAGTCATCCTCTAAACTAGAAACGTTACATTAACGTTAGAGACTCGGTTACGGAGCAATCAAACCCGAAGTGAGTGGGGAAGGGAAGGGGACAATCGAACCTGTGTGGAAGGGCCTGAGGAACCGATTGCTGAACCGATTGCTGAACTGATTGCTGGACCGATTGAGGAACTGATTGTCCAATTTGATCTTCATTCGTATATGGCGTAGAATACAACATCGTAGATGACATAGCCATCTTGAGCACCGTTGGTTAAAAGCCGAATTACCCAAGGGTGACACTGTTCGAGACCCGGATATTGCAAGCAGTGGTCGCGCAAAAATCAGCAGTCGACCGATGTTTATTAGCCTTGCGTAGGAACCACACGGGGTTTCTTCCTTAGCCTACCAGTGGCAGGATTTTATTAATAAAAAAGAGGTTGAAGCCGTGAGAATATCCAGCATATCACACTATCAAGAGGACGAGCTTTTTCAGAGAGAAATATGCTGAGGAATATGGTGAGAAGAGAAATGTGTTCGAGGTCAAGTTCGCACGCGGAAGGGAAATGCCAGAAGTAGCCCCAGCGGCGCTTATTAACAAATGCCGTAAGCTCTAAGTAGCTTTCCTGAACAAGCTTCGAATTTAGGCAAAATGCAGCCTTCTGTGGGTTAGAAAATTTCGGTGGGGGGTGGGATGGCCTAACGTCGATGACCAGGTTGAACCGCGGATGGCGAGAGGAAACGGTTTAAGGGAGGGGAGGGGGATTAACGTCAGAAGCGAGATCGAGGCGGAAAGGGTTTGGCGATTTAATGGTTAATGACGATCAAGACACCCACTCCGTCAGCTTACCAGACGGAACCGGCGGATCTGGTTGGCCCTCTGGCTCGAGCCAGGCTTCTAGTCCCGTCGCAGCCTTTACGCAGGAACCGGTGGAGGAGCCTTTTGACCACCTAGTGGCTTTGGGTTTTTTTCTCTTTGGTTGCAGGCCAGGCCTTGGAAACTCAAATAGGAGAGTCTAAAGTGCGTTTCCAGAGATAATTTCTCGGGAGTAAAGGAGGAATTGCGTAGGGTGGCGCATAAACGGCGCAGGGTATTTTGCATCAGCTGTTTCCAGTATATATCTTTGAGCTTGAATATGGGCTCGGAGCCGTGAGAAGACTGCTGTGGTTTTCGTATATCCGGCGTCAGCTGCAGCCGTTTACCGGAGGATGAGGGGTAGCGGAGTGAAGGAGGAGGCTGAAAGCAGATGTAAGCATTCAGATTCATGTAATCTCTCTGCGCGAGCAGTATGGGGGACGATGGTAGAATCTTGCCCTTGGATATAGAGATAGCCTGAGGCGTGCTTACCATGCCTTGGGGGGAGAAATTGAGCAGAGCAGTCGCGGCAGGGCAGGAGGCCGGTGCTATATCAAAACATCATTCTGTTGCGCTACCGGGCAGCGAGATCAAAAAGAAATTTCGTGTATCCGGAGCGTTGGACAGGCTGATAGGCGCCGTGTCGTATATCGAGGACGTGGGGTGGTGAGGGAAGACGGAGGAGCGGCGGTCGTCGATATATATGGCCCTTTTTCTCACCCAGTGATCCGCCGGACTTCCGCGCCACTACAACGACACTCGACTAGCAAGACGCGAGCAGGCAGGTCGATATCCAACAGCTGGGCTCTTCATGTATTAGAGCTGAGTTAGAATGATACAGATGGAAGATCTAAACAGAGATTCCCGCTGGCTTCAATGGCTCGTGGCTATCTGGGTCCTCGACCTCCGTCTGCTTCTATATCATGACAGCAAGGCGCGCGCAGACACACACACAACTCGAATATAATCAATAAATCACAGGCCAAACGAGTGGGAGAGTGAAATAGCAAAGAAGACACTAATACTCGCCCGCCAGGGGTGTAAAAAGGGGGGGCGAAATATGTGGGTTGACAAGCTGCTATATCAACCAAGTCAAAATGGGCTGAATCGGTTTGATGGGAGGTATATATCCTGTCCAATGGTTCCTCGGGGCATCCGACGAACGGCGCCCGCCTACTTTTCTGACAGCTAGGGAGGATAAAGCAAGCATGGGGGAGAGAGATATGAACAGCCTAGTGGGAAGCAGTGCGGAAGCCTAGGTGGCCGCCGTACCTACATGCCCGTGAATTATCCGACAGGAAATGAGGTCCGACCTTCCAGTGCTCTTCCGAAGATCTCTAAGGCTCGAACGGACCGCAAGACAGGATGGATCGGCCACATGCAGGCATTCATCTTCTATTGGACGGGTCATTTCACCACGAATCGCAAAAAAAATGTTGGTTGATAGCGAGTGATATCACACGGAACTTCTGTCCCAGCATGGAAAGCAGAGAGGTTGCCTGCCCGCTGAGATAATTGATCCAATGGGCTGCCGGCTCTGGATCTCTTGCGCAGTTGCTTTTGGCGCGGGCTCATTGCACCATTGGTTGAAAAGGGGAAAAGCCAAAGGAGAAAAAAGCAAAGGGAGAGAAAAAGTAACGAAGAGACAAAGATGAGCCGGATTTGAATGGTTATACATTCAAACAGAGACTACCCGCTTGACGACCGAGCGAGACATTCGAGTCTCTCATCCCCAAAGCCATCTCGGTGGGCAGCCGACCTGCAGGCGCTCAAAGACATCCATCAGACTTTGATATCTCAGAGCTGATGTCTAGATACGGAGTATACAGGTCGAGGTCGAGTCTGGGCTGGTTTATTGTCACGGTCTAGTGGTCTGGAATGGACATTCGGAGACTTCGTGCAAAGATCACCATCCTCCACTGGGAAGAAGCGCCTCTTTGCAGGGATCAGGGATCAGGAAGTGGAAAAAGGGTTTAGTGAGATCTCCCTTACATATAACTACGCCTAATTCTCCACTCACACGCACACCACGGCCAAGTGATGAACTAACGAGCCTAAAAGACCATCTTTATCCTCTGCATGTCTATCTATGCGGCGTGCTTTGTAATGCGCTTGGGGATATTTTAGAATGTGGGAGGCCTCGGTGCGGCGTCCCAAGACCTGCGCCTCTAAAGACAGCCAAGGAGCGCGAGGCTTGAGGGTTGGTGCGATTCTAGCGAGTCGTACGGGTTACTGTGCTCGACGGTAACGACCTCCTCACCTTCTGTCACGGCTCCCTCACGGCGGGAACAGAACATACTGCGACTAAATGCGCCTGTTTGCCTTTTAGGGTTTACAATATTTCTCACGTTTTGTTTCCCCCCCCCTTTTTTTTTATCGGACAGCCTCAATATGCAAGTCCAATAGTATTGGCAAAGCGACGGTCAATCCAAGAATTCTCGGGGTTTGCTGTGCAGCTTTCTCGACATGGACATCAAGCAAGGTAGGACTGTCTAGCAGCTAATAGTTCGTATCTAGTTCCTCAGCCTATTACTCCAAAGGAAGCCCCGCTATCACCATCCCAGCCAGGCCCTTGGACTCCACGCCAGCCGCCGTGCTGTGTCACCACGACTTCCCTGGTTCTACCCCGAGATGTGGCAGAGGGATTCCAAATTGCGGACTCCCACAGCTTCCACTGCTGCGTGGTTACTGAGAAGACGGGTACCTACAGCAATAGCGACTCTATTATACATCGTGCCGACGGGGATGGTCTCAGACTTAAAACTGACGAAACGCAAAGAAAGAGCCGCCCAAGCTCTTTATATGTTGATGTCCAAAAACAGAAAATGGATGGAACTGGAACTTTCAGAGAACTCCATTTACCGACCATGCGCTTTTTCTTTTCTTTTCTTAACCTTTTTTTGCGATTTTAGTATTTGACGCCGGCGGTCTCCGACAGCCCAGTCACTCCCTCTCGCCTATCATGTGCTGCGGCCTGGAATCGGTGTCCAACTACCACCTTCGGGTGTTTGATCGTTTACTGGAGACAAAGTTCTACGATTTGAAGACGCACTTTAGTCGATGACTAGGTCGTATTGTGGAAAATAGAGCATACGACTTCCGCACATGGACCTACGGAGTATGTAGCAGCACACGTCATCTCGACGTGTGAGGCGAGCATCGTCACAGGGCCAAGGAGGAGGCCGATAATACGCGCAAGAATAGACGATGTCAAGTGGCCCAAGCTGTTGAAGCCGATGCCCTGCAAGGGTACTGATGTCTAATTGTCGTATTAGTTGAGACATGATATAATTAGCTGATGGAGGCAACTACATCAGGTTCTCTCTTTTTTTTTTTTTAAACAAGAAAAAAGAACAAAGACAGCCATCTATTTTGGTCTTCAGCTTCCTCTTACCACCCACACTCTCGAGGTGGGATTCAGGATGCAGTTGTTCCTTGATCGGAGGGTGCACGAGGATGAACGCGCAGTTCCATGTATCGTATTCTAGCTCTTACATACTTCTGGAATATTGGACGGCTCTTCCATCCGAACGATCTCCGATCATCAGGCACATTAAGATAGTAAACTTGGAAAAACGGCGCTGCAAACGGACCATCGATCCCTCTCCATCCTTCGCCCCTCCCTTCGCGGTTCACAACATCTAAGGATCCTGTTTAGGCTGGCTGACATGCTTACCGTCACACTCGAAGGAGGACCGCTTTACAACTTTCTTAGAACGCTGCAATACGCCGTAACGCGGCACTACTTTCCTGCCGCATGTAGCGCTTTCGAGAAATTCCTGGAGGTAAGCTTGAACCCCCCCTCCTGCACCAGCAGTTTGTTTTTCTCCTCGTTGCCAGGATCATCTCCTGCACCGGTATTCTTTTCCGCCATGACAGAAGCCAGAGAGCTAGATCAATTAGGCAATATTACCGCTTTCATCGCCGCTTATATGACTTTCTTCTAGGCCCTAAAAACCGTTGAATTTAAGGGGTCTAGCAGCCTATCATATCTCGTGAATAGCCGGATACCATCCATAATCCTGATTGCAAGGGTGTCCGAGAGAAGAGCATGTGTTGCAGCAACCCATGCAAGGTATGCAAGCGAGGTCTTGAATACCAGCAGCTCGGTTGAGAAACAACAGGCCCAGAACCTGTATTGGACATGGATCGACGGTCACAATCCCAGGGCAGCTGAATACCTTCCCCGAATATCTCCTCCGCTTCACCAGGGAGAATGCTACGGAGTCCTTGCGTGATTCTCAGCTTGTATATGCGCTATGGCCCCGCGTTACATCTCTTCCGTCATGCATGGTCCTAGTGACATTAGAGCGTCAACACGAATCATTTTTCAGCTTGACCCTTGGAAGGCTGAAAATGAAGGCGCTTTTTTGCACCATTCAACCCCTCTCTATGGGGTACGATATTCTATCCCTTGAAAACAACATTGAGCAACAGTGAAACCTCCCGAAAAAGAAATAAAACATTACGAGATCAGCTTTTGTTTCTCCCTGCCAACGTTGCACAGCTTTTCCAGCCATCACCCGGACCACCAAGCCCTTTCCTGCAGCCTGGCTACGGGCCCTACGCCGATATCCTTGTATCTTTGGCTAGGGACATCACATAATGAGAATAATGACAAACAGCAAGAGTCCCACGGCAGAGACATCTGCCACATGCGCCTGTCATCGGCTCCAACTCTCTTATCTATACTTTTCTTTTCTCGGTATGAAGCGCCCGACGCTACAATAAGAAAAAAGTAATCGGCATATGCAAAGCGTTGCTTCTACATGAGAAGCTGGCCCTTTTATTTGCAGTTCTGTATATCTTACACAAGCGTCTCACTCCACGATATCGACGAACCGGGGGAAGCCACCGGTTAAGCAACGGGAAGAATCCACGGATTACCAAGGGTAATCTGCAGGGAGAATCCGGATGCAATGGATACTGGTCGCTCCCTCTCCCCTTCACGAACCAAGGTACGAAATAAAGAACCTCTCCGCCCCCTCCCGGCGAGTTCTAATTAAACGTTTGGTAGGTATGAACCTACATAGACTATGACGTCGAATCCGGTCAAAATATCATAGCAAGCCATGGTAAGGAGCCAGATAGCTTAATTTGATCGCCAACGGCTTTTCAATACATATATAAGCGTTTGCGTATATATCTACTTCCAAGCTCAACATCCGGATATATATCGGTTGTAAAGTTTCCCTTGCAACATATATTTTAACTGCGATTACGTATTTCCATCTCAGCCGAAGCCAAATCTTTCAGCCGTTTGTTTTTGCAAATCTGGCAGCCATCGGGGTTCTGTACCGCCAGATCGAAATGCAAGGCCTCAAGCACGTCCTCCGTACCCCGTTCGTTCGCGCGCTCACTGAAGAAAGTCATGTTACTAAACCCGCTATGACACCTATTCCGCCTGTGAGATGGATGACCAGCAAATCCGCGATGTGCATCGTGTGCATCGTATGCCCAGGCCCCTTTCTTGTTTCCGGGCGTGGAATCTGATATATCACTTTTGCATCCTTGCTGGTTAACGACTGACCATTACGGGTTAAGTCAGGCGTAGAATGATATCTATCACTCCAATCAAACCACAGCTAGTGTGCTTGACGCTGCAGTCCATATCGTTCGCCATAGGCCCGTCTAGCTAGATCACCGAGCGGGATGTCGCCAGTAGGATGGTGCTAAGGGAGGAAAAAGCATCAAAGCAACAAGGAAAAAGAGCAGACTACAATTTAGTAGCTTCTTGGCCTTCGATTGCTGCAGCGAATAATACTGATAGGCGCATGGCTATGGGCTCTTGTAAAATTGCCTGCTTTTTTTTTTTTTCTTTGTTGCGCCTGTTTTGCAAAGACTTCTCTAGCATACGGACCTGGCGAGGTTACTTGCTGATTTGGTGCTATCCTAAAGAATGGTACTCCGTAGATGAGGTTACATAGCTACGTGGCGTGTAGCACTCGTAGAGAAGCGCCTGAAAGCACGTTAGGAAACAGAGAAAACCCTCCAAGGTTTCCATCGGTCCCTAGAGTGGCAAACATGAGCCCTACGGCGTGTGAAAGCCAAAAACCTGCATCAGAGCCTCCGAGATGGGAACACTGGAGCCTCCAGGACGTTTGAACGGGAAACGGGGTGGTGATATTATTGGGGAGACATTAGATGGAATAATATGCAAACGCCAATAAGCTTACATGGTGTAGTAACTAAATATCAAGCATCAAGCCAAGTCGGAGAATAAAAAGGTAGAAAAAAATTCCGGTTGAGCAGGTATAATACGCGCATCCGTGGAGGTTAAAACTATAGCAGTCTTCAATCGTGTGCGCCGAGCAAGGAAAACAATATTCTTCCACCAATCTTAAAGGAGAAAAAGGGGGCCAATAAGGAAAAAAAGATGTCGTTTGAGAAGGCAAAAGTGAGCAGGTCGATACGAGCGGAGGATGCGGCCGGGGGAGGGGGGTAGGGGGTAGGACACGCGCATATGCCCGTTGTAGATGAAAAGAAAAGGTCTGTATGATATCATATTTTAGGTTCCATTCGTTAGCACTGTAGCGGAATCTTTTCCGAGCCAGAATCAGGACGCCCGTTTGTGGCAGTGCTCTCCAGGCACTCTGCGGCGTCGCGGGAGATGCCAGTTTGCGTGCTATTCGATGTCGGAGGCGTCAAGCCATTTGCAACTTCGGTCTTGTTATTCACGCCGTCGGCATGTCTCGGTCCATGATTGTGCGTATCGTCTTCAATGCCGCTGAGGAGTTGTTGGTCGATTTCCATCGACTCCGGCATGTCATTTATATGTTTCTCTTGGTCGGTTTGCTGGTTCTCAGGAGAACCGTTGGCCTCGGGTGAGTCAACCTTAAACATAGATGGCGGTGGGAACAAGCTGGAATCGTTGAATCGTTTTGTTCCGCCGGGACTTTCGGGATCAGTATCATGTTTTGTATCAGGGTTGTCGCTTAATTTGCTGCTCCTGGCCCGTCTAACACTGAAGCGTAATGGTCGAGTCGCAGTATTGGGAGTACCTAAGCGCAAAGGTTTACTCTTTTTTGGAGTATTGTGCCCGCTAGTTCGTGCCGGAGATTGCGCAGTAGACCTAACCTTCTTGCGAGTCCCAAATGGTCGGCCTGGTCGGCGTTTAGAGGCGGGGGTACTGTTGGTCCCTTGTGCATGTGGGAAAATCTCGAATCTTGTCGGCGGAATCCCAAAAGCGGGGTTAGAAGGGGTAGAAGATGATTGACGGCCGTTGACGCTTGCGGTTTGTCTAGACATGACATCGGCAAAGGATAATGCGCTAGTAGAAGGTGGCCCAGGGGCGTCGAATAGAGACGGTGAAGCGTCAGGGAAGCCCTGTCCATTGCCATTAGTAGCATCGATACCGCTCCCAGCAACGCTGTTAGCAGTGTCCAAATCACTGGCACTTATCCCTAATCCGTATGAGTTGTTAGGTATGGCTCCGCCTTCTCCTGGAGCAGTGGACTCGCTGGCTTCGTGATCCTCACGAGGAGCAACGGTATGGATGGGAGCATGATCGTAGTGCGACTTATTGCTTCGGCCCATTATATATGGCGTCCAGACAAGGGAGTTGGGATTTAGTTTGACGTATCCCTTCTTTTCCCAGGATTCTATGTATTTCTCGAAGAAATCGTAGTCTAAGCGAAGTGCATATGTTTTTGTCGAAGGGTCACGGACGAGAGCGCTTAGCCCTTCCAAGGCCGATATCACATCATCTGGTGTCATACCGGTTTGTTCTGATATTGCCGTGATACTCGTTGGTCGTTTCTGGTTTCGAAATTTATAGCACAGCACGAGTCGCCAATAATTCCTATAGGAAACCAGGCCCATATCGGAAAGCGGCTTCTCCGGTGAACCTGTCCTTCCTTCTAGACGAGTAAGAAGATAAGAAAAGTCAATCAGGAGGTTTCCGTAGCCTTTCCTTTGATGGATTGGAAGCGTCAGGATACAAGAGACATTATTCGAGGAACTGGGTCTCTTCTCTTTGCTGAAATATCCCACAAAATGACATCCCCATTCGTCATACTCCGTCATCACATAGAACAAGAAGGGCTCAACATCGTAGTAGAGCGTTTTCGACCCTAGGAAGAGCTTCGCCAGTAGACAGAGGTTTTGGCAGTAGACAGGGTTCTTGCGGCCGTCGACTTCAAATATTGAAACAGAGCCCTCCCGATATATCTCATCGCCTGGCGGGTGCTTTGCCGGGCATTTAAGTTTGTGCCGCCAGGCAACGAAATCAGAGTTCATGTACTTGAGGCAGAATTCACAAATGTATAAGACACGGTTCCGGCTGTATTCTTCCGGATACGGCGCTGCGTACCAGGTTTCAATTTCAAATCCGCCGAAGTTGATATATTTTATCTTGCTTGGCGGACCTGACAGTTTCTGTGCAGCGCGGAACGCACTATCTGAATCTTCCTCCGTGGCCATCATTTTCTGTCGCCATTCTTCTTCCGCCTTCTGGCGAGCGGCCTCAAATTTATCCCTGTCTGTGGAAAGGGGTACAGTTCGTGATGTATCAGCGTCAGTCTCGGATAAAATCCCACCATAGGGTTTTGATTTAAGTTCGTCATTTTCTCGGTCATGAAAAGAATAGAAGGGAGCTGCGTATGGAGTTGGGTTGGTTGGTGCGAAATGTGATACGGGAGGTTCGGGCACAGCTGGGGGTTTGGGTGGTGGTCTGCGACGCTGACTCTTTGGCCGTGGCTTGCTATTAAGGATCTTTTGAAGTTTTTCCTGGTCGAGGTTGAACGATAGTATTATTCGTCCTTCCTGCTTTTGTGCAATAGTGCAGTAGTTCTTCTGTGCATTCCTTGTTCTTCTTTGACGAGCCACTCGATTGTCGTGGTTAGCCGTGGTGTCGTTGTCAACAGCTTGGTTCTGGCTTGCGGCGCGGGACCGACTTCCACTGGTCCTCGTTGTCGTAGGTAATGCCTGCTCATGAGGAGGAGGCGATACTTTACGTCGTTTCCGTGTGGTCGGGCGTCGGTTTTCCGGTTCATCCGTCGTTGAAGATTTTCTTTTTCGCAAAGACCGAGAACCATCCAGGGGGTCGTCATCAACAATTAGTGTGTTGAATATTGAATGAGAACTTAGATCTTGGGTATCATTGTCTGCAGGAAGCAGGTCCTTCGTGATACTAGACACTGTAGATTTTCGACGAGCTGTGGAGGAGTCCGCTAGGTCGGGTTGAGATGTTTTCATTACACACATTAGACACCTCCATTTATCAGCGGTGCCTAAAAAATACGATGATTAGCTGTCCAAGATTCAGGCCGGAATGGCATGCAGAGCGGCAGGGGTATAGCTTACTCTCATCGTCACCAAGTAGCTCATGCTCGCGTCCGCATTGCCTATGGCCTGTGGAACCGTTAGCTAAGCCCCCTGTCATAGTTCGAGCCAAGCCTGACCCTGCAGAACTTACAATGATCACCACAACCTTCGCAAATTAACGGTTCTTCAAACACTTCACTTGGGTCGTGTTCTTCGTCTTGTCCGCATATGCTACAGGAAGAATCGTCTGTCAGTAAGGTGACGGAAAGATGGAGGCCAATAATTGATATTAATGGAGCCGAGAAAAACTCACATGCAATTGTTTTGAACAGGGGGATCTATATCGGCATCCTCCTGTTCATTGCTCTCCGCATCCCATTCTTCTTCGACTTCGGAGTCGGCTTCAGAAAACTCATCGCTAACAACTGCGTTGCTTTCGTTCGAAAGTTCCTCGAATTCCGCATCTATTTCGTCCGCATCGCTCCCAGATTTGCCATCATCACTTCCACTTCCGAGAGCTATTGCAGCGTGGTCCAAATCTTCCGCAGGCTCGTTCACATCATCTATTAACCTGGGACGTTTCCCACCGCTGATATGTATTTCCTCCGTGGCGTCTTTCTCATCGTCTGCTCCATTTTCTGCGTGGAACACACCAACACCGTTCACACCCAATTCCTCATTCGCCGTATATATACCGGCCTGCGCAGTCGCGTCATAAAACTCGGGGTCTTCGTCCCCCTCAGCGTCTTGTTCACTGTCCACTTCAGGTTGCTGTTCAGGATTGTCGTTATCGTAAGCGGCCAGTGGGGTCGCCGCCATGGTGTAAGCCACTACAGTCGCCAGGTTGGCGAGCTGTTTGCACCATTCGAAATCCCCCTCTCAGATCTCGGCTGTTCCCCTGTTTCGTTCCAATATCTGATGCAACACGTAGTTTCGTTTCGTTCCTTGAGAAAGTTGGTTTTTGGCAGGGAAGGCAAGGGTTCAATCTCGGCAGGCCAGGCTCATTGAAAAGTCTTCACGTAGACGTAGCAAAACACCAGCTCGGCGTGAATGCTATACCTCGCGGTATGTCCTGGTGCAGCAACTGTTAGCTATCAAAAGTCCGCGGGAGCTCCTGGGGGCGTTGGGTCGATGATGCCGACGCGACCACCATAACTTGCCACCGGCCACACCAGGAGAAAGCGAAGGCCTACTAACCGATAAGCTCCTCTGCTGCAACGCGTGAATCGAGAGAAAACCGGCGTATTAAGAGCCTGCGAGTGTCTCCAGCTGTTCTATATGCGCATCCCCTCCCTGCTTGGAGTTGAGGTCCAGCCATCAGCGAAATTTGCTGACTGATCAGTGCCAAGCCTGATAGAGCGCTAGGCCAGATCGGGACTCGAGATGGCGCTCTCCAAACCTCCAACAACTTTCTTCCTTCTCGCTGAGCCAGCGCAGTTTATCACCCCCTGGAAGCCAGAACAGAAGATACTCGCCTGTCGCGGAAATGGGAGTCCCTTTCGAGGCCTTGCTCCCTTACGGGATTATCATTGGTGTAAGTGCGGTGGTGCCGGGAGCCGGAGAGCGTGGAGCGATGTTGACGTGACGATGCCCGCAGTTGTTCGGTGTGACCGGTGTTGGTCTTTCAACTCTCAAGTACTATTCGAACGGACGCAAGAACCCAAGAAGAGGCATTGACGCCTGGGATCAGGTAAGTTGACGAACCTATAGCCGATTCCCTGCCAATTGAACTTTAGACTGACTCTTTCTACAGCAAAGTAAGTAATTGACGGTCAACATCTGCGAACCAGTTACTGATATATGGTCCAACCCAGTGATGGAACGAGACATACGACTCACCGGAAAGGCGAGAGGGCAAACGAGCAACCATATTGCACCCCCAGGATTCGCATATAGCAACGGGTGGAAGGTATGGCGAACCGATTCCCCACCCCCCACCGAAACCACTTACGATCGCTAATGAATTCCTACCAATATAGATGGAGTCGAGAATCAACTAGTCTGTTAGATATCTATTTGTCAAAGTCTATAATAATTCCGGAAATTATCTATGACATCCACACCCTTCGAGAAGCGACCACCCCAGCCTGTATGCTCAGCTACCGTCTAAACTGTCTTGATCTCGGTACTTTTTCCGCGAATGCCGCGGATCTCCATCGGTTGGAGATGTACATTAAAGAATTCTTTCAGCGCAGCAACGCGTTCTTCCTCACTTTTTAGATTCTTCAGAATTTCAACGTTCCCATTGCGGTTTACTTTGATAACATCCTTGAGAAGCATCAGGTTCCCCTCGATGTCATCTTCCGCCTCGTTGAGGAGGAATATCGTAAAGATGATTCCTTGAGTGAAACCGCTTCTTGGGTGTTGACTAGTCCACCAATTCATCACCCCAAAGTCCTCGGGTAAGAACTCGATGTCGTAGAAACAGTAGGCCACCACCCACTCGCTGTCAGTGTCCTTGCGGTATCGATACTGCCACGGTCTCTGAGCAGCGTCAGTGTTGATACTGATACTCTTCCGAACTAAACTCATCTGGAAAAAACCGGACACGTCTGGCTCGTCGTCCCGCATAACTAAAGGCTGAGTCGGGCCTTGAGGACCGAATCCAACATCAACCTAGCATACTCCCATCCTTGGGTTAGTTCTTCGGTTGATATTCGTGGCTGAGGCTAGAAAGAAACACACCATATATTTGATTTTGTCTATGATTACAATCAGGATCTTATGGCCACTTTCCCGCAGAACCATGTGTCAGCTGGCATTTTCAAATGTTACAAGATTCAGATATCACTCACAAGCCAAAGAAATCGGCATTCTCAGGCCCAGGCGCCAAAGATTTAGAAACTCTCCCTCCGCTCGGGTAGAATTGGAAGCCTAGGGTCCGTAGAACAATCTCAAACAATCCTGTGTTTTCAACGCAGTATCCGCCCAGCCCCCTTTCTACTATCTTATGAAAGAGGACATCAGGGTCCAGCGAAATCGTTTGGTGATGAGAGTAATGTAGGACCAAATTAGAAAATGGAAACGTCGCTATATGCCGCCGCTGGAGCTGGAAAAGCGCCTCAAGGGGATCGGAGGTGACGAGTAGTTCAATCTCCTTGAGCTTGCTCTCTCCAGCCTCAGGCTCACACCGATATAGCAGGCTGAAGTACTGTATCAACTGCTCCCGGGTAAAAGTCGGGCGGCGGAACGGGTCCTCCATTCTGTTCGATAGGATATAGGTGGTATATTCTCGTTATTAGCGGTCAGATATCCGTCCTGGAACCGGTTGCTTCAACGAGAGTCCGGAGTATTTAAAGCATACTGTCCCTCCCTGGCCCCTCGCAGGGCGTATATATATGACTGGACTACTCCATAAGCCCGCAGTAGCTAACAAGCCAGGCTGCAATAGGCCTAAGAGTTGGCCACTTTTAATTCGACCTTAAACAACCTATTTTTAAGCATTAATAATGTGCATCAGTAGCAATTTAAGACACGGCAGAGTTGATCTTTGTCAATATTACAAGCTGCCAAGGGACCTAGCTTTAATATCGATGGAAGCTGCTATTAATATCATGTCCATTTTACCGGTGAACTCGGGAATTTAGCGTGGAGGTACGGAGTAGATATTAATAATATCCATGTCGGTCTCGGGCTAGGTGTCGCCGTCAAGCCAGTCGTCCTGACACAAACCGACATGGTATCTACCATTTTTCGACAAGACATATAGCTCGGATGCCCCCTGGAGCGATCATGATGGCTAGAAGAGACGAAGAGATATTCTCGATTTTGCAAGAGTATTCGGCATGTGATGTATGGTCAACTCGCCCCTTGATATAGTATTGATGCTCACGACCGATGCTAGGTATCAGATGCCCTCTTAAAACTCGAGGCTGTCCCGAAGGGCGGCACTTGTTATGCAGGGTTTATAGCAGATATCGGTGAGCTCACGGGAATAACTACTGGAATATACCATCCTCAGTCCTCAGTCTGACATACCAAAAACACCAAGTGCCATTTTCTCCTTCCAACAAGGATGTAGAGAAACAGCCGAAGATCATCGGCTATGCATCGACAGTCAAGTTCATGCCCAAAGCTGATCTATCACCTGCCGAATCTTTAGACGGAGAACATGGGTTTCCGCCTGGTACACACTGGGTAGATCATACAGAAGCGGATACTGTGGTTCTACTTGACCAGCCGGAGAATCAGAAGTGCGCAGTCCTAGGTGGAATTATGGCCTCACGAATGAAAGTCAGAGGTGCAAAAGGTGCAGTAGTCAATGGCCGTGTTAGAGATTTAGCTGAACTACGGGGTCTACAGTTCCCTGTAAGTACAGAATTGGACATGAATTATGTTCTCTGATTGCTAGTCTTGTATCTTCAGGCCGTCGGCTCTCCTTGCTGCAAATATTTATGCATACAATTATTCATTGCGGTTATGTTAACAGGTCTGGGCTCGTGCAACATCAACGGTAGGGACTGGTGCTGAAGCGAAAGCAGTCCTCCGTAATGTGCCCATTTGCATCCAAGGAGTGACTGTATCACCGGTATGTTGACTACTTCTACCCTCTGCGTAGTGAAATAACCCTCATTCTAACACACATTCGGATAGGGTGACATACTGTTCTGTGATCCGCTTGAGGGCGTCGTGGTTATACCACTTGGCCTCGTTAACGATGTCCTAGAGTTGATGCCAAAGCTCGTTGCTGCAGATGAGAAGGTTAAAACAGATGTGTCGAATGGATCTACAGTATTTGAGGCTTTCAAAAAGCACAGAAATGGGTAAATCTGCATAGCAGGAATTACTTGTAATAGACACTACGCCAGATATTTCGGCCACCCAGTTCAATGATAAACCTTGAAGGATGAAAATATGTATAGAAATAAATTGATATAAATACAGCTAAATCATCTCAAATATGACAGGCGGCTTTTATCCTCGCAACATGTCATTATATAAAGAAATCATTCATATACACCATCTAAACAAACGCTCGCTGAGGGGGAATCGATTTTTACTCGGCAACCCAGACAGCAGCCATACCCATTCCTGTTCCAACGCACATACTGGTGACACCGATCTTCTTATCTGTTCGCTTCAACTCGGTCAACAATGTGCTGACCTGGCGGGAACCGGTACATCCAAGAGGATGGCCAAAGGCAATAGCACCACCCTTGGGGTTGATCTTCTCGAAGGGCAAACCTAGCTCCTTGGAACACCACACAGCCTGGGATGCGAAAGCCTCGTTGATTTCATAGATGTCGACATCTTCCTTGGTGATTCCGGCCTTCTCTAAGGCAACGGGGATGGCCTTCCATGGACCCTGTCCCATGAGAAGAGGCTTGACACCGACAATGCTGGCGGTGACGTACTTGCCAATGATCTTCTGTCCAAGTCGCTCTGCGGTGGAACGCTTCATCAAAAGGACGGCAGCGGCACCGTCTGAAATCTGGGAGGAGTTTCCAGCGTGGATGGAACCGTCAGCGGCGAAGGCTGGTCGGATCTTGGCGAGGGATTCCGGGGTGATTCCAGCACGGACACCGTCATCAGCCTTGACGGTGATGGTCTTCTCCTCTTCGGTCTTGGGGTCGGTGAATTTAACAGTGAGAGGGGCTATCTCTTCGTCAAAGAGGCCGGCTTCCTGAGCCTTGATTGCCTTTTGGTAGGAAGAGGCAGCGAAAGCATCCTGCTCCTTACGGGTGACACCGAGATCCTTGGCCATGTTCTCTGAAAGAACTCCCATGGGGACCTTGCAGTTTGCAGCTTCCATGTGGTTGTCTAGTAGATCAGAGAACTCTGTGACAGCTCCGGGGCTATTCGTAGGTTAGCCTATGACCGTACACTTGAAGAAAAGAGTTAGAAAGAGATGACAACATACCCATATTGAGAAGACATGCTCTCAACACCGGCTCCGATACCGACATCGATGACACCAGCCTTCAGGGCATTGGCAATATCAACGATTGCTTGTAGACCACTGGAGCACTGTCTGTTCAGGGCTTTGACTGCAGCAGTCTCGGGGAAACTAGCGGCCAAAGCGGCAGCGCGGAATTCAGTGGCACCACCACCAGGGGCGAGCACACATCCAACAGCAATATCTTCAACAACAGAAGGGTCGATCTTTGATCTTTCAATCAGGGCCTTGAAAGCACCGACTAGGAGATCAGCACCAGCGGTGTCCTTGAAGCCACCCTTGCCGCCTTTCGTTATGGCCGTTCGAAGGGCGCATGTCACAACGATATCGCCTGGGTTTTTCTCGAGGAGAGCAGCGCTACCACTCTTCTTCGAGGTGATTTGCGAAGCAACTTGCATAAGACGCTGGTATGCTGTAGGAGAATCACATGTTAGGCACTCCGACCAAAATATCCCTATGACGTAGGTATGCAGAGAGATACTTACATTGAGACATGTTGAGTGAGGTGAAGATGACAGTAGGTAAAGCACTATAGGGTGATTTATATAGTCAAGAGCAGTGTAGGGGGTCAAAAAGAAGGGAGGAGGAGGGTATCTCGGGCGTTGGCCTTTATATGCGTCTCCATCGCGGCATCTGATTCTACTTTCAACTCGGTCGGTTTGGCTGCGCTGGGGAAGTTGCCGAGGTATGTGGAATAATGTTTATCCGATCCGTGCTTATGTGGTGAACCGAGGTCACGTGAAGCTACCGTTCGGATGGCAGAAACTCCATGTGAATATTCAACCAGTTGGCCAGAGATATAGATCGGAGCATTCAAAGATGTCGTTCGCTCCTAGGTCGCTCATATCGAGCAAGGGCATGCGATGCGCGCATAGCCGGCTCAGTTGTCCCTCGCGGGTGGACGCCGAATTGGTAGATATAACGCCTCGACTTGTCTCTATTAATGGCTGTATGATCAAGCTAACGCAAGCTTCAGACACAGTTATTTCCTCTCCTGCCCTTCTGTCGCAGGCTATCTACTGCGCAATCAAGCCAACCGTCCCGTTTCCATGCGTATTCTACACAACGAAGCCTTCATGTCTCGCCGTTCCGTTCCCTTGCGCAAACCGGACAAAAGACATCAAGGCTAGCATCCCGCTTCTTCGCATCCTCGAGTAGCAATGCAATATCTCCTACAAGTCCCGCGGGAGAAGAATATATCAATCCGTACAAGGCTAAGCGGGTATGGCCACCGGACATGTCCAAACTATCGCCAAAACAACAGTTTAGACTGGAGCGGAAATACAGACGACGCGCAAAGCTAAAGTGGGCAAGGCCAACTTGGACTAAGTGGACGAAGTTGGTGCAATGGGGCTTGATTGGATGTTCGTGACCCCTTTCATCCGTCGTCTTATGGAAATCGTTCATATGGTGCCCGTTAAGGTCAAAACAAAACTAACCATTTAACCCGTTGTTTACAGTCGTTTTGGTATATGCGGTCTTGTTTATGGAATTGAAAGACGGCGGTACCAATCCGTTCACAGGGGTTAGTTCCTTTCAGCCTTACTCACTCGGCGAACTGCGTGCCATGTCAATTCAGCCACTGACCATAATGTTTTAACAGTTCCGCGAGTACCTATGGGGACTCTTTGATAACTCTATATTGACGGGACGCCGGCCCGCACTTCGAATCGAATCTACTTCCCAGGTAGAGAAGTCTAAAACCCAGTAAGAGAGTATAATTGACTCAGGCTCTCATTGTACGAATATATATTGTCGGTTGTGTCTGATATTAGCGATATTCTCCATTTATACCATATCATAGAAGTATTCTTCGTTTGCATTTGCAAAAATTGTCCAGGGAGGCGTTGGGGCTGTCAACCTCTACTCGTCAACGTCCACCGCGACGACATCATCTTCGTAGGATAAAGTGTCTGGAATTATAAGATCTGTATTACCTGGTTAAGCACTTCTATTAGGCTTACGTTTCGAGGGCGATGAAACTACTCATGCCGAGAGGTCTGTCATAAATAAAAGCCGGTGAATACTTTTTGTCTAACTTACTGTATCTTCGAATTTTCATGTCAAATTTTATAATCTAAGGGCCACTTGGACTGAAGTTCCCCCTTTGCAGGCGTCTGTCAATATAACATTTATTTACTTCGGGGTAACGGTATAAGTAAGCCAATTATGCGGGGTTGCAGATCGAACAGCCCCAACTTCAGCCCCGAGATAAGCTCCTCCAATACTTCTTCTAGGTTGACCGCAACTAGAGATCCATCTTCATCATTTATCGAGATCGAAAACCATTTGAATCCCTGGCTCCGGCTGAAACTACAACCTTTTCTCCCAAGATGGCAGCTCGTATAGTAAAAGTCGGGATCATAGGGTTCGTCACTCAATATAGCGAAACCATTTACTTCCAGTTACATTATGCTAACGACTCCTTTTATATTTAACCTGTAGCTGTGGTGAAGTGTCCCAGGTGATACATATACCAAACTTCCAGAATTTATCGGACACATTCATAGTCACCTATCTATGTGACGTTTCAGCAGGAGCTCTGGAGCACTGCAAGAACAAAATCGTCAACCCCAGCCTTCGGACGACGAAAAATGCGGAAGAGCTGTGTCAGTCACAGGATGTTGACGTCGTTTTCATTGCTAGCAACGATGCCTACCATGTTGCCCATATCCTACTCGGCCTGAGATATAACAAGTTTGTATTTTGTGAGAAACCAATGGCCCTCTCACTAAAGGACGCTGAAACCGTCTTAGAAGCAGAGAAGAGCTCGTCAGGCCGAGTTATGGTTGGGTACATGAGACGGTATGCTGGAGCTTTTCTAGACGCTATCAAAGAAATCGGTGGAATAGGCGGCATCTCTCACGCAACCGTCCGTGACATCCTAGGCCCAAACTCCTGCTTTATTTCACAGTCCGGAACTTTCCCCAAAAAGTTTTCAGACCATAGTGATAATGATGCGGTTGAGCTTGCTAAGAAAACGGGCGAAGCTCTAGAACAAGCATTGACTGTTGAACTCGGCATTCCTGTCAATCCAACAACTGCAAATATGTGGAAACATCTTACGGGGCTGGCTTCCCATGATCTAAGCGCCATGAGAGAGTGCCTAGGGACTCCGCACAAGGTCCTAGGGGCTTCAATTTGCTTAGAGACAGGCCCTCAATTCTGGAGGTAAGATTTGGGACATCGTTTCTAGAACTCTCTGGTATAAAACAAGAGATACCACAAGTAAGCGGGCTAACTATTTGCAGTGCCCTATTTAAATATGCGGGGTTTGCTGTCTGTTATGAATCGGGCTGGGACGAGATACCACGGTTTGATGCAAGCATCGAAGTGTTTGGAAACACAAAAACAGTGAAAATATGCTATGATACCCCATATGTTAAGGGGCTGCCAACCACAATGGTCGTTCGACAGCTTGGTCCCAACGGCGAGTATATCGAATCCACCGTTCGAAAAACATATGAAGATCCATTCACCCTGGAGATGAAGGAACTCTACGAGGCCGTTGTGGATGAGAAGAAGATTATCAAAACGACGGCGGCAGATGTAATGGAAGACATTAAGATTTTTCAGATGGTGATGAAGACCGGATATGCGCAATTATTATAGGCTTGTCGAATTTTATCTATTTACTAAGTATCTATTTATGATAGATTGAGTATGGTGATCTTCTAAGCCCTCTTTCAACAGCCGGACCTGAAACACACACCCTCTGCTTCCTTATATGGACTATGCCGGAAGGCGCCTTGCCTTGCCTTGCAACTCTATACCCTCTCGCCCTACAGCGAAGCGAGTGAAGTTTGCCAGGGCTTGATTAAGCACCTTTTGCTCTTTAGAGAATATCCCAACAGAGACCCAACAGAATATCCACCACCGTACCTTGGCCAACAGGCCCCAGCTCATGGGAACACTGAAGTTCTGCATACACACATATTCAAAGTATATAGGATACCAGCCGGATTCATCCCAATCCAGGAGCCAGAGACGGAATTTCTCATCGATTATTATGTTTCTGGGCGCGAGGTCTTGGTGCGAGAAGGTCAAGGGGGTATGCCGGTCTGGCTCGAATCGTGGAGTACTGGTCGAAGCCCTATAAGCCTTGCGTTGCCGTGACGGGGTGATGTTATACCAAAATCGTACAAAAGCGGTAATGGTTTCAGAGCTGGCGTGAGGTGGGATACCATAATAGGTGCCTAGCCACATGGACCTGCATTTTCCGTCGGAAAGTGATCCAGCAGTTTTCGACGTCAGGGTTCGCATCCGACGAACAAATCGTCGTAATTGAATGGCTAGCAGTAACGACCTAGGCCAGCTGAGAGACACCCAGGCCTCTTCTAGGGTGTGGCCCCTGACTCGATCCGAAATAATATAGATGTTGTCGTGCTTCTTGCTTTCTACCACTCGTTGGATACGGGGCACCGAAATCCCAAGCTGTCTTGCCCGTTTTATTGCCCTGAGTGCGCCACTCTCTTCGCCGCGTGGATACCGTTTGGCGACCAGGTTTGGGGAGAGGAAGAACAGACTAGAAGATCCTTGGGATACTCTGGATCTATTAATATGATAGACTAGGGTCTCCTCCTCATATCGATGGAGCAGGTGTTCTTCGAACTTGGCACACATTGTAGCTGAGGCATGTACCCTGCCTAGCCTCAGGATCAAAAATTAGAAGGTCATGTAGCATTGTGTGCCCTTTGAGTGGGAATTGCAACGAATAGGGTGCCAAAATGCCCTGCTCGAAGTAACGGATACCTTATCACGTGGCTTCAGCTGCGATGGCGTAAAGTGTATAAAAGCAAATAGGTCCTTGATTTTATCCCTTAATAATAAAATAATAACCCGGAGTGAAAAGCTATAGGCAGAAATGCTAAACAATAAGCACAATGCGGTTCAATCTTGCAAGGAAAAATGATATTAAGAAAAATAACTCCGGAGGCATAAACATATTCCAAAAGAAGTATAGAGAACAAGAAGAGAAAAAGTGAAAAGGTCATAAAGTCATTCCAGTAGTGGGAAGGGTTGGGGTCGTTAATCATATCCATCTCATTTGTGTTTGGATGGGTTTTTGGGTCGGGGTTCATTCGTCTCATCGGCATGTATCTAGGTTAGTCATGCACAGCCGTGAAATGACTGTCATCCCGAGAAAAAGAGAGTATGTAGTTTCAAAATACACCTGGGGTAGCATCATCGTCTAGTCATTCAGGGTAAATAATATGCATCAAATCATCAATGCGGACAAGGAACTAAGGAAATTAAGGAAAATGAAAGAGAGGACGTCATAGCCAATCACCGCTTGACTTTCTCTGGTCTGGACTTGTAACACCCACATTCAAGTCTAGCCGTGGTGGAGCTTCGCTCACAATTCCGGGTTTCTTCTTTGGGCTCTGATTGCCCGTTGCCTTCATGGGACTGCTTGGTGGTGCATCCCGTGGAGGTCCTTCGCGAACGAACTGATAGTCCCATCCGTCTTCAGCAGCTGCGGCAACCCAGACCTTCAGACCGGCATGAAGTGCGGGATAGAATTGTTCCTTGCATGTACGAAGGCTTCTTCCCATCACTTTTTCAAAGCCAGATGCTTTTAGATCTGTCCTGAGGAGGTTGCGTTCTTCAGCCGTTGGCATGGATGCAATGATTCCATTCATGAGGTCAAGATGATTTGCAAGATAACTGGTAGCTTCCCACTCGACTCCTCCAATATATGGAGCAGCAGGGACAGGAGGATGGGGTGGTGGGAAATGTCTTTTAGAATAGGGCTGAGAAGGGTCAATAAGTCCATCTTCCAATGCTGTAACTGGCACAACATTATAGTGGTGTAGGAACATCCAGAAGACTTCTTTAGTAACGTTGGTCACTTCTTTGCACCAGACTCGGTATGGTCGAGGTTGGTAGATATCGGCAATAAATGAGAGTGGTTGTGCTGTTTCTGGTGGTGCAGGGTCGCGCATATAGGAGAGAATAGTATGAGCACGAGATACCTGCTCATCAGGACCAGCAGTGGAGAGGAGTGTGAATAATAAGCTGATAATTATTCCGCGAGTGCTGAATTCGCTGGGGCCTTTCTTATCATCGTCGAAAAGCATTTGTAATAAGGTAGAGAAAAGATGACTTTCTATGGAGCGTAGGTGGTTTAGGGCCGGTGTGGTCGTGCACAATGCTTTCAAGCATAGTAGCACTTCATGCATGAGTGTATCTTCGTGTTCCTCTCTAAACCGATACATTAGTAATGTGTCTATTTCTCGGCGCTCATCTCTCAACTTACCTCCATTCTACTTTGATAATTCTGTAAAGTAGCTGTATGAGTTCATCCATACCACCGCAGGACATGAATTCTTGGACCCAGGCTACTGTTTCATTTCGTAGCAAGATGCGGAGTTTGTGTAGTTTTGTAATCTCGACAATCTCCGGCTTCTGTACTTCTTTGAGGTAATGAACAAAATCCGAAGGTTCGTCGGCATCTTTGGGTGTCCGGATGTATTGCAAGGAACTAAGCACAGAAGCAGAGATTCCACGAGAAGAGGAGCTTGATGGTCGGGAGAAATCCACAGATTTAGGGCGTTTGGAAGAAGACGTAGATTCTGGTTTCATCTTCTTTAGTGGCGAGGAGTCGGTCTTGGTTGTGAACGTACGACTTCGAGGCCGTGTCTTAGAGCTAGACTTTCCTCGACTTCCACTTTCGGAGGCCTTTTCAGCCTCCTTGTCGGCGTTATTACTGCTGCTGAAAAAGCCAAACCTCTTTTGAGTAGATGCTGATGGGGCGGATGGTGTCATTTCATGCTTCGTTACGAAGTCAGCTTTGATATTAGTATCTAGCGCCCTCATCTTATCGCGCATATTGAGTGGGATGTTCCGAGATTCCTAGAAGAAGGAGTAAGTAACGAGCTTGACAATAGCGAGTGGCCAAACTAACCAATAGTTGTTCAAATGCACTTTCGATAGCGGCAGATTTGGGGTCCTCCTGTTTAGCCGGTGTAGCTGTAGCTGATTGATCCTTGGCATTGAAAGCCGCAATTGCCGCCATGACCCGGGAGCTTCTACGTCCGTTTGAGACTCTCCTTTTTGCTGGAGCCTCGTCCGATTTGGCTGAGCTATGTGTGCTACTACTAACGCTGCTTTTCCGTTCATGAAGGTTTGCGTTGTGTGGTCCTAGGGGGCTTGGCTTTCGACCCGTTGCTAGCATCTCCCTGACACCGGAAGCGCTAGATGGGATAGAATCTGATCTACGTCGTGCCTTGTCAGAGCGTGTAAGGCTTGGTCGCTGGTAATCGTGAAAGTTTCTCTGCTTTGATGGCGAGTACCCCTGGGGAGTATAGAGTGACATCTCCTCGGCCACTGTCCTTCTATTTTCTGGGACATAACGAGAGCCTGAGCTGTCCTCTGAGGGCATGCGTGAGGTATAAACACTTGCACTAGATGCCGTGTCGTCATAAATCTCGGTGGGGCAGAAATTTTCTTTGTCCCTGGATCCAGAGTTTTTGTCCTTTGGGCCACGCTGGTGTTTCCTGAATAGAGATGATAAACTGGTGGACGACTTTGTCTTCTTTGGCTTATTTCGCTTTGGAGGTTCTGGTTTTGCCGGTTCCTTTTGAGGCTGCTCCTTCGTGCTCTTGTCCTTTAGGAGAGACTTCAGAGATAGCGTGCTTTTAGTTCTCTTATGGAGTGCCTTTCCAGGCGGGTTGGCATTGTTTGACAAAGGAGATCTGGAGCTCGAAGTGGCCCTATTCGTCTCTCGCTCGGAGAACTGATGCTGGGGACGAGAGTGGGGGTGGTCGGCGGGGAGAAGACAGTTGGTCACCATACCATTGGGGACAGAACTTCCAATAACGGGATCATAAGCAGATTTGCTTCTTTTATGTCCACTCGAGGGAAGAATTGATCTCAAGGCCGATACCTTGGAGGAGTGAGGGCGGGAATCGCTAAAAATCGACGTCATGTTTTGGGCTATGAATAGTCTGTTGTCACTGTTAGTATATAGTGTTTTGAATGGTAGAATGGGCATAGAGCAATGAACCAACCACGCTGGGGATAGTGATCTCTTAATTGAGTGTTGTTGACGGCAGCGAGACAGCTAGAAGGGAGTATCGACTCTCTCTCCTGATGATGCTGGAGTAGAGAGAGAGATCTGATTCTCGGTGACTGGCGTTGTTTATCGTGTCTGCACAGGCCGTTCAAGGTGTCCCGGGTAGAGGTAAACAACTGACGATGCAGGATAGAGGATGGAGGAAAGCGTATAAATACAGACGCAGAGGAGAAAAAGTACGCTTGAGGCCGTCCGCAAATCACCATGGACCGCTTCACTTCGGTCCTGCGTCGCGGCGCCGTCGAAGTTCGTTGTCACAGCAACCGCGCACTTAGATAAGCGCGATGAGTAAGCGCCTCTATACAATCGTCGACCGCATATACATTCAGTCCTTTATACCACTTTTTTGTACGCAGTATTTATTTGTTTACTCCCGCTTTCACGATGGAAATTGTTTACGTCGAGGGTGTCAGGCGGTGGCACTGTGTAACTGGATGAATGTCCTGATTGTTGACGGGCGCAAACCGGGAAAACTGGCACTATGGTGACGGTGGTACCTCTCGAGATGGCATGATAATAAAGCTACGGCGTGGAGGATCGGAGGAATTATGTGATACAAGATCTCATGCCTCCAGATGTTACATTTTAAGCAGCAGAAAAAAGAACAAAGCGCTAAGCATAACGAGAAAAAGAATGTCCCTGTCCAACGCCATTTATTATTAAAAAAAAAAAAAAAAGGGAGCCGCGCCAAAGAGAACGATCAGCCACCAGCGACCTCCTTCACCTTATTCTGCTCCGGCGGCTCGTCGATAAACTGTGGAGGACCGACCTCATCCTGCATAAAGGATGGAATCGCCTCCTCTCCGCCCATTGCTTGTTCGAACATCGCCTCCTCGCCAAGCGCCTCCAGCTCGGCGTCTAGATCTGCTTCGTCGACGTCCTCGGGCACATCATACGCCCGGCTGATGCTGTCCTGGATCTCGTTCCCGATGTCCATCAGGTCCTGCATCTCATCCTGCATGCGCTCGATCTGGTCGATGTCCACCTTCCCGTACTGCTGCTTTAGAGACTTAGTTGTAGTCTTCATCGCGTCGACGGTCGTCATGACATTGCGTAGGTTATCCTGCATCATCCCAGCCTGTTCCATGTTCCACGACTGCTGCGATAACTGGTCACGCTGGCCTTCGTATCGTTTCCGCTGCTGTAGAACTTTCAGTGCTTTCTGTCTGAGAGCGCTTTTGCCAGGCCCGTCACGCATCTTTGACATCTTCGTCTGGTAGGCCGTGAGCTCAGAGTTTAGAGCGGCTAGTTTGACGTCTATACTTGATATGCGAGAGTCGACCTGATGCCCATGTTAGTTTCAGCCTGGCTGGTATAATATTGACAACGCGGGGTAGCGGACGACGGGGTGAAGACACATACACTCGTAATGGCTCCCTCCAGTGTCGGCTTTGGAGCCGTGCTCTTCGTTCCAAAAAGCCGGTTCATCCTGAGCTATTAGTTGTATTATTGAGACTATCTCCAGTATATTGATCCAGCAGCTGTATCCTCCGTTCAAGGCTGTCGTGGCGTCTCCGGGTTGAACTTTCTGGCCAGGCGTTCTCCTGTAGCCCGTCTAGTGTCTTTCAAGCTATTCAGTATTCAGTATTCACTATCCAGCACCAGCATCAGCATCAGCATAAGCATCCGGTGTAGAGGTTCGTCAAGGCAACCGTGAGGCGAAATCAGATAAAGTAGATAGTGCCACGTGACGCCTCCTTCCTGTGGGGCGTCGCAGTCGAGATAACTTCACTTTCACATCAAAGGTGACTTGCCTGCGCCGTGAACACACCTCCGTCCCCAGCTAGCCCGCTACGTTTGTCTCTGGTCGCCAGCGTGACACCGGCAGGATACATGTTGAGCATCATTGTTCCTTTTTCGCACCAGATATATTACCAGCTAGCGCCGGAATCGTGCGATCTATTCCCCGGCAACGGTAGTTATCTTGCCTGATAGCGCCAGCGAACCAAGCACCACCACGCCAACCGGAACGCGAGAACCGGAAGCTTGAAGATCCCACGCTCTTGAAAAAGTACCTGATACACCTGCAGCTTCCCCCTTCCACCTGGATGTTCATCTTCTATATAGTGCCCCTTTCCATCTGTCAGGTACGTCATACGGAAACTAGCCGTTCAACCGTTCAGATGGCTCTCTCTGTCTCCCGATCCGACAGCAGACCTGCACACACGCTGGTCCGGGCCGAATATATTACCTTCTGTTGCTAACGGCCCCATGTAGCCTTAGGTCTCTTCGTCGTGTAATATCTTCCCCTCCCTCGATCAATGCGAATCTACGGACGATCCTGGACAGAACCCCAAAGCCCTCGGCCGCCGCCCGTCGACCATATATTCTAGAATACTCTAACGCCGAACCCTTGTGCATATATTTCCACCGTTCTACCATTCCGGATCCGGAATCCAAAACGACGCAGACATTCCAGCGATACCCGGACTGTTTTTCGATGCATAACGAGTTTCGTATATTTTACCGGCAAATCGAATATTCATCATGTTCTGGAAATATGGCGGCTACGCCAATGTGTCGCCCATCAACTCGCTCCTTGATAAACCCGACGTTAAGGTGGAGGACATTCTCGACGAATCGGACCTAATGCAGGAGCTTAAGCAACATAATACAAGATTGATAGAGTATTTACGTGATGACCATGTTTTGAGGAGATTGTTTGATATCATTATCTCCCCAAGTCTTATCGACGATGACGACCACAATGATTATGATAATAATGAAGAGGGGATTGAAACGAAGCCTGACGAGGACAAGAAAGAACCAGAGCCTACGGAAGAAGCTGATGAAGGCCAAATCCAGCTTTCGGAGTTCCCCAAAATATCGCCAAAGGCGAGCCGCGAGCCTAAAAACCTAGAGGAGGCGGAAAAAAATCGGCTAAAGTACGCATATATTGCCTCGGAGGTATTGTCGTCGCCCTCATGGTCGGTCATTGAAGCCATGGTGGAAAATGAGGATGCTCTGCGAAGCTTTTGGCAATATATGTTCAGAAAAGGAGATTTGGATTCTGTGCAAACGAGCTACTTTGTAAAAGTCAATGAAGTATTGTTGGACCAGAAGACGGACGTTATGCTTGCCTTCATAATGACTATGGACAATGTCATTCCGATGCTACTGCAACATGTTGACAACCCATTGGTTATGGATCTGGTCTTGAAGATAATCACTTTGGACAAAATCGACGAGCAAAATGTAACAGAGGTAAGTTCATGCATATCCGAGATCCCCAACACCTTATCGATTCTAATATGAGACAAAGTGGCTCCAAACCCAGAACCTTATCCCCACTTTCCTATCATATATCTCGCATGAATACCCACCTTCCACTCAGACAGCCGCTGGTGATTTGCTAAAAGCCATTGTGACGATATCTGCAAATGCTGCGCAAAATGAACAGCCATGTATAGGGCCCAACAGCTTGACTCGGCAATTGGTATCTGAGCCATGCATACAGACACTAATATCGGCCATGATTCAGGGCGGGAACCCTCTCACGGTTGGAGTTGGTATCATTATCGATATTATCCGCAAAAACAACCCTGACTATGATCCCGAGATGGCAGAAAATCGCAATGCTACTCCGACCACCCATGACCCAATATACCTCGGTACCATGTTGAAGGCATTCGCCAGCCATGTTCCGCAATTTATGGAATTAATGAACAAAAAAAGTAGATCGGAGGCTTCTCAGCTTGACACCGCATGGGGAGAAACCATTGAGCCGCTTGGATTTGACAGATTTAAGACCTGTGAGCTTATGGCCGAATTACTGCACTGCAGTAATATGTGTTTACATAATGAACCTGGAAGCCATGGAGATATGCAGGCCCGAGACCTCGAGAGAGAACAGCTGCGAGCCGAAGGGTTCCACAACAATCAAGAAGACGAGTCAGGCTTTGTGTATGCAGATGGTACAAATGGCGCCCAGGCTTCGGCCATGGACACCTCCTCTCCTGAAGAATTCAGAAAACCGGAGACTGCCAACACCGGAGAAGATGATGCATTCGAAGAGATCACCTCATCCGGCGTGCTTGTTGACAGAGTTAAGGACTCTGAGAGCGACGGCAAATCTACTGCTGACACGTTCACAAACGTTCCAAAGCTAGGCCTTGGAGACGACTTCGTCGACGAACCACTAACGCCTCCGAATCAAACCAGTACGCCCGACAATGACAACTCTAAGACTGACAGTGGAAAAGCTACCGTCCCCGAGTCCGTTGCATCTCCGACGACATCTAACCTAACAGAAAAAGTAGAAGACATTCAGATTAGCAAAGAAACGGAGGATGCGGGAAAAGAAGAAATAACTTCTAAACCATCTGACTCGTCGGTAACTGCTGCAGGTGCGGAACAACCTCAAATTTCCGATACAAGAGAAACGCCATCGACGCTACCGACACCAGATAGCACCCCAACACTATCAGAGGAAGAAAATGCACACTCAACACCTCAAAACGAGCCCACGCCCGAAGAGTCCAATTATGACGCCGACCCATATATCCAAAGAGAACCAGACGGCAAGCCGGTTGTTGGAGATAATATGAAAATAATGTTCCACGAGCACAAAGTTGTGCCGACGGTATTAGTAAGTTGCTCGACTTGTTCTTATATTTTTTGTTTTGTTTATTTTAGCGGATGTAGTCTCATTTAATTACTAACATTGACACTTCTAGTCTTACTTCTTCCGCTTCCCCTGGAACAACTTCCTTCATAATGTGGTCTATGACATTGTTCAGCAGCTACTTAACGGCTCAATGGAGCAAGGCTTTAACAGGGCTCTAGTCATCGATTTGTTCGAAACTGCTCAAATAACCACGCAAATAATCGAGGCACAACGACGCAGCGAAGAGTCTGAGGCTAAGCATAAAATGAGACTTGGTAACATGGGCCATCTAACGCTTATTGCCGAAGAGGTTGTGAAATTCAGTGAACGTCACCCACGTGAAGTGTTATCACCGCAGGTTATGGACAAATTAACCCACCCTGACTGGATTGACTACGTTGAGCATGCTCTCTCGGATACTAGGGAACGAGAAAATGCCATCCTAGGCGGCGTGAAGCCCGATATTACGATGAGCCATCGACAAGCGGTTCTAAATGCCATCAGCGCCCCCACGGCTCTCCAAGGTCCTTCATCAGCATTGGCTGATGCTGGTCTTAATGGAGGCTTCTCCAGCGGCTTTTCGTTGAATAATCTCAATTTCGACAACCAAGCATCGGCGTCCGGCGGTGCTTTCGGCTTCAATAGCAACCTTAGCGGAACCGGAGTGTCTCTATTTAGCGGCTTTGGCAGCTCGAGCGATGACGAAGATGAGGATATGGAAGATCGGCAAGATCATCATGATTCCCAGACAATTGGGTCAGGCCTTGTAAGTCTAAAATATGGTGATGATGGTTGGTTCGAAGATATTGATATGAGAGACGAACAGTAGAGGCCTCCTCTATATGAGTGCAACGTTTCTCAAGTTCATTAACTTTCATTTCCTGATATATATATCCATATATCACGGAGATATCTAGAGATATTATATTTTGTTTTTGGGGATTTCTATGGCTTAGGATTCGGCTTATATCAGCCTCCCCTCAACTATGGATGTTATTAGTATCTCGCTTCTATGGCATCAAATTCAATCCTGTTTAGTTAAGGTTTCCTGGCTCTGTTGGCAGATTCACTTCTGTCTACAGGTCTTCGTAACCTATACTTCTAACAGGATATTATCATGCTGCATGTTCCACCTACCTTCTATGTTGATGCTGCTACCTCCTGTTTTATATTATACGCCTTGTTGATTCATGTTCTCTCTCGGTTACGTTTACCTTGGATATTCTACGAGCTAACAAAAATGACTCAAAACAGGCAAGCATATTCGACAACTCAGAGACTCAGCCCATCCCAATTCTTCCACCTCCCCCAGCCCCTCTAAGTACTGGACCGTCGCGTGCCCGACGCCAACTTGCGGCACGACTCGCTCTCCAAAAGCAACAAGCTCTCGAGGCGGCTTCCGGCTCCGCCGCCAATGAGCATCCAGAGCAGGATGGTGAGAGCTCCCATGGCAATGCCGATAATCGAAGCGTGAACAGCACTGACGATGTTTCATATGCAGCCTTTCCGACAGGAGAGAATGGTTCAAGTAAACCTGTCCACGATTCTTCAGGAACCTTACCTGAAGGTATAAAGCCGCAGGGTTCCTTGTTTTCTGGTTTTCAGACAGTGAGCGGATACTCGGACAGCTCATCCGATGAAGACGGTAGTCTTCCCATGGAAAGCGTCGAACGGAAATTCCGCCTCCCCGTGGATGCATTCGATGACGACGATGAAATGGGCGATATGGTTGGGCCTTCGACCTCTTACTCCGATGAAGACGACGAGACTATAATACAGGAAGCACTAGGCTATTCAACCTTTTTAGGCTCCGGTCACACCCTCGAGGACACAGGTTATCCAGAGGAGAGAGAACTTACCCCGGATTCTGCGAGGGATCAGGATAACAGTGACGGAGAGGATGATGGTCTCGTGGAGATATTAGTACCTGGAAAGAGATCGGTGACGAATTAAGCCTCAGTCTAGTATCTGTCGTGCCTTCAATCATTCAAACCCATTTAGCGAGCCTCATTGTGTAAGGCGTGTTATCTGAACCCATATATGGATTTACAACAGTCATACCTCAATCCTCCCTTCGGGTACATTCTTCCAACTATCTGTGTCTATTCACCCTTCTCTGTACAATACTTATACCCCTTCCACATTCTGTACTCTTTTTTGAGTCACTTTTCTATATTTCCGCTGTGCATATGAACTTTCATCAATTTTCCATTTGTTTTCAATGTCTTGTTATCCAACAAGACAACCAAAGGGGTCTTGTGATGTTTTTATTTCGCAGATTGACCGCAAGATAGTGGTAAATACACTGGAGCACATACACTAGGCATGAAGTCCGAGTAAGACAATGAGTTCCCAACATTCGCTACAGACACAAGTGGTTTCGGCTTCCGCGTCGAGCTACCTAGACTTACCCGTCTAAGATGCGCTTGCTACCCTTAAAATCCCTGAACAAAGGGGTTTGTTAGAAATTTTTTGTTATCTGATTCCTTGTTATAATCTAGAGGGCATTCGGTGTTTATAACTCAATAGGAATAATAACCGAGGGGTGTGAACTGGTCTATGTATCAATTCGCATGGCTGGTACTAGCAACCTGCTGGGAGCTGAGGGAGATAGAAATAGCTCTCAGTAACCATCTGGACATGCCCATCTGAGATTTCCCCTGAGACCATCTCTAGCGGTTCTTTCATAACTGTAACCTCCTCTTCTTGAACCACACAAACCGCCCATCTCAGCTTGATTTCAGACAGCCATTCATTGGATGGCCCAATAACCTCTTCTAGCGACGTAAACGGATGGGGTCGTTTTAACTTCGCCTCTCTGATTGCGCTGTATATAGACCGTATTTCGCTTTCTAGCTCTTCGTCAATATCGCCAAAGGTAGCCTGTAAATTGCCCACCGGATACCAGCCCATTAGCTGGCTAATATATTCCTCAAGGCGCTTAGAGAGAAGGCCCGCTAAAGCCTCTGAGTGTGTCTCCGGGTGATTTGGTGCATTTTTCTTTGCTTCATTCGCCCCGGCACAAACAAGGAGAAATATACTATATGTCAATGTATCAGATGGGAGGCCACGGTCCGAGGGGTCAATGGCCTCATCAATAAAGCTGGATATTTCCTTGATAAAACCCGCAACAACTTTTTTCATATTCGGCGAAGGTATCAGCTCTACCACATCACTGCCGAGGAATAGTTCACCTCGCTGCTCAAGTATAGATCCTGATCCTCTAATGATCTCCTCAAGGCGCTCGCGTACAGGCAACCTCGGAATGTAAAAGATATATTTTTTGAGAAGGGATTCCAACACATCAGGACTGTGTAATTTTGCCCGAGCGATTGCCCATTCACACACTATTAAACCAGTCATATAAACTGACCACTCGCTCTGTCGGTATATCTGTGCATTTTTCTGCTTGTCGTTTTGTGGTCGTCCTTCCAGGTAGCCTCCTCGTTTGATTTTGATGATTCGAAATGCAAGCTCAACCGAACCTTGGCATAATGCATTGAGAACAACGCGAGATCCAGAATGGCGCATGTTCGCGTATGTTCGGTCTTCCGTTACTTCGATATTCTGGGATTCTCTGGTGATCACCCTTGTTAAGGCGAGTGCGTCCAGCAATCCTGGCGAGAATACACGTTCTTCCGCAGTGGATACCTCGCTAGACAGCGGGTAAAATACATTGAATAGAAAGCACTTGTCTTCCAATGGATTCCCATGTGGCTCGTAGAATTCTTGATATCGAAACTGCCGAGCATTAGCCAGAGGCGTATCTGGAGGAGCATGTACATTCACATCGCGAAAGTCACATGGATTATCGACGATGCAAAATCCATAGGTTGTCATTACTATCGCGTTTACCAGCAATTAGATGTTGACATAGGAAACATAAAGAGAAAGGGAAGTGAGGGACCATACATTGTTGATTATTGAGTGGCCCGTAGTTATTGTGGATTTCTCCCTCGGCGGGAATACGATCAATCGCTTTCAAGCCTACTTCAGCAGTTTCGGCTCGCCATTCGATTTTCGCCAGCGGCTTATGGTTGGAGGAATCGACGAGGGGAAGCGTAACTTGAAATTCTTCGTCCTGCCGGAGCGCCGGGTTTTTGGAGAGATATGCCTGTAGCACCCTGGATGTAAAAGCACGAGATGCAATTATCGTGTATGCCCAGCAGAAAAGGTCCCTGAAAATTTAGTCCGTAAGTATATAACTCTTCCAAATGCCTAGGGGTGCTATTACCAGCTGGATGATTCAGCGAATGGGTACCCTTCGTCTCGTAGAATAGATATCGCAGAATCATATTCCGCCTTTAACGTTTGATGATGCACTTGACTAGCATGATACAAATTTGTATCTCGTAGCCATTCCAGGTCCTCGCCTTGATAGAAAAGGACTGATGTTAGCTCACTGGTCCGAGGGAGAGTCCTCAGATATGGCCACCAGTGGGAATCCCTCCCTTTAAGCTGCTGGTGCGCCACAAATAACGTAAGGACAACGGTCTTTCTCGCGCTTTGGGACAGTCTATCAGAACAAGGAAAGTCGTGTGGCAGAAGTTCTGGATCCAAGTTCATCACATTGATAATGGAGATTGTTGCAGAGATGGGACATCTAGCCACAAGTGCTGAAGCATCCAGTTTCGCGAGACTTCGGACTCGAAGGCATGCTCCCTTCTCGGCATCTCTATGAATTTCAACTGCGGGATTCAGCCCACCGCCGAGTTGCGTTACCCAGCTAACCAATCCTGCGTCTGCTTCTAGCTTCTGATGCAGTGAAGCTGGCGGGCTATCATATTTGAAGCTGAGAGATAGTTAGCTACTGCCCTCGAAACGCATAAAAATCAAATATACCAACTTGCCTATCGTCCATTATGTTACCGTTAGCCCGTTATATCCAATTATCCGAGTGGTGGGCGGTTACATTTGCATAGGATGTAGTAGTTAACTTGGTTGTGATAGCAAAGTATATCCACCACAATTTATGATACAGTCTAGCGAGCTTCTCTACCATGCTAGACTTATCATTATATTCTATGTCTACTCTTTATGCATATATTTATCTCCATTGAAATTCGTATATTTGCTCTTCTCTACCTATTATCCGAGAAGTCGTCGTCGCACAAAGATGAGCCTATAACTACAGTATCCATCTTACCATAAGCATTAGTATGTATCATCATCCTTATATCACCATCATCCTTATATCATCATTATATCATCCGTATATTATTATCATTAATATCATTATCATCATCCTTATTATTCTCAGATGTAGTGTCATGTGACCCGGCCAATGGGAGGCCGCGCAAAGAGGCTTCTCTGACCACCAACTTCAACCTCACGCAGAAAGTAGACGCATATCCCATCTCCAACACGACGTCTACCATTGGGCTCAATTGGGGTCGAGCAACGAAGGGTGACCTGCCCATCATGATCTCCAGAGCTGCCGTGGCTCCCACAGCCCACTCCCTCCCTTACATCTCGTCTCGCGCCCTGTCCTCCGCCTCCGCCGCAGCTCTCCCTCGCTTGACAACTGCACAGCAATCCGCCGCCAAACAGGCGCCATCCCCGGCGCAGAAGCAGCAGCAGCCTCAGCAATTAGCACAGCAGCAGACGCAGACGCAGCGGAGAGGCTTTGCTACCGTCCAGGATGCCGCTGCCACGCCTCCACCAAGAGTTCACGGTGGATTGAAGGACCAGGACCGGATATTTCAGAATTTGTATGGACGACATCCCCCCGATCTGAAGCACGCGATGAAATGCGGCGACTGGCACAAGACGAAAGAGATCATTCTCAAGGGCCACGATTGGGTGAGTTCCGATGGTCCCGGTTTATTATCTATTGTCTTGGCTTCATATTAGATGGATGTTTGAGACAAAACGAGGACCCGGGCTAATGTCTGTTTTTGCTGGATAGATTATTTCTGAGATCAAAACATCTGGTCTTAGAGGCCGAGGTGGTGCTGGATTTCCTTCTGGCTTGAAATGGGTATGTTTAATTCTTGATCTTGTGGAATGCCGGTTACCGAGTGTTCAGAAAACGTCATCCTCCATTGCGCCGTAGTCATCTAACAATATCTGTTAAATAGTCGTTTATGAACTTCAAGGACTGGGACAAGGATACCAAGCCTAGATACCTCGTCGTGAACGCTGATGAGGGTGAACCCGGAACATGCAAGGACCGTGAGATCATGCGCAAGGACCCTCACAAGCTCATCGAGGGATGTCTCGTTTCCGGACGCGCCATGAATGCCACAGCAGCCTACATCTACATTCGAGGTGAATTTTACGAGGAGGCCACGGTTCTACAACAGGCCATCAACGAAGCCTATGCAGCTGGTCTAATCGGGAAGAATGCTTGCGGGTCTGGCTATGACTTCGATGTTTACATCCACCGTGGAATGGGCGCATACATCTGTGGAGAAGAAACTGCGTTGATTGAGTCAATTGAAGGCAAAGCAGGCAAGCCCCGTCTAAAGCCTCCATTCCCTGCTGCCGTCGGTCTTTTCGGTTGCCCTAGCACCGTCACCAATGTCGAAACTGTCGCCGTGGCCCCCACAATCTGCCGTCGTGGTGGTAAATGGTTTGCTGGTTTCGGACGTGAAAGAAACCAGGGAACCAAATTATATTGTATCTCAGGACACGTCAACAACCCATGTACCGTCGAGGAGGAAATGTCTATCCCTCTCCGTGAGCTGATTGACCGTCACTGTGGTGGTGTACGTGGCGGATGGGATAACCTCCTTGCCGTCATTCCAGGTGGTTCCTCCACCCCCGTCCTCCCTAAGCACGTTTGTGACGACCAAATAATGGACTTCGATGCCCTCAAGGACTCACAATCAGGTCTTGGAACCGCCGCCGTCATCGTTATGGACAAATCCACCGACATTGTTCGTGCAATTTCCCGACTATCAGCTTTCTACCGCCACGAAAGTTGCGGTCAATGTACCCCGTGCCGTGAAGGAAGCAAATGGACCCTGCAAATGATGGAACGATTCGAACGTGGCCAGGCTCGCGAACGTGAAATCGATATGCTTCAGGAACTAACCAAGCAAGTCGAGGGCCACACCATTTGTGCTTTGGGTGAGGCTTTTGCCTGGCCCATCCAGGGATTGATCCGTCACTTCAGACCAGAGCTCGAGGCAAGGATACGTCAGAATGCGGAGGCAAACGGAGGCAAGGAGGTCTTTGCTGGTGGCTGGGCTCCAAACACCCGCCTAGAAGGTAAATTGATCGCTCCCGGACAGTAGATAACGGACGATCCCGGGTTGAAGTGGTTTTTGGGAAAGAGGGTAAACCTGTCTTTTTAACAAATGTATTAATCATTACAAGAAGACCACGCATTGTCACTTTTTGCTCTCCTTGAGCCCTGTATATTGCGGATGGTGGCAACACTTGATTCCCTAGTGTCGTTTTTCGTCATCCATCTGATTCACTTGTTCAAAATATTTGTGCTTTGCTCTCTTTTGCGTTTCATATGTTTTGTTGGGCACTACTATATTTTAGAAATTTTACTATTGTTTACGTTCATCCACAGTATTCGTGTTCAAAATATAATATAGGCTCGAGCAATGGGAGGGATATCTGTATATTCAGGTTCATTCTTTGATGATTCAAACTACCTACTAGCTAGCTATCTATCTAAAAAAATTCGTGGATTTTGGTGTGGGGGGTAGAGGGGCCATATGAGGGGGCATGTAAAAGGGCAAGGGCAAGGGCATATTGTAATAGGACATGTTGCAATGATTGGTGATAATAAAACAGTAGGAGAAAAGGGATAAATAATTAGAAGCATTCGATAGCTGAAACGCCCACATATTATCAAAGAAAAGTACAAAGGGGATGCCGAATGTGGTCATGACGGTTTTAAAATTGTTCAGGGAACGGGAGCGTGATCGGGATTAATGCATTCTTGCCCATTCAACTACTTCCGCCGGCCATGATCGCATTGTAGTAACGTCTGCTAACCTCCGCGGTATGGGTGAGTCGAGCATCCCTAGTCAATGGGAGGTTAAGAATGGTAGATGACTCGATATTCTAATTGACGGAACGTTAGATTCACTTCGGTTATCACGCGTGTTAGACAGGATGAAACTTACATTTCCTACATCTCTTGTAGCCCACCCTGCAACCATGCGACTCATTTCTCTAAATGCAATTCGTTCATGCAAACTTGAGGAAGCAGACTTTTCAACCTTCCCACCAAGATTTGCAAGTGCATTTAGTAAGCGTTTCAGAGGTGCCGGGTCTCTCCATCCTCCCTTCGCATTTACCAGCTGTAGGAAGTCTTGATAGACTGCACCTCCATCCATCCAGTCCCGAACTCTTCTCTCAGGGTTTTCGCCAAATCCTTTAAGCAGAGAAGCAAGGGTATCGTAATCTCGCTCGATGACTGCCTTAGGAGCAACAACACGGTAAAGGGTTCCATGAGCCTCGTTCCAGTGCTTGGCGTGGATAAGACACTCAACTTCACTAGCGATATCACCGGCGGCGCGAGCGTATAGAGCTTTGGAAACCCAAATCCAGGCAGGTGGTATTTGGAGCTCAACCGTAAGGTATGCCCACAAGGAATTTGGGGATCCACCTTCAGTAGTTGGTGTCGGGAGTAAAGCCGCGAAACGGCCCAAAATTTCCTTAACACTTCGCTCACGGTCTATGGGACGAGAGAGATGTAATAGCACAAACAGAGCTGGCGCATATTGTTCAGCCGTCGCAAGCTCCCAAGCAAAGTCCCAGGCAAGCTGGTCTGCTCTTGCTTGATCAACTGCGAGGGCATCATAATGTCCCACAACCTTGGATAAATGATGAAATAGCTGGAATGAGAGTCGGTTGTGCAGTAGGTGGCTAGAAATCGCCATGGGTGTTATAGCTGCGGGCATTTGGATGGGTGCAATTTCTGGATGCGTTCCGTTGTTCACGGCAAGCGTATAAGACTTCAACAAAACCCATAGAGGAGACTCGCGGCCGAGTGGCTCATTAGTCGCTTGTCCATTAGAGCCTTCAGTATTCACAGTGAGTGGGTGTTCAGGTTCACCCTCATGATACACGTCATGGTGGAATAAAGTCACCGCATCCTCAAGCGGATCATCGTCTGAAATGCCATACCACAATCGTAGACCAAATGCCTGGAGCCAATCAAGCTCAAAACGATCCGAAATGTTGAATGTTGAAATTCGCTCCTCTGGAGGCCCGTTTGGCTTCCCCTCACTGCGAAGACAGTTTCCGGCGAGAAGTTCATAGATTGCTCGGATCGGCTCGCTGATTTCACAAGAGATACCACCCTTACGCCAAGACTCGATTTGACCTCGCATAGCATCTCTTGTACCTTCGTCACGGCCAATCTGAGAAACAAGAGTTGCCAAATGTGGATTTCCAGACTCAATAAGGATCTTGCATGCTTCCTCGACACGGTGAGAACACAGGTATGCAACAGCACGCTCTTCAGGCGTTTTGAGATCACCGAATCCGCCGGGATGGTAATTGCGGATTATTGTCTCCCACAATCGGCTAAGACGGTCTTTCTTGATCCGATGCTGGTATTGCTCGCGAATTTGAGGAGGAACACCATCTGAAATATCATCCTCCAAACCGTCATTGAACAAGATATTAGCCAAGTTCCATACCCATCTTTCAATGTCTGCTTGCTTGGTGTTGTCTGTAACAGACTTAGCCAAGGCACCGAAATCGGGAATGGCCAAAGATGCGGAGGGTATATTGTCAACCAGACGAACGACTGATTGAGCTTTCTGTAGCTGCAAAGGATTCTGGGACTGTAAGAGTGACAAGTTAGTAAGTAACTAGGAAATTGGTTCCCACAACTTAGGATAAGATACGTACCTCTGCGGTCTCCTGTTCAAACTTGGTAATAGTCACCAACTTTTTCTCTCCAATAGATGGCCCATCAGAGTTGTTGCTTGGGAGGAGGACCTCGTCGAGTGGGCCCCATCTTGCCTTGATTGAATTATGAAACATCGTATCGGATTCTGACATTTCGCCTGGCTTGCCTGCAAAGGTCTTGGGTTTTTTAGGGTAGGGCCACTATAATATAAGAAAAATCTTAGTAAACGTCCATATTCATTCTTGCTAAGTACACGACAAATTAAGCAAAACATTACTAAAGTACATTCTGGTTCCACATGATATGAAAAATATTGATTTGAATAGAAATAACAAACTGGAAGGGAGTCAAACCTCTAGACCGCTTTTAGCTTTCGATGATTGAGTAGGAGTGGAAGAAGCTCCTTGTCGTTGTGGTTGTCGGAACAATGAATTCATAAGATCAATACTGGTTATGAACTGTGTTGGGCGCTCTTCAGTACGTTTCAATCCATTGGTCGGGCTATCCTCGTCGTCCCTATCCATAAAGGCTCTATCTTGGGCTTCTCGTAGTGCTTGTCGGTCTTGCTTTCGTGGACTGATAGTTCGTTGAAGTTGTTCAGCCCAGTTGCCCTTAAGGTTAAGGTCTGCGGTCTTGGTTGGGGTGCCGAATCGAGGCATGGATTGGAACAAGTGAGATTTCTTTTGGGGGCCAGTCATGGTAAGCTCCACGGTTTGGTCAGGGATTGGGAAAGAACCAGCCATTTCCATATCCTCGTCCCTGTCCGATTCAAGTTCTGATGCAGATGCTGACATGCTTTCAAGCTGTCCTTCACTGCCATTAGTAACTGAACCCGCGGAGCCGTCCTCTAAAAAAGAATCCTGATCTTCTTCATCTTCGGATCCCATATCTTCTTCTACCACCTGCATCCCATTCGCCGCTGGATGAGTATAGGCTCCGGGAACGACCTTTTTTCTCTTAAATTCAAAAGTATCATCTTCCACCCCAGTAATTGAATCACCGAATAAAGAGCCCTCGATACTCATGGAAACGTCAAAATTGCGCGTGCTCGACTGCGTGGGGGTCTGATCATTTGAAGCGACAGAGTCAGGAGGGGCACTCAAAGTGCTTTGATCAAAGCTCTCACCTTCATCCTCGTCATCATAATCAAGTCCATAAGTCGTAAAATGAGGCACTGTGAAGATCCAAGTACCAGTCTCCTTCTCGTAATCGATGAATTCGGTGTTTGCAACCTCCTTCAGACGGTTGATATGTTTATCGAAGGTTGGGCCAGTCGTAAATGGCGAAGGGCTTCTCTTATCTCTACCGCGAGGCCAAGAGTTCTCAATGCGAAGAGTGGAGGGCATGTTCAAACCCTTGCCGCGAGCAGGTTTAGTCGCCTCATCCGGATAAACGGTGATAGACCGAATTGAGATTTTAGCAATTTTATCGAAGATGTCGTCGAGGTTGACGGTAGTGAGGTCAACTGGTCGGTTAAACGTAACGGATCCACAGCGGACACGGCCAACAGTGAAATTAGTAACCTGCTTTTGCTGCTCACGCGTCATTTTGTTGATTTCGGCGCGAGTCGGTTTCATCCAGTATTCACCAGGCTTAGGGTCGGCATTAGGCACGACAACAAGAGTCTTGTTGGCTGGAGTGGTGACTGTAGCTTGTTCGCCATTCTCAGGAACTGAGGCTAATTCCTTGCCACGAACTTGCTCCATTTGTGGACTACCTAAAGTAGTAGAAGACTCGCTTGAAACTCCGTTGGTGACTTCCGAGCTCTTAGAAGCCGAAGCTGGGCTGGCGGGAGGTTGCTTACGAGCAGATCGTAGGAATCCCAGTTCTTCGGGTGTTGGTTCAGCACTTTCAGCTTCAACACGAATAATGGCGCCGTTGGGCTTATCAAAGGAGTCACCTGGGGCAACAGCATCATCAAAGCTGACCTTCTTCTTGAGCTTGCTTGATGATGATGGTGCACTTTCGTCACCATTGGTCAAAGCTGGACGAGAAAATAAATCTGTACGCAGGCTGCGGTCAATTGTCAATCTCTTGAGACTTCCACTCGAGTGTCGAGAATTTCCAGCAGAGAACGCTCCTGGAGAGAGAATGCTATCAGTCTCGGGGTCCCAGGTCTTTCGGAGGCTGCTGCTAGTCAAGCTTTTGCCAAAGTTTCGGCCAAGACTTCCGCTGTTTCTCAAACTTCCTCCAAAGAGGCTGCTGTTTCCAGGGGTGCTGGAAGTGCTGGAGGGACTTCCATAGCTAGAGTAGCTAAATCCATAGCCTTGACGCGTGGGAGGGGTAACCAGACGGTTCGCGGCAATGGGTGAAATTTTGTACATGGGCAATGGAGTGCGCTGCTTTTGTTTAAGGCTAGCGGAGAGGGGAGTTGCTAGTGGACCTGGAGATGGAGTGTTTGGTGGAGGCAGGCCGGAGAAGATGGATTGGCTACCGTATGGGTTACCATCGAGAAGAGATGCTTGGAAGCCAGAGGTTGACTGTTGCTGCTGTGGCTGCTGCTGAGATTGACCAAACAAGCTGCTTCCTCCAGTTCCAAGCCCTCCTGTCTGTTGTTGTTGAGTACCCTGGGTAGAGCTTCCTAGGCCGAATATGCCCGAAGACGCAGGCGCCGAGTTAGATTGCCCGAAAATTCCACCACCTTGGGTAGGGGTAGAGCCGAACAAGCTCCCGGGCTTCTGCTGTTGTTGGTTTCCAAATAAGGAGGTACCTTGCTGCGCAGGCTGGCTAGCACCGAGACCGAAGCTAGGGGTTCCTGATGTTGCGGTATTAGTACCGAGTCCACTAAATAAACCACCAGGTTTCTGCTGCTGTTGGTTTTGCTGGTTTCCGAAAAGTCCGCCGGTAGTGCCTTGTTGATTCTGCTGGCCGAAGAGGGATGATCCTTGCTGTTGTGTATTATTTCCGAACAAAGAACCGGTTCCCGAAGCCGTGGCGGTATTTCCGAAAAGCCCTCCTGTAGATTGTTGCTGTTGAGGCTGGGTTTGACCAAAGGTGCCGAATGCCGAGGGTTTGTTCTGATTCTGGTTCTGGCCAAATGACCCAAAGGCGCTTGTTCCTTGTTGCTGCTGGCCACCAAAAGCGGATGTGGTTGCAGTTGTTCCGCCAAAGGGTGAGGAATTGCTTGTGTTTGTTTGGGTATTACCAAATCCGGTCCCTAAGGTAGGGGTTGAGGTTGTACCAAATCCGGTAGGTTTTTGCTGGTTGTTCCCAAATAAGCTACTACCTGTGTTACCGCCGCCAAAGGCATTAGTAGTTGAGGTACCAAATCCTCCGGTGTTCGTAGCAGTGCCGAAGCCGGTAGATTGGGGTGTAGTAGATGATTGGCCGAACAGACTAGTGGCCGGTTTTGTCGCTCCAAACAGTGGGTTGGTAGAGGTACTAGCACCAAAACCCGTGCTCTGCGTCTGGTTCGTGCCAAATCCAGAGGGGGCTGGAGTCGATCCACCAAAAGGAGATGAACTAGCTGCTGCCGCACCGAAACCAGTCGAACCCTGTTGTCCAAACCCGGAGAAAGACCCAAAGGCACCAGGCTGACCGCTAGCATTGCCGTATCGTCTACCTTGTTCGTAATCGGCGACTCGTAATTCCTACTCAATATTAGTTCCCGTGCCTTAAAACCTAACACGATGTTCTAGATAAGGAAATGACTTACTTCAAAAGAGTATTTCTGGTAGGGTGCCATAAAACTTATGCTTTGATAATTGCTGGTGTTTGAGGAACCAGGATCCTTTTCAGTGAAAGGGCTGAATGTTGGATTGGCTGTCCCTTGGGATGCGGGAACCGCCCCGGCAAGAGCAGTTCCACTGGCACCAAATCCTGTGGTGCCGCTTGCTGCGCCAAACCCTGTACCAGTGTTGGTAGCTGGGCTGGACGTCGTAGCACCTCCGAATATGCTGCCACTTTGATTGTTAGTCGCTCCGAAACCAGTAGTAGGTTTGCTGCCGAAAAGTCCACCGGTGTTCGAGGTTGTGCCAAATCCACCACCACTGGTCCCGAAACCGGACGAACCGAACGCAGATGTTTGAGTGTTTGCGCCGAATCCACCGCCAGTAGTTGTAGTGGTAGTACTACCAAATGGTCGACTTTGACCACCGAACATCGAGTTGGAGGTATTCGTGTTCGTGCCGAATCCTAATAAAACAAAATTCCATATTAGTATTCAGATGGATTATTATCAAGTAAAACGCGCGTAGAGAAGTATAAAAAGCCCGCGGACCCATGCGTAGGCGCCGCGAAACCCCTAAAGACGGAGAAAACAGTTCGATGCGTTATATCCATATTGTCTGGTAGTCATTCATCCAGATCATTATCAAACGTAATTCCGAACCGTCTTCGCAAAGCGAAATCCAGAAAACTGCGTGACTGGAGGGTGTATGCGTGACCACCAGGCGCGGATCTGCGAGACAGAAAAAAGATCGTATAGGAAACATCCATCCCAAGAAAAGAAAAATCGAGACGGCCGAATTAAACCATTCCCATTCCTCGATCTCAAAAAAGGCGACAAGGATAAAACAAGGTCTGTTTTGACGTACCTCCTCCAGTTCCGAATCCACCGGAAGAGCTTCCAAATGTATTACCTGTGTTCGAGGTATTTCCAAATAGAGGAGTCGATCCAAAGCCTAAATATACCAGAGAAGAGACGAAAGGTGGGAGCTCTTGGTCAGAGGAGGGTTGTTCTCTTTCTCTTTATGTCCGCGTGGTATCGATGTTGTTTCCAGCAGAGTTTGTTCCAGAGTCGCAGTTTATTTTTTCATCGTTCGCGCCTTTTTGTATTGGCGTCGCAGTTTTATGGACAAGATATTCATGGTCCGATGAAATGCATCTCCTCGTCTCAAGCTCATGGTGGAAACAACACGAACCAAAAAAACAATCAAAGTAAAGATCAGGGGATGGGTAAGGGAGGGATAAAAGGAGAAAAGGTCGACCTACCAGTATTGCCAGAAGTGTTTCCGAACCCGGTTGATCCGAACCCGGTGTTCTGCTGCTGTTGCTGCTGATTATTGTTGGAGCCAAAGCCTCCAAAGGAGGAGCCCGTTCCGAATCCTGCCATCGCGTCCCGCGTTGTTATGACTGATAGTAAAGGAGAAAGAGAATTATCGAGCCATGAACAGGTATGAATCGAAGCTGCGAACGAGATCTGAACGGGCGAAGAGGTAAAAGAAACGGGTGATGGCGTCGACTTGCTGTGAGGTTGGGCAGATGGGGTCGCGACGTGAAGAAGAACAAAAGAGCTTGCGAAAGGGGAAAAAAAGCTTGATTAAAGGGTGTTTTTCACAGGTATGAGCAACTGAGCTGCTCTCCTATGCTGGAGAAGAAGAGAGAATAGTCAAGATGACGGGGTGTTTGGACAGCGGTCGCTGAGAAAACGCGGGTGTTGTCTCTTCATCAAAAAGTTGAGGTTCGAAGTTCGCTAAGTCGCAGCCAAAAAGGATACAGTGTTACCTGTCAGGTGACGTGCTTAGTCATCCCATGCTGTTGCCTGCTAAAAGCAAGGTTGAAGTGACAACACGAGGGAGAGGACAGGACAGGACGGGCTGAATAAGAGAAAGAAGACTGAATACGATCTGATTGCCGGGTTTACTTGTATATAATCGCTGGAAATACTCATCAGCGCATGAAAGGCGGGCTTTTGCCGCAACTACATATATCTATCCCCTGGATATATATCATTTATCTCAAGGAGTCCCCTAAAGGGATAGCAAAAGCTATTCATTTCTTTTTTGAAGCCTCATATGACTCAATTATCTTAGCGACCACAGAGGGATCCGAGAGCTACGACGCCAGCGTCAGCAAAAAATGTATATACCCAGGAGAAATGCACTTACCGTCGAAATATCGCCCAAGCTGTCAGACTCGCCGCTTACGATCTTCCTGAGAATACGGCGCATAATCTTCCCACTGCGAGTCTTTGGCAGGTCCTCAACGATATACACGGCCTTGGGGGCTGCGAATGGGCCGATCGACTTTCGCACTTGCATTATTAGCTCCTTGCGGATTTCTTCGCCAGTTTCGTTTCCATTTTTCAGGGAAACGAAAGCATTGACTGCCTGTCCAGTTAGTTCATCGGTCACTCCAACAACGGCAGCTTCAGCAACGGAGTCTATTGTTGTGTTAGTTACAGTGCACACTTAAACGATCAGGGCGTGTAGGTCTTACGGTGTTCAATGAGGGCTGCCTCTATTTCAGCAGTCGAAAGACGATGGCCAGAGACGTTTACGACGTCATCAACTCTGCCTCTGATCCAGTAGTACCCATCATGGTCGCGGCCAGCACCGTCTCCGCTGAACTATTTTCAGAGTCAGCATGGAGATACAAGTCAGTACGTGTTTGTTGATTAGCACTTACATAGAACCCTGGATAAACGTTCAAGTAGGTATCCATATATCTCTTGTGAGCACCCCATACCGTTCTTGCCATGCTTGGCCATGGCTGCTTGAAGGCGAGAACACCTTCGACGTCGTTACCTTTCAATTCCACCCCTGAGACCGGGTCGACAATAGCAGGTTCAATGCCGAAGAATGGCAAGGAGGCACTTCCTGGCTTGGTTGGGGTAATTCCCGCTAGTGGAGTGATGACATGGGAACCGGTTTCGGTTTGCCAGTATGTCTATATTCTTTCGTTAGACATTTCCTACCATGAGTACGTAGGTAGGGTTAATGCTTACATCAACAACTTGGGCCTTCTCCTTGCCAACAGATTCGAAATACCACTTCCAAATCTCAGCGGCAATTGGCTCTCCCACACTTCCCAGCACTCGGAGATCCTTCATATCATGATGTATATGCTCGTCACCAGCGCGCTTCAGCAGTCGCAAGGCAGTTGGAGCAACATAGAATTGCGTTACTTTGTTTTGTTCAATGACGTCCCAGTATCTTGAAAAGTTAGGGTATGCGGGTGTGCTCTCGAAAACGACGGTTGTAGCTCCCAGCAGTAGCGGAGCATAGACGACATAAGTATGTCCCGTAATCCAGCCGACATCACCACCACAGAAGAAGCGGTCATCGTCATGGATGTCGAACACATACTTACCAGTTGCAGCAGCACCAACCAGGTAACCGGCAGTTGTGTGCATCAAACCCTTTGGCTTTCCAGTCGAACCAGAAGTGTACAACAAGAAAAGAGGATCTTCAGAATCCATGGACTCGGGTGCAATGTAGCTGGGGTACTTCTCAACCTCCTCGTGCCACCAGAGATCCCTTCCTTGCGTCCATGGGACCTCTGCTCCTGTCCTCTTGAACACGATGCAGTTAGTAACTCCAGGGCACTGCTTCAGAGCCTCGTCGACAATCTTCTTGGTTCCAATGACCTTTCCACCACGCTTGCCTTCATCGGTGGTAATGACGACCTTGGAGTTGGCATCGTTAATACGATCGCGCAACGAGTCGGATGAAAAGCCAGCAAATACAACTGAGTGGACGGCACCGATACGAGAACAAGCGAGGAATGCAACCACTGCCTCTGGAATCATGGGAAGATAGATAGCTACTGTATCACCCTTCTTGACGCCTTGCTGCCTCAACGTCCATGCAAAGCTCGAGACCTGTCTCAACAGCTCGCCATAGGTGATACTGCGCCCCTCGCCGGGTTCGTCAGCCTCGTAAATGATAGCAACCTTGTCCGGGTTCTTGATCGCATGTCGGTCGACGCAGTTGTAAGAGGCGTTCAGCCTTCCACCCACAAACCAGGCGTTGTCACCACCCTTGAACGAGCCGATATGCGTTGTGTTGAAGTCCTTGTCGAACGTCAAAAGCTCGCGCGCCAACCGTGCCCAGAAGACATCCGGGTTAGAGATAGACTCTGCATAGAGCGTCTTGTACTCGTCAAAGTCCTTGAGATGCGGTCTGGTCGAGTGCGTGTGGTATGCCTCGGGGACATGGAAGGTATCGACCTGATGAGCCTCCACGACCTAAGTTATGCGCCTAGTTAGATACCGCTGCTTTCTTTTACCGCGAAATAAACGTACCACCGGAACTTTAGCAGTTTCAGCCTCCGCCATCTTCTGATTGCTAGACGTAGTCTTAGTACAGTCTCGTATATCACAGCCAGATCACGAACAGAGGCGTGTATAGAAGCTGATGGGCGCGGGGTAGCGGGGTACGTATCCAGGGAGCAGAGACGAAGCGCACAACGTCCCAACGTCGGTATACAGAACCTTCAGCGATGGACAGCAATAAGAGAAGAGGGAGAAGAAGTGGGATGGACTGCGGTCGAAGAGAATGCAGCCGACGATGGGGTTGTTAAAAGGCCAAACCGGCTCCTCCAGCTTAAGGTTACTTCTACATACCCGAGATTCCGTCTATATAGTTTGTCTACGTCCATACAGCGCCGTCCACACAGTCACACAGAGGGACTGGGATTCACTCGACCAGGGATACACGCATCGGTTCTCCATCCCTATACGCATTCTGGTCCAGTTCGACACCAAGAAACTCATAAAAGGTGGCTTGCTGGGAGTTGCTACATCGCGTCCTCAGCATGTTTAGGGTGCGGGTGTTAGCTTCCGCTCAGCCGACAGGTACAGGCACATAGTATACCACTTCTATTCAAATGAATATGGTACTGTCAACACTTCGAGATAGGAGATGAGTACATACTGAAGCCGATCTTCATAGGGAACCGCTCCCTTCAGTGACACAAACCGACGACCAGAGGCCAGGTAGCACCACAGCATGCAACAGGGTTACGCTGGCATCCTAGGGTCTCATTAATGCGCCATCGAATCGAAGATGAGAGCGCCCTCTCGGCAAAGGCTAGGCACTCTATTCCGATATGCTAGAGTGAGCCACCACTCTAAGAATCGCGTATTTGATCAGCGGGATACATTAGACTGGTGAGGGCGCTGCATATCTACTCCATGGCTTCCCTGTCTTCTGTGGACTCTTGGCTGACTTTAAGTGGAATTCAGATATATCCTCGTCATATGGTATCTTTATCAACTAGTCAGGCCTTTAAGCTCTTATCCACATGGCCTGTCGACCTGCATGTTGCATTATTTACGGGAGAAAACGGAAGATAAAGGCTGTTGATATAAAGAAGTCATGAATATAGTAGATTCTAGGTTATGTCTTGGGAACAGGATCTATCCATATAAAATGAGAAAACAGACAACTTTTTTAACTTATTATTCAAGCTTTCTTGGCAATAGGTCCAAAAGACTCTCTTAACCTAGAAATATCTACTCTGAAATGATTACCGTGGGGTAGGGACATACTACGTCGTGCGAATAATGCCTGATTCAAGAGAATAAATAGGTTATTTGAATATCTATTGGGAATAGCTATGCTGACCAATAACCGTCGACTTTAATATAACAAGTAGATCTCGATAAGTTGAATTTATCACGGTTGTTTTTCAGCGCTGGACAAAGCCGGCTTATATCTGGCTTTCGCCCTCATCAAACTATATATCTTAGAGTCCATAGTTATCAGCGTAACTTGAAGTTCGTCATCGTATATCATTCCGCAATAATGTCATATGGTAATCATAAGGTCTATCCGCAATGGCCATTGCCCTGACCTTATTCCGTTTTTATTTTCCCTCAGTTGTTCATCCACAAAGACCCGATCCCCATCACAAATATCATTATTTTCCCATCCCTCATAACATCAGATAACACTCTCCTGCCCGTCTTCAGAGCTCCGATCACACCATTCCCGCCACCATTCCCTTCATTATTCATAAACATCACCCGTGTTCCAGTAAGCAAGAGTTCACCCATGACCAAAATAAGGAACGGGTTCTGTACTGTTGCTGGTGGTGGTAGTCGATCACCCCCACCATAAAGCGAGATGGACGATTTTAAGAGCATCAATAGATATAAACTGGTAGCTGTCGCGAATATGATGTGAACAGCTCGCCATATGGTATTGTTCCGTTGTACAGCTGGCGACGTGGGCGCAGAGTTGGCTTGAAGGAATAAACTAGCCATGGAAGGAGGGATTCCTAGTGAAGAAGCTATGTCGTTGGGGGAGATATCTGGAGCATCACCAGTTCCGGGTGGAAACATCGGCGTCCCGCCTGGTGTAGACATGCCAGCTCCAGGAGAAGGCATACCAAGTAAGTTGCTGAGTAGTTTCGTTGTTGGGTCTGCGTTATCTTGGGCAGAAGCAGGTGGTTGTTGCGAGCGAAGAAGGGCACGTATATATTCCTCCTGCTCCTTCATCGTTTGCGGGGAGCTGTCTCCCGTATTTGGAGGCATTCCGAGCCCAGGAAATGGCCCTAGTGGCTGCTGGTTTCGTGGTGGTGATTGTGCTGGTGGGGAAGCATATCGTACACCGGATGGAGGACTTGGAGTATTTCTAGAAGACGGCGAATCATCATGGACTATCATAAAAAGCCCCCGTCAATAAGGGAATATATATATATAAAGGCAATTATCCCGTTTAAAACATCTGAGGGTAAAAAAAACATACATGACATAGAGCGGCCGCTCAAGCCTGTTATTTTGTCCAACCGTGCGGTTCCTGTTGCTGCAATCTTCGCCGCCCGTTTCTCCCGACGTAGGCGAGCAGCACGCTGAGCTTTGGATTCTTCTACCTCGGCCATTTTAAATCGTCGTGTCTATAGCGTCAACGCTGGTATTCGATTGATCCTGGAGCACACCGTATCTTCTTTCTATTATTTACCGTGAGTTGGTGACGTTAGGGCCAGAAGTACTATCACGTGATAGTTATAGCTATCTGTCGGGTCGGGTTAACGTTTATCCCTCAGCTATATCAGTTCCCTTTTTTGGACATCAAGGTAGAAAGATCGAGCATCAACTTCATGATATCTCGAAGATATAATTTACTTACGGTCATTGAACGCCGCATGACGCCGATTAGATGTACGCCACGCGCAATGTGAATCTAATACTGTGGACGGTTGTCGACCGATGCTACAAAAATCCTGAAAATGGAAAGATTAGTTCATGGTGCGAGGTCATCTAACAGGTTTCCGAGCCAGATTTATCCTTGCATCCATACATATGCCACTTGATCGGGCCCGCTAAGCCTTACCTCGACTCGCCGCCCAATGTCATCACAGCCGTTTGTTTGATCTGTGGAGATTTAAAGACATGGGGGTTGCCACTTATGACGTCAACTCCTTGGATCTTGACGAGGATTGATATCAAGGAATTTGGAGCTTTCGTTATAAAGAACTGTTTAAACAGGGTTGAGGAACCATGACTTGGACCATATTTTCCCCACGGAGTGCTGTTAGCGCTTTTTATTTATTCAATTGCAATCGTTCGTTCGGTTTGTACAGCAAGGAATAACTGTCTCGACCTTGCATCTTCACCTATTGTACATCTACCCCCGGCGAACTACTGAATGCAGTATATAAAATGACGACGCAGAAGAAACCCGGAGGTTATTGGAGCGAAGCGAATCCGGTTCCTACAATTCAACAATTTCTTGAGGAATTAGATGCTGGAAAGGCAGAAAGAGATAAGCAAATTGATGAAGAGGCTAAGAAGAAGACCACGCCGCCAAACCAGCCATCTGCTGCGGCCGTGCCTCATCGAAAGCCAACGGCGCCCAAATCCAAGGGCCGACTAGTGACGGATCCAACTACGGGGGCGCAGGTGGAAATTGATGATGTAGGGAAGGAATTTATGAAGGCTGTTAAGGAACCCCAGGTAACTTTCCCTAATATGTATCTGGATATGGTTATAAGAAATTGCAGTTATCAACTGACGGTGCCAAATAATAGCTATCTATCCCGAATGCGAATCTTGGGTTGCCTACTGTAAGCATAGCGCCCATTGACTATTTTATACTCGCCATATATCCTAACATTGCTACTAGTCCCTAAAAACCAAACCCTCACAGTCCCTAGAGGAGTATAAGCACACTCAAGATATTGTATCACCCCCAGAGCCTATTGCGGCTGGTACAACGAGCGATGTGCCCATCCACGGCGAAAGGACCAATGTCCTGTTCCATCCAACACCTTCAATTAGCTACGAGCCTATGTTCAAGGTGTTAGAGAAGAATGCTAGCATACTGTGCTCCGTTATATTCGTCGCAATATTAGTCGTTGGACGTATTGCTGGAGGTCAGATAAAATGGATGCTACCCCTTGCCTGTTGTGTTGCTACAGGTGTATGGTTCTGGACATTCGACCTTATCCGAAGAGGAAGAACCTTTCAATGGCACTCCGAAAAGCTTCGCGGGCAAACAGTATGTCAACCCTTCAATTCTTAATCGTTGTATGGTTCACTCTTAAGAAACCAATTTTAACAATTTGACCGTTATCATTAGGCCACTGCCAATCTCCTTCCAGAGTCTGCAGAATGGATGAATTCATTCGTGGAGATACTTTGGGGCTTGATCAACCCGGAAATGTTCGCAAGTGTTGCCGACACTATCGAAGATGTGATGCATGCATCGTTACCCGGTGTAATCGAGAACGTGCGGATAGCTCAGATCGACCAAGGCTCAAACCCCTTGCGAATAATCAGCTTGAGGTCGTTGCCTGACGGTCAAGTTACGGATTTGATTGAAGGCTTGCGCACTTACAATAAGGAAAACAAAGACGAACAGGAGGCAGCCGCCGCTGAAGAAGGAGGCCAACCCTACAATCTTGAATGTTCTTTCGCATATCATGCCAAACCAACCGGCACAACGGCCTCTTCCAAAGCGCAAAATATGCACATGATGGTCGTCTTCTACCTTGGGGTAAAGGGGCTCTTTGGTGTCCCATTGCCGATCTTTGTTGAATTATCAGAGCTTGTTGGCACAGTCAGGTTGCGATTACAACTTACTCCCGAAGCACCCTTTGCCAAGAGCTTGACCTTCAGCTTAATGGGCATGCCACACATCAAAGCCGGCTGCACACCCATGATCAAACGAGGTATCAATATTTTGAATCTCCCGTTGATATCGAATTTTGTCAATTATGCCATTTGTGCTGCGATGAGTATGTACGTGGCTCCAAAGTCAATGTCGCTTGATCTTGGTATGATGCTCGGTGGTGATGATATACAAAAGGATACCAGTGCATTGGGTGTTTTCTGGGTGAGAATCCATCGTGCCAATGGATTGAGCAAGCAAGATAAACGAGGCAGCAAAGGCGGTGGTAGCGACCCTTACATCAATCTGTCATTCTCGAAGTACGGCAAACCGATGTATTGTACGAGAGTTATCTGTGATGATCTCAACCCAGTATGGGAGGAATCTGCACCGCTCCTTGTGACCCCTGAGCTTATCAAGGCAGACGAGAAGCTTAGTGTAGAGTTATGGGACTCTGATAGGAGTACGGCCGATGATATAGTTGGAAAGGTCGAGCTTTCCATGCAGAATTTGCTTCAACATCCTGGAAAGATGTTTCCTATTACTTCTAAATTGCAGGGTATGGATGCAGGCACCGAAATGCCTGGCGAGCTTTATTGGGAAGTAGGATACTTCCGCAAAACACGTTTCCGGCCCGCTCTTCGCACGGATGGGAAAGATGCATCCCTTCCAAGTGATTTGAAGGACCACCCGGCCCTCCAAGACGAGAAAGGAAATGTTCCCCCGCCTCCGCCGCCACAGGACGACGAAGAGGCCGTTACATGTACGCCGCCTGATCCCCTTTGGCCCAGCGGTATATGCACAGTTATCATCCACCAGATTGTCAACCTGCAAGTTCAGGATATCAAGGGAACTCTGAAGAATCGAAAAGGACATGAATACGATGCGGCTAGGTCGTATGGGGAGAGTACCGGAGAGGAAGGAGATCAATTCCCAACCAGTTATTGCAGTATCCTGTTCAATGATGAGCCAGTGAGTAAAATCTCTATCCTCGGTTATTGCGCGAGTTATTAATCAATAAAATAGGTATTCCGCACCCGAGCTAAAGCAGTGTCCAGTAAACCAATATTCAATGCTGGAACAGAAAGGTTCATCCGAGACTGGAGATCAGCCATGGTTACCATTGCTATTCGCGACCAGAGGCACCGAGAGCATGATCCTATTCTAGGCATTGTGCCCCTCAAGCTCTCCGATATTCTCCAAGCTAGCTCCCAAGTCACTAGATGGTACCCGCTCGACGGAGGTATTGGTTTCGGACGCATCCGTATTTCCCTTTTGTTCCGGAGTGTTGAACTCAGGCTTCCTCGCCAGCTACTTGGGTACGATGTCGGCACCTTTCACATTACATCCGACAAAATAACATTAAAAAATTGCAGCTCCCGTGGGAAGCTCAAGATGCGGACTAGCGGAGCTCACGTTTCAATACCGCGTTCTGCTTTTACTCAAGATCCAAACGAGGATGGGGGTTATTATGATCTCAATTCTGGATTGAAGGAAGAGCTTGTGCTACCAACCAAGCATCGTTACCGATCCGCTATAATATTTGAGATACCCCATACTTCGGGTACCGCTCACGCACTCATGTGGCTCCAGCATCTCGTTGATAACGAGGAAAAGACCTTGGATATACCAATTTGGACAGCGAAGAACTCTGCACGACTAGTGCAGAACTACATCTCTGAGGAAAATTGGGAAACGGAGAAGAATAGCCCAGGTTTAGAAGACCTTGAAATGGTTGGAAGATTGCAATTTACCTGCTGCTTTACCCCTGGGTTTGATCAATGCCATGAGAAACTTGTCACCAACAACGATTCCAGGGAATCCTTCGAGACCTGGGAGGCATGCATATCAGAAGGAGTGCGAGGAGGGATCCAGTCCGAGGTCCCCCCCACGGTGAAGAGGCTACATGAGAAATCTCTTGTTCAGGAACGAGATATACTCCGTCAAGCTAACGCCAAACTCCGGAGGCCAAAATCTAAGGATAGCGACTTATCCTCGATTGACGATGTCATCCGAAAATCCATAACCGGCAACGACAGCTCTCGTATCAACGCCGAGGCAGCGCCCAAAGGATACGAGAGCCAGAGTAGGGATCCCTCTCCGACGACTGCAGGGAGTGCAAACCGCCAAACAGTCCCAGCTCCCATGGCAATGAACGGGGACGGCGTGCGTGACGACAGCAATCCACAAATGATAGCCCAAGCGGACGGCCCAGTTAGCGGTCCTGCTGAAGCGACTGATGGATATACAGAAGAGGCTGCTGCAGGTGGAGTTCCGACGTCTCAAACTCAAGCAGCCTACGATCAGGATGATAGCAGCGTTAGTGACTATAGCGATGACAGTGCCGATGCTGCGTTAGCTAACGGAGTCGCCTCAGAGTCCAGTCACGAAACGACCGAGGAGCGCAAACAGCGAATTGGGAACAGAGAAAACCGACGAAGCGAATGGCGGAAGCATCGTGGCGTGATGCAATGGCGCCCAGCCCGTAATGCCGCTTTTGTAAAACACGAAGCTACGTTTGCGATGAAAAAGGTGAAGGACAAGCTTATGGGCGATCTGACCGGCCGGGAGCCAGATATTCGTACCGAAGTTGGATGAGTTTTCTTTTTGTATTCTTCTGCTTCCTCCACTTTTCTCGCGATGTTTTGTACTTTAGTAGTCTGGATCTCGAGTCTCTTAACGTATCGCTAAATATGCCTACCATTCTATTAATAAATCCCCCGAATCCTCGTATTCTGTCCACATCTCGAAAGACAATGCCTACTAAGGTGTTAGTGTATCCGATCAGACGTATCAAAGCGCGATCTCTCGAAAGGGATGATACTTGTCTCCAAAAAGAAACTTGAAACGCAGGCCGTGTGCTCTGGTGGGCGGCAGCATTGCACAGACTCAGAATAATCAACCTTCCAAACCGCGGCGGCAGAGGTTGTAATTTCATCTCTGCCATCAAGATTGTCCTTTTGATGAGACGATCAAAATTTTATCCCTGGCCCCCTTGCATGGGGGGTTAGGCGCTTATCCTTATATACGGCCCCTGTCCATGTATCCTGATATGTAGCAGAAGGCTGAAAGGCAACACGATCACGAGCCTATTTTCAGCCCATAATCTCAGGCATCTGATATTATCGCCATTCGTCTTGAGAGAAGGATATGCATCTTCTAAAAAAGCAACTGAGCCTGCGCCAAGGGCACTTACGTTCACTTGGGACAAGACGTTGGACGCCCAAAATAAGTTAACTGGCCGTTTTTCTTCTTCCTCTCGTTTCTTTTCGCCAAAAAGCAAAACCTGCCAGCATAAAGACAACGTTATATCCGTGCTTTTAACGTAGAGACGCAAAGCAGCGTATTCATACTCCGAGTATAGACGTGAAATCCGATCGGTGGCGTACCAAGCCGCTATTCTTAGAAATGGAAGCGGAGAGGTCAACGTCTAGATGATGCAGGCTGAAGACCGTTGCAGTCGATGGTGGAGGAGTTGGACATTGGGCCGTTTTACGGAATATGCGGTAAGGAGATATAGGAATATTTCCATCTTCCCTGTCCTGGCTCTGCTATATGTGTAAGCTTAACTATACGTATAATGATGATGCCATATGCATGTAAGCAGGCCGGCATGATCCAACAGGTTTGTTATCTACCATGAGATCCGCCATTGGCCCTCACCGTCGAAAGAGATGCCGCAGTGCCCATCCCACCCGGTGGACGCATCAGCCGTCAGGAAAAAAAACCCAAGTTGGCGGCATCAGATATCTGTAAAGCTTCGTGTTCACGGGTGGCTGTTCCGCTTGGGTTGGTGGGTATGTTGGAATTCTGCCCCCACACCCCCTATACTTCCCTCCCTTCATACTTGGGGCAAATGTGTGGGAACTGCCGTGTAGCCACTTTTGGTGCAGCCTTCGGAGAATGAGCGTGAGTGTATACGAAGGGCGTCGATGGCGAATCATCATCGGCTCTACCGCGGAAGATAAGCGGTAAGATATGTTAAATGGTAGGTACGAGATTTAGGGGAGGGGCATGCGAACTGCCCTCCCATATACCCTAATCTTATTGAAATGTAAGTATGTAGTAAAAGGTATCCTTTGATTAAATGGTGTAAATAGCTTTATTCTCAATATGTCCAGCTATTGAAAATAGTATATGTTTGGTATTTTAAAAGGCAACGCTACATGGGTATACAAGCTAAAGCTTCGTTTTTCTCCCAGACACCCGCCAATGAGCAACAATAAAAAGTAGAGAAATAATGCTTTGGGTAGTACAATGAAAATGCCCCTCCAAGCAGAATAGAAGAATGTAGTAAAAAAAGGGTTGCCTATTCACAAGTGTATATATGTATGCACAATCATCATGTTCGTTGGGATCATTATGATAACGGTATTCGGCGAAGAATCGTTTGGTTTAGCATCTCAACCTTAAAGACCCCGGTTTGACAATCGGACTTGAACATGCTCCGGGATCTTGTGATGGCGGGGGGGTCATGTCAGCGAATCCTCGGCCGATATCGGTATTTCCCTTTTCGTTTCGAGGTGTAGAGGGTGCTTCGTGTGATGGCTGAATGGGGGGCGTGGCACGGTCTGAGTTTGGGGGGCTGGAAGGTTGGGCATAACCGTCTCTGATCGGGCCCAGGGTCCATCTCCATTCCCTTTGGACAGTCCGTTGATGTATCGGTGTTTGAGGAGGGAGAGAATCCTCACGCGAGGGTAATAAGCCATCTCGTACTCCCACAGCTAGTATCTGTCGCTCACTTCGAAAAGTCTTGTGTTTCGATCGAGTTTGCTTTCTTGTTCTCTTTGGCGACTTTGGTGCATTCTCTGATCCATCGTCCGACGGGGTGGATCCGCCGGACACCGAGTCACTTGAGTCTGAATCTTCCTCAGACGAGCTATACGAGTATGCATCGGGTGGAGAGCTGGTTTGGGAGGCGTCCATGGACTCTATATCAGAGTGTTTCGCAGTAAATTTGACAGTTTTTATTACCTCGTCAAGTGGGTATCGATAATTCACTCGCTTTGTAGATGATGTTGATATACGCAAGTTTGAGTTAGGGGAAGTCACCCCCGGGCTTCCGGTAGACGCATCCTTATATATGGTGGGAGCTAAAAGAGGTTGTTGCTGTTCAGCCTGAGCAGGCGATGGTATGGGTGAGTTCCTTAGGATGCCTCGGATGCCCTTTGGGAGTTTGTATGGAGGCTCAGCAGCAGCACGGACAGGGCCAGCTCGTGCGGGTGATGAAGGCGCACGCTGACGGGCTCTCGAGGGCCCTCTCAGCGGCGAGCGGCATATTGGAGAGTTGCCACGGTGAAAAGTTTCGTAGGCGTTTTTGAAGGTGTTCCTGTTAGTAGGGGATTGGCAACTAGTAGTCGAAACAGCTAGAGATAAAGCAGTCGTTGATTTTCCAAACGTAACTGGAACACATGCGGTCTGTAAGGAGAGCTTCGGCCTCTTGTTGATATTAGGGCCAACTTGGGTCCGGATGGGCGCAATGGGTGTTAGGGGTGGTGCTATCGTAGGCACGGTTGGGTATACCGCTGGTTGTGTAGCCACTTTGAGCATGTTAGTAGCAGAAGAATGGTGATAGTCTTCTGAAGGTGATGAGGTGACTGGTGAGTATGCAGTTGCTGAAGACTGAGAAGAGGAACACGAAGCTGGCGAGAGAGCAGTAGAGGAGTACGATGAGGATGATGAGGATAGCGCGGGAGAACTGCTGCGACCAGGTGAGGCGGCTTCTGGTTCCACAGATGTGAGATGGATGGGCTTCTCACTAGCCATCGGTATAGCGATCATGTCGAATCGGGGAGGGAGAGGGAGGATCGAATAGTTATAATTAAAATAGCCCCAAAGAAGCAAGAAAGCCAAAATCCAGGAGCAGGCTCTGGAGCCGAGCTATGGGCCACGCGAGAGGCGAAAAGCCAGAACAAAAATAGACCCCCAAGGAGTTTCGCTTCCTGCGACGGAGGGTGCCGGGCAACAGGATGAAGAGGCGCCGTTTAGGACGAGAGTACAGTCATGAGTTGAGAACCTGTAAAGCACGCGAGGTAAATGTTGATATAGCGACAGGGAAAGCAATCTATGATAATGCCAGTTTGGGTGGAGCCATGCATGGTGAGAGATGGCGAATATATGGTGGCGGGTAAATTTCTATTCTTGTTGGAGCTTCATTGGGGTTTCTGATCCAATAATTGTTTTGATCCTGTCTGGGCGACGATCGGAGCGTGGCAGAGTGGAAGTATACTCCGTTTGAGGAGTGCGAGAGAGAAGAGAGAAAGAGAGAGAGAAAGCAGGAAAGGAATAGTAGCGGGGAAAGGTCGAAGAAGTAAGAGGGAGGAGTTATATTGTTACGACTGCAGGCGAGTTGGGCGGTTAGCAGAGACGGTCTCTTAACCGTCAAATGAACATGCATATGTAAGAGAACAGAATCCTGATCTAAATCATCTCGGAGTTTCTTTTCTTTTTTTCAGTTTGACAAAGTAAAAATTTAAAAATAAAACGAACAAGATGGAAATAGACAAGAGAGTGGAAGCGCCCTCATAGACGGATGGGCGCTGGGGCAAGGATAGGGGCCTGGTCGTCGTGAAGGCGCACTTATCTTCCAATCGCTGGCCTGGGAAGGGAAAGCCTTTAACGAATCATGGCGATCGCTAGCGGAGCCACCACGCGCTACCTATTTATATATATCGGCACTAGGTGTGGAAGTATCCCTTTATGGGCCAGCGTTTCAAAGCGTAGCTAATTGGTTAGAATCGCCCTATTGTTGGACGGAGCAACGGATCGCAGCTCACTCTGCTGGGTAGCACGACACACCCATGTATCTGACCAAACCACAGTTAGCAGATATACGTATCAAGAGACGAAGGACATAAAGTACACGAGGTATGCTCCCTATTATACGAGATTATCCTCATCAGATCCTTCTCGAGAGAATACCACGATCTCTAGTATGTTGGGTAGCCACAGTGGTTCCATCCTTGCAAATACGAACTCAAGACTCTGCGTAAATACGAGCGAGAGCCTTTAGCCATATGCGCCCATACTCCGTCCCTGTTATTAACGCTCCAGACCCCGTGCATGTCCAGGAAATCATAATTTTGCTATGTGAGAATAAATTAACTGCCGTGTCTGATTCTGATTCTGAGACGGCTGGCTGGTTGTGAACGAAGATTCATGAGAGAACGGCTCTCGGGACGGTGGCACAGGGCGGGGCGATCCGCTCCCATCCACCACCGCTGAGCTACGGCCTTTGTATAAGAGAACACTGGATGGGTTCTCGTCTGCCTTGGCCCTCATGTGTCCTGTCGTCCACTCCACCGTGATGTCCGAGTTTTGTGCGGCGTGCACTCGAGAATCGGCGTCATAAGTAAGGGCGGGATCCGACCCCTAACCACCATGCTGTCAGAACGCAGAAATGCGTCATCTGTATCAGGAGAGAAGCGCGAACGCCACCCCTTTCTTTTTTCTCTCTCTCTTCCCTTCCAGCTTCTCCTGCTCATCCAGTTCGCAACAATACCTTCCGAGCAGCCGAGAGCTACCTGCTGGTAGAGTAAGTGCCTCATCTTAGTCCTGATTCCATCGAGTCAGGAAAGTTCTGGTGTGGTTCCCCCTCCCCTCCATCTTGACAAGGACTGGGATGTGTGACAGGTGCGTAAGCTTCACGGACTAGAGGCCCTATCAGGTAAAGGCCTTGAGCCTAAAGCCCGTTGCCTTTTTATTTATCCTTTCTCTCCCCCGCCATCTGCATATAATTTTCCCGCAGTTATGCATTGTGTGTGCATCCATCTCTGAGCCTGGAGGACCGCTGCTGCTCGTTCGGAGACTCTCCACGGCATAACGTGCCAATGGGGTGCAGGAACCTGTCGTGAGAGCAAGACCCATCTCGCAGCATGAGCGAACATGTTATGGGTGATGCTCCAATTTCACCCATGTCTAATCCGCTTTCTCTCCGATGAAAAAGCAAGGGCATCACTCTGCAGGCCGTTTTTCATTTTCTTCCTTTTTCCCATCCTTTTCATTTCCTTTTCCCTTTTCCAGTCCAGGGTCAGCCCTCGGCCAGGTCACAGACAGGGAGGCTAGAAATAAGACTTACCTGGTTCGAGAACAGCCGGGATAGGAAGTATATACTGTATATCTAGAGAGGAAGCATACCTCTGCACACGCACAGAGGGAGAAACACAGGTAGAGACGAGCATAAAGACTAGAATAGAGGTGTGTAGAAGAGAGAAGATGGTGGTTGTTGTCTCGGTGACTTGAGAATTACGAGATGGAGAGAGTCTGTGCGCGTCCCAACTAGGCAAGTCTCAATGTTCGCTGTACTTTTGCACCAAACGGCGACTTTGATGCCTGCGCTATACTTCCGCCACTTCACCCTCCTGCGTACGTTTCTACAGGTTTCGCCCAGGAATTCGCCGGCAGATGGCCGCACGTCTAGATGAACTGCCCAGACGGCCTGCGACCTCGTTAAGATTGGCCTGCCCATTTCACCATCCTGACTCAGTGGGAGTCGCCGCGTACGGGGTAGATATCAAGATGTCCTCTCCCTGTTCTCGACTATTTGCCCCTTATAGAAAACGGTATGTGGTTGCGGGATGCAGACCTAGGATTGAAATCCCTCTTGCTAGGATTAACTATATGCATAAATTAGACATCGCTCTTCGACTGGTGCATCGTGGCGAACTATAACGTCCTTGATGATGACGCTGTATGGAGGTTAAGTATAGATCATGATATCACTCAGCATGAAGATTTGCATCATGTCTTCGGTCGACTCTATGGCGAAACTCCAGTTCCGCTTGCCCTTCATCGACAACCATTTCCCGCCAACTAATCGGCTCTGGGCATCCTCGGCGTCTCGCCCTACCCTTGACCCCTTCCTGCATCATCGTGCATCGTGTACAAGGGGGAGCGGTCGTCCAACGGTGGAGTCAGCAGGAAATAACATGTCTCTTGCTTAAACAGAGGGAAAATATTCCACTCTTTGTGCACAGCATATAATTTGTCGATCATATCGAAGGCAGATTTTTCATTCGACACCGCTCGCCGCTCCTTGCATGGGACTACAAGGATGGGCTGGATAGGGACGACCTTATTATATATTTGAATTTTTCCTTTTTACCTTTGGCTCTAGGAGATCATATTGGGTGGGACGATCGAGACGCTATGCTCCTTATATGGCCCATGACGAACGTGCTGGATATTATTAGCAGTGTGCATGGAGTAATCTCGGCCCAAGAGACTGAGACTGAAACTTCTGTGAAAGTGGATAGGCAGCGAGAGCCAGCCGTTGAGACGTGATGGCCGTTTCGACTTGCCTCCATCTCCTGTGATAAATTGTACTCCGTATGGGGAGGGCCTATAACGCGGAGAGTCGATACGACATGCAAGAAACCCCGGTTTATAACATCCTACGTGCAGACCGACTGAATAGAAAAGCTGGCCGGAAACGCCAGGTATATTGGCCGTCGAGGAGGGTGCGGAATTGGGACAGACCTATAACTCCCGATTGTATACTCCGTTTCTTCATGAATAACAAGAGTCCTCCACCCCTGGACCTGGTGCTAAAGAGCTTAGCTGCTTAAGTAAGATCGTTAACTGGCAATCGATCCTGCGTCTTGCTTTTTCCTCGGCTTTCTCCGTGCGATGGAAGGTTTCTCGGAGTCTTCACGTTTCATTCTGTCAATCTTAACGCTGCTTCTATCTCCATTCCCTGGGTGGCGGACGGCACGTAGGCTTTTCCTGCCGTCGCAGGGTGTCATCGAGCTCTGGCCCTTGGTGGCATCTTCGAAATTACTTGATGCACACAGAGTCTTGTCGCCCGTCTCGGCACATTGCTCAGCCCTGCAGGAGAAAGGGCATGGGGAGGTACTCTAAGCATCGATTAATTGGATGATATCTCTAATTTTAATCGCTCGATCGTGACGTACGCATGCCTTCCTCGCCCTTTCTGGAATACTTTTACTTCTCCTGCTTGCAACTAGGATACTGACTGACAGTGGAGCAGACTGGGGAAAACACCATGGCACCGACTCTGCAGAAGCAAGGGACTCCACGAACAGATCATGGCAGGATCATTTTACATTTTGTTAGGCCTCCTCGTGTAGTTTTGCCCCTTCCCTCTCTCTTTTTTTCCCTGGTTGTCAAGCATACATATCTTTCAATCTCTTGCACACATCCATCCATATAGCCAAGGTCAATAATGGCCTTGGCTTATAATATTTATTCCCCGTTTGAACTGCTGCGAGTGGCTAGGGAGTGAAAACAAGACTTCTCTTTCTCTCGTCCGGGTGGGCCTATGCCTGCATATCTTATATACCCAGCAAATGCGCTTCCATGCTGCTTTGCATTCCAACCTTCCCCATTTGTCCGTCCTTTTCCCGAGACATCAATCTTTCCCGTGGAGATTTTTATATCCTCGCCCCCAGACGTCTCTGTTTTTTTGATGCTTTCCATTGCATGCCGACCTTATCCTGATTTTAACACGTTCAAGATTAGGACTACGATTGCTTCTACGCCTCTGTGTTTGAAGCCGAGAATCCGGCGCTTAAGGCACTGCCATTGGCTGTGCAGCAGAAGCAGATTGTCGTGACTTGCAACTATGAAGCACGGAGGAGAGGGCTACGGAAACTACAGCTTATCAAGGAAGCAAAGAAGACATGCCCTGAAGTAGTCATTGTGCTCGGAGAAGACTTGACCAAGTTCCGCGATATATCCAAGGGGCTCTATTCGTTCCTAAGTTCGTTGGTATGGGGTGATCAGGTGGAGAAATTGGGATTTGACGAGGTATTTCTAGATGTCACCTCCATGATAGAGTACAATCTCCAGTGGCTAGAGCCCGACATCACCAACTCCGTCTTTCAGCTGGACAAAGATGACTTTACCGTTGGGTTTGAGTATGATCCCACTGTATACTGTGGCCCTACGTATCCTTCGCGGGATGACCATCTACAGCCAGAACACATATCATTACCGTTAGACCTTGGACAGAGGCTGATCCTCGCCTCACACCTGGGCAATTACTTACGAAAGCAGCTGGAGGAGAGACATGGCTACACTAGCACTGTTGGAATATCTACATCCAAGCTACTCGCAAAGTTAGCTGGAAACGTCCATAAACCGCGGAATCAAACGACCCTTATACCGCCATTCCTAAACGATACAGACCAGAGTGATAGTTATATCATTCAATTCATGGACAGCCATGAAATAGGCAAGGTTCCTGGCATTGGATTCAAAATTGCTAGCCTTATCAGAGCAGCGGTGCTCGGTCGTGAAAACGATTTAGAGCTGTACCGAGAATTAAGGACCTGCGACCAAGTCACAGTGGGTGATGTGAGAACATTTCCAGGCATGGGTCCGTTAATGCTTGATAAAATTTTATCAGGCGGCGGATGGCCTAAGGATATAGGAACTAGAATATGGGGCTTGATTAACGGGGTTGACCATAGCGAGGTTGCCGCTGCCCGTGCAACTCCCACTCAGATTAGTATTGAGGATTCGTTCCGTCAGCTGGATACTCTAGACGCTGTGAGGAAGGAAATTCTTCCGCTGGCTCGTAACTTGATACGGCGAATGCACACTGACCTAACAGAGGAGGAAGAAGAAATGGCCGGAACTGATGAAGAAGAGGCCGATACTATGAGAGACGATACGCAAGATCAGCCCGCAGTACCACCACAGCCATCAACAAGAAAGAGACGGTGGCTAGCACACCCTCGAACATTACGACTCTCTACACGCTCTCGTATACCACCCAGCAGTACAGATACTAACCCGAGCACCGCTCAGCCACCAGATAGGACACCGACTCTATACAACAACCGCATCTCACGATCCTGCCCTATTCCCCAATTCATATTTTCCTTCAAAGATAATGTGGATGCTATCGCTGAACGATTAGTGCACGAATGTTTAATGCCTGCCTTTCTAAAACTTCACCCAGAGAAGTCTGGGTGGAGAATCAGTTTGATCAACGTTGCGGTTACTAATATGGTGGATAGTGCTGGGTCAACGAAGAATAGCGCCGGTAGAGATATCGGCAAGATGTTTAGATCGCAGAGTCGAGTTCTTCGAGAATGGAAAGTCGCTGATGTGGATAATGGTGTTGGCGATTGCCAGGTTGATAATTCTGATGCTATAAAGAGTGACACTGCATTAGAATTGGAGGACGACTCCATGGAAAACGACATGTGGGAGCACGAAGAGGTTGATTCTTCGATGGATAACAGCACTTACGGTGCTGAATGCCACATTTGCGGCACATATATACCGCATTTTGCATTGAAAGCACACGAAACTTACCACTCTATCCCTGATTAATGCAGATTATTTGTATAGAGAGTCAAATACAAATATAGCTATGCAAATACTATGGCATAATAATTGTGATTAAACTGCTACTCTCATGTTTGAAGGCAGAAATTGATTATGGATGGGTGTCCTTAAACAACGCCGACTCTTCTACTTCCCTTCCGTGTCAAACAGGCGAAGTCGTCGATAAACCATGCCAAGACAGCTGATCACTACGTATCAGCTCATCCCACAATCTCTAACTACCAACAGGGATCCATAGAGTGATACAAATGTTGACAGAGATAGAGACGGTGCTCAAGATAATCAATCTGCCACATCCAAAGCCGTAACACTATTTGAAGAGGTGAAACACGGAAAGATGTTCTATCTTTTTTCATCTCTCTAGAACAGGGAACTGACGAAATCAATAGCCGGCAACAGAAGAACGCAGCGGGCTATTCCTGCTTTATGATCGAGCGGATGTCTCGAGCTCCATCGAGTACGCCTCAAGACTAAGCTTAATATATTTTTATCTCACATATTTGAAGTATCATCGCGGTCCACGGTCTAGGAGGGCACTGGTGTAGGACCTAGACCGATGATAATGGAAAGTTGTGGCTTCGGGACTTCCTGCCAGAGCAGCTCCAAGCCAACAACATTGATCCTCGAATCATGTCTTATGGGTACAACTCAGACACTACTTCCAGTCGCGCAGTGACTAATATCGATGATGAAGCTGCAATGCTGCTAGACAGACTTGATGGTGAGCATTTAACAGATATACAGCGACAGCGACCTATCATAATTGTTGCTCATGGTCTTGGAGGAATTCTTGTGAAAAAGGCAGGTCATGTTACTCTTAGGGGTTCGTACCACATTACTTGTCACTTGCATGAGGCTTCTTTGAAGGGTTATATACTAATCTCATATGTATAGGACCTGGTTCTCGCACATGAAAGGTCAAATATCTGCGGCCATCTTCTCAGCCACATCAAGGCAGCTGTCTTTCTTAGGGTCCCTCACCGAGGGTCTGATGTTGCATACTGGAGTACATTTACTGCAAACCTGCTTAAATACGGTCAGGTGGGATTTGCAACCAATACGGCCTATGTCACAGCATTGCGAAGGAACTCGGAAACATTCGCAAATTTTCGCAGCAGTTTGTTGAACGAGGGGCTATGCTAAGGATCCGAACTTTCTACGAGACCGAGAAAATAGCAAATATGCTTGTAAGATGATAATTCGTTTGCAAGATTCATCACACGCCCCTCAAATAGTACCCGACTATGGAAACTGTCACTACAATGCTAACTTCTAATACCACAAGATCGTGGATCGGGACTCCGCAAGGCTGGGCCTCCCGAACGAAATTGCAGTCGGTGTGGCCGGGGCCAACTACTGGACTATGTGCAAATTCAACGTCCCAACGAGCCAAAAAATACAAACCCGCCTAGGTTTCTATCCTCAAATTGTGCAAAGTCTTATAAGCAGCCGAAGGATCAGGTATTAACTATGTATGTGATTAATTAATTCTCAGCTTACTTTTTTTTGGAGACCAACGTGGACTCATAACGGAGAGTCTAAATATATCATATGCATTGACGCCGGGTGAGTTTACTGGAAATACGGAGACGAATCAGAATGGTGAGCTTCCCTTGGTTGTGTTTATATGTCTAAAACTGATTTACTTCTGTAGATGATGAGATGGAACTGCTACAAGATTATAAGGAATTCCTATTTGTAACTGATCCCCTGGATGATCTTACAGCAGTACGCTTAGAGGGGGAGAAGATATTTAATGGTTCTTGTGAATGGATCCTGGACCAGAGAGAGTATTCCGACTGGCTCAACGGGCCTGGAATGCAACTTCTAAGAGTTAGAGGATTACCTGGAATCGGGAAGACAACAATCCTCCGCTTCATGGTCGTCTTCGAGACAACCCTGGCGGGACAGTTTTATACTATTTCTGTGATATTAAAGATGCAAGACGGCGGAGAGACGTACATTCTAAGGTAATTAATCTTCCAAATATTAGGACACCATCCTAAATCGTTCAACCGTGTTATGGAAGACTTTAGAATAAATAGAACCGACCTCGCCAACAACTTCTATGCCCTATGGCGTTACTTCTATACCCTTCTACAGGATTTTGGAAATGATAAGCATTCATCCTCATTGACGCCCTTGACGGGGCCGATAAATATTATAGACAAAGGATTTTGCATATGCTAGAAGAACTGGCTGATTCACCTGGAGAACTCCAAAAACAGAATATCAAGTTTTTGGTGACATCTAAGGGTGAACCTGATATTGAGGAACATCTAAGTGGACCATGGAATATCCCAGATATCGACTTCGAAAAAATAAATGCTGGTTTATCAAGTTACATTGACCAAAGGGGAGGTTTTCAAGCTTCCTCCTGACCTCGTGCTTTTTCGACTTCGAAAGGACTTCAAGGATAAGGGAAACCCAGAGAAATGTGCCATCTGCCTGTGTGAACAGGGTATTTTTAACGTCATTCTTCAAGGCATTCGAGTAACCTTTCTTTGACGATAATGCGTCCACCCCCTGGCCTCAACGGAGTTTATGATAGAACCTTAAAGCAGATCTGTGAAGACGTGCTCGAGGTAGCAATATTTGTCCTACAGCTACTAGTCGTGGCCCCTGAATCAGACCGAGCTAGCTATAGCATATGGTGTTTACCAGAATATCTGGGCTCCCGAGTCTTCACCTTCTTCATCTGACATTGATGGGCTGGCAGAGATATACAAATCTTGCGAGTCAGTGCTATTTATTGAGCCAGAGAAAGGGACTGTAAACCTGGTCCACCAATCAACCAAGGGCTATCTTCTTAGCACACAGCTGAGAGCCTATTTCGGTTTTATAGAATTTGAGCATGGAAGCAATATAGTTCAGCGTGACGGAACTCGAATCATCAGCAAAGTGGCCAAAAGTGGCCATCATAATGGTATAATGGACAGACCAAAGTTTCAGGAATTTGGGACCTATACGACATCTTCCTAGATTAACAACGCTTTATTGCCTGGGCCCATTGTGATGACGTCCCGACGGTGGGTACGAGTCGTCGAATTTCTGTTAAGCAAGGGCGCTGATTCAAATACCGTGGGCGACGATGGAAATACGCCATTGCATATGGCAGTATCTGAGGGAAATCAAGAACTGGTCAAACTGTTGCTCGACGCCGGTATAGATCTAGAAATATGAGATGGCAAGGGCAAGCAACACCGCTTTGCACGCGGCCGTAGAGCAAGGGAAAACTCGGATATAGCACTGCCTCTTGCATAGAGGCGCTCAAAGATCTACTACTTCGAGGGTTTAACACTGACGCACCGGGAGTCCCCCTTGATACAGATGTTGAAAAGCGCCCCTGGATAGACGTATCTATTGGCGCTCAAAGCAGCTTCTCCAAAATATATAGTACTTCTCCTTTCAATTTACCATGTCACCCCTAGAACCTGGCCCCTCTGGTTTTCTTCGCATGAAATGACTGAGCTCCCGACATTGACTAGAGAGGCATATGTGCAAAGACCCTAGCATCGCCACCGGCATTGCTGTCCTCCGCCTTGATGCGTTGAGTTTGTTCTTCCTAGTACCTGTTCCACAGTGTCGTCATAGCCAAAACATGTATCCATGAAACCAGAGCCTCATGCTGGCCAAGTCTTCATGATCGAGTCCATGACGAGGAATGGCCCTTGCAGGGAAGACGAAGATATCGATCTGGCAGCGAGATGATAGGAGGTGTTTCTCTGTGTTCCAGGGCCGATCTGTAATACCATCCACCAGTATAGCTGTGCAGTGTCCACAACTTGTATTTATAGTATCCGGAGAATACAGCGACATTCCCTGGTTCGACCTGCGTTTAATCGTCGAGTGAATATAATTGGCCTGACGTCGAGTCAAGCAAAGGGCATCGTATAACCAACATGAGTCGCATAACATCAACCCTGCAAGCTGTCGACTCGTATAAACCGCACAGCGAGAAGCCCGAGGCTGGTCTCTTCCATCCCTGCAAGTCTCACGGCAGCTGAGCCCGTCTAGACCTCCGGAGGCCGATCTCTATCCCTAACCGCCATCCACCGGATCGTACAGAGTTGCGGCGTGAACGGATGTAATTATCTGGTTATCGGTCCAGGGACATGAGCTTGACCAGCCAGCAGCCAACAGCGAACAGCCAACAGGTCTCAGAGTAATATCCGTCCAGTCGCCCCGATAATATCATATTCGACCACGGATAATTGCTTCTTCTCGGCTGTCAGAGTCGTCCCGAGCAGCGTTCAGGTGGTCGACGCATGCAGTGCCACATCAGAGGCAGCGCATTACGTACCTAGGGAGGAAAAAGGCCGTCTAGTTACGCGCTGCGCCCCAGTGACTTCATCCGAGTCTTCAGTTTGCAAGGGATCCCGACGCTATCGGCGCGACGATTGGGGGACGCCGGCTGGGCGACTCTGGTCAAGCCTTGGGAGGTCGAAGCTGAAGCCTTGGGATAGAGGCGATTGCGTAGTCGACAGCTTTTTCCGCCGCTGGGGGTTGGCGCTTCTTTTCTACTCCTGCAACATCGAAATCTGCGGACCGGGGTCAGAGAAGACACGATCGATTCGAGGCTGATGAGAGGCTGACATCTGTCTTTTTTTTCTTTGCTGGAGAAGTTCCCTGCACATCCTTCGTTTTATCGTCGCCGATCGCTGGATGGATTTACATCGTGGGGCCAGGACTTGATCTCGATATACTACGGAGTACTACGGAGTACAACAGCATCGTCCGCCTTGATCTCTACTGTTCTTTTTTTTCTTATTCTACTGTTATTATAGCGGGTGTACGCATATTGGGAGTCGGGATCCCGGTACTTAGCAGCTTTCGTGGTTAACGCGTCATCACCATCTCAAAGTTATTGCTCCCCTTCGACCTCTGCCTCTTCACCCATTGCGCAGACCAAGCGTGAACTGGAGGCACCGAGCCTCGATCTGTGTTGGGAATGCGAGCCTTAAGCTGCGTGGTTGCTGTGGTAGCTGCCGCAGCGTCGCTTTTTCAACATGTCGACGGTACCTATTTTGCCTTGCGAGTCCCTTTTTTTGTTGCAGCAGTTACTGACTGATTTGAACCATTCTAGCCCGCTCGCACGCAAGAGACAGACTGAATAGTCTCTCCCGCATCGCTCGACCGGTTATCCATACGCCATCACACCGTGTTCACTCCCATTCGCATTTCGACATCACATTCGAACTTCATCCGAGGAGCCAGCGGATAAAACTACAGCTGGAACCAAACCACGACGTACTCTCCCAGGATGCGCAGGTTACGTTCCTCGACAGCGAGGGAAATGTTGACCGGATAGAGCGTATAGAACGGAGGGACCACCGGGTGTTCAAAGGATGGGCGTGGGTTCAAGGGGAATCCGGGGCGTGGGATAGGGTTGGATGGGCTCGAATTATGATGCAGAGAGACGGAGTTGAGCCCCTTTTTGAAGGTGTGTTCACGGTCATGCACGACCATCATCAGATCATTCCAAAGTCGAAGTACGTGCGAAAGAAACATCGACACGATCCGCCGTTGGATGGTACGCCGGGTGAATACATGCTTCTCTTCCGAGGCTCGGATATAGAGACACAGGGCAACGTTGGACGGTCGATCTCATCCTCGCCTTCATGCGACGCAGACACTCTTTCATACGGTTCCAACTCGGATTTCATGTTTCCTCCCCTCCAGCAGGACAACGACACTAGCCTTTGGGGCTCGCTCATGACCAGCATAAGTAAACGACAAAATTCAGACACAGGTGGCTCCGTTCCTGGTTCACAGGATTTGAGAGCTACTATTGGAAACACAGCTGGATGCCCTAATACCAGGAGGGTTGCCTTGATAGGCGTGGTGGCTGATTGCACCTATACTTCTACTTTCGCCTCGGAAATGGATGCTAAAAAGGACATCATCGCAGTTGTCAATGCTGCGTCGGTTGTGTATGAGCATACGTTTAACATCTCGCTCACCCTTGGAGATGTGAACATTCTTCCCAAAAACTGTCCATCAACGGCCTCATCTGCCACTCCTTTCAACCTAGAGTGTGACGACCGGGTTGGGGTCGAATCTTTTACCCTCTCCGATAGGCTGAATACCTTTTCGGCCTGGCGTGGAAAGAAGACCGACGAGTTTGCGTTCTGGACTTTGATGACCGATTGCACGACTGAAAACCAGGTCGGCTTAGCATGGGCTGCTCAGCTATGTGTCAAGGGTGTTCAAGGGGATGCGAATACCCGCAACTCCAGCTCACAGGCTGTTTCGGGTGCCAACGTGGTTTCCAAGACGGATAACACCTGGCAGGTTTTTGCGTAAGTAGAATGTCTCATAACACCGTGTATATGAACTCTTGTACACCGAATTATACTAACTATAGCCAAAGTCACGAAGCCGGCCACATATTTGGAGCAGTCCATGACTGTGACACCGCCCTCTGCCGTGATCAGTCTAACCCGGATAATTCTAGATGCTGTCCCTCTACCGCAACTACGTGTGATGCAGGTGGCAGGTTCATGATGAATCCAACTTCCGGAAAACAAATTACCGCCTTCTCACCTTGTTCGGTTGGCCAGATATGTTCTCGGATGGCACGACACACCATTCTGACTAACTGTCTCACCACTAACCGTGGAGTCGATACAATTTCAGGTCGACAATGCGGCAACGGCATCGTCGAAGATGGCGAAGACTGTGACTGCGGCGGCCCTGAAGGCTGCAAGGGCAACACATGCTGTGACCCCAAAACCTGCAAGTACACAACAGGCTCTCAGTGCGATGATGCAAACGAAGAGTGCTGCAGATCCTGCAAGTTTGCATCTAGCTCGACCATCTGTCGTGCCAGTAGTGGACCCTGTGACCCCAATGAAATGTGTACCGGGAATGCGGGCGATTGTCCTCACGATATTCACTCTGCGGATGGTAATACATGCGGAACCAACCTGCAGTGCGCCAGTGGCCAATGTACGAGTCGAGACCTGCAGTGCCAAATGCACCTAGGGAACCAGGTTGCTGGCAATAGAACAGTTGCTTTCGATTCGTATGGCTGTGAAGTGGCTTGCAAAAACCCATCCAGACCGAATGTACGGTATGAAGGTAGTCTAACCTTCCTCGATGGAACGCCATGCGGAGGGGGTGGTACATGTCAAAACGTAAGTGATTCCATGCATTGATATACCTTCCGCTACATGTGTAATTCTTCCGTTAAACAGACCCGCTAACCTCTCCCGCGTCACACAGGGTGCATGTACCGGCAGCTCATTCAACAACGAAGTCTCTGAGTGGGTGGAGCGCCATAAAGCAATCGTCATCGGCGTATCGGCCGGAATAGGCTGTCTCCTGCTTCTAGCCATTGCTTCATGTATCCGCAGACGAATCAGAAGACCTAAGCCCAGAAACAGGAAGATGGCGCCTATAAATATGCGTCCCATCCCGCCTGTCTACAACGGATGGTCCGGCCCTCCGCCTCCTAACGGTCATCGACAGCAAGGAGGACCCCCATACAATGTGCCTCCGCCAGTTAACGCCCCTCCACCGGCATACCCAGGCCGTATGCCATCAACACGATACGCCTGACCCTAACTTAAACATATTCTCTATTTACTATTTTTGCATCTACCTACCTTCTTCCATTGTTTTATACCAGCGTCCTTTTTTCTGCTTTAGAATGCATGGATGTGATGGGCCAGGGAATGGTACCTGTACAGGTTTATACCGAGCTCGTGATCTCAGCAATGGGATAAGGAGGTTTACACAGTACTAGTACTTGTGTCAGTTTACTTTCCTTGTCGACTGCTGCTTTCTCCTGCTTCAGTGTTCTATTGGATGAATAACGGCCATATTTCCTACCGGCGTTCGTGGGAGGTTTTCTCAATTGCATGTATATTCGCGCGGAGCGTTGTGTTGGCTCCATATATATCACTGATTATAAATGACATACTTCACATTTACATAACATTACAATGATATCGAATAAATATTTTCAATAGCTGATATAACCCTCGCGGCAAGGAAAAGGGAGCACTGCCACATATTTCTGCCAACAGCATCACACTTACGCATACTATCCATAAGAGGTCCAACTCCATGCCCAAGTCAAGAAAACAACAAATCAAATCATCTTTTCCTCCCCTCATACGCCGTAACGTTTCAAACACCAAACGTGGGTTAAGAACGAGATAAAGAGGCCCCTATACGAAATATCACTGTAAACATATACCCACAAATCCTTCTCTGGTGACACCGCCAACACCTTCCAAATCAAATTCCTCAATCATAGCTCTCAGTTCGTCCTCTTCCAGCCCTGTTTCACCCAGTTCACGCGCTACCCGTCTCAGATCCTCAAGGTCTATATATCCTTTCCCTCCCTCGTCGAACAATTCAAAAGCGCGTAATATTTCTTCTCGTGGGTCTCGCTCTAGAATCTTACGTGCTGTGACTGCTTGAAAGGAGGTAAGGGGCATTAATAGTGAAGACGGATGTGGTGGAGCCTGCTGTTGCCTTGATTGTTGTTGCTGTTGCTGCGGGCTTGGTGTCCTAGGAACGCCATATGTTGTTAGGAGTGAAATCAGGTCCGGTTTCGATAGTGTGAAGCCAAGTGCGCGGAAAGCAACGCGGAGTTCATGATAATCGAGGTGTCGGTCCCGGTCAAGATCGAAGAGTGTGAACTATCGAAGTGTCAATAAATATACCAAGACAATGACACCGCAAACCCACGGTAAATAGATATACGTACAGCCTCATTAATCTCCTCCCTCTGCTCTTCCGAAAGATCGTTTAACGGATTATTGACGTTGTTATTATTGTTATTGTTGCCCGCATTCGCGCCAACTCCCCCCATTACGCCACCACCTTGATGCTGCCCTTGCCCTTGAATCTGCGAGTGTGTTTGGGGACCACCTGCCCCAGCACCTGGATGTAGCTGATGGCCTTGTGATTTTCCTGCGCCGTCGCCGAAATCTCCTCGCTCGCGACGCGATAGAACGGATGATCCAAAGGGGAGTGGATTGTTGGAATTAAGAGGTCGGTCCGGCAGTTTACCTGCGTTGGCATATACGGAGCGTGGAGCAAAGGACGGATGTGAAGATGAGGCCATGGTATGTCTTGAATTTAGGGACTTTGCGCCCTCGAGACGGGAATAAGTCTATACGGGAATAATTCTGGGGGCTGGGTATGTGGATTCGGTACGTGATTAACGACTAGGGTGTGAAATGCTTCATATAGATGGAGTCAGGATGAAAAAGTTGCTCGCCCAGGAATTTGAGCGCAGTTTATTGCGTCAAGGCTGTGGATGTCCTATTCGCCTGGTCCGGCTGCTCTTGATGCCCTTCCCGCGGTCTCTTGTTCGTGTTTTAAGATGCGTCTTTGAGAAGTTTCGCGGACGCGACGAGGATTACTAAGCAGCTACAACCACAGGTCTGAGTAGGTCTAAGTCGATGGGTATATCTGAGGGTCGAAAAGACAGGTTAAAAGGTGATTTAGAGGTAAGGACTTGCTAGAGACCTCTGAACTGATCTAAAATACACTCATAGGTAGTTGACGCAACTGGAATTTTAAAAATAGCGGCCGACTTGGGCGTAGACAGGTGTACGGAGAAGAAGCATCATTTTAAGATGACTGAGAAAAAGCACGCCTGGATGCTGGGAATTATACGCGCCTTAAAGCCTTTGGATTCATCAGAGAGCTGGATATATGTTGTATCCATGTTGACTTGTGATTGAGGAGCGAAGAAAGGAACGCTTGAATATGCGAGACGCAAAGATAACTAACAAAATGGAGCTCAGTATACTCGATATAAAAGCCTATACTCTAGACAATATTCACTTTATATACATAACTCCCTTCTTTGCCATCTTAAGAGTGTCTTCACGCTTTTCCTTAGGGAAAAAGATAAAGAATAAAGGTGTTTAATGGCTTCTAATATGGACCTCCTTGATATAAATGGTTTCTCATTCTAGGTCTGGGTCTATCCGAGTCCCAAGATCGAGGTCTTCGAGAAATCTCTTTCCGGTGAGCTTGTCAGGCAGGTATGCTTGCACGACTTTTCCATCCTTGTAGTCAGGGTTGTATTTATACTCCTTCCCATAGCCGATCTCCTTCATAAGCCGCGTAGGGGCATTTCTCAAGTGAATAGGAATCGGTAAGCCTGCTATCCCGGGCTCTTCCAAGCTAGCCATTGCATTTGCCAAACCTCTGTAAGCTCGTGTACTTTTTGGAGCCAAGGCCATGGCAACAGTGGCATGGGCTAGGTTTATTCTTGCTTCTGGGAGGCCTATCTTCTCGACAGCAGTATATGCAGCGGTAGCTAGTGATAGCATAGAGTTATCGGCCAGTCCGATATCCTCGGAAGCAACAACTATGAGGCGGCGCGCGATGTATAGCGGGTCCTCTCCCGATTGAATCATCCGGGCAAGATAGTAAAGAGATGCATCGGGGTCACTTCCACGTATGGACTTGTGAAAGGCAGATATCGTGTCGTAGTGTTGATCGCCTGCCCGATCATACACCAGCGTTCGAGTTAAAGACTTCTTCAACTCCTCTTTGGTCATATCTTCTCTCTGGGAAAGGTCCATTGCTAGCTCTAATAGGTTGAGAGCCGTTCGGGCATCGCCATCAGCAAAGGCCGCAAGGTATTGGATAAGTTCATCGTCAACCATTTCCGATGGAGAGTAATTTGGTCCTTCGACACTCAGAGCACGGTTGAGTATAGAACAAACATCACTTTCCGTGAGCTTTGCCAACGTAAACGTTCGGCACCGTGATAGGAGCGCATTCTGGACCTTGAAAGACGGATTCTCAGTCGTAGCGCCTATCAGCGTAATCTGCCCATTCTCCACGGGCCCAAGGAACACGTCTTGCTGAGCCTTGGTAAATCGATGGATCTCATCACAGAATATAATCGTCTTCCGCCCCGTTAGGCTGAGCTCATTCCTTGCCTCTGCAAATAGCTTCTTGCACTCAGCCACACCAGTACTCGTACTGTTGATTTCAACAAATCGACTCCCCACCATGCTGGCTATCACTCTTGCAACGGTCGTTTTGCCCGTTCCTGCACTGCCCCAGAGGATCATGCTAGGAACCCGGTCCCGTTCAATCAGGCCACGCAGTACTCCATTTGGGCCTACTAATTCTTGGCCGTATACGTCGTCAAGGGTCCGTGGCCTCATCCGCTCTGCCAGCGGTGCTGATTTTTGCAATGCGTTAAAAGGCTTGGGACGCTTCGCGGAATGATCATTATTACCGCTGTTGAAAGGCGATGGGGATGCAGGGACTCTTAGGGCAGCACTTCCGAGTGTAGGAGTAGCAGGCTCCTCCTGGGAGAAGGGCCTTTTCCCAGTCCCGGCCTTGGATGGCTGGAGATTGGATACGCCATTTGACCGTTCAGTCGACTTCTGGGCTGCTGCTTTCTTGGAACTCGTTGGTTGGAAGAAGTTAGGGATGGCACTGGATGGGCTAGGTTGGGGTTGTGATGAGCCCTCGGCAGGTGAAGACTGGCTCTGAGAGACATCAAGGAATTTCTCGCATCCTGAGTCGATGTGTTCGTTTATCTTGCTCGCTTTGACGGGCTTTGAACAAATTGGACAGCTCGGTCCCATATCGTCTCGGGGCACCACCACTACGGTGACTAGAGCTGATCAGCAAGCTTCAGGTCATTACTCAAATGAAGGGCTTTCAAGATAGAGATTATTGCATCAAAAATCCCTCCTTGTACTAGCTGGTTTGGCCACTTTTCTCTCACGGCCATGAAGAACGCGGTTGTCGAGAGCTGAGAGACACGCAGCTAGGTTCGCTAGGCGCTTAGTTAAGCTTAAGCTTAACCACACACGCGTTAGTTAGTTACGCGTTAAGTGCTTATTATGACGCCTAATGACTACATTTGCTGTAAGATAGCTATAAATTGTAAGAAACATTTTGAGTGTTAGGGAAAACTGGCTGCTACTAGGAAATTAAATGCAAATATAATATTGAACTACGCGGCATTATAGGAAAAGGAATAGAAATATGAAAGCAAGATAATTCTCCCCTGACTTGATACTCATGTTCCACCGAACGTCTGTCATGCCAACTTCCCCACCCGCTTCCACGCCGGTTGCAGCGTAATTCGTTATGGAAAGCCATACCCAGCCTCCATACGCAATCGTCCATCAAGCGGTGACATCATCAACCCTGGGGAGAAAAGGTAGCGTAAGTTGCAGCATTAGGGATATCTAGCTCCGCCACAAGTGCTGCTCTGTTACCGTTGACCTCAATGAGCCTCCCGCACTTTCGGTGGTGGTTAACCAAGTCGTCCCATGCGCAGGTAACTTTTGAGTTTTTATTGCTCTTGACCATCATCTTGTTTCCAACAATCACAAGCCCGTTTTTTGCCCGGCTCAGCGCGACACATTGTCGCTGGAGATCTGCAACAAATCCTAATCCATAATCCCTTCCGGGTCGCGTCGTCGAAACGATGACTATGCTATTCTCGTTGCCTTGCGAAGCATCGACGCTTTGAATAAGGATACCACTGAAGCGAAGCGTTTGGTTAATGAATCGTTTGAGGACGTACAACTCTTCGCTGTAATATGTTAAAATGAGGATATCTTCCTGCGGGCACTTCTGATCATTCACGAGGCCTGATACAAGGGCGGCAATGGCGGTGATATACTCGGGGTTGAACACGGAGCTCCCGTTTTTCCTTTTCCAGACTGTGGATCCCGAAACAGACAAGAAAAATGAGGCCCCGGAAGAAGTTTTATAGGTTTTCTGCATATGGTCTGAGAATAGACTAGCATCTGGTCGAACCACCCTTGGCCCGTCGATAAGTTTGTCGTTGTAAAATGTAGTGTTCACAAAGGCTGAGATGTCCGGATGCATGCGGTATTGCGTTCTCAATGCGACACCTGGAACGCCTGTCTTCAATAACCGCTCAAAGAGCGATAGTTTATCCGACTCGTAAAACTCGTTACGGTTAAACGACGTGACAGTTGGAGGGAGTTGTGCGGCATCCCCACTAAGTACCACCTTCTCCAATGACGAGTAATATTTGACGATCCCGTTTAGACAGGTTGCCTCAGTGAGCTGGGAAGCTTCATCCACTATGACGATTGCAGGTTTGAAGCCTCGGAGGGACTTTCGGCTCGCCGTCGAAGCAGTGCAAAATATGATTCTAGCTTGTGAGACGTATAATTCTTGCAACCGCAACCACGCAGCTCGCTCCGCAGATATCAGTATACGAACTAGTTCGTCGGCATCTTCAGGCTCAAGCTCTACAGGCTCTGTGTATAGATACCCTCTGTCCGAAAGTAATTTTCTGTATACAGTGTAGGAGTACAGAATTTCAAGTTCCTTCTCCGGGATTTCTTTTGGGTTTTGGGCCATAAGTTGCAAGCGAGATAGAATGTAAGATCCTAACGATGACTCAGAAGCGGTGGATGTTTGAATGGATTTCTGAATCAATTTGAACTCTTCTTCGTTGATTCCAACTCGTTTAAGTTGCTCCATTTCCCTGGTGAACTCAGGGACAGGAACGGAAGTCAAGCGTCCAACTCCTGGTGCATTCTGGGTATCGGAACCCTCTCCAAATTCGGTATTAAGACGATATACGCCCGGCACGCGCAGTACAGATTTCGGCAAGCCCTCCTTCAGCTTTTCGTTTATGCGTCGGAAGAGAACGTCCAGCCCGTGGTTGGACCCACAAATAACCAAAACAGGCCTTTTCTCTCGATAACAGTGAACAGCCACTATCATTGACACTTTAGTTTTCCCTGTGCCAGGAGGGCCCGTGACAAGGGAGAAGAAGTCCCTATAAGACGTATTAGGTTTGAGAGCCAACTCGATGGCAGCACGCTGTTCCGTATTTGCGACATCAAGCTCTTTTAGTTTTTGGAGCAGCGTCCTTGCTGCAGTAGGAAGATTTCCATGATTAGGATGGAAACGGATTGTGTGGTTGTCCTTTGCTAACAATAAAGTTTTGATATTATTGTTGCCTGGAATTCCGAAATCTTTGTTTCCGTACATTGCCATTCTTATGGCTGATCTGAGCTGAACAAAGATCGGGTTTGGTTGTCCGAAGATCACTGAGCCAGTTATATGGAGAATCTCCCCTGTTGAAGGGATACGATCCGATCTTTTCAGGCGAACGCAGATCGCGTTCTCTGGGACTTTTGCTGTATCAGGAAACTTAGGGGTTTCGATGACTACTCCGGTCCATTCATTTGGGGGCGCGAACGGTGTCCGGGTCCTCACAATTTGAGAGCCTCCGCAGCGAGTGTCTAGCCCAGACACCTTCACACGGACCTGTATTCCCGGTGTGGGTAGTGATGGGCTCTGTTCAGCGGCTGCATCCATGGGCCGCAGTGTGGCGCTTGGGTCTAAGAGTGCGTAGAAATATTGGCTGAACTCTTTACCTAATGTAGAATGAATGAACGCCGATGGCCATAGGTCGAACGAATAAGTTCTGTTAAAATGTCTGCTATAATTAGCCTGCTGATGGGTTGCTTCACGGAGCAGACCCGTGACCTTGAATACTTCGTATTGTCTCTCATTGATGAAGGTAAGGGGAGCATTAACCGAGATGAATACTTCTGGTTTTGCAAAGCCAGGAGGATTGTTCACCCATCCTCGGTTTCGAGACTGGTTTTGCTCCCTGATCGTGGATTGTTCTAGCGGCGGTGGCACATTAAGTGGTGAGAAGCGTCTTTGCTCAACCACGAACCTGCAGTCGTAGTTTGGATAGTAGCCAGGTGTTGGATCAGGCATTGATGTGACATGTCTCCAGTAGTCGAATAAATCCTGGCGCACCCTCGTCACAATATGAACCTCCATGCCTGCATTTCGAAACCGATCAAAGGTATAGTGTGCGGCTTTTTGACTTTTAGAGAACGCATCTATGGTGGCTTTCGGAATGTCGAACCCGATGATGTAGGGCGCAGTAGAATGAGTCCACTCGATAAAGTAACCTTTTTCGCCTTCAAGCCCATTACAGTATGTCGCTGTGGCTTTATTGAGAATGCATTCAGATAGCTTTACATTTTGCAAGCGGCTAGAAAATGTATAAGCTGTGTTTTGAACTGGAGACGCCGTTGGCTGTCGATTACCCTTGAAGCCCTGCTCCCCAAAGGCAGTCCAGATGGCAGACATGACAAGGTCGCAAGGCGGGTCAGTTGCTATCTTCTTCAGGGTCATGTCCAGCCTGAAATGAGGAATGTCGCTTCCTCCTCTTATGGAAAATTTGAGGCCGACGTCGGGTGAAACTGAGATGAACTGGAAATTTTCGGAGGTCGCCAGTCGTTTACAACGAAGGCCGCACACCAACTCCATCTGGAAATCTTGATATCTCTGAAGTGAGATAGTCCAGGCCCTGTGCTTCCTGCCTTGCGCGTAAGTCTTGTTGAAGACGCTGGGGTCAACGCCGGAGAAAGCATTATACCACTTCGGCTCGAGGGTTTCGGTGAAGTTGATCTCGTTGAGATGGTTGCCGGGAGTAGACATTTTGATAGCGAATAGCGGTTGTCGTAACGATTCTGTGAATGTAAAAGAAAGATAATGTGTTGGTTTTGGTTGCTTAGAAGGAGGATGGGGGTTTTTATAAACAACGAGTCCGGGCAGTGAATAGAAGGCAGGTGAGTTTTTTTTTCAATTCACTTTCAAAATAAGAGTGAGCAGTGAATAACACAAAACAAAACAAAGGAATTTCCAACGTGTTATGGCCAATCTAGATAGCTAGATTTCTGCATAAGATTCGATACAGGCTTAATGCTGGTGTACCTATCTTTCTGCATAAGATTCAATACCGGCTTGATGTTGGTGTACCTATCTTTGCTTGCATAAAGCTATATGTAGACTACAGCTTCCCCTTTTCTTGTTTAGCTAGGTGATTCGCCGCTTGTTTTCTTTCACTTGAAATTGATATATTCCTATGCAAAGAAGGGTATATACAGCAGCATTAGGCGGATATCCCTAGATCTTGGCAGCTCATATGGGGTATTTTCTCTCAACTTCGAGTTTTGGCAATACATTGCCAAAAGTCCCTTGTTTTTAGCCTGCGCTAAATTAACTGTTCTGTATTTGTGTTGCTCAACGTTGATTGAATGTCCTTCGGTCCCTTCTTGTACCTACCTAGGTATCTAGGTAACTAGGTCTCAGAGGGCGCCAATCAACCGATAGGGTGGCGTTTCTACGGAACACAGCGGAACAGCAACAAAATACTATAAAACCTAGAACTATATAATTAGGAGCTCAAAATAGGTATAGAATAAATAAAGATGATAGTCTCTAGGTCTACTAGCTATTTTAGGCCTCTATATATGTGTGTGGAAAGGGCTAACACTACGATGAGCCGTGTGCAATGTGGATATGCTAGGGGGCTAGTGGCCGTATGAAATCACGTGATATAGTATATCCGACAGTTCGGTAGGCAGGTAAAAATATCTGCTGACTCAGCCAATATTTTTACCTGCGGCTGTATATAATGAAATACGCTTAAATTCATCTGTTTCATCGGACGAGGAGATAGAACACAATGGCCTAGTATCTAGGGGTGGTGGTTAGCGATAGAAGCGAGTTATATAGAGTATATATCCACAGATGCATGTATCACACTTAACTCTAACAGTAGTTAAAGAATAGGATAGGGATAATAACTTAGAATGCTCTAATAGCAGCAAAGATTTCTTCTGCAAGTCTAATAATGTCAACTTTTGCATTTCTTAAGATAAGTTTACCTAAAGCTTCATTACAGCCATACGTTATATAATCCTGCCTAGGTTTTGTTGCTGGATATCTTATTTCAAACGCTTATTTTTATAGATAGCTCAATAGTGACCACCAACACATTGCTGCTCTTTAGCTAAGATATCCTTGGGAAATGGGCTAGATTATCGATACAATGAGTGGACTTAAGGTAAATTGGCGGCACATTCACGCCTCATAGGTACTGACACAAGGAGTTGCGGGATGTTGGGCTTAGGGGCTAGATTTTGCTCATAATAGATAGAGTTGCTAAGCTTGACATGGGAATACACATATATTGGTCAAATTTACCTCGTTCCAGTCCTGCTATAGCAGAAAATGCGCTGGTATAGACAGGAGGGAAGATATAGAAATGATATTCTTTACATGATAGTATTATATATACAGCATGTATATTAAGTAGGAAAAAGAATAACAATAATAACAAGAAGAATAATAAGCTATATCTAGATATCTAAGTGTTCTCACTCATCTACTCAAGTTTCTGAATATTTAGAATGTCCTGACCCCTCCTCTCGCGTTCCCGGAACCTGATAGACATGTCCTGACCCCTCCTTTCGCGTTCCCGGAACCTGATAGACATGTCCTGACCCCTCCTTTCGCGTCACTGTCTTTGCCTTGTGACTATTGTTGATTTCCTCTTTGGGCTCATGCTACTGCTCTTTCCTCTTTGGGGCATGTTTGGTGCGTTTGCCCCTGGCTCTTGCCAGGCTATAAAAGCAGCTCCTCGCCCTTCCCCCCCCCTCTTTTTTTCTTCCTCTTTCACCTCTGTCTCTGTGTCTTCTTTGTGTATACTCTCCTGGTGTCCAACTGCGTCAAGCCGCGAGGCTGGCCGGTACACCATTTCAGAAGCCCAATCTCTCCTCTCGGTGATCATCTCTCAGGACCTGCCAGCTCAGCCTTCCGTGTGTATACTCTCCTGGTGTCCAACTGCGTCAAGCCGCGAGGCTGGCCGGTACACCATTTCAGAAGCCCAATCTCTCCTCTCGGTGATCATCTCTCAGGACCTGCCAGCTCAGCCTTCCGTGTGTATACTCTCCTGGTGTCCAACTGCGTCAAGCCGCGAGGCTGGCCGGTATACCATTTCAGAAGCCCAATCTCTCCTCTCGGTGATCATCTCTCAGGACCTGCCAGCTCAGCCTTCCGGGTGTATACTCTCCTGGTGTCCAACTGCGTCAAGCCGCGAGGCTGGCCGGTATACCATTCCAGAAGCCCAATCTCTCCTCTCGGTGATCAGCTCTCACGACCTGCCAGTTCAGCGTATGCTGTCTGCTCTGGCCTTTCCCTTCTACCCACTCTAGATCTGCTGTCTCCGCTCCCTACATTCTCTCAGTAAGTCTGCCTCAACCCATGACTTGACGTCGAGATGACTAATTTATTGATAAGCAGAAAATGAAACGCCACTTGGATGCAGAAAACCGTGGCACACCACCAAAACGTCATCAATCAGGTCATGAAAAAAAACCACTCCAGGTAAGTCTATATCGTCATCCTTTTGCCGCAGACTAGTATCTAATGATATAAAAGGAGTGGTCAGGCTGCGTGCACAAGATGGTAGCTGCTGAAGAAGGCGTTACCCGAGAGCAACTTAGTACCAAGCTGCTACATCCAACCCCTATGATTTTCGACGAGGAGCGCCAAGTTTTTGGCAACGGTGCAGGAGTCAACGTCTTGCAGCGCCTAGATAAATTAGAACAGCGCATCGAACAGGGCCTCGCAAATTTACAAAAGGATGTCGACGATAAACACCTCCTAACAATGCGCCTTATCCGCGCTCCCGTTTACGACCAAGTCAATAACGACATCATAGATCCCAAACTGCGAAAAGAACGAAATGAACTCGCACATGGTGGAGCCATCATAACAGACCTAGAAATTATTCGTCATTTGCAGAAAGGCGGAAACATATCCACGTCATGGTATGCCGGCTTCAATAAACTATATGGAATCTCGCACACCATCGCAGACGGAGTACCACAATGCCCAAAAATGGCGAAGCTTCTTGATATACATGCCAATGTTTCCCGTCTGCATGCATATATCGATCAGCCTATGAGCGAGCCTATCATCAAGAAATGTAAACTGATTATTAAGATGTGGGAGTCTGCGTGTAGCCAGGGCCGTGATCCGGCCGCCATTTTCGAGGTTCCAACTGTTGCAACTACCTATAATTGTATTCTAAATGACTTTGATAATTTATAATTCCTCCTCTGTCCTTCAACTTGCCCTCAGGCTTACCCGCTCTTTACTGGGTGGTATCGGTGCTATTTTATTAAGTGGCTATCGAGTGGTGATTTGTTGAATTAAATAAATATAGCAAGCCGCAAAGGCGCCCTTCGAGAGCTACATGGTCTGGGGAGGAGCTAGAGGCTAGAGAGGCAGGTAAAGTGCAGTATTGTGAAGTTGAGGGTAATGATCATTATATGATACAGCTATGCACCAAAGGAGAGAACGTTCTGGTCTGGATCCACGGAAAGAGGAGACACGCATGGCTTGCACACTTAATAATAAAAAGTAGTTAAAGAGAAAACTTAAGCAGAAATCCAAGTTGATGGTGCTTGCCAGTCACAATTTGGGGTTTTAATTATTCTACGGAGGTTAAAGAGAATTAAGAAATGGAGCCTGGGGCCTATGGTGGATAGGATTTTCATCCAGTCTTTTACCTACCTGAGGCTTGCTTCTCAAAGCTCATTTTGCCATTTCGACCTTAGCATTCAGTAACTTTTCATAGTTTGTCTTTTTCTGGAAGGGTTGTGTAGGCACGGTCGAAGGCTTGGATATTAGGCTAAGGGTTGAGATGAGAGAGGATTCAATGCGAAAGGTTTGTAGATCAACTAGCATAACGGAAACTTATTAGTTAAAGGCGGGCCCTAAGAGAAATACCTTTTAGTTAAAAAGTACTAGGCTCACCATCTAAGCTCCCCCTAAGCCTTCTCGATAGCTTACTCTCTAGGATTACTCTAGGCTTACCTCTAGGCTTAGTCTCTGGGCTTACTCTATACGCTTAATTTCTAGGCTAAGTATATAGGATTTGGATATCTTAAGGGCTGGCTTAATTAAAATGTATAGATAACCAGAATGTGTGGCCATATCATCACCCTTTGCTGTACGGAGTATCACCATTATAATAAGAGGAACCTTGCTATCTCGGTGACGTCGCGATATCGCCGAAGTCCCGCGGTCTTGGCACTCCATCGACTAAAACAACGAACGCGGGCATCAACTGCTTCAAAACACCAAAGTAACAGAGATATATCTGTATGTTGCATCTTCCCGACGGTTTCCAGCATCGTCCATGCTCTCTCGTAGCTGTGTTCTAAGAGGAACATCAGTTCTCCGACACCATATACCACTCCAAGGACTAAATTCGATTCACCCATCGCGCCGCAGTGCCCCTCCTACGCTGCGAGCCACCATGTCTTCCACGGCTGTTTGCAACGACCTCTTCCAGCCCGCACGAAGGGTTGCTGGACAAAGACAGGATGTTTGGTGCGTATGTTTTATACCACTTTCCTTGACGTCTGAACCTAATACGACATTATAGGTCAATTGTCAATGAAGCCGCGGCTGCGTCTCCCGTTCAGCCAATCGTGAACATGGGACAAGGATTCTTGTACGTATGGCATCTAGCCTCTATAGCTGAGCAGTACATCGGCTCCTGTTTGGTGGTTTATATGGCTTTGAGCCCTTCTAATTGATGCATTAGCGGTTATAATCCTCCCCAATATGTAATTGATGCTGCCAAACAGGCAGTTGAGACCGTTGAATCTAACCAATATGCTCCAACCAAGGTAATTATTGATACTCGGCACTCCTACATATGAAATGTTTGGTCAATGCTAATGTATATATAGGGACTTCCACGTCTCAAGAAGGCCATTGCGGATGCTTACTCGCCATTTTTTGGACGAGAGCTCAACCCCAACACCGAGGTTGTCGTTACTAGTGGTGCTAATGAAGGTGAGCATCTGAAAAAGGGCCTTTGTTCCATACGGATCTAACACTGCTATCTCTAGGAATGCTGAGTGCCTTCATGGGCTTCATTGAACCCGGCGATGAAGTTATTATTTTCGAGCCATTCTTCGACCAGTACGTCTATGATCTAGGACAAACTCTATAGATAAGCAAGCTAACATATCCTTCATAGATATATAAGCAACATTGAGATGCCAGGAGGCAAGATCAGATATGTTCCACTCCACCCCCCGAAAGATGGTGCCCAAAAGACGTCTTCTGCCTCGGCGTGGACCATTGATTTTGACGAGCTGGAGAGGACAATCAACGAGAAGACGAAGATGATTGTACGTACCCTGTTCTGCTCATATATATATTTCCTACTAACTGCCAAGTCAGGTTCTTAATACTCCGTGAGCAATTCCGTTGTTCCTTTACTCCTCTTGACCCTATCATTCTAACTATATCAGCCATAACCCCGTGGGCAAAGTCATGTCCCGTGAAGAACTCGAGAAAGTAGCAGACCTCTGCGTTAAACATAACCTTATTATCCTCTCTGATGAAGTGTATGACCGTTTATTCTACGTCCCTTTCACTCGGATGGCCACCCTCTCACCCGAGGTATCCAAACGAACCCTCACCGTTGGGTCTGCGGGCAAGAACTTTTACGCCACCGGCTGGCGTGTTGGTTACCTCATTGGCGAAGAACATCTCATCAAGTACGTCTCTGCTGCGCACACTAGGATCTGTTACAGCAGCGTGTCACCATTGCAGGTTGCGACTGCTGTTGGATTTGAGAAGGCAGACGAGATGGGCTTCTGGGACGAGAGCCGGAAGGAGATGCGCGGAAAAGTCGAGAAGTTCTGTGAGATATTTGACGAGCTCGGTATCCCCGTAAGTGACACCTCTGCGTGTAACCGTGTCACCCCGTAAGTGTCAACTAACATGGTGATCCCCTGACTAGTACTCTGACCCCGAGGGCGGTTACTTCGTCCTTGCCAACATGGCCAGTGTAAAGTTCCCAGAAGACTACCCTTTCCCTCCCCACGTCGCCAGCCGGCCGCGCGATTTCAAACTATCCTGGTTCCTGATCAAGGAGGTTGGCGTCGCCGCCATCCCGCCAACAGAGTTCTATACCGATGCCAACGCCCACATCGCCGAAGACTATCTCCGATTCGCCGTCTGCAAGCCCGACCATGTTCTAGAAACAGCCAAGGAGCGGCTCCGCGGGCTAAAGAAATACATCCAGTAGGAGCAGCCTTATGTCGCCGTATGTAGGATAATCCTCTAGAACCACACAGCATAGATCTATCTTATTGCTCTTTGTATCGATGTTTTCTGGCCAAAGTTGCGCCGTTGGTAGTGTATCGGCAGGTACTAGCCCCTTTGAGCTTGGCGGACGGAATTTGCTTGGACCACGGTTAAATCATCGACCGCGAACCAACGTAGAGATAGCGAAAACACGAGAGACCAGCTGCTTCTCGGCCTTCGTTTCGAGACCAGAGGTTGAAAGTACCGGCAGAGGCGGCGACCTGAGCTGAAGCTCGCGACGAGTCCGAGACAAGGAAAATCCATCTCGCCCAGGTATCTATCCTTAACTATTTTTCACGCCACGGCCCAGCCTATCGCAAACTTCACACGAAATGGGTGAACAACAGAATATATCTCAGATACTGGCAGCATTAGGTACAATAGCTTCCCTCTCAGCTTCCTTCCCCCCCTTTATCTGGGTCTTAACTCATCAGCGTTGGGCTGAGCATCCTTGATTTCGAATTTTTTGCTAATTGAATTTGAACTCTAGCTGCCGTTCGACCTGCTGCTGGTGGCGCGCAGTATAATACCGGTGCCGCACAGTCAAGTGCTCCTCCGCCGCCATCTACAAATGCCGGAGGCTACACCTTGCCACAGCCAGATAGCACTGGCAGTTTGAATATTGGCGGCGTGACACCTGCCAATGCCGGCCCGGTTAGCATAGCTGATGCAATTGCAAAGGCACGAGGAATTGCCGCCGAGAAGGGAATTACATATAAGCCTACTCCAGGTGAGCGTTTGTCATCCCGTCTACACTCTCTTTTTACTTTTATTTTTACGCACGGGGTATTAACAGTTGATTAGCGCAATCCCGAGATACAGGTTCTCGGTCATATCGACGCTCGCGATCGCCCTCTAGAACACCACCGCGCACTTCCACTGGTCGAGATGTGTTTAGAGATGGATACAATCCTTACAGAGACGAACGCCGCGGAGCTGATAGACGTGGTGCCGGTGATCGTGGATATGCACGAGAACGATCGTCATCTCCTCGACCAGACGCGCGGGGCGGAGAGGCATACTCCCCTCTACCCAACAGACATTACAGAGCGGCTGGCGACAGGTCTCCGCCGCCACGTAGCCGAGCATCGGGGCCAGACGACAATTCCGAGACCATCGAGATAGACAACAAGTTGGTGGGACTGATAATTGGGCGTCAGGGAGAAAATCTTCGACGAATCGAGGCTGATACCGGTGCTCGTGTACAGTTCCTTGACAGTCCCGAACATAACAAGAGTATCCGACTTTGCAGGATATCCGGCTCGAAACCAGTCAGAGACGAAGCAAAGGCAGAGATAGACCGTGTCGTCAGCGAAGGAAACCAGTCTCGTGGCGGTGGAGGCCAACAAGGCGACCGATCTGGGCAAGACGGCGGAAGACCAAAGCCTGGAGAAGGAGACGGCTCCGATTCCATGCAGATCATGGTTCCTGATCGAACGGTTGGACTTATCATTGGTCGATCAGGCGAGACTATCAAAGATCTCCAGGAACGAAGCGGATGTCGGGTTAATATCGCCCGCGATGGAGAAAGTGTGAACGGTCTAAGGCCAGTTAGCTTGACGGGATCTCAACAGGCTATGCAGCACGCCAAAGAACTTATATTGGGTATCGTGGAGAGCGACTCAAGGCAAGGTGGGAACCAAGGTCCGCGGGAGCCAAGAGGTCAAGCTATGGGCGCAGAGAGCGGAGGCGGAGATGGAGATAAAATCAATGATAAGATTTTCATCCCAAAGGAATCTGTTGGCATGGTCATTGGCAAAGGTACGTATCTGGTGGACATTCTTCATACTCATGCAAAGCTAACATGCGACTGTAGGAGGAGAAACCATAAAGGAGATACAGAGTTTCAGCGGCTGCAAAATCAACATATTGCCACTTGTTGGTCGAGAGCCTGAGAGGGAAGTGACACTCTATGGCGCCCAGACTGCAATCGACGCGGCGAAGAGGGCTATAATGGCAAAGGTCGAGGCTGCGGTACGCATAACCCCCCTACGACCCATTATAATCATGTATATTCTAACGTCATCAAAACATAGCAGAAGAGCCGTTCACAGGGCCCTCGACGTGATGATTCTTACAACCAGCAACCCCAGTACCAACAACAGCAACAGCAACAACCCTATTCCCAGGATCCCAACTCCCAGCAGCAGCAACAACACGCAATGCAGCCAGGTGCCGGAGAAGCAGCAGATCCATACGCTATGTACGGCGGCTACGAAAACTACATGGCCATGTGGTATGCTGCCATGGCTCAACAACAGCAACAACAGCAGCCACAGTACCCTCAACACCCAGGCGGAGGAGGACCTCCACCCTCTGGCTCCGATCAGCCGGGGCCTCCAGGAGTATCGTGACGCGATGACATTTGGTACTTGGAGGAATAGGGAGTTATTCTGCATCTCTTTATTAATTTCCTATGGTCATGAACGTGTTCTATTTGTGTCGTTTTAAAAAGTGAGGTTAGGTTAAATGGCCGGTAAGCATTGTGTTGAGCAATATTATTTCCATCCCACGATGTGTACGGAGTAAATCAGGGGGTCACCAAATGTGCTGACATAGGTGGTGGCCTTTGGGCGCAATTTATGTGGCCTTTTTAGAGAAGTTTTGGGCGGTGGTCGTTTATCGCCCCTCGAGAATCATTATTGAAGGAAGAATCCCAAACTGCCGATATTAGTCTCGGATAGCGTCCAGCTGGCTCTTTCTTCCTTTGAAGGGAAATTGTTTGTATCGCTAAAAAGCACTTCTTGTTCCTCCATGGGACGTCGATCAATCGTTTCTCTAGACTCTGGGCTTCTTACTTGTATCTCGACTAGGCATCTTTACGAGAGTGCATGGTTGTTGTATCGCTCGACGACTCGCCAGGTTATAACTACTGCGACGCTGATGATGTAGTTATCCCCTGAGTAGCCTAGAATAGAATACTACTTTTTTATGGACGCTAATCTCTTGGATAGCCTATCTTAGAACATTGGCCACTTCAATGCGGCCATTGATAATTTTACCGTTATAATAATGAATATTCTTTTTTGCCTCTATAAACCTATAAAATTTAATAGATTGATTCTTTCCGAGTTTTCGCGTACGTAGACATGCTAGACATGGTTAAGCTCGTTATAATAAGAAAGTTTTCTTAAAAGTAATAGATTATATTAAATGTTGGAAAAATTTGAAGATTTTACTTGATCTATCTTGTCCTATCCCCATAGCAGTTGCTTTAAAAGAGCGTTGGAGCAGGGAGTTCCTGTAGCATTTTCAAAGCCCTTGTGTCATCGTCGATATTGCGGCATAGCTGAGCCCTAATATAGATTGGTGCTCCGCGTTTGCGTTCCTCTTTTGTCTGAGCCCCTTTTGGCTGCTCTTTGCGAACTTTGTCCTTATCGGCTATCATTCGGCCCGCCCTTGTTGTGAGTGCAGTTGGCAGGTCTCTATTCAGAGACCCTGTATGGACCGCTGTATCTTCAAACCCAGCTTGGGCCCGCACTTTTGCAGGTTTATGATAAGGTAACGACGGCTTCCAATGCCGAAAAACTCTGTGGAGAAAGGCCTCAATTTCCTCACTTGTAACATCTTGGTCTGGGAAGATGTTCTTCTTTACAGCACGAAGAAGAGGTGCTAAAAAAACCTTCATTTCAGCCGAAAAATCTGTAGCAGTGGTAATGGGAGTTGCTGGAGTTTCTGGGGTTGCGGGAGCTGCTGACGGGGCCATTGTTTTGTTAAATTGTGGCTCTCTGGTTTAAAGCTTTCAACGGTAGATGCTGCACAGGAGACGTTGATTAGCGAAAGATATTATATCTAGGCCAAAGAAAAAGCGTAGAAAATATAAAGAGTGTGTAAGAGAAACGAAGTCGATAAGAATCTATAGAATATACAAAATACTATCCGCCTTTATGTACTTATTTTCAAACCAAAACCGGGGGCTGGCCTAGAGCTGACGGGGGACCGTCCATGGCCAGCCCTGGTTCAGCTCTTAAGAGCAAGAAAGTAGATACAAATTACTATCAGTTCAGGTTTGTAATTGTTAGGAGTCTGCTAGCTAAAGTGATATGTTTGTAAAGCGCGTCTATAGTCTTCTCTGAGATACGAGATATTTGATTGATTTGATTGGTCAGGTGGGTCTGGAGCAATCTATGAGATTTCAATCTATCAAGCACTGATCATCTAAATACACGATATTGAGCTCCTATTTATGTTCCTCATACGGCCATGTATCTTGCCATCGCGGAGATGCCAGCTACAGCCGAAACAGGCGTTAAAACGCCGGGCGTAGCATTTGTTCGATGATGGAGAGCTGACACTGATATTTAATGAAACGGCGTAGTTGACTAACGTGTTTCGTACGATCAGGCAGTATTACACCGAATCTCCGTTCAACATCTTCTCACTTGATACTAAGTGCTATGTAGAAAAAGTGAGCTAATACTCGGCGCGCTAATTGGCCCAATATAGTTAGTTGGCGGCGTTAACTATGCTCTTATTACATATCAAAGGTTGAGTGTCTCCCGCTATGACTTACATCGCCATCATGACGTCAACATAAAGGTATTTAACCTGTCTTCACCCTCGTGAGGTGTGCTACTTCCTCAACTACATCTACTGCCCATAACCCTGCAAAACCGACGAGATTTATCTGATCCAATCTGGAAGGAGCTTATATTTCCATCTACAGATACCAAAAGAATATTCCTTTGCCTCTTCTCCCTTATAATCTATCCAGTGTAAGTCCTTTGTACTAAACAATGCCACCAACAATTTCTCTTACACTAACGCCTCCAAAAGGCGGATTGGAATCCGCGATGAGTCCCACCACATACTTGACAGGGGACGGCACTGTTAGGAGCCACAAGCGCCAGCTCCAGTGCGATGCAATCGACCCTGAACGACTCCGACTTGAACCACATTCCGCTATGAACGAGACTGTTGTAGAATATTGTACTCGGAACCCAGCCGCGTCGGTCGTTGCACCATTTTCGCCTATAAAGCGGAACTTTGAGGAGAGAATTAATGTAAGCCTCTGTTATACCTACAGTCATTATAATTATCTTTTGTGAATATATTCTAATCCATCAACGATTAGGACTTACTATCACGAATCGACAAGCTTGAGGCGAGGGAGGAGAAGTACCTAAAAATTAGGGCGAATCTTCATATTGGAAACATGCTTATCACAGTTTGCAACAAATACCTTACTAAGGATACGAGTGACTCTGCAACAAATAAAGGTGCAAGTGACCATTCAACAACCGGTGCTATACAGCGTGGCCGTGACGCGAAGAAGAAGGACCTTGCCAAAGCAGGTATTCCATCCAAGTTTTGGCCTGCGATCCAGAACATGGGACCGGTATATACTTCTATATTTAAATACATCTCTACTCTGCTAATATATATTATAGTATATCAAAGCGCGAAATATGTCAGCGAATGAATCATACGAGGAGTTTGCGGTTATTTTGAAAGAGCCCTGTATGCAACAGTATTACGACGAATGGAGTGGTTTATTTCCGATAGCTTATGGGGCCACGGTCGAGGAGGTCGCGGAGAAGAGTGGGCAGTTTCTGTCAACGAATATGTCCGAAGGCCGTTAAAGATTAAAGTACTTCAAGTTTGTGTATTATCGTTAGTAGCTAGTATTATTAAATATTATATACTTCGTTAATCGAATATTTTGGGATACCTTCCCCGATTTTACACGCTATACCGGATTGGGGAATTTGGTGATCCAGAGTACAGAGTACTTGATATGACATCGCTATATATCCCTGCAAATGCTACTATTTTAACAGTCAAATAGATGCCTTTGCCTCCGTCTACTGCTAGAACGGTCGGCGGGTGATCGTATTTATATCTTCATTGATGGATATCTGGTGATCACATCAATATATCCATATTAATGCGTACGCGCCCGTTGTCAAGCTCATGGATATAGCGTCGTAATCATTCAGGCTTAGGTATCTGAAGCTCGCAGGTAACCACTGGCATGAAAACATGCCCAACCATTCAAGTCTGCCGTGTCAAAAATCATGCTCGTTGCCTTCTTACCGCCGAGTCGAGGTCTCGTAGCAGTCATCTGTTTCACCCGCAACAGGCCCGGTGGAAGTGCTTTGCTCAGAGCTGCCCGTCGTGATGAAACAAACTCCACCTGCAGGCCAATAGAGCCCTGTCCGGTGGCTGCAGGGACTCCAGCTTCTCTGGTCTCTCCTCCTGTCGTGTCTGAGTTAGCGCCCGCCGTCGACTTCTTTTGGCTGTTGATATCAACTTGTTTCCCTGCAAGCCGCCGAGGTTCCCCTTTGGGACTAGTCACGGACCAATCAGGTGGCTCGGAACCACTTGCCTGTCCTGGATCTAAAACAACACGTGACTTTCTTCTTCTTTTCTATTTTTGGCAAACTTTGACCTTCAACGTCGACTTTGAACGCTGCAACTTCACTCGCGCCCATGATGAAGGACGGGGTTGCTGGGTTGCTGGGTGATAGATGGCTTGGACAGGCGGGAGGAGGTGGACTCGGGCGCGAAGTGAATCATAGCTTCCGCTTGGCTCGCCCTGGACAGCTGGAAGATGGCATTGACTTCGTGGACTGGTCGCTGGCTGGTCGGAGCCTGCCAGGCCATTGTTTATAATAAATACTACCCAGGTGCTGCTACAATGCCCTGGTCATTTCCCTTCTATTCACTTACTATGCGCGTGTTCACTTGAGGTGAATTACGTGGAGAGCCTACTTTCTTATTGTTCCTATTGTGCAGGTGTTATTCATCTCCTATATACAGTCACGATACCCTTTTCTTTTGGTCCTCTCACTCTGGCTATTCATTAATATAACCTTGCATTGATTGACAATAGCATCTCTTCTGTGAATCCCTTCCAGAATTCGCTTTTTATTTCTTCATACGCCTTCTACTAATACATTCCCTTCTTTTGCTATATTTCTTTACTTCCTCCTCCCTGCAGCTTGTTTTCGATCTCAGCATCAGGTTTCAATATTGCTTGATTTACCATTCCTCAAAGCCTTACGCGCTGGCCGCCTTACCTTCTCAGTCAATTTACAACAACCACAGTCGATACCATGCAGTTTTCGCGGTTTATTCCGCGGGCTGCAACTCCTGCTCTCCCTCCATATGGCGCTCACGACGCTCAGCCTTCGATAGAATCATCTCGCGGCGCTGCTCCTCCAGATGCCATCACACCATATCTAGGCCTCAAGGCCCGGCTTTCGCAGGTCTGGATCAACAAGTGGACGATTCTCATTCTTCTCGTGCTCGTCAGACTGCTGATTGCCGCGGGCTCCCTGGATCGCAGCATGGCTTCTGCTGAGCGAGAAGCTCTATCAGCCTGTACTAGTGTTGAGTCTATGGGAAGTGCTATGGCTTCGATGCCTCACTACATGTCCAAGGGTGTCAACGAACTCACCGCTTCGGGGGTGGAGAAGGCAGTTAACGGGCTGATGTCGATGTTATCCCTCACTGTTACTGGCGTGGAAGAAATAGTTCTCTTCGTCATCCACGTCTTGACCAGCACCTATCTTTGCCTTATAACCCTTGCGGTTCGTGGTAGCTTACATGTTGCCTTGAAAATCATCGAAGACGCAACAGATTTCCTAAACAAGACCCTCCACGACATCGGATCTGGAATCAGCAAGGGAGTCGACGGCTTCCAAAAGGATATGAACGAGTTTATCAAGGGAATCAACACCGTTACTAGTATCTTCGGCGGTGACACTAAGATTCCCTCCCTCGATATTTCCGGCGATATCAACAAGCTTAACGACCTCAAACTACCATCTTCTATCAACGAAGGATTAGACAAAATCAACGCCTCCATACCCACATTTGACGAGGTCCAAGACATGGCCGATAGTGTCATTCGAAAGCCCTTTGAGTTGGTGAAGAAGCTTATCAACGAAACTATGGTTGAATACAATTTCGATCGTACTCTCTTCCCAGTGCCGGAAAGGGAAGTACTTGATTTCTGCACCAAGGATGACGGGATCGGCAAGTTCTTCGATGGCTTGAAAGTGGTCATTAGTACTGCTCAGAAGATCTTCATCGGTGTTCTTGTCGTCGCTGCAATTGCTGCTTGCGCCCCGATGACTTGGAGAGAAATCCGTCGATACCGCCTCATGAAAGAACGCTCCCTCTTGATACGGAAAGACGCTCACGATCCCATGGATGTGGTTTACATTATTTCTCGACCTTATACCTCCACCGGTGGATTGAAAGTTTCTAGCTGGTTTAAGTCTGGACGCCAACAGGTTCTCGTCCGCTGGGTGATTGCGTACGTGACATCGCCAGCGGCTCTGTTTCTCCTCTCGCTGGGAATAGCTGGACTTTTCGCTTGTCTGTGTCAATACATCCTCCTCCAGGCAGTTAAGAAGGAAGTGCCCGCTCTCACCGGCCAAGTCAGCCAGTTTGCTGACAAAGTTGTCAACTCGCTCAACAATGCATCCAAACAATGGGCCATCGGTACTAACGGTGTCATCGACCATACAAACAACGACATTAACCAGAAGGTTCTGGGATGGGTCAATCAGACCACCGGCCCTGTAAACGAAACCCTCAATGTTTTCGTCGAGAAGACCAGCGACGCCATCGACAAGGCCTTTGGTGACACAATCCTCCACGACCCTATCCAAGATGTCCTCCACTGTCTCATTGGACTTAAGATTGAAGGCATCCAGAAAGCTCTTACCTGGGTATCCAACCACGCACACGTTAACTTCCCTCACGTTCGTGAGGATATGTTCTCGCTTGGCGCCATCCAGAGTATATCCAACGACAACGCAACGAACCCAGACAGCTTCCTCGCCAACCCAGGAGACAAGACAGCCGATAAAATCAGTTCTGTTGTCGTTCGCGTAACCGAAGCCGTGGAGTCGGGAATTAGGACAGAGGCACTCATCTCTGCTGCTCTTATCGGTCTTTGGTTCATCCTCTTGCTTATCGCCCTCATTCGCGTGCTCACCCTGGCCTGGCGCCGGGATAGAGTACGTGGCGATGGCGGAATTGACGCAACTTACCACCCTCCCGCGATCGGTACCCGTGCCGTCCCAAACGTCGAACTGAATAACTTCCATGATGTTCCGCTAAACAGTCCTGCAATCGGAGGTGATGGCGCAGGCATGGCTCTCGGTGCCGCACCCAAATATAGCGCTACACCAAACGTTGCCACAACCCTATACCCGACAGCAACGAGCAATGAGGCAGATTACCAGGCTCAGAAGCTTGGGTATGCAGGACAGAGAGATTACGAAATGGCATTGCAGAAAGATATGAGGACGAGCAGCTATGGCCAGGTCGAATACGGGACGGATGTGAAACACGGCTAAAAGATAAATGTATATTATTTCCTTTGTTTTTTTCTTTCTTTAATCGGGAGCATTATGGTATGATTTCATTTGGGAGCATGGAGTACGGTGAACAATCATTACAGGCGGAGTTTCCTACATATACCGGTTACGTAGCTAGATCAGGGCCTTGAAAGGCAAATTACTGCAAACATATACCATGATAGCGCATTTACTTCAAGGAATATCAAATAAATAAAAAGCTAATCCAAAAATAGCCTCCGCATAAGTGTCTGGATAAATCACTTAAATAGTAACAAAGAACCCGTCGCCCTTGTCCTCTACTCTTCCCCTTTCAACGAGAGGATCGCAACAAGATATACGAATCCTCTCTGGGGTCGCCGGACTGATCAAGCCTAATACATCCTCAGACCCCCACTCCTTCCTGGCAGCCTTGAGGGCATCGCGAATCGCAAAGAAAACCGCACTACCCATAAACAAAGGCGGTTCGCCTACCCCTCTAGACCGCTGAATAGTCCGGAGATCCTTCCACTCCACATCTTTCAGAAGACTGACGTTGAATATTTGCGGAATATCTCTGAATCCAGGTATTTTATACGTCCCAGGTCCACGAGTGAAGACTTGCCCAGAAGCACGATGCCAGAGACTTTCTTCGGTCGTGAATAGGCCTTGTCCCTGGATGAACGCGCCTTCGATCTGACCATAGTCGATAGACGGATTGATACTTCGGCCCACGTCCATTTTTATATCGGCGCGTAACGGAGTCCAGTCTCCTGTTAGTGTATCAATTTCAACCTCTGCGGCAGTTACGCCCTGAGTGAAATAGTAAAACATCTTGCCAGTGTTTTCACCCCATTTATATCCAATTTCAGGGGTTTTGTAGAAGCCTTGCGCTGAAAGATTTACACGATCGAAATATGCGGATGTTGCTAACTCTTTCATTGTGGCATTGGGTTTCGCCTCTCGGTAGGGACGGAGTCGTTCATTGAGCTGTTCACAGGCATTGAACACGGCATAGCCGTTTAGATCAGAACTTGCAGACGCGGCGGTGGGAGATGAGTTGGCAACGGTATTCGTTGCAGTTTCTGAGATAAAGACGCTTGATTGAGGGACTTTCAGCGCTTCGGCAGCGATCATGACAATCTTGGTGTGAAGTCCTTGACCCATCTCCGTGCCTCCATGGGCCACAAGAATGCTACCATCACGGTAGATATGCACCAGGGCACCAGCCTGGTTTAAAAATAAAGCAGTAAACGAAAGACCAAACTTGGTGGGTATTATGGCTATTCCCCTCTTCGACCATTTATGTGTTTTGTTGTACTCTTCCACGGCTTTTTGACGGGCATAATAATCAGATTCTTCGAGAACCTGCTTATACATAAGTGGGACATGCCAATCGGTAAGTGCCTGATTGAAATGGGTCTCCTCATTTTCCTTGTACATGTTAATCTCCCTCATCTTCTCTACCGGTATATTTAGATGGTCTGCAATTTCGGACATGAAAGACTCCGCGAAGAACATGCCTTGTGGACCTCCAAAACCTCTGAAGGCTGTGTTTGACATAGTATTGGTGCGGCAAAGGTACCCACGGACGTGGACGTTTGGTATCATATAAACTCCGTCGATATGAGAAAGAGCTCTCTGTACAACTCCAAGAGAGAGATCCTGGGAATGTCCACCATTTGCATAGACGTCAGCGTCTAGCGCTTGAAGCTTCCCTTCTTTGCTCACACCAACTTTCCAATGGCAGAGGAACGGATGACGTTGTCCAGTTGTAGCAATATCCTCGTCACGGTTAAGCATGCAGCGGACTGGCTTTTTGGTCTTCTTTGCAGCAAGGGCACATATACCAGCTATCTGCACGGATCGCGACTCTTTACCACCAAACCCTCCACCAAGTCTTTTTACTCGGCAGACAACTTTATTCTCATCAACGCCGGTAATTTTGGAAACAAATGCTTGACTAGAATAATTGGTTAGTTCAAGGTACATTCAGGGACTGGGTGGGATTTGGACATACACTTCGGCTGGGTTCTGTGTACTACTGAAGACCTCAATTTCACCATCTTCCGGCTTGGGCACAACCACACACGCATGGGTTTCAAGATAAAAGTGCTCTTGGCCTCCCATCCTGGAAACGCCGCTGTAAATGTGATCTGCTGAAGCAAACGCTCCTTCGGGATCCCCCTTTTTAATGGCAGGGTCGATGTGGTTAAAAAACGATTTCTTTTCGATTGCCTGTTCAATACTCAAGATGGCAGGAAGAACTTCATATTCCACCTTCACAACTCGAGATCCGGCCTCAGCAAATCTAGCAGACGTCGCAAGAATCATACCAAGCGGTTGGCCATCGGTTATAACCTCGTCAGTGGCAAAGTATACTTCATCTGCGACTGGTGCCCCCCACCAATTTGCCTGGGGATTCAGAAGATCTTTAGCACTCACGTAATCAACTACACCAGGTATATCCAATGCTGGCGTGAAGTCGACGCTTAGGATCTTAGCTCGTGCTTTATTCGAAAGAACGAGGCATCCGTATAACTCATTTTTTTGTACTGGGATGTCATCCGTATATTGAGCCTCTCCGGTAGTTTGCAGGAGTGCAGACACGGTAGGTGTTGCTTTTCCGAGCACGTTCTGGGTGTATGCAGCTGTTGCGCCGTGGTCTTTAACGCCGGATGATAATGCTCGCTCGATTTCTGGTATCGCATCTTCTTCACAGTGGACTTGGACACCTTGGATGTTAGAAAGGACATCGTGGTAGAATCGATAGAAGAAACCAAAGGCAAGGGTTTTTCGGTATGTAGGCATGCCTCCTGGTACGGATGATGGGAGGTCAAAATCTTTCTCGAGTGCATCCATTACACCCTCAATGGTTGCTGGGTCCGTCCAGTTCTTCCCGACAATGTAGGCCTCTGCTTTCTTTGCAGGCATGGTTGTTGGGGCCATCCCGCCGTATACCAGGTTCGCACTTGTGACAACATTTGAGTCAGATAGAGATACACGCAATGCAGCATTGACAATAGCAATATCATCATCCTTTCTCTTTGCCTGTTTATACGCCCGTAAATATTCACCCTTCTCCTGGGCCAGAGGAATTCGTAACTTTGCCACTATAGCGTTAGGAGGGAGAGCGGTGGTTCGGTATCCTTTGAAGAATTCGTCCATGGGTATCTCTACTTCCTCCTTAAGTGATTTGGCAAATAGAATGGTACCAGTTGCAACGAATACCGGGTTTAGATCGGAAATAGGAGAGGCAGTAGCTATATTCCCGGCTGGAGATGCAACATTTCGTATCTGTCGGCCAGCAAAATACCGTATCTGCTTCTTAATGGCAACAAATGGCTGCGCCCTAATGGACCCGTACCGCTTGACAGCTTCATCACAAATCTCTTCAAGGTCAGTAAGTGTGACATTTGCTCCCAGGTCTAGATAATCATCCGTGAAGGTGTACTGTTTCAGGTCCTGGATGTCACCAACATACACAGAGTGTGTATATTGTCTAGCCTTGAACTTGATCTCAATCTGAGTCTCAGAGCTTCCTCCTATGATCTTAGCGTCAGGGTATGCATCCTTGATTTCTAGTAACTGCTGAAGAGTCACCGGCCTGTACCACTGTTTCCTTTTATTTCCAAAACTTAGCGGTTTGAATTCATGTCGGTGGAGTTGTGGCGGGAAGATGAGCTCCGTTTCTGCGTTGTATGGGATAAACTCGGGTGTGTCAAACGATTTCGCAATTGATTTTGGAGTTATCCCGTCCGTATTCCCATCCTTTAGACCACCATTACAGCTTCCACCGTTCTCTTTACAACATTCCGAGCCCCCATTTGCGCGTGCTTTGCCGCACGATGGCGTGGAGAAGGACTGTGCAGAATCAAGAATGGAGCGGTATCCGGTACATCGACAGAGGTTACCGTCGAATGCTTCTTCGATAGCAAGTTCGGAAGGCACAGGGTCGTTCCTTAGTAATGCATATAAGCTCTAAATATGAAAGTCAGTCTCCCATGGCTCTACCATCCTTCCAGCCCGTAGTTGGTGCCTACCATGACTATCCCTGGTGTACAGAACCCGCACTGGCTGCCATTTCCGACAGCTATCCTCTGTTGAACCGGATGAGGGTTTTTGGAGCTCCCTATCCCCTCGACTGTTATAACATGTTTTCCATCGACACTGACGAGCGGTGCCAAACATGCGTTTACGGAGGCATGATATAGCTTCTTCGTGGTAGGGTTGAGGTATGAAACGACCTACGGCAGGAGAATTATCAGCAAGGCGTCTTTCAGAAGTGAATAAAACTTGGGATTGAGTATGTCTTAACATACCACGGTACAAGCGCCACATCCTCCCTCTGCACACCCCAGCTTCGTGCCGGTCAACCCTACACCTCTAAGGTACTCCAAAAGCGTCGCCTCCGGGTCGACCGAGTCCAGCGTGACCTTTGTGCCGTTTAAATAAAACCGAAGCGTATCATCATATGTCTCTGTCACCGACGCCAGGGCGGCCTTTGACGCAGGCCGTTCTGGCAGCTCTACGGTACCTGGAGCCATGGCGAGGGCAAAACTGATGTAGAATACGATATCAAACTCCTTCTCAGGGCAGTTTGCTGATGCAGGAGTTTATTTAGCAACGATGGACGGTTCGTGGCGAACCTATATACCAGCTCCATACACCTGAATCCTTCAAGACATAGAGGTAACTCCCCCGGCACTTGCGGTTATCTTAAGCTTATCCGCCCTTGCCCAGACGCCCGGGACTTTTCCCCCCTCCTCCCGCTTACTTAAGCCGTAAGCGCAGCGGGGAGGACCGGGCTTGCACGTGCGGGGAAAACCGGCAAGTGGCGATCGCCGGTATCAATATTACCGTACTATATACTTGTACTTATGGTCAGGTGATCTTTAAGATACCAGACTTTACTTGTTCCCATCTCCGAGTCTCGACATTTTATTGGCCAGTGCGTTGGCTTAGTCAGCTTAGTCAGCACCGGTACCGCGCTTGGTGGGTTGAGTCACTGCCAGATAAGGAAAAAAAGAAGCGCGAAGTAAATTTCCATCTCACCTGTTGATATATCAACGTCTCCAATTGACAGAGGGAGACTCTCGCAGACAGACGGATGAGCTGAAGAGCACACGATGGGAATCGAGAGCGGTGCTTTGCAAGAGCGCCTCCAGAGGTGGGCTCAACGGCTGAAGAATCTCACAATCTCACCGCTCACGCGAGACTATCCCGAATCCACGTCCACAGGGTCGTCCAAGCGAGCGATTGAGGCATTCGAGTCGTTAAAGCTCACTTCCGACGAGCAATCGGCTGTAAAGAAGCTCTGTAAATCCAAGGAGTCGACGTTTCTAGTTTTCCTCACTGCTCTCGTCGTCATAGTCAGCCGATTGACTGGGGACGAGGATATCGCCCTGGGGACAAGCTCTGAGAACGATGGACGCCCGTTCGTATTGCGCATTCCGATCAACCACAGCGAAACATTTGCCCAATTGCTTGACAGGGTGACCAAGATATATGAAGAGAGCGTTTCGGATATTGTTCCACTAAGAACTCTTCGGACTCACATCCAGAAGGCGTCTAAGCTCGAGCAGGAGCCAGTCCTCTTCCGTTTCGCCGCATACGATGCCCCCGCAGCGTCTCAGGAGTACCCTGCAAACACCTTCGAGACCACCGATCTGCTCTTGAATATTGCATCTACAGACTTTGAAGTGGGCGGCTATTACAACCAGCGTCTCTTCTCCAGTGTTAGGATCGCCACGATACTTGCACAGATCGTTCGTCTGGTGTACAATGCATCCCTCAACCCAGACGAAGCCATTGGAAGGATTGAGTTCCTTACAGAGTCTCAACGGGCTCTCCTACCAGACCCAACAAGCGATCTGCACTGGTCTGAGTTCCGAGGAGGGATTCACGATATCTTTTCTCGCAATGCTGAGGCTCATCCTGAAAAGCTTTGCGTTGTCGAGACCAAATCTGCCTATAACCCGCATCGCGAATTTACTTACCGACAAATTCATGAAGCTTCCAATATCCTTGCACACCATCTTGTCCAGTCAGGTGTAGAAAGAGGCGAGGTCGTCATGGTATATGCCCATCGTGGTGTAGACCTTGTCGTTGCGGTTATGGGTATCTTGAAGGCTGGTGGAACCTTCTCCGTTATCGATCCAGCATACCCCCCTGAGAGACAGATCATTTATCTCGATGTTGCACGGCCTCGAGCTTTGATAAACATCGAGAAGGCCACTCAAGACGCTGGTGAGCTCGCCGACTCGGTACGCGCATTTATTGATCAAAATCTAGAGCTCAGGACGGAGGTCCCTGCTCTAGTTCTACACGGCGATGGCACTCTAGAAGGAGGTTCCGTTAACGGTGTATCTGTCTTGGAAAAGCAAACATCTCTCAAGTCAACCCCAGTTGGCGTCGTTGTCGGACCTGACTCCGCACCTACTCTCTCCTTTACCTCCGGATCCGAAGGCCGTCCAAAGGGTGTTAAGGGAAGACACTTCTCTCTCGCCTACTACTTCCCATGGATGTCTAAGACGTTCAAACTCACCCCAGATGACCGATTCACCCTTCTCAGCGGTATCGCACACGACCCGGTACAACGTGATATTTTCACACCCCTTTTTCTGGGTGCCCAACTCATAGTCCCATCGCGAGAAGATATCCAGAATGAGCGTCTAGCAGAATGGATGCGTGAATATAAGGCAACAGTAACCCATTTAACACCAGCTATGGGTCAGATCCTAGTCGGTGGAGCTACTGCTCAATTCCCGTCGTTGCATCATGCGTTCTTCGTCGGTGATGTCTTGATTAAACGAGATTGCCGATCTCTTCAGAGCTTGGCGCCAAATGTTAACATTGTTAACATGTATGGTACCACCGAAACTCAGCGTGCTGTGAGTTATTTCGAAATCCCTTCCTCGGTAGAGCAAGTAGGATATCTCGATACCGTGAAGGATGTCATCCCAGCAGGAAAGGGCATGGTAGATGTTCAGCTACTCGTCGTCAACCGATTCGATCGAACTAAATTATGTGCCATTGGCGAAGTTGGAGAGATTTACGTCCGAGCTGGTGGTCTTGCGGAAGGCTATCTAGGTTCCCCTGAATTGAATGAAAAGAAGTTCATCCCTAATTGGTTCGTCGACCCTCAAACCTGGAAAGACAAAGAAAAGGAGCGCGCCGCTTCCTCCAACGAACCCTGGAGGGAATTCTACGTTGGACCCCGAGATCGTATGTACCGCAGCGGTGATCTGGGTAGATACACTCCCACGGGTGATGTTGAATGCTCTGGAAGGGCTGATGACCAAGTTAAGATCCGTGGATTCCGAATCGAGCTAGGCGAAATTGACACACACCTATCTCGACATCCTCTTGTTCGAGAGAATGTGACACTGGTCAGACGAGACAAGTTCGAGGAGCCAACCCTAGTCAGCTACATTGTGCCTCAAATGGGTAAATGGTCTTCATGGTTAGAGCAAAAGGGGTTGAAAGATGACACCTCAGCTGAGGGTATGGTCGGAATGCTGACTCGCTTCCGACCCCTTCGTGACGATGCGAGGGAATATCTCCGTGGGAAACTTGCCTCCTACGCAGTCCCAACCGTCATCATCCCTCTACGAAGGATGCCACTGAATCCGAATGGGAAAATAGACAAACCAGCCCTTCCCTTCCCGGACACCGCTGAGCTCAGCGCTGCTGCTCCCCGCCGTCGTTCTTCAGTTCTTCAGGAGCTTTCAGACACTGAGCAAGAAGTAGCAAAGATGTGGGCAAAGCTTCTCCCCAACATCACCGCAAGAATGATTGGACCAAATGACTCATTCTTCGACCTCGGTGGCCACAGTATCCTTGCGCAGCAGATGTTCTTTGAACTCCGCAGGAAATGGAGAAGCGTGGACATTAGCATGAGTGCTATTTTCCGAAGCCCAACGCTTAGGGGTTTCTGTAATGAAATCTCGCGTATCCAAGACAGCCATTCGTTGACTGCCGACAATCAAAGCCAGGATGCCGAAGCTGCACAAGCCGAGAAGGTTGTTGCGGACGAATACTCGAAAGATGCTAAGGAGCTTGTTGACAAACTCCCTGCCAAGTTTACTTCCTCGGCTGAAACTACATTGAAAGAAGGATCAACGGTATTTTTGACCGGTGCCACTGGTTTCCTTGGAGCATATATCCTCCGCGACCTGCTCTCAAGGTCCAACCCCTCCCTCAAAGTGGTTTGCCTCGTGCGTGCTAAATCTGCACAGCTAGCTCTTGAGCGTATCCAGTCAACCTGCAAGGCTTATGGATTCTGGTCAGACTCATGGACCAGCCAACTCGAGTGCATCCAAGGTAACCTAGGAAATGAAAATCTCGGTCTCTCCATGGATCTTTTCAACGATCTTGCAAACCGCGTGGACATAGTAATCCACAACGGTGCGCTTGTTCACTGGGTTTACCCCTATTCCAACCTCAGGGGTCCTAATGTTCTTGGAACTGTTGATACTCTGCGCCTTTGTGCTACCGGGAAACCCAAACAATACGCCTTCATCAGTTCTACAAGTGTGTTAGATACTGACTATTATGTGCAAGAATCCGAGAGAATTATTGCCGATGGTGGATTAGGTATTAGTGAAGCTGACGACCTTGCTGGAAGCAGCCAGGGGCTCGGTACTGGATATGGACAGAGTAAATGGGCTGGAGAATTCCTTGTTAGGGAGTCTGGAAAGAGAGGCCTACGGGGCGCTATTGTTCGCCCCGGATATGTGACCGGAGACTCAACATCAGGAAGTAAGTCAAACGTTTTCGGAAGCGCCATATATGCCTTCATGCTAACTTACGATAATTCTATAGATACTAACACTGATGACTTCCTTATCCGAATGGTCAAGGGATGTATCCAACTCTCATCACGACCGAATATTCACAATACCATAAACATGGTGCCTGTGGATCATGTAGCACGAGTTGTCGTTGCTTCAGCCTTCCATCCTCCAAAGCCAGAGCTTTCTGTTGCACATGTCACCAGCCATCCTCGTCTACGTTTCAACCAGTTCCTCGGCACACTACAAACGTATGGCTATGACGTTCCGCAAGTCGATTATGTGCCATGGTCCAGCTCGCTGGAACAATACGTGAATGATTCTCAGAACTCGGTTTCTCAGCACGCATTGTAAGAACCGCTCTGTCTTCCTTAACATAAATAAACTTGTCTAACCAATATTTCTATCAGGATGCCACTATATCACTTTGTTACTGCTGATCTCCCATCGAACACCAGGGCGCCAGAATTGGATGATGCCAATGCTTCGGCATCCCTTAAATCAGACGCTAAATGGTCTGGAGTTGATGCTTCTACCGGCAGTGGTGTGACTGAAGAACTCATGGGTCTTTATCTCGCGTATCTCGTCGCAATCGGATTCCTTTCGCCGCCACCTGCAGCTGGGGCCAAGCCTCTTCCCGCTGTTAGCCTTTCTGATGCGCAAAAGGCTGCTCTTGCCAGTGTGGGCGGTCGTGGTGGTGCTTCTTAGGTTATTTAAGAGGATACGGCGCCTTAATTATGAAGAATTGGTTGAAGAACTCTTGCTTCTATTGTGATTTTGGACTACGACTGCCTTAGCATCAACATAAAAGCAGCATTCTGGAGGCTATGGGATAAATTCTTACGTCGTTCATATAAAAAACCCTTTCGGATAATGATCATTTAATTTAATTATGAAATTTACAAAACTACGACTAAGAAAACAATATAGCTATATATGACCCTTCCACTTGTTGGCATAACATATAAAAGTTAAAACAATCTGTCATGACAGAGACGAACATCTATATACACATTACTAGTAGAGGTACGGAATTACCTCGCCGTATTAACCACCTCTCCGATCTTAGTAAAGATCAAATTCACCGCCCAGTTTAGCAGGTGAGGCATAGTTGCGTCACCTTTCTGGGGAGCAACAGAAATCCCCAAGTCTTCCCTAACATTTGCTCCATTCCCAACGAGTCTCTTTAGTTCGCCCTCGTCTAGGCTTGTCTCGGAGACAGATTCCGGTAACAATAGCCAGGAGCAGTTAGAGATATAACGCGGCCAGACAATATCATCAACATAGCCTGGAGGGTCCGTCCAGAAATTCACTGGAGCGTCATCTTCAGTTTTTTCATTATCCATATCCTCGTCTTTGGGCTCTTCCTCCACCTCATCTGGGTCTCTCGGTACTGGAGTCGGCGCAGGACCAATCGTTACATATCCCGTCCTCCCGTCCCGACGCTCCTTAAGCAATGGATATGTCACCGGTAGGAAAATAGGGAGGTTAATCTGGTCATGAACCGGCCGTAGCGGATGCGCAGAGTCATTTGGTGGGGCATATAGCAGAAACCCATCAACGAAGACGATTGTTAACCAGGGAGCTTGTTCGTCTGATTTCTGACTTGAGCTGTCCAAAGTTTTCTGATTTTGCTCTTGTGACTGGGATAATCGTTGGGCTACCCGCTTCTGCAGCGCATCGATCGTAGCTTCATCAACTCCAGAGTCCGTAGCATCATTCAAGTCTTCCTTACTCTGTAGCTTAGGAGGAAATCTACCTGTCTGACGAATATAAGACAGGCAAGAAACAAATTGCTTGACATCAAATGCTTCAATTGTATCCCAATCCTGAACTAGTTTTCCAGAAGATGTTGTCGTAACCGGAATCCTATATGGCGAATTCATATGTTAGAACTACCCACCGCTATATCTTATCACACGAGAAGTGGCCACTTGAATAACCCTACCGATCATCCGGCTTGTAAAAATCATCTTCATGGACAAGAAGAGTCCTGATATCAGCACTGGAGCCTTTTGTGGGACTGAAAACTGTTCGCAAAAGCCGTGCAAGCGTTGTTTTGCCGCTCGAGGATGGACCGGAAATTCCGATGACGAAGACCAGGCCGGACATATCTGAATATATCATGCGGAGATATGGGAGATTGCTGTATATTTTCCTTTACTCTAGAGGATATCCATCTACTAGCATATCCATACCTGAGATTGGTTCAAAGGAGATTTGTAGCTTAACGCGGGGTTAATGAATAAAATATTTGGCGCCGTCGATTTTAATAACTGGACAAAGGCTAAAGGCATCAAAACTATTTTTGGAATTATGTCATACGGCATGATATTATTGAATCAATCATTATGCCCCAATTGCGAGGTAAGTTAACATGAGGCAGAACAATATCCATCCAACGCCTCGCCGCTCCAAAATGATGAGCGCATAATACTCCGTACCGCTAAATATCCACGTTTGCCCCTGTATTCGCCATATAATGCTACATAAACATTCGAACAAAGCAAATTAAAATGGTGCCATCAGATATTATACGATGGAGCCAAGAGTAAAAGGATACTGCAAGCCGTTCAAGTATGTATTACACCAGTGACTCCGTTGCTTGTGCTGGGGCTGGCCGGAAGACTAGCGGATGTTCTTCGCCTACGCGGCGTTCGGCCTTGAGGGGATATGAAGATTATCCCATTTCTATCCACATGTTCCTGGGTGGGTGATTCTCGGAGCCGTTTTGGGGTCCTCCTCCCTGGAGGGGTAGTAGGCAAATCGGACTCAAATATGAATGTAGGCCTGCGCTTGTTGTCAGACATTGGTGAACTGGTCGCGAGGGTGTTGGGGTCCGAAAGAGTGATGGTTGCTGGGTAATCGGGTTCGACGTAGCCATTGGGGATAGAGAGCGTATGTCTATCAAAAAACCCAAGCGGCGTTTTCAAAAAAGCGGGCGTTGGCGACCACAAGTCATCTGAAAGGGGCAGAAAAGTTTCATTCTGGATGATATAACTCATAGTGTGATCATCCAACATGTCTTTCTCGGCACGCTGCATCTCGTCATTGCTCATTTGTTTTCTTCTCTTGAGCATCCTATCCTCCAATGTATCCTTTAGCACGAGAGTTTCCACGTAAACGGGCCGAGTCTGCGAAATACGATGAGCTCTTTTTATTGCCTGGCTCTCGATGTTCGGGTCCCAGATCGGGTTCACAATAAACACCCTTGATGCACACGCAATGTGAAGCCCGTGTGAGGCTTGACCTAGATCCATCAGCAGTACACGAACAGACTCGCCCTCGTTAAAGACAGACAGGTATTCAGACTTCTGGGACTGCTTGAGAGTGCTTGCGTATATTCGAAAATCAACACCCAGCATTTCAAGGCCTTCAGCAACCCAAAAAGCAGTATTCTCACCCTCATAGAAAATGATGATCTTTTCCGATTCCTGGAATTCAATCACCTTTTCTAACAGATATGTAAGCTTGGCGGATGCGGTTGCGACAACTTTTGTGTTCTTAAGTGGTGACTCGGACGGCAGTCTCTTTAATCTTGACGTTTTCTTTTCGTTGGACCTTTCTGGCTTAGAACGATGGACACGAGTTCCATTTTTATCATCCTTCGAATCCGGCGAGGTCTCGCTGGCGGCCCCCGGTTGCTTGTACTTCTCGAGCCGTGCTAAAAGGCCGGCTCCTGCAAGGCCTTCACCAGGATCTGACGAGCAAAGATGCGCGGCAACGAACTTCTGTGCCTCTCGGGCAAGCGAAATCCCAAGTATAAGCGGCTCCCCATATTCAGCCGACTTATCGAGTGACCAAAACGCCTGTGCGTACTCTGGGAAATTTTCTACAAAAATGCCGACTTCATGACGATGACACATGGCGTTCCAAGAATCGCATGCCATAATTTTCTCTCCAACGACAATCCCTTGACGGAGTGAGACTAGATCTTCATCAGACATTCGAAACATGTTCTTCTCTAGATATATTTTCGCGACTCTGATCGTCTCTTGGATGGTTTCGTTCTGAAAACCTGTCCACCAGAATCCCGCGAGCCTCAAATTGTTTATCAGCAGAGTCAAATGCTTTCCGTTTTTCGGATGAAACATATAGTCTTCACCCGTCCTCTCGGAGGTGATTGCATTGACAATAATTTGGAGAACAAAAAGGTTTAAAGAGGCCTTGTCGTAAAAAGTTGGCTCTAGGTATACAACTTCGTTGTGAAGTTTTGGGAGAGTAACCTCTCGTTTCACATCTTCTTCCCGGTGGCGTACGACGAGAGATTGAAGAGTAGAGCGTAGAGATAGCGACATCCTGCGTTTCCCATCAGGTCCAACCGGCTTCATGTATTTCGTCCAGTTAGCTTGGTCTGCACAGCGTATATTTGACCAAGGCTTGAGGTCCAGAAAATCAACCACCATGGACCGCAGTTTGTCCAAATTTTTCAACTCCTCCCTCAATACATTTTCAGGATTCTTTCTGGTCTGTAGAATCCCCTCGGCTATGTCTGCCTCAGAGCATGTAGCCATATTATTCTCAGCGGCAAGGCTGACTTCAATTCCGTATAGCCCCTTTGACGGTGTACCCGAAACAATCCATCTCCTCTCAACCTGTAGCTTATCCAGCATATAAACAGAGCTACTCTTCTCTCTAGCGCTCGCAAAATTATGGCCTTCGTCAACGATTATGCGAAGCCAATGAAGCTCTCTCAAAGGCGAATAATATGTCATGGGCGATGATGCGCTAAGCCCTCCGGATTCCTTCTTAAATCTATACTGCGAGAACAACACTATGTCGTACTTCAAAAGTTCCACTGCAGGAGGAGTTTCATCACGGGCGTCTCTCAGCACCAGAACCTTCAGACCTTCAGTGTGTTTTGATATTTCCGTTAGCCAGTGGTCGACCAAGTTAGGTGGCACAATAATCAGTGTCCCCGAGGAGAGTTGTACACGGATCGAGCTCTCCTTCGTTATTGTACATCGACGACCATACCGCGGAGCTTGCGTTATAGAATATGATCCCCGGTTTTTATTACATGCAGCTATGCACCTGCCATAGTGCATGCCATACGATTGTAGCTGGCGAAAATGTGATTCCCACGGAATGGAATGAGAGCCAGCAGTTGCAGCCGCCATTTCAAGAAGAGAGGCGGTACTACTTCTAACCGGAGGAGTCGTATTGATATGCTCGGAGGGAATGGATGGCATATGCCCTCTGGTCGCCAGAATGACCGCTAAACAGATCAGAGTTTTGCCGAATCCCATGGTTTCCGCTAGTATTCCTATAAAATGATTAGCTCTCGTTGCCAGAAAAAATAGGAAAGTAGAACACCTACCTCCACATGCATTTGAATATAGATTTGGCATGGTACGAATGATACCCTCTTCCTTGTCGTAATAATACTTACGGCCGGTGGGCCCACGGAGCGCTTGAAATCTCGGATCAAGGGACTGCCCAGGCTGTACCTCCTTTTGTATCATAAGTGCAGCTGAGCGGCGCTGATAAGGATACAAAGGCGTTCTGAGCCCTGGAACAGCGGAATTCTCGCCATCTTCGCTGCCAGAATACATGAGATCAGCCATGGCGGTACACGACCATGGGTCAGTGACATGTGCAGCTTCGGGTTTTGGAGATTCCAGAGTATTGAAGATATAGAAAAGGGTTTCCCCTTCACGGTTGACTTCCCCAGCACCCCTAGGACGGCCGGGCTCGAACTTCCCTTCCCATGCCTCAACAGACGTATCAAGTTTTGACATAACCCTTTTCAACCTACGTCGGAGAGGTAGGTCAAGCCCAGAAGGATCTTTTGAGAGTTTATCCTCTGGTAAGACATAAACTCTCTCATTGATGAATCCACCAGAGGGTTCATGTACCGTAGAAACGTGGACCCACCCAACGTCCCTGAGCACATCGAGAGAACGGCGCTCCGGATCGAAAGGCGACAGCCGTTCTACTCTAGACGTAGAATTACTAGAAGCCGTCCAAATGACTCCGACCGGGATTAAATCGGTCAGGTCATTGTTCCACGCACCGTATCGAAATAGACGGGCATTAAGAGCACTAAATGTCGATGCCGTATAGGTCGAAGTCTCAGGTTCCCCGGGAGATAGTGTGGCCGGAGAGTCCGACCCAGACTGCAGAGACCGTCTGCCTGGCGATTCCATTACCCCGTCCACTTACTATTTATCTTAAAACGAGTTTAGTACACAGTGAAGGGTATTCGCAACTTGTCCGTGTACAAGATGCAAGGTCCTACCTTTTAGAATAATATAACTTCCAGTGAAGACGTTCTGTAAGTCTATTCGACGAGAGAAAGCTTCAAATCCGCCAGATCCGGAGGAGACTGTACTGAGATGACACTTGGTAGGGAAAATTGTACAGGAACAGCTCATGTGCCTCTTATATGGTAGCTTATATTCCCCAGTACGTATTTTTTTTTCTTATTTCCTGCGGTGGCTAGGCAAAACATTCTAGTGTGTTATATCGAAGTGTTACTCGGGGGGTGTTTCCCAGGCAGAGTATAAACTTTTATAGTAAACCGTTTGAGCCGCGCTAACCATGTTTCTTAGTCATCATCACATGACTTTGACGATGGGCACGTGACAAGCGAGAGCCGCGATGACGAAAGATGGAGGATGGTGATTATGTCATCATTTAAGCGAACGCTCGATAACTTCTAGTATATAGAAACCAGCGTCATATCGTTTCTGTCTTCCTCTTAAAGTGCGTTGAATCGTGACCGATATAAGAAAGCAGAATCTAAGGTGCCACCCACTCGTGTCCCAAGTCGTACATCGCCTGTCTATTAGGAAAGAAAAAGGATAGGTCTAAAAACACATATCCGGAAACGCTGGAAATGTCGAAAAGAAGGAGAAAACAGGGGAGAGGAAGGGAAGGAGGAGAAAGAAGGAGAAAGGAAGGAAAGGAAGAAAAGAAATAAGGGAGGGAAAAATAAAGCCGATAAGGGGCAAGGTGATACAACCATTCCGCCTAGAGTAAATAAACATTAACTGGGGAAAAAGGACAGGGATTGCCGGGGTTATAGTAATTTTCGTGACGCATGGCATAATCAAGGCTTAATCATTTCATAACGTAGTTATTTTCTCAGGAACTCTTTGACCTCGAATCCAACTCTCCTCAATGCTCTCTCGTCGATACCTTCGTTGCTACCGACGAGACGCCTGATAACCAACGTTCGGACATCGTTCAAACGGTTCTCGACGGAGTTCCCTTCGCCGTATCTGCTCATCTCATCTTGGTCGCAATCCCGTATATATACGGTGATATCTGGGCCAACGCAGCTACCCCATTGCATCGCCATCCGCTCCCAATGGTCCATAGGATCTTGTGTACCATTGTTTGAAGCCAGGCAAGCATGGGCTTCTGTTGTAGCCAGTTGGTATTGCGGGACAAGCGCTATGCGGAAAGCTGAGTCACTAGAAGAGGAGGTTGGTGTATAAACAGCCTCGCTAGAAGCAGGGGTATAAACAGCATCGCTGGAGGCAGGTGTATACGCCGCCTCGCCAGAGGGGGACCGACCAGGTGAGCTGATACGCAAATATTCTGTTTTGGGTATGATTGACTGAAAGGATGCATTGGATTTGGACTCATCCTCGCATGAAGACGGTTGCACTGCTGGCGAGAAGCGGTCATTAAGGAATTCAATTATCCTGCCCGATATTTTATACCATGAAAAAATTGTTTCGAGATGGTTTCCAGCTGCCGCTCGCGTATCTTCTGACGCCGTCTGAGTACTGGCTTCGGGGCCCTTAAATATCCGAACATTCCCACCATCGTCGCAGGAAAGAGCATTATTCAAATATTCAGTGACATAGGCGATCAATTCCGGGTCATCGCCTTCGATGGCGATAACTGAGCCTCCCGCGTGACCGGAGTCTGGGCTCGAGGAAGTTGTAAATGGAGGAGAGCCTTTGGATAGAAGACTTATCTTTTTCAGGAACGAAATCGTCAACGGCGTTTCTTCCACGCCCCTAGTTTGTGGGTATGATTGGGGTGCTAGCTGTAATGGGGGAAGAACTAGGCTAGGGTCATGAGGCGAAGGGGGCGCAGAGTTCTGGTGGTGCGATTGAATGTTCCAGATATAATTTGGTGAGTTAACAGGCCAGATAGAGTGTGGTGAGGTAACAGGCAGTAGTAGTTCTGGGCGAGGTAGTGTCAATGTCCGAGGCAAATATGGGTTCTCAGGCCCACTATTTTCACGGACAGGTGGATATATCTCATTAATCTCGCGACGACGCCGTTTGGTGCATGGAGATGTGGGTGGTATATTGTCGTCAAGAAAGGGTCTTAGACGCCAACCCACTTCACAGGCATTATTAATCGGACTTGGAGAATTTTCGACTTTCATCCGACAGTTGTCCAGCACGCTTCGTGCCGGTTCAGGGCTGGCTTGAGGCGTTGGCGGACTGTCATTTTGACCATTAACGCCAGGGATGAATGGGGCGGAGGGGGTTGAAGGAGGTTTCATCGGCTTCCCGCCACACCGGCTGCAGATTAATGCTCCAGTTGAATCAATTCTAATCATAGGCGCCACCGCATTACTACTTTTCCTCTTGTTGCGACCTGGTCGTCGTGGTTGATATCGATAACCTGGGTACTTTTGCAGGTGCCTAGCTTTTTCTTCCTATACTAGTGTCTGAGCATGTATTACACAAAAGAAATGGAAGGTAGAAGTGCCGGGTCTACTTACATCTGCATGCTTCCTCCAAGGCTCCTGTTCCTTAGGTGGAAGCGTTTTCCACATTCTTCCGATAATCTTTGATATGTGTGGATTTGCTAGCCCTGGGTGCTCTGCAACAACGGAGCTCTGCAAGTGCTGCCGGAATAGTATGAACGCTAATAAACACTAAAGTTAATAAAATTGGGGTGCAATATATTCGGGTGTAGACCAGGCTATGTATTGCGACCCAGGCAAGAAGAAAGGATATTTTGCTTAATGCCCAAAGTTCAAATCCGCACTGTGATAATCTGCAGGGGAGGGAATATAGAGATTTGTATATGTATGTATAGAAAGTAACCGACGAACCATTTCTTGGGCGGGGGATCCTTGGTTCTGGTCCGCACAGACAAAACTGGATATTCAATTCCCTCGAAGGACTCGGGCTTGAGGAGCTCAACGACGTAGCTCGTTCCTCGCCACAAACTTCGGATGTAAGGACAGACGCTGCCTTTTTCCTCGGTATCGAATCCGCCAGTATTGTCTCTATCTTATTAGGTGATGTAGAAACCTGCAATTTCGACGACACTGGAGCATTCTCGCGGTAATGGGACATTGCCGCATGTGATATAGCCTCCATCCCGGTCATAGACAAGGCATTTTTTGACAAAATATCATTCTCTTCAGCATTGTGGCCAGAAGAGAGTCCATGGCCCTTTACCCTGATAGCCAATGTCGTCATGGTCCCTGTTGCCGGTATATCTCGTTCTGGGTAATCATTATACAATGCTGGCGGCCTGGGGAGATCTCGATCGTGAGACATGGAAGGAGTTGAAGTCTTTGGTAAGACGGAGGAAGAAAGCATGACAAGAGAGTGAAAGGCTGACTTTGTAATGAGTGTTCTTGTTCTTGTCCACAGGTATCATGATGTAGTTATGAATGTGGCAAGAAATCACTACCACAACGAAGCTACTAGAAGGAAGGGAAGAAGAAAGAACGAGACAACGAAGAGGAAACGAAAAAATAAAAAAATAAAAAATGAAAATTTCCCTTTGTTAATTTCGTCCCTTAAAAAGCTCCATCTTATTTAAGAAATTTGTTGTATTTTGAATTTGATTTCCGCTTCTCGGTGTGGTTTCTTTGTTGGCTTTGGACGTACAGCAGGCGCTCCTTGCAAACAATTGCAGCCGTCCGATGCATTTATGACGAGGTATCAGCCGTTTAGGGCTAAAAACCTTCGGAATGAGGAAAAACGTGAACCATTGTTTTTGGATTCCTTTGTCCGGCGAGCTGACTGAATGCGGCCGGATGCACATATTTCTTTTAAATGCCTGAGACACCCAATCACTAGAGACCTGCAACAATGCGATGGAGTAGAATAAATGGAACCCCCGGAACTTTTTTGCATTTGGCGTACAACGATTTTTAGACGAACGAGACGCTCACCTTAGACTCAAGCGTAGGAGGGATTGCGTAAATAAGGAGGAGAAAGAAAAAGAAAAGCGAATCAGACGCAATGTGTAAGGAGAGCACAGCAGGGCCATGCAAAACATTCCCACTCCGCTTACCTGCCTTCAACAAAGAGGTCAGTCGCCTATCTCTTTACCAGACGAAGCTGGAGATATGCTTACGACAAGACGGGTACTTCCTCGCTGCTCACCGTCACGCTGGCATAAACTCCAACATACCACAAAGATATCGCACCTTAAAAATAGCTCTACATCACCGACTTTTCCCTAAAGACCTGTTTGAAAATGGGGGGCTTCTCTGGCGTTGGGAAAGCTTCCCTTGCAGGGTGTCGAATTCGTAACCCAACCATATGGATGACGATCCGCTTTATTTAATAAAGCACAATGGTAACAAGTTTCCTAGCCATTTGCTTACCAAAGTGTTGGGTGCGTCCAGGGACTGAAGTTAAACGGAGGACGCTTATTGTGATGATCGCCCTAAGGTAACCATATTCTGCAGATCAGCATAGCCGATTGGAGCTGTCCCTGTGCGTACCTCAGCAGGGGGCTAGCGTGGTTAGAGTGTCATCAATGGCGAGAGTAGGCAACAAACCGGGTACGGGCAGTTGCCTTGGCCTTGCGAGATATGCCCACTACCTAGTCGAGTGGAAATGGTAGTCGCAATCGATCGACCGATAGAGACTGAAAGAGATAGAGTTACGCGTTGAGTGTAAACTCCGGAGAGGTAGGACCCCTCCTATCTGCAGATGCATGTATCCTAAGTGAGTTATTTCTTGCGCTCCTCTTGTGCCAACTGGGCTCCCGCTTTGCTGATTTGGGAACTGCGTTCTCTTGTCCTTTTTTTTTTTCTTTTTAAGCATTGAAACCATAGGTTGGCAAAGTATTTCCCTTTTGGTACTTCGAGTGACTTGACTCTTCCATGTCTGGAAATCGGTTCCTCTTTGTGATGCACTCATAACCTGGTGGGTGTCACAGTCGTAAAGCCGGAGTGAGCATTTGGTGTGTCCCATGAATGATCTTGTGCTTGGTACATAGGTTGACAGAACGACCACCGTCAGGTGTGGGGAAGTGTACAAGTCACGCCGGCTTTCGTACCGCAATGCATCCCTGCCATATCTTGTCAAGGAACGTGGTAGATCAATTACATGGATTTTCATGCCGTGTTAACCTAGTACGGCCTGTGCTTTTCCATGACCAGATAAGCAGTCTTCAATGACAACTTACGGCTCATGATAACGGGAACACATATAATACTGCAGGACCCCCAAAGCCAAGACCATGATGTTCAATTAGGGCCATAAAGGTACTTGTGGGCGTGGCTTCGCACGGTGCGGTCGTTGCAGCGTCGTTGTGCTAGCAGTACGTACCATCTCTCGACATCTCAGACTTCCTCTTGTTTCCCTCATTGCTAGATTGAATATGGTTGGTGAGGAACAGTATCGGTATAGATGACGATGCACGGCGTATAGGGATGGTTGGTTAGTATATCAAAATATAGCATGCCTTCGCCTCCCGTTATAGTTCGTATGTATCTCAATGGCCCATCGGAGAATAACAAGGTAGATCTGTGGCGGCCATAAGCCTTCGATGCCGCGTATTCTTTCTACTTTTATAAGAATCCTTGTAGCTGTCGTGGCGCCAGAAGCCTCACTTGTAGTTGACAATGTACTCCGTACGAGGCATAAAGGCGTTTATTATTGCTTAACGGCACTCCGTATTTGCCTCAGTGAGTGGTGCAGCGAGAAACCCTGAGGATGTAGAACGACATAGAGCTCCTTACAGCTACCATCGCTGTCGTCACCATGCTCTCTCCCATCATGTTGTTTCTTGTAGAAATCCATGTTGGTAGTGCCAGGTGGTGAGGAGTTGTTAAATTGGCCTAAGTAGGAAGGTGTTCACGTGATCATATATTAGTCATGCATTACTCATCACTAGGGCTGCTTACCTCATGCGAAGATAACGTGACGCTTAGTCAGGGTCCACACAGGAAGTTCGCTACACCAAAACTAAACATCTCCAAAATCAAATTTGAAGACAGCGAGAGAGTCGACTTCCCGCTAACCTAACCACCACATCGACAACCGCGCGCCCTATTTTCTCTCCCTCCCGGCCATCTTGACAGCGAGAGAACATTGGTCAAGATGAAGCTTAACGTTTCCTACCCGGCCAATGGGTCGCAGAAACTGATCGAAATTGACGATGACCGCAAGCTGAGACCCTTCATGGAGAAGCGAATGGGAACTGAAGTAAGGCACAACAATCCGAGTTTTCAGAAGAGGAGGAACGATTAAGGCCATACGGATCTGCTATCGCGCTCATTCGGGGTCGCATTCGATGGAGGGACAACGGCGATCGTGTTATGTTATTACATGGCAGGCTGGTAGATGGAGCATATTTGCTGATTCGGGACTTCCAACTATAGGTCGTCGGTGACTCCCTCGGTGATGAATTCAAGGGATACGTTTTCAAGATCACTGGTGGTAACGACAAGCAAGGTATGCGCTGTTCCTTTGTCATGAAAATCCGGCGCTATGTGAAGGCGAATATATCGTGGAATGTGACCGCTGACCGTCGTCTGATCGTATATAGGTTTTCCCATGAAGCAGGGTGGTATGTACACCATTCAACGAAATACACGCCCCATTTTAAACGACTGAAATCTCACCATTATATCTTTACCAGTCCTTCTGCCAAACCGTACCAGACTTCTCCTTGCCGATGGCCACAGCTGCTACCGTCCCCGCCGAACAGGAGAGCGCAAGAGAAAGAGTGTCCGTGGAGGTAATTATACAACACTACCCTAAATGACGACGAAAAGAAGGAAACCAGTATTCTGACCTGCCTTTCTCTCCAGCCATCACTGGTCTCGACCTCTCTGTCCTTGCTCTCAGCATTGTCAAGCAGGGTGAGGGTGAGCTCCCCGGTTTGACCGACGTTGTCAACCCCAAGCGCCTCGGCCCCAAGCGTGCCACCAAGATCCGTGCCTTCTTCGGCCTCGAGAAGAAGGATGATGTCAGGAAGTTCGTTATCCGCCGTACCGTCACCCCCAAGGCCGAAGGAAAGAAGGAGTACACCAAGGCCCCCAAGATCCAGCGCCTCGTTACCCCACAGAGACTGCAAAGGAAACGTCACAGAATGGCCCTCAAGCGCCGCCGCTCTGAGGCTTCCAAGGAAGCTGCGTATGTTCCCACATTCATTTCCAAAATCTTTTTTCAAAGATATTCATATAGCAAATGCTTGATCGCTCATTTTTTACTAACTTCTTCACTACAGCAACGAGTACGCCAAGATGTTGGCTAACCGTGTCCACGAGGAAAAGGCCAAGCGTGACGAGCTCCGAAAGCGACGAGCTTCGTCGATGCGCAAGTAGAGTCACCTTTGGGGTGATGCGGTTGGAGAGTGTGAGACTTAGCCAATATGGGATACACACGATACCATGTCAAAGCCAAGGAAAAGCCAAACCCAGCCATGTTTTCTTCCCAACAGCCTCGATGATGAAGTAATGAAAAGGATACACAACAATGAAATAAAGTATATTCTTTCCTCCTCTGCCGTCGAGTGAAGGGATGGGGCGTGCGACTTTTTTTTGCGATAATCTTTCTCATTTGTTTTGTTCCTTTATAACGGGAGGGGAGTCAAATAGGGAAAAATTATACGTGGGTTTGCGACATAATCAAGAACCAAAAAAATTTAACCATTCCTCCGTTCATCATGTAATAGCCACCAGCGTTTCCCCTGCTTACTATTGGGGCTTTGATATGTAAGATCTCAATATTATTTCGCAGATTCCTCACCATATATCTTGCCCAATCACCCCTATTTTTCTTTGACTAGATTACTGTATACACGTCTCTTGATTATAACCGAGCTTGTTCATGCTCAATCGTTACAGTTCCATGGAGGGTATTATTATATTTACCTAGATCACTCTCTTACATGTCCTTGCATTTATACTTCTGTAGGTAGTTAATTCGATTAATATGAAGATAGTCCTACAAGAAGACCAAATTTTCCCACCTTGGGAGAAAGAAAGTCAGCAATATAGGTATTTATTTTTATATCATTAATCATGACGGGATATGGAATGTTACTTTCATTTATTCTATGGATTGTTCTGAATTTCCCTGAGAGTAGTTTGATATATTAAAATGGACAAATAACTTTGTCATATAAATATTTTAAATACTGGTCATTCTATGACTAGCTTTACGGGTTTTTTATTTAATAAGATTGAACCATATTATCATGATAAGTACTCCGTATCCTCTTGGATATATAGACAATATTACTACTTTATCATTACCTCGCTGTCTTGATGCCTTTAAAATGCCTTCTTCCTTCTCCTTATTCACCCATCTTTTTATGTTACATAAGCTTATCACGTGTGTAATTGATGACTAAGAGTATCATCTTATCTACACGTGACTCTATCGATAAACAGCGAGCCACTTTCTTCTTTAGGACTAGCGGCCTCGGAAGTTGGTGCCAAAAAATTCGAAAGCTTTCGGCAACTTCGAACTTTGCGCCGTAGGAAGAGAAGAAGAGAGAGAGAACAAACATGCTCTGATACATCTGTGTCTTGATGTGACGGTCAAACAACACACAAACAGCACACATACGGACACCGGCCCCTCTGACACCATTTGGCTTATTTAAGGCGGCGATGTGTTAGGTCTTGACTAGACTTCCACCGACTATTCGTGCCCTCAGCCGCCACTGATCCGTTTTCAACTTTTGAATACTCATAACTCTTTAGCGGCCTTGGAAGATGGCAACCAATTCTATCAAGTTGCTGACCGGCAACAGCCATCCGGAGCTGGCCCAGCTGGTTGCAGATAGGTACGACCTTTAGCTTCTGTCGTTCGATGCCTTGTTTCCCTTGCGCGTCTTGAATGTTTTTTCATGGGGAGACCGTGTGTAGTTGTCACCCTAGAAAGATTCATTTATCGTGGATGAGGGAGCTATAGTTATGTGTAGCGCGCAGTTTTCATGCAGGAAATGACCAGTAGCTGATATCAAATCAACAGGCTAGGGATTGAGTTGACAAAGATTATGGTCTTGCAGTATTCCAATCAGGAGACCAGTGTGACTATTGGAGAGAGTGTTCGAGACGAAGATGGTATTTCTTCCCTTAGCCGTTGCTGTTATTCTACACGTCCATCCGCCAATATCAGATTTCTCACCGGAAATCATTTCACATAACTCTCTGCTTAATGAGTCCAACAAATCTTACCACCGTAAATTATGCTAACCCACATATTATCAAGTTTTCATCCTCCAGTCTACGAAACCCAATGATATCAACGATGGCTTGATGGAACTCCTTATAATGATCAACGCTTGCAAGACTGCGTCAGCACGACGTATCACTGCCGTTATCCCCAACTTCCCGTACGCTCGACAGGACAAAAAGGACAAGAGTCGTGCCCCAATCACCGCGAAGTTGATGGCCAACATGTTGCAGACTGCTGGTTGCAACCATGTTATCACCATGGACCTCCATGCCAGTCAAATCCAGGGTTTCTTCAATGTGCCGGTAGATAACCTCTACGCCGAACCAAGCATGCTTAGGTGGATCCGTCAGAACCTAGACATCAAGAACTGTGTCATCGTCAGTCCTGATGCCGGTGGAGCGAAGAGAGCAACAGCCATTGCCGATCGACTCGATCTTCAATTCGCCTTGATCCACAAGGAGCGTGCAAGGCCTAATGAGGTCTCCCGTATGGTTCTTGTTGGAAGCGTTGAGGGTAAAATCGCTATCATCGTTGACGATATGGCTGATACCTGTGGAACTCTGGTTAAGGCCGCTGATACCTTGATGGGCCATGGGGCGAAGGAGGTTGTTGCCATTGTCACTCATGGCATCTTGAGTGGAAAGGCTATTGAGACGTTGAACAATGGCCGCTTGAGCCGAATTGTGGTCACAAATACTGTTCCGCTCAACGAAAAGAAGGACCAGTGCTCGAAACTCGAGACTATTGATATCAGTCCCGTATTGGCCGAGGCCTGTAGGAGAACTCACAACGGTGAATCGGTTAGCTTTTTGTTCTCACATGCTGTATCTTAATGATGCAGCGGTTGGTTGGATGAACGTTCCTAATTCTTATCATTCTTACGCAAAGAATCCCTGTCATTTCTAAATATCTGTCGCTATTGTATGTGCGAAAATGTGCAGAAATCCGTCCTTCTCAAGAGGCGCTCATGAACATTAATTTTTTTTTGAAATTTTTCAATATTTTAAGATTTAGGTACACTAAATAACGATTAACTAGATAAGAAATGCTCCTTTATTTTATAAGTTACTTGGGATGAGTAAGAGGGGGATATACTACTGACTTTAAAATGGATAAATGTCTGTTTTTCTACCCTCCACTTCATATGTCCATTCTGGTGACTGTTGACCACCAGTTCTTTTTGATGAGTTACAGTAGAAAAATGGAATAGAACAATTCTACGGTTTTAAGTACGTATAGTCGAAAGTGCGATGAGATAGGGAAAGCAAGTATCAAGTAAAGGAATGCAATTTTTGATTGAGAACTCGGGAGAACAGCTGATCTGCACTTCAGCTGCTCGGAGAACCTCATATAAACAATCCTATCTAAATGGGGGGCAAGGAAAATGGAGCCATAAAAGGGAAAATGGGCAACGACATAAACCACCAAGTAACTAAGAGCCGCGTCGACCGTTATCTGTAGGAACACAGCGTCATAACAATCTGAAATATACATGGGAATCTTGGTGGGAAAAGGGAACCCTAAGCCTGAGCACGCCGTTTTGATGCCGAATGCTAGAGTTCACATGCAATGTATCACTGGCAGTCGATAGCCATAGGAAAGGGAGGGACATGAAAATAGGGCCGTGAAACATGGTAAGTAAAAGGGCAAGGGAAGGGGAAGGGAAAGAAAAGAGTATGGATGTTGCCACGGGTCTCTTTAGGCAAATCCGAAATATTCGCTGCCTGCCGTCATGGCGGTGTAAAGACATTTACGTAATGCTTCGTAACTCTCATACTCAGGCAAGTCGAGCTCTAATACAAAAGGATGGGTTAGTATATTGGCATATTGTAACGCAATAGGGTTGGGGTCGTAACTTACGGTTAAAACACGTGTGTGAACTTGGAAGACGATCCTTGTTTCCATAGTCACGATGGATGTTGAATTTGCTGAATCCATTCATACCCTCAAGTTCTCTGAAGCCGTTTAGCGGCACTTTGCTTGTACCAGTGACAAATTGAAGCAACTTGGCTCGTTCTTCTTTGTCGAATGACCGAACAGCGCGCCAGAACCATTGAATCTGTGGGGACGATGCGGAGTAGTTGTGATACTCAGTGTTGTTCTTCCAGTCGCCAACATCAATTTCAGGCAAGCCGGATATAAGAAGTTCCAGCTCTTGTTCATTGAATATCGAGATAAGATCCGCTGGTATTATATCATGGAATCCGCGGAGGAAGTGGTCCAATTGCTCTTTGACGGAACCAGTCAGCCGATGTTCTACAACATGCTGCACGTATTCCTCCTTGTTCTCTTCGGTAACGGGAATGTTTCGGCCATTTTCTACCAAGTCAATGACTCGGGTTTCACCGAAATCTTCAACCTCAACCGAAAAGTTCTCGGTCAAAATGTCGGTGATATCGTTTTCTAGCATCCAGAGGAGTGACTTGTAGTAGTCGAGGTCGAGAGTTTCCATGTCTTTGATAGATACCGACTTGCCAAGGATCCGCTTGTAGACGGCCCTGCTAAAGTGGCAATCCAAGACTCTGCCTTCATACAAAGCTTTGCCAATGATGCGTCCGATAAACTTGAAGAACATCAGATGCTCTTGGTTGACTCCACTGAGGCGATTGGGGTGGAATGTGGTGCGATCAGATGCGACTGGAATAAACAAAGCGTAATCTGGGTTGAACATTCCTCTTGCAAGGACTTGGAACCACTCCCTACTTACACCACCAGCGTCGACACCTTCTTCGCCATGGAATCGGATACTTAATTTGCCATATTTCATCTCGTCTGCGGTCTTGAAGTATAACGACTTGAAGGAATCAAGGAACACCTGGTCACGACGAACAGATAGCTGCAATGGTGGATGAGGATGTCGAGCCTCGGTACCCCGTGAGTGTATTCTGCGGTTGAAGTAGTTACGTTTGTTGTCAAACTCCAGGACTTTCGGGTTCTTAACTAGGAGTGAGAATGTGCCGCTCATAAGGCGGGGGTTTTGTCGTACAAGCTCGTTGAGAATCTTCCTATGGTCCTCCGTAAAGTTGAAGAATAAGCCCTCCATGCCGGAATCAGGAGGTGGACTCGAAACAGCAAAGTCGCGGACTTGCTTAGGGAAGAGAGGGACATCTTTCAGCGTGGTATTTTTGCATACTACCATGAGAGATTCGATAAGGGGTAGTAGGGTAGTTGCCACGTTGAGCATAGTTTCTTTCCGTTGGACTGCGTGAAGGCAATCGCTCAACTTTGTCCATAGTGGGCCAAATGTCACACTCTCATAGAGGACTTTGAGCGTATTTGCCTTCTCAGAGGCTTCAGCTTCCGACATTTTCTCCTTGTCCCCTCGACTGGGGTCAAATAGATAGTCAAGCGCTGTCAAAACACGCAACAATTTGGCTTGGTCAGAACTGGCGGGTGAGAATTTTGCGAGAGCCATGCCTTGTACATCGGTGCCAGTCTCAGCGTTCGTAATGTGGGGGATAAGCTCGTCCAGATCAACTAATATCGATTTGCTCAAAGTCTGCGCCTGACCAACTAACTCTTTTCCAATGATTTCTTTTGCACCTGGTATCGATGACAGGTTGTTAATGGTTGATAGAGTCTCCCTGAAAGTCCTACCATTGCACTCGCGAGCAGAAAGGATATGAACTACAAGTCGGAGGTTGTATTCTGGAACCACCGGCGGGTCAATTGTGCGAGTTTTCTTTTGCTTTCGGTCGTCTCTAGCTGCTTTCTCGCCCGCACCGTCGTCGCCCTCTTTCTGCTCCTGGTGAGCTGCACTATCAGAAGCCAAAGCAGTTGAATCCGCCATTGTGGTATCTGATTGAGTCGTGGGGTGGTTTGCTGAGGCGTAACCTGTAGCCTGCGGCTGAGGCTCATTGGCACCTTGTCCTGATTCATTTTCAAGTTTGGCCTCGGCTACCTTATTCTCCGAATCATCTTGCTTGTCCGCATCCTTTCTGAGTAAAATGGTTAGCGGATGGGTAATGCTGCTAAGCAAGCCGGATAATTGTTCCATGCAATTTGGGCTGTCTAAGATTGCCTTTCGGTCAAGTAAAGACAGGAGAGAATTGAGAGCAAACTTGTTCGCTCTATTTTCTTTGGTCTTTCCTTTGCGTAGAGCCTTCATCTTGAGGGCAGAGACAGCTTCATGCTCGGTAAGGAAGAACCACGGAATATGAGGGTTATACTGGGTTAGGAACGAAAGAGCGCCCAAGCACTGTTGAATGACAATCAAAGGAGTCACATCATGGTTTGCCCCTGGTACTGGTAGCGACAGAGTCCGCTTCAATGGCTGAGGTGTTCTCTGTGAGGTGGGTGTTTTTGCGCGCAACGACAAATGAGCGAAGCTTCTCTCCACAGCCGAGATATCGGCACTGCCATCTTGGAGGATCAATAGTAGAAGGCTAATCACTTCAGACCTATTCTGGCGGTTCTGGCAAACATTGTGGAGGATATCATTCAGATGATGTCGAGCATTGCCTTGCAGCGGCATAAACATCAATCGAAGCAAAGTGGCCACGCCAGCTTTATCCACCACTTGGACAATCTGTCGACGTTGAGGTTTCTTTGTCTCCTGGTCTTGACGAGAAGATCCAGCGCCTGGATGAGCGTCTAAGACACCAGGGTCGCCGAATCGTGGAAGTCTTCGGCCGCCTGTCAGCGCACGAGCTTCTGTCACGAATTCTGGGCCAAGTGAAGCCAATATGTCATCTGGCTGATCGGCTAAAACGGTTTGTCGTAGAGATGGCTCGAGAGTAGCTATAAAGCTGGCGGGATCCATATCCTCCGCATGGGGGGCTCCATTAGCCGCAGCTTGGCGACGGGCACTTTCCCGTTCACGACGACGACGATCAGCTGCCTCTTGTTGTAGGAGCTCCTCTCGAATCTCTGCTGGTAATGCTTCCAAGAATTCTGGATTGATTTCGCTCGGCTCTTCGCCTGCCACGGCCGCTTGAGAGCGCTGTTCCGCGAGTTGCTGTAGGATGACTTCCTCTCGCATTTCTTCCGGAAGTGCCTCGAGATATTCTGGATCGATCTCCATACCTGTGATATCAAGTTGGCGGCCTCGAATAGTAGTGTGAACTCTTTGAGCTGGTTCAGATGGGCCGGCTTCGGAAGCCTCTGCAGGTTGTGTAGTCTCGCCAGTTGCATCAGTAGGCTGTACATCTTCCATGGGCTCAGCATGGCTCGCCTCTGCATTTTCTTCGGCACGTCGTTCTTCCTCCAATTTCCTTGCGGCCTCTTCCTCTTCCTCTTTTCGCTTCTTTTCCTTTTCGGCTTCTTCTCGTGCGATGCGTTCTTGCTTTTCACGCTCAATCTTTTCTTCCTCAAGGCGTTTTCGTTCCTCTTCTAGTTTCTTTTGTCGCTGTTTATCTTCCTCAATGGCTGGAGGTACTAATAGTTTGAGGATGGATTGCACAACCCTCTGGGCCTTTTCCATGTAGAGGTTGTTGAAGTGGAGGCGAGCCTCTTCCTGCCAGCGGTTGAGAGTAGAGCCAGTTGGGAAAGCAACAGCTTGAGCTGGATCATCGCGAGAACGCGGAGCGACCACTGGTGCCCTTCCTAGGCCGAAAAGATCTTGAAGACGCCCAGGAAGAACGGAGCCACGGTCCAGGTGAAGATGGAATCCATCAGGTCTGGATACAATGCCAAAATCCGGCCCTCCTTGACCAATTGCTTGCATAATTGCATTCATGAAAGTTACCGGGCTGTCAATTGATAAAAGCCTACCATGGCTATTTGGATCCATTGCGGTTACCCAGTCGCTAAACGCCTCTGCATTGGGACCTCGTCTTTGAGCTGGCTGTTCATGCGCACGATCATTCCGTCGTAAAAGAGGGTTTACGCCATCATCGTTCCTAGGTGGCGCAATTTGGGTTCGATGCGATCGGTAGTCGGGTACTGGTATGATACCTTGTCGGCTTGCCATTTGGCCAGGGAAGAAGTTCCATGATGGAATGTTTCGTGAAGGAATACGATTCTGGGCTGAAACAGGCTCATCCCAGCTCCAAGGTGAGTTGGAAAGGTCACCATCATCATCTGGAGTAGTGAGTGGTCAGCGCTATAATGGAATTTGAAGCCGAATCAACTTACTGTCATATTCATGATACATTCCTTGATCCTCATCAAACTCATCGACTTCATCTTCAAGTTCATCGACTTCCTCATCTTCATCTATAAATCATTAGCTAGATGCGGGTTATGCTATGGAAAATAAAACATACCTTCTTCTTCGTTTAAGTCATCTTCTATAAAATCTTCCCCAAGGTCCCTCATCCCGTGGTCCATTTCACGGTCTAACCGCTCAACAGAAGCGCCCGTCTCTTCCAGGACTCTCAAAAGGTTCTCTAGATGAGGTTGACCAGGACGATTATGCTCTCCTTGGGCCATGCCCCCTCCAAGTTCGATTTCAAGTTGGTTCATCATCGCTAACTCGTCATCTGCCTCCTCGGAGCCTTCTTCACTCTCCCACTCATCCTCCCCATCCTGGAGACTATTGTTGTCATTATCCCCAGTAATCTCACCTGCAACTATTCTCTCGTCTAAGTGCGATGATCCTTCATCGTCCTCGTCCTCGTCATCATCCTCGTCGTCCTCCTCGTCATCATCTTCATCGTCATCATCCTCAGAATCGCCGTCGATCAGAACCTCGATGTCCATTGGAGCATCACCGGGAAGGCCTTCCATCGGACCTCGTCCATCCATGTCCTCTTCGTCTTCATCACTAACGACTTCACCATCATTCTCTGGCATTTCTTCTTCATATTCCATTTCTTCATCAAATTCGTCATCGTACATTTCCTCATCCTCTTCATCCTCTTCGCTAGAAGTCTCCTCTTCGTGTGGTTCGAACATGCCCAAAGTGGAATGACGGAAAAGGTCGGGAGTCTCCTCTCTTGATGATGAAAACTCAGAGACCGAGCTTGCTGACGATATTTCATCAGTATCGCTTTGGCTCGGCTTAGCCTCAATAGATCCGCTTTCGCTTAGAAGGACTGCAGTTTGAGAGAGCTTGTTAAGAGGGCGTAAAATATATTTCACGACGCGCTTGGATGACGGGAAATTCAAGTCGATGTCCGCGACAGAGGCGGTGAAAGCATTGATGAAGTTCTTCTCAAACATTGTCTTTGCAATTTGACGGGTAGCAGACGATGAACGTGGCGATCCATCAGGGCTGGCACCACCGCTAAGCATCTTATCGAAAAGGTCTGCCAAGCACATCAGACGTGCATACTTAGAATCAAGAGGTTCCCGAGATGCACTGGCATCCTTGTAGGACTTCAAAGCATGCTCTAAGACAAATCTTCGAACAAAGAGAAGATCGAACTCGATTTCATCCTCTTGGCCAGGAACCGACCTCCGACCGCCGTATTCAATTGTCTTCGTGCATAAAGCGATTATAACCTTCATCGCCCAGCTAGATGTGTTTCCTCGTTTCTTGAACGCAATTGACTCGTCATGCTCCATGGTCCCGATTGGAATGAGGCAATGAAGTAGATAATTCAAAATTCCAGATCGAGGTTTAGATGGTGTCATGGCCAAGGGGTCTGCCTTGCGCGAAAAGTTGATGAACTCCACCTTCGTACGATTATACGATGACAAGAGTTCCGTAAGGCAGTGAAGGAGGAAACATCTGTAAACATAGATAGGGTGCTCTTCGGCTTTGAATTGAGGTTTTTCTGCCTTCTTTGAGGGTGCATCACGGTTCACGTTCGTTTGTGGGGTGGAAGAATCCTCACCAGCAGTCATTTCAACATCCTCAGGTTTATTAGCGGGCTTCTCGACAGGTGGAGCGGGTGGAGCAGGAGGAAGCTCTTTATCATCTACATCTCTATAGGAAAGTAGTTCGGATAGAAGATAGTGAACTACACCGTCAGGATGCTCAACGATCGGGGTCTTCAGCTCTTTGTGTTTCTCTTTGCTTTCTTTTGGCTCCTGATGATCGGGCTCCTTTGCAGATGGCGGAGATTGTGCTCCTTCAGGCTTGGTTTCATCCGATTTATTACCCTCCTCCGATACCTGTGGCTCATCGTTCTTCTTAAGGTTCTTCAAGACAAGTGTCTGCGGCCGCTGGTTCGAATCATATCTTGCGAGTTTCAAAAGCTCGTTTGTAACCTCCACAAAGAGCTGGGGAGCCCGTATGACCAGATGGCTGTACTGCCGCACGAAGTTTGTGGTGTCTGTTTGGCGAGAAGGCCGAGAATCGAAGCTTGAAATGATGTCGTTCCTTATGATTTGACGGATAGTCTCTTCATCCTCAACAATATGCCTGATTATAAGCATAAATGAGTTTTGCAACTTTTCGTTGGATGGGTTACTCAGTTGTTTTATCATAACAAACAAGCGTTGTAGATTCCTCCTTTCTCCAAGTCGCATGGCGAGCGCACGCTCCCTAGTGAGCATAACTAAAACTCTTGCAACTGACAAAGCGAGAGACTCATCTTTACCAATTCGTGGTAAAACATCCAAGAGGGCCTCGAATAACTGAGTTTTGCCTTCCAGAGGAACAATAGGCTCTCCCAGCTCGGCAATATCGGAATCTTCCGGGGTATCTGCATTTGGTGGGTTCCATTGGATCGCGCGAGGGGATGCATCCTCTGCAAGGATTCTTTCTAGAATCAGCAGAATTTGACCAATCCACGGACAAGACTCCTCTGTTGGTTTATCTGAAGTAGCGGGCGGGACCTTGACGAAACCAAGCAACACGTAGAAGTTATCCTGGAGAGGCTCAAGGGTCGATTCATAAAATTGCGGGTCTTGAAGGAGCAAGGCCAGAAGGCTTGCATGAGCGGCTATCTTCTTTCCACCAGACAAAAAGCTCTCATCCATCTGAAGAGAGGCTAAAAAGTGTAGCAGTGTCTCACCAATCTCTCTCCTGAAGTTGAACGGGTTGTCAACTTTAGATGCGGAGCTGATAAGATCAGCTAGGTCAAAAGTAACATCATGATGGGCATTTAGAACTTCCAAACATCGCTCAATTAAGTTGGAGCGTAGGTTATCTCGCTCTTTGTCCAAATCGTCAACGGTCACCACTTCTCGCTTCTTGGGTGGCGCGGTAGGTGTAGCTTCACCTGCCTGGTCTTCGGAACCTGGGGATTTAGTTGGGCCCTGGGGTCTAGCAATATCAGCACCTAAGGTTGGCGACACTTCAGAGGCATCACCACCTTGTGTTTCCATAGCTTCGGTAGCTTCTGCATGTATCTCCGCTAGGATCGATGCAATTGGATCACCTAATCTCTGGGCGTCGGGTCGCACAGAGGAACCTTGGCCGGCTTCAGAACCAACAAAACTTCCAAAGAGTTGATCACCCCGGGAAGTAGTGCTCGGTTTCGCTGCAGCAGCTTCCGCGTCACACTTGGGAATGGGGTTTCTCGGTGGAACACGAACGCCTTTTTGTGCGTTACAGTACTCTTCAGCGGCCGTGGAGGAGTTGTGACATCGGTACAAGGCTTCTCGAGCAAGAGATTCGTCGTGCCCCTTCTCGACCAAGTAAGCAAGGCGGTCACGTTGAATTGAAAACACCCTGGGAGTACCCGATGGAGGGTTAGGTATGTTGTCGCCACGGCGGTAGGCATTAGTCTCGTGTTCTGCCTCAAGTACCAAACGGAGGATTTCAATTAGCGACTTGACAATGGAACTTGAAGCTGTTTCAACGAAATCCGATGTCCACATCCCTTTCACTAATGGCAAAGCTTCCATTCGAAGTTCGACTAGGAATTGCTGAGGAAGGAAGAAATCTGCGCGTTCCCTATCACGGTCGTTACTAGCCATAGCCAGGGTTTGAGCGGAATCCAGGATATATCGTGCAGACGTCATCTCGGAAAAGAAGGTCAATATTATCTTGATTCCACCATACGCTGATGCGAGGCGAGCGGGCCGGTCTGGCGAAGGAGGAGATGTCTGCGCCAACGGAGCCAGAGCCTTGACTTCTTGGAAGAAAATATCAGCCAGCTCTTTCATTTTCTGAATACCATTCTGCTTCTTGAAAGCAACAAGAATCATGGTGAGACAGTGCGAATGAGCACGTTCGGTAGCTGGTAAGAAGATGTTAGAGATGTTTAATAAATACGTTAGAGCTTAGGGTGTGAATCTTACAATCAAATAGTAACCGTGAAAATGAGGACAGAATCACGATGAGGTAGGAGAACCGATCCTTTGTAACCGCGCATTCATTTGGCCCCTTCAATTCTAGCTGCTGGATAACCATAGATGCAATCGCACCGGCGACCATAGCTGCTTTCTGCCGTTGGTAGGTGTCCACACGTCGCTTACCGACGAGCCCACGGCCAAGCGCGTGAAGGAACCCAGTGATACATGTCGGGAGAGAACCTAATAACCAGCGAAGGGTCTTAACGTTTTTCACCGCTGCCCCTTTATCTAATTGCGTAGAAGTTGGGTTGTCTAATTTGGCATGGCGTCTAGATCGTCCACCTTGAGGGGCCGAGGGTATGTCCCCAGCTTGTGACTCTACAGCTGCGTCACCAATTTCAGATACCCCACCGTCGATCGTGTTAACAGGTGGTGTTTCTTGTCCATCACTAACCATGTCAAGGCCTGTAAACCCTGGGAGAGTTGTAAGTTCATTCCATGACTCCGGCATGTCCTTCTGTAGCAATATCTCTTCCCAGACACAAGCGGCATGCAAGCGGCCCAGGCGTTCAGCAACCAGTGCATATTCATCAGAGAGGTTTACTTGGTGGAATGGTAGTGGTTGTTGTGTTGGACGTGTAGGGTATATCGGTGGGGTGTAGACTTCGCGAAGGATATGTGTCAGAGTTCCAACTGCAACAAGGTGTTTGACATAATATGTCCCCTTAGACCGTACTGCCAAAGCTTCAGGGCTCGATGCTGTCTCAGGTGAAGCGCTTGTCAAAGCGGAGAAAAAGCCTGTTGCGCCAGGACCCTCTGACCAGAAAGGTTCTAGTTTGTCCAGAGCAGCTAGGGTGCGGCTGAGGAGAGGCGGGAGTACAAGGTGTGGCTTCGTCTCTGCCATGAGGTGAACGACCTGCGACAATTGGTGGTTCGCCTCGTTGCTATGGAAGCTAAACGGGAGAGATTGAAGGACGGCAAAATCAAGGACATATTCTACTCCACCGTTCTCTATAAAATTGGCGCAAATAGTCTGGTTCTCAAAGAATGCGCCCAAGAATTTTAACACGGGGAAGATGTAGCCTGAAACAGCAAGGCCATGCTCATCAACGTCCTTGGTGGTCCATTTGCTAACATCTGGCTCTCCAAATAGTTCTCGATAGGTCGTACTGCTGTTACCTAAGCTTGGGACAGATGAGTTTGGCCAGTGGTCTTCGCTCGCGGAGAAGTCAGCGCAAAGATCACCGATAGCAGTAGAGGAACCACCAGAAATGGATTCCTTCCCATCTTGATCCTCAACCCAAAGCTTAGCTCCGAGTCCACATTCCCATGCCTTGTACTTGCCTAGTAAGCCTACTCGAGCAACCATTCGTAGAACCGAGCTCATGACCGACGCCTTCAGGGCTGGATGATGTCTAACTAGTTCGTCGAATGAATTTCCTAGGAGTCGAAGCAGGTTCGAGTCACTTTTCATACATTTCACATGTGCAGGGCTTTCGAAGATATCGAAGAATCTTTCCAGGGCATCTGAGGATTGGAATAGTTCGAGACCAGTAGAATTCAAGCATATAGCTCCAAATGCGAGCGGTATACCGACGATAGCTTCCGTGGAAGCCAAAATTCCATCTGAACCCTTGCGCTCAGGGGCTTTCGAGAGGTGATCGAGGAGGCGCTGGTTGTCAGTAGAAGCTGCTGCAGGGTTGAATAGATTTTGCGGTTTGGGAGGCTGCTTGTTCTCCTCGGTCGATTCATCCGGTACTTCAAGTGGTTGGCACATAACAGCCTCGAGGAAGCTCTTGCTAAGTCCCGCTTCGGCGATTACAGCGTAACTTGTCGGCTCATTGTGAATAAAATGACTCATGATGTTTATAGAGCCGCTCCAGACGTGCGAGCCAAACGTCTTCGCATTTTCAATGACGAGGCGGAGTGCATTTAGTAGAGGCGGGGAGTCGATGAGGTTTCGGATTAAACGTTCAAAGCCACCACTATTATGCTGCATTACGTGATTGACAAACTTGAACAACCATCGGATGGCCTGTTGTTGAAAGTAGGGAATGGAATAATCGGTGGAAGGCGTCTTGTACTCCTCGGAGATACCTTTACCTTCGCCTACCATCTCGAAGGCGGATTTTGTCTCGGCTGCAATAAGGCCGGAAATAGCGTCGAAGCCCTTGGCTGTAGCCAAAGTTGCCAGAGCATCCCGGACTGAATGGACGAAGTTGTCGAGGAATTCCAAAACTCTAGGGTACACCCTTCGAGCCTTTTCAGTTCGGAGATTCAACATGTCAACGAACATAGGGATCAAACCAGCTGAAACCAACGTTTCTGGAGCTCGAGCGCCAGAGCTAGGCAGGGTCCGAAGAAGTCCAAAGAGGGCATCACGCCAATCGTCTCCGTCAGTGTCATCGCCTGAGTCATCTTCGGATGCAAGTTCATTGACGGTTTTCCGAACCAAGAACATCAGGATCCCATGGTTAACATTTAAATTCAGTGCTGCACAGACATCTGCGGATCGGGCCTTGTGCTTAGCTAGGGCATCTAAGCATATTAATGCAAATGACTGATTTAATGTAGACGCGCTGATGTCTCCGGCAACCCCGAGGTGTACGAATTCAGAAAGTTGATACGCCAACTGAAGACGTTTTGGTTCGTCGGAATCTTGTTGGAGGATTTTCTGCTGAAATATAGCTTCAGGGTAGATGTACGCTAAGTTCGTAAGCGCAAGGAGTCTAATTCCAAGCAGTTGTCTTCTAGTCTCTGGTGATATAGCGAGTGCAGCCGCTATGCGAAGGCGGTTCAGCAGGTCGTATGTTGAATCTTTCGGCAGCTCGCTTAAATTCTCCTTCAAAAGCTCTTCGGTACTAGTAGATAAAACTTTAGAACTTGGAATGTCTAATACTCTCATCCCTCTTGCGGCCTCTTGTCTCGCGGCCGGAGATTGCGTCATAGGCGTTGGAGAGTCGTCAACGCTGGATCCATGATGCAACCTCGAGCTTTGATACTCGGGAGGCCTCGATCGTGACGGCGTTGGTGTCATTAAAACTTGTGACACATTGAATGTGCTACTCGAGGGTTCTGCTGCAGCATCGCGTGGGTAATAGGAAAACCGAATGTTACCCCAGTCTTTCCATTCAGCGGTGCCAATTTCCGCTGCTGGTGAGATATCCGTCATACTAATTTTATCTGACGGCACCTTGGTCAACGAAATCAAGTCGTTGGCATTGCATTTATCGCCAGGAGTAGCACTAGTCCGTCCGACTACCTCTTTTCCTTTCTCCAACGACGTTCCTTCGGTAGTTTCTATAAAGTTTACCGGGCGAGGGAAGGGCGCCGCCAGTTTCTGAACACGTTCCAACTCAATATTATAATGCGTAGCCAATAGGCTCTGGTGGAAATGGGTGCTGCTGGTTGATCGCTGACGGAAATAGTATCGTTGTGCCAGACACAGAGAAAGTCGCAAGGTGCACTGAATAAGACTGAGCGAGGTTGTGTTCAAGAAAGCGTTCAGGCGCTCACTGCTGCTAAACAAGCTGCGGTTTCCACATTTCTCTAGCAGGAGTCGCGAAAAGTCCAGGATTGACTCGACCAACTCTCTATCTCCTTCAGGTCCGAGTCCGAGCTGATCTAGCTTCTGTTCACATTCCTGCTCGGTGGACGCCAGACGCGTAGAGACACTATCTTCAACGAGAACATGTCTGCCGAAAGGCATCAACTGTGGTCCTTCGTCAAGTCCATACTTCGTTACAACGCGCGCCAGCAACTCATCAAATCGATTCAGGGCGCCAATCCAGTGGTAGAGATCACCCCGCGGAAAGGGCCACTGACGCGGAAATGTCGCGAGGTACGACGGCAGTTCGGCGACGGGTATCTCAATAGCTTTCTTGGAAAACTGAGCTACCGCTGGCGACTAAATCAGGGTAAGATATCAGGTTAGCGCCGACACGGATGAGGCGGCTATCAGGGAATAGTGCTCAGACGACTTACAATCGTAGCCTCATGCTTGGAGCTAGCCACCTTCTCAATTCTCCCCATGATGATGGCGTGCCGTACCGGCAACCATGTGAAGGAAAAAAAGCTATCAAGAGTCGGATGAGCTCAGGCTGGGTGAGGTTCAACAAATTCGGAGTCCTATCACTAGGGTGTATGAGCGTCCCGGAAGTGTCTTAGATGATAAGATACGAAGCTTCCCGAGCTATTAGGTTCGATAAACGTATACTGGGTCTCCTTTATTGCTTGAGTAAAGGTAAAAGGACTCAGGGATGAGGGTGCGGATATGGCAGGATGGTGGTGATGATGTAGTGTGTGGTGATGGATGATGTGAGGTGGGTTAGGTCGAAGTAGGTTGCTTGACACAACAGATACGAGTTTTGAGGCAAAGGACAGGAGGACGAGTGCAGGTCGTCGCCCTAGCGCTTTGAATACAAGCTTCTGTTATGATGTACTTCGTGACTGTGGTGGGAGGTGTCGAAAATTTGGTGTTGTTCGCAGTATCATGGGAGTGAGAGAGCAAGACTCAAAATAATTGCCATATGCCTTAATAAGCAATAGGTCGACTAGTCTCTGGAGCTTTGGCCTTTGCCCGCTTTCCTGCCAAGACCCAGCCGGAGCGGGCCTACTCTCCGCCGATCTACCTCAGCGAGTGAATATAAGATGTTAAGATGTATGTAATCCCCCAGATTAATATTATCAAAATTCAAACTGCCTAGTTCTATTACGCGGTGGGCCCTCCTTGTCATACAAAGAGCCGTTAAACCTATATACATATGGGAAATTCCTGTCGTTCAGTCATGTTCATCGTTTACCTCTTGGCCGTTGAGCTGTCTCGGATAGGCGGCAAGTCTCCGTCCCATCGCACTTTCATCGAGGAAGGGAAAGGTAAATATCGACTTTGGTCTTCGGGCATGTACAACGTCAGACCTTCGTGAACGGAGACCTTCTTAAGCTCGCCCTGCGGACCTGGCGTGCGTCGGAGGTTTTCAAGCTTGTCAATCACCTTCAACATCGTGGTCAGGGATAGATTGCATAGATCAAAACCGAGACACTTGTGAGGGCCGTATCCGAAGTGGATATAAGATCCCAAGTCTCGAGTGAGGTCAACTTCGGTAGGGTTTGGGAACACCGTTGGATCCATAGATGCAGTCACCTGGAATATATATTAGATGATCTGGTTGGTTATTAAATCGCGAACAGTGAGTAGAAATGGCTTACCAAGTTACACATTGTACGCTGACCAGGCCTCAAATGCAAAACTTTGTCTCCGTCTTGAATTTTTGTCTCCTTGGTGACATCGCGGTACAGAGCCACCACGGAACGCATCCTTGCGCCTTCCAGGACACTGTATTGGAGTTAGCATATGTTCAATACGAAATATTACTATGAACAGGCACACTCACTATCGAAGGAGGACATCGTCAGCCTCTGGCGTATCAAGCTTTGACAGGCGATGGATCTCAGGAAGATGCATCGAGCCATCGTCAGAGAGGTAGTAATCTAGACACTGAGAAAAGAGTTGTCCTTGGTTTGCTACCATCCCACCCGCAGTTGGCAGAACATGTGTCCAGACAATATCTTGAGGAGGGAGACCTGTATCAAGTAACCGCTCGATCATATGGATACCATAGTCAGCTAAGACATTATCATGTCTATCGATCCTGTCAATCAGTGGGGCCAGGAATCCAGTCCTACTAATAAGCTCAACGTTCGTCAGCACAAGGCGGCCGAGCTTCTGTGTTTCTGCTCGTGACTTATCGAGGAGAGCGAAGCTTTTGGCCGGGTCAACGTTGAAGAAAATAGACGTAAATACCAGGGCCATGACGTTGTAGAGCTCTTTCTCGGTATAGACACCTCGCGGGTTCTCCTCCGTCTTCAGAGGTAGAGAGAATACTGCGGCGCAGAAATGGACATGGACCATATTAATAACATCACGAACAATGTCTACCTGGTTAATGGTGCCGGCTAGCTTGTATGCTTTGCTGTGAAGTAGCTTCAGCGTCGTTTCCTTGTAGAAAGTCATGACTTCCTCGCGCCAGCGATCGATATACAGAGCACCATGCATCAATTTCCTAGATGCTGCATTGGCAGGACGGTCCCCTGAAAGCATAAAGTCCCTACCGTATGGGCGGCCATCACGCTTCATCAAGAACTCAATCGTTTCACCCCATGTCACTTTAAAGTCGTGTTTGTTGCCTAGGATCTTCCGACAGGCGGAGTGAGAGGAGATTGGTATTGGCAGAGGGACTTCTCGTGGCTTGTCCCAAGAGTATTTCCGTGCAATCCCCAAGTGAGAGAGTATTTTCAGATTTTCTGCTGGGGTAACCAAGGGGAAGTGGGCGTAGACGGAGTTGGTTTTAAAATGACGAGGAAAAGCGCGGAGAATGAGTTTGTAAAAGACTTGTCCCTTGTTAACGTTGACGTCATAGTTGCATTCGTTTAGTCCCCAGTTGGTGAGGGATCTTGGGGTATAGTCGACCGTATAGAATCGGTCTCCTCGAACCAACGCGACTGCATCAGATAGGATGGCACGAGAGATGGTGAAATTTGTGCAAAGACCACTCCCAGGGACGACCACTTCTTTCGTCTGCTCGACTACCACGCCAGGGTAAAGTTCGACATTATCAGGGTGGTCGTAGAGGTGTCTTAGTTGGTCAGCAATGTATGGGTCAGAGTTGATGTCGTCAAACGTCTCATGGGGCTTCAGGTGGAAATGCTTCCTAAACTCGTTGAGAGAGGATAAGTTCCATGATCTAGCCTGTATTATACCCAGTATTTCGACTTGTTTCAGAATTCTTGGAACCCCCTTTGCGCCAAATGCTCCGGCACAATCTTCAATTCGCTCGGTCAGCATCTGGACAAGTTCGTCGTCGTCGAATAACCCATCTGGGCCACGCTTAAGACCTCCTAGGCCACGATCTTGAGGGTCTGCTGGAAGGGTGGCGCTCCACGCTGCCAAAACCCGAAGAAATTCTTCCATCGGGATTTTTTCCGGGTCTCTGCCAGGGAATAGCCTCTTGAACATATTTTCAGTCCACTCTGCGTCACGCTCTGAAAGGCAAGAATGCCATCTATAGATGAGATTAAATTCTGCCGAAATTTGATTTCCGGTCGCAGAGGCAACAGTTGTACCCAGGAAGGGTTTCGCATGCTCTGATCGAGGGTCTAGGCTCCAGTCACTATCAATGCGGTTGATGTTTAGGATAGTTCGCACGTAGTCCTTGAGAATGCAATTAATATACAATCCACAGGTAATGAGACGACCGGTCTGGAAAAGATCATTGTCATATTTTGCATACTCTGCCTCATTCCCCTTCCGTGGTTTGGAAAATCTACCGCCTTCGTTGATGCTAGCCAGGTTTTGAACCACATGGTTATGGAATCGATTAAACATCACGAGCAGGAGTCCACTTCCAGGAGGGAGGCCATGGACACGTCTCTCGGTGAAGCTATCGGGCTTCAGTTTTCCATCTTTGAATGTTCGTATACTATCTTGCTCTTCTTGGTTTGTTCCGTACAAGGGTGAGAGGTCAAGGTAAGACGACGTATTTGAAATTGTGTGGTCTTTTGAGTCCGTCTTGAATAGATCTTGAATCGATATGAGCTATATCCATGACAAGTAGGAAAATTATTCCATGGGACATACCGTGAACAATAATCGTGGCGAGATAGAACAGCATACTCGAGATTTGACTTGGATGCGGTTCAAATCTCTCTCGAGCCATGAGGGAGTCAAAGAGGACCCCTGGGTCAGGAAGGTTGATTGGTTGAATTGATCTAGGTTGCACCGACCTTGCGTATCTCATCCCAGCGGCACCGACATCCGGGCGCCATATGTTCTATGCTAATGTCAGTTGCTGTACTCTGTACCATGAATGAAAGGGGTTGAGGGGGGTGGGGCAGTCCGTGATTGTGCATACGTTATTAGAACCATCTGCAGTTCGATACATATACTCAGAGCCAAGTTGCCTGTGAGGACCGTTAGTAGCTGCTGCACAGATGAACCTTGAAAAGCAGATGCGTACGAGATAGGTGGGTGCTGCAAATCGTTCCACAGCTGAGCTAGGAGGTCTCCTGTCAGTGCCATCCCATTTCTGGACGTACTGGGGAGGGATGATGCGAGCTATTTTCGGATTTAGATATAAACGTACACTAACTTCGGGGTCTGGTAGCTTACTTGGATAACCCTTTCCATGATATAACGCTTATCGTCGATCAGCTCGCCTGTGGCGGCTATTTTGGCCATTTCCGCCAGTGTGCCAGCATCCCCGAGCTTCATGTGTGCAAGGTCATCTAATACACCGGTCTTTGCTACCTTTGGAAGATATGTGCCATCTCCCGACGCAGTAGGCAGAGGGCGCAGGGAAGCACTGATAGCTTCACCGACATCTGCGACGCCTTGCCCGATCTCCTCTCGAAGATTCAAGTGGCCGCCGACTTCCCCCATCATGGAAGCGTGCTTGAAGGGCCCTCGGGCCAAACAGGTATAGGTAATTAGGTTTTGAGATGAAGAAGAGTAGGGTAGTATCAATAATAGGTGGATTTAGGAAGGGAGGCCTAATAATATGAACATCAAAATAATAATAATATAGGATGCAAAGGGAGAAATTCCAGCCGGTAAAAGAGAAGTTCTACCGCGATCTTATACCTGGAGGTCAATGTCCATCCGTCGAATATCTCGATTAAGCCGCAAGCACCAAGTACCTGGAAGGAAGATCCCGTGGACTTGAACTTAAAAAGAAAGTGTAAATGACTGCGGCTAGCTCGCACGCCGGCCCTCCATCTTGTTCGTAGGAAGGCCAGCCAGTGCTTCCCACTGCCCTATCTGGGTCGAGAGTAAAGGTGGCAGAGGTGACGATGATTGCTTTTGCACGCTAGAGTCGTTCTGACTAACTAGCATATCTCCTCTCCCTGGTTCGGCTCTCGGAACAAACATCTACAAAAGATGATACGGGTGAAAACTAGTACAAATGTTTGTTGAACATGGCAAAAGCAAAATGGAGCAACAGCATCCACAAGCTTTGATGGGCCGATGTCTGTATCGGATAGACTGGGTATGTCTAGTAATTGTGTGTTGAGCCGTGCGCTAGAGTCTCGTATGCATGTCCGTCACCCATGCTGCCAAGCTGGGAACAGACCTACTGGAAAACCGTGTAGAAGAACTCTGAGATCCATATTTGCGGGTTAACGAAGATGAAATGGATCTTCCATGGTCTCCTGTACACCCCGTACTCCGTAATGCAACAACAAGCTGCCTTGTTGGAGAGCAGGGCTGTCGTGAACGGAAGTAGATATCAAATCTTGAGGGCAACTATATAATCCCTGTCTAGAGGAGTATCAGCGAACTGGTTGACAGCGAGTAGGATCCCGGTAACAGCTTCACGAGCGCGCGAACACGCGTAAATCACTTCCGCCAGCCCAAGATCGTGATCTCTGGTAAACGAGCAACGCCCCGGAAGCTGAATGCGCGAGTTAGAGGTACCATTTCTTCCGTCAAGTTAACTAATCAGCGGCCAATCACGCAGCTTTAACCGATCGCGAGACAACTGCAAAGCTAAGCATGACCATCCAGACAAAGAGATGACCGGCAATCCTGACCCCGAGGTGCATTTCCGTGTTTCACGGAATAATAAAAAAGAACGGACGCACAAGAATAGATCAAGCAGAGATAAGGATGAACGCGAGGAGAAGACAAAAAAAGAAGAAACGAACTGCCTAAAGGGGAAGCACAGCGAACCAAACCCGCCAAGATATGGCTTATGTCATCATTGGCTAAGCTTATAGAAACATGTTTCAGCGAAGGATTTAGATGGCAAGCGGTAGAGGTGAAGGAGGGGTTACTCAGTGGCATATTCGATACCTTAACCAGCGAGTTATCAAGAACTCAGAGTAAAACATAGGATGCCAAACGTAGGATGCCCTCAATGTCCACCTCCATAGAGTAGAGTCACGTGATATACCGAGGTCCTTTTGTTTACATAAGCAAGGTGTTCCTTGCAACTTTTTGCAACTTCGCGATTGTTGAACACACAAGGAGAAGCTGGAACATCCTGCAACCTACCGTATCCGCTGCAATATCTACCGGCAAACGGGGAAATTGAATACAGGATGGCGACACAAAGCATCTCACTGGAGATCAAGCCCAGAGGTAAGCTCAGTATCCCGTATTTGGCCCCGCTCAACAATGTTTACCACCATCCTCTCCTCCCTGCTCCTAATATCAAGTATAAACCCGCTAACCTCTCCTTCTTGCTTTCCACCCATAGGCAAGCCCATATCAAAACTCCCCGAAACGATCTCAATTGGATCCCAAGAAAGCATTGAGACGCTGTATTCCACGATTTCCAAGCAAGCCCGCTTCCCAGTAAATCGGCTTAGGATCACCAAAGGCAGTGACGGCAGTCTTCTGAAGAACGATGCCGGCATTACTGTTTCCAGTACTGGGGTTAGAAACCAGAGTGTTATCTATGTGAAAGACCTGGGTCCGTTGGCTGCCTCCATGCATGGGACGTCCCAAAATTCAGATGCTAATCCGGGTGACATGAGCAGGACCGCAGATTGGATGGCGAACAGTCTTCATTATCGAATACCTAGGCCCCCTCCTTATTCATCCATTAGTCCTCTACGTACTCCGACCATACCTATACGGAGGCTCTAAACCACTACCCCCTCCTTCCGATCTACAAGCCTTAACCTGCGCCCTGCTTACTCTCCACTTCATCAAGCGCGAATTGGAGACCATTTTTGTCCACCGATTCAGTGTTTCGACAATGCCATTCACCTATGTTTTCCGGAACAGTGCTCATTACTGGCTCCTGGGTGGTGTGAACCTCGCATACTGGGTGTTCTCCCCTTCATCGCCAACCGCCACCTCCAACCCGAATCCTGCCCTCCTATATCCAGGCCTTGCACTATTTGTAGTGGGTCAGCTGTCCAACCTGTCCGTTCATATCACACTGAGGAATCTCAGGAAGCCGGGTAGCACGGAGCGCGTGATACCTACTGGCTTTGGATTTGACTGGGTGACGTGTCCGAACTATCTGTTCGAGGTTATGGCCTGGGTTGGGGTATACCTTGTTAGTGGTCTGAACTGGAGTGTCCTACTCTTCCTCGCTGTCGGAGCCGGTACTATGATGAAATGGGCTAGCCAGAAGGAACAGAGATACCGCCGCGAGTTTGGCGACAAGTACAAGAGAAAACGCTTTGTCATGTTTCCCGGGCTGTGGTAATCCGGGAAACATACCGTAAACCGGTCCAGTTTTATTCATTTCCCTTGAGAATCCTACTGGTAATTTTGTCGGCCTAGACAACACCTGCTGCGTTTTGCTTATCTCTTTACAGAGAACGGAGCGTGCAACCTATACATCTACAACTCCCGGCGTCTGTGAAACCACGAGTCTGGGCTGCTCCCATTCCAATGCAACACGACGACCAGGAGGGACGTTTTAGGCTTACTTGATCATCATCGCGCCCTAGGCCCTAGTTGCATAAAAACCTGCTATTTTTAATACTATTATTCTTAAAACTCCACTTGTCGGACCGATCCGCTTCGTTCCCCGTCCCAAATCTACATTAAGCCGCAGCCCGGTTCGCAACTGCACGATGATCTAGGGACAGCACCTGCTAGATGATCTTAATGTCGAATTCGTAGTCAAATGATCCGTTCGTCCGAGGGAGCGGGTGCTGTGGGAGGATAGTGACTATCACTGTCGATCCTGAATCATCAATCATGCCACTAACTAAAAGATCCAATGGCCTAAAGAGTCTAGTTCATCAAGCATCTCTTCAGCTTGATATGCATTTGTTGCTTGTAGATAAAAGATAAAATGGAACTAGAGTAAGCGTTCCAATTTTTAAACACATAAAAGCATATAACAAGAAAACGTAAGAGGCAAAAAAGACGTCTATCTCATCCAAAGCTACCGGCCGGCAGGCAAGCTTCCGAACATAACCATACTGTTACATCAAGCCGAGAAACGGGGGGAGGGGGGGGGGGAGGGGAGGGAAATAACAAAGGCGTAATTATATAGAAAAAAAAGAACCGATCCGAAGAAGAACAATAATAAAGATGGAAGACAAATGTCAAATATACGCTCATTAATGCAAATTACCACGGCTGTCTTACCCATTCTATACATGGGCATGATTCTTCGCCCACTTGTTCCAGTATGGTTCCATTTCCCTCTCGCAGTTTCGTGTAGCAGTAGTTTCACATCCGCTTAAACGAACGATGAAATCACCTTCTGTATACAGCCCATTTGATCCCGGGTTTGGAGCTTCATGGGAATAAGCGCTGATCATCTTCTGAGGAATGAGGGCGAGCTTCGCCAGAATGGTTGGGTGCCATTGTACGATATGATCCTGCGTAGAAATATTAGCACTTCTAGATAGTCCATGGCATTTCCGCCCACATGTAGGTTAAAGGGTATAAATTCAGAGCAAAATGAGTAATAGGGGTTGAGAAATGTGACGAGTGCAATAGCCTGTAGTATTTCACTTACCAGCGCATGATTTTCGGCCTTTGCAAAGTTATAACTCCTATAGAGAGGATCAAACCACGCGTCCAGGAAGTAGTTAGCCCAATCACCTTTCTTGATGATGAAGCTCCCTGGGCTCAAGTTCTCTGCGTCTTGAGTGATAACTAAATCGACGTCTTGAGCAGAAAGATGAGTGAACGTCTTTATGACACTGTCTGGCGGAACGACAGGAGCGTCCTTAATCATGAGTGACTCTAGCTTCGACTTTTCTAGAACGTGGGAGGTAAGGGATATAGTTGGGTCCATGATGACCGCGTGGGGTGAGAGGTGGAAGAAGTATTTGCTGCCAGGATGCACTGTCATCGCATGTCGTACGGCTGGAACAAGAGCCCAACTTCGAGGAACTATGCTTCCTGACGGCAGGTTCATGACGGGAAGATACTCCGTGGTGCGAGCGAAGAAGTTGACGTATCCTATATATAGCCTCCTTGTTAGCATGTCTCAATTTACTCCAACATCGTAGAACAAGCAATTAACATTAACGAGACTCCAATAATAGACGGTAAATACCATGACGCTTCGCATAATCCTCCCTGTTTTGCTTTATCCGCTGTATATAGGTGTCGCTGAAAAAGTCCGTATCTAGGACTGTGACGATAACAACAGGGGGACCATCCGTTACAGGGGTATCGACTGAGGAGCCCGACGAGAAAACGTGAAAAAGGAGGAATAGGATCGAGACAACGATACAACTAATGACCGCACATGATTTTAGCTGTCGCCGTCGGAGGGATGATGGTGAGGATCGTGAATAAATAGGTGGACGGGACGTCTTTCGTGGTGGCACTGCGAATTGCATCTTAGACAGGGCGGACACTTCTCCCAGCGCTTTCGGTGCCGGGAGACCAACGATATAGATCCTCCTTTTGTTCTCAACGGTTCATACCCGGTCCTTCACAGAACTCCGTAAAACACTTGCGCTGTCGTTGAATTTCTTGAATCTCGTCGAATCCCCGAAAAGGGCTGAAGAGCTGGAACACGAAATGCGGCTCGGGGAGACGTTAATCCGGCGTTCCTTTTGCTGCTGAACCTGCTCAGGGGAGATATACGTTAAACAGCCGTACGACAGCATGCGGAGGAATAGCCTGTAGCTAGATCATACGATGCGGTGCAGCCATACTCTGTGCTCATATACGGCTATACACCGCATCGTGGATGATTTGGCCTGAACCATTTGGTCTATATAACGGATTCATGGATGTCTTTACGAAAGCAACCCAATGGCGGCTGAGATGCAGAATGTGTATGTTCTGTTAAATGATCGTCCCTGGATTGGTAGAATGTCTCATGTTATACAGTTTTGAAGCGTTCGGTAGACGTAGAAGACGTCGATTCTAATATACAAACAAGAGTGACCCAAATAGAGTAATAAAACATCAAGGCAGAATGCTCCACAAGTTAACGCATCGAAAACAGTACAGAGGGTCATCGACATCCCTGCAAATTGTGTACTCTTCTCTCTCCGTCGTCCATAACGCCCGTATTCAAATCTAGGCAAGGTTCGTCTTCAACTCAGGTGTCGTTGGCTCTCCGTCCACGAATTGAACGGTCATAGGGGTGGCCGCATCGTGTGCATCCTGTTGCCGTTTCAAGTTGTGGGAATTGGCGGCTTCGTTCTGTTCCTTATCCGAATGTCGTGCAAGGAATTGTTCAAACGTCTCTGGCTCCTGCAACCCCAACTCCTGTCTCTCAAGCTGAAACTTCTCCTTCATGGCCAACGAAGTCATCACTCTCCACCGTAGCTTCCAGCCAAACAGGCCCAACTCCTTTATTCTGGCAGGTTTGTCGCCAAGGAGGTATTCGTCCAGTCCTCCCACCTTATTAATAGTGCGCAGGACGCCGTGAGTCACCCTGACCTCTATCTCTTCGTCCAGGGCTTTGCTGTAGATCTTCTCTTTCCGCACATTGGGCTTCCAGATCCTTCGTGTCTTTCCCTTATTCCGGCCTTTGGAGACTTTGTTTCCGAACATTATCGTCGACCCGCCGTACAAGCCTCTGTCGGCCTGCTTGAAAGTGAGTCTCGGGCCATAGGGGTATGGAGGGATCTCGGAGGGTAGAGTAACTGTTTTCTGTGCCGGGATGGTCGTGGAGAAAGGACGGGCTGACTGTAGAGAGATGTTGCGGAACGAAGCTGTGAGAAGCGAAAAGCGAGGGAGCTGTCTGGCGGAGCAAACCGCCGCTTGGAGAGTCATGTCGAGCTACAGCAGTAGCATTGCACGAACAGCGGTTCTCAAATAGTGTGGCTGTCCCCAGCAAGGTCTTCTCGTCGATGCAATTGCTGGTCTGTCGGCTTCGTCTCTTTTGCTTCGATGTTTCTTCGTCTTTTTTTCCTGCCCAGGCTTGTTCTGCTTTGGGCCTAGCGGCTGAGTTAATCGCATCCCAAGCCAAAAGCTCCAGGCGCAAAACAACCTAGAACAAAAAACCACTTTTTACGTAGCTACAACCTCAAGACGAACACCAGCCAGAGTTCTCCTTGTCGTGTCTGATCCGTTTGCCGAAATAGAGCTTGAAGTTCTGTTGATATCATCCTTGCCACGAACCGCCGGATAGCTCGACCGCACATCCCTACCGCAGCACCTCCACCATGGTGCACATCAGCGAGGTAAAGGGAAGCTCGCGCGAAAACCGAACGGCCGCGCACACCCATATCAAAGGGCTAGGTTTACGTCCAGATGGAACTGCTGAAGCGGCCGGGAATGGGTTTGTTGGCCAGGCCCCCGCCAGAGAGGTATGGGCTACTCAAACTTATAGTCCAAATATATGATGCGAGCTGTGGCTTATGTGATGTTCTCTCCAGGCATGCGGCGTGATTGTCGATTTAATCAAGTCCAAGAAGATGGCCGGTAGGGCTGTTTTGCTTGCTGGAGGGCCGGGAACCGGAAAGACAGCTCTAGCGCTTGCCGTGTCGCAAGAGCTGGGAACGAAAGTCCCCTTCTGCCCAATTGTTGCAAGCGAGATCTTCTCAGCAGAGGTTAAGAAGACAGAAGCCTTGATGGAAAACTTCCGTCGTGCTATTGGTATGTTCTGTGACTTGTTCAAGTGCGGACCATCGGACTAACGAATTGTAGGACTACGAGTTCGGGAAACCAAGGAAGTGTACGAAGGTGAAGTCACAGAACTCACTCCAGAGGAGGCAGAAAACCCATTGGGCGGGTATGGAAGAACGATAAGCCACTTGGTCATTGGCCTGAAATCATATAAAGGCACGAAGAAACTACGACTCGATCCCAGCATATATGAGGCCATCCAGAAGGAACGGGTTACGGTGGGAGATGTGATATACATAGAAGCCAACACCGGAGCCTGCAAGCGTGTCGGCCGATCCGATGCATATGCAACGGAGTTCGATTTGGAGGCCGAAGAATACGTCCCCATACCCAAGGGCGAGGTTCACAAGAAGAAAGAGATCGTGCAGGATGTGACTTTACATGATTTGGATGTCGCCAATGCCAGACCACAGGGCGGACAGGATATAATGAGTATGATGGGTCAATTGATGAAGCAGAAGAAGACTGAAATCACCGATAAGCTACGGCAAGAGATTAATAAGGTTGTCAACCGATACATCGACCAGGGAGTTGCTGAGCTTGTTCCTGGTGTCTTGTTCATTGACGAGGTACGTCGAACCCTCCTTTCCATTGTTATTTTAAACCGTGCATTTCTAACGTACCATCAGGTTCATATGCTCGATATCGAATGTTTCACCTACCTGAACCGAGCACTTGAATCATCCATTTCACCCATTGTCATCCTAGCTTCAAACCGTGGCAATACGGTCATTCGCGGCACTGACGACATAGTCGCTGCCCACGGCATACCCTCTGACCTTCTTGCCCGACTTCTAATCATCCCAACCCACCCATACAACCCCGAAGAAGTGAAGACCATCATCCGTCTCCGTGCCAAAACAGAGGGCCTGCAGATCACAGAACCTGCCCTTACCAGCCTCGCAGAACATGGCAATAACGTCAGTCTACGTTATGCTCTGCAGTTGTTGACTCCTGCTAGCATACTTGCGCGTGTTAACGGAAGACCAAACGGTATCGAAGAAGCCGATATCGCTGAGTGTCAAGACCTCTTCATTGATGCGAAGCGCAGTGCCAACATCGTGGCTACGGAAACAAGTGCTTTCATCTCTTAGGTTTTTTTCAATGTACTATCTTGTATCCATTAGCTGTTCAAATCTCTGTCAACCCTTTGCCGTTTGTGCATTACCGCCCTCCAAAGTCCAAGATGCAGGTATGGGTAGACTGAAAAGATTTGTATAACCTCTCTTTGAACGCCGAAGCCCATCCACGGCATAAAGATGAATGATATTAAATGAACCCGTATTGTATTCTCCTTTATAAGAAATACAATAATAATGTAGCATGATATTCTTTAAACAAAGTATATTTAAGCTCCATGCTTTTGACATCTAGATATTAGATACTGACCGCAGCAGTCATTCCCAAAAATATCTAGACCAAACTTCTGTAGAAATTATTGGATATTTATTTACCTAGATATTTTGCGTAGAAGCTAGGGTAAATAGCGGGACGAATGTTGTGCACAATGTTTAATAAAACCACTACATACCTGCCTAACAGCTCCCTTAGCCGCTCCTTAACGACAACTGCATTTATCCACCCCTCCGTACATGGCTGTTCATACCTACTGGGACATGGTTATATACTGACTGCCGAAGCAGTTGCAATGATTTGCCGACCATGCTATTTCACATATTCTTGCTCCAAACAAAACGCCTGAGGGTACGACGTTCCATGAGCCTCTTTCGACATCCAGGAGCTGGCAAAGTCGATACAGTCATTGAACCTATTCCTCGACAGGCCGTGGAGGATGGATCAGGTATGCGAGTCTGTCCAAATTGGCTGTTTTTTACTGATTCAAATAGAGCAAAAAATCACCGAGCAAGATCTATATCGGTACAGCCGATACCGATGGCTGTGTGTATACCAGATACCCATTACTTAGGACATTTTTGACAGAGTCTTAAGATGCGACGAGCCAAAGAAGCTCGAGATGCGCTACCGCAAGTTCAACTTAAATGGTCTCATGAATGAAGCTGTTAGAGTTGTAGGTAATGGAGCAAAGTCATGTATGGCAGCCACTCGAACATTTAGATCGGATTTAGAACTAATCCTCATGTTTAACATAGGTATGAAAGTGCTGAAATGTGTCGAAGGGCAGTTTAACAAGGCTTTCATCCTAAAGATGGATAACGATGCGGAAGTCGTTGCGAAAATACCTAATCCGAACGCAGGTCCAGCATTTTATACCACTGCATCTGAGGTTGCAACGCGTCATTTCGTAAGTGAAAATTTCCGTAACTGCCATTGATATGCAGCTGACAGGTGATCAAAGTTGCGTGACGTTCTAGATATACCAATTCCTCGTATATATGCCTTCTCTTCGAATTCGACAAATACTGTTGGCACATAATACATTTTTGAGGAGAAATCCAAGGGCATACCCCTTGGGAAGGTTTGGTACCTGTGGCCAAAGGAGACACAACTAGAGATAATTCAACAGATCGTTAACATCGAGGCAAAATTGAGTTCCATCTCATTCTCAAGGCATGGTAGTATTTACTACAAATCCGACCTTGCATCCAAGGGCATCACTTATGACCCCCTTACTGCAAATAATTATCAGGTGGACAATTCATCCCGGACCCTCAACCGTTCGGCGCTAGGGGACTTTGCTATAGGCCCCCTGACTAATGTTAGATTATGGGAGGGCAAGAAGGCTACAATGAACCTCGATCGCGGCCCATGTGAGTGTAACATAACCGATGTTATTCATGGGTGTTGCTAAGACAGAGTTAGGGAATACCGCTGCCAAGCACATTACAGCCTTAGGATCTAATGAAATTCTCTGGACTGAAGCTTACGCTAAGCCCCGAATGAATTATCATCGGTCCATGAACCATCCCAAGATGCCAGAAGACTATATCTCCCTCTTAAAACGATACATTGCACTCGCACCGTATCTTGTACCTGCTTCTGGGAAAGGGGCACCCAAAACGCTGCCACATCCAGATTTGCATCTGGACAACATTTTCGTCAATCCTGAGACAAGGAAAATTACCAATATTATAGATTGGCAACCAACATCCGTTTGCGAAACGTTTTTGCAGAGTCCTTTCCCTCAAATGATTACGCCGATTGGCGCCGCCATTTCTGAGAGAGAATCTAAAGCAGAGGGCCATCATGTCGGAAACGATAGACAACATAACGATGATACCCTGGCCTATTATCAGAATCTTCTCAAAAAAAAGGCTCCTCAACGATGGACACTGTTAAACGAAGAATATCTTTCAGTCCGGACGAAGCCTATTTCCCTAGTCAAGGGGTGCTGGCTTGGAGAAGACCTGTTTTCTTTCCAGAATTCCCTGATCAATGTGATTGCGCATTGGGATAAACTTGTGCCGAGGGGAGAATCATGTCCAGTAGAATTTACGGACGAGGAGCTTGAGCTTCACAACAGTGAGATGGAGATGATAGAAGGTCTGTCGACTATTATGCATCAACTTCAAGATGAGAACCTTATACCTCTAGGAGGTATGGTACTTATGAGCAGGCAGCGGAGTCGAATAAGCAGTTCAAGAAAGCCTTCGTTGATTTAGCGGAAAATGACCACCAACGAGAACTGCATGCTCGAGTTTGGCCATATCAATAGGGTCAGTGCCATCTTTGTACTTATATCGAGAAAGAGTCGACGTCCTTAAAGTAGATACAAGTCACGTGTACTTATTGATACGCGATTCGTAAGGCGGAGAACATGACGTAATCCAAAAATACGTCTTTTGGCTGGGGCCTTCACCACCTGCCACCAGCTCAACCTCGATCTCGATATCTGCGACAGCCCAACAGTCTCGCATACTGCAAAGTACCTTCATTTAAACCCTCATTTCACTTCTGCCGACTTCGAACGTTCCAAGACAGATCACCCCGACGGTCAGCAAACTTACACGACCCAAATCACTGGACTACCTGCTTTCCGCATTCCGCATTCATTTTATACCCGCCGACCGTTATGGCCAATGCTCTAGACACCGATGCTGGCTCTGAGCTGTTCAGCAGCTATGAAGCAGAACTGAAGCTTGTCCAGGCCGATCTCAACCAGAAGCTCGACCAGATCACTGAAGTTTCCGGCGAGGAGCGAAAGGCGTCTATCAGGCAGGCGGAGAGAGCATTGGAAGAAGCAAACGAACTGGTAAGGCGCATTTATCTCTAATCCACCTCTCTATTTAGTTGTGTTCGATGCTGTTTATTCCGCTATATTTCCCTTGAACTAATCGCTAACCCAACCTTAACTGGATAGCTTGACCAAATGCGAATGGAGAAGGAGAACATCCCATCATCAACCCGTTCCAAGATAAACGCTCGCTTTAGAAACTATCTCACAGACGTCGACAATACTAAACGGAGACTCCGCTCTCTCTCCGATGACCGCAAGGCCCTCTTTGGCGAACGCTATACCGATGATCCAAGCAGTGCCTCTGATCAACACCTAGAACAGCGACAGCAACTTCTATCTGGTACTGAACGGCTAGAGCGAAGCTCCGCTCGTCTACAGGACAGTCAGAGGGTAGCTCTGTCCACAGAGGAGATTGGGCGTGATACTCTCGCCGATTTATACCGTCAGCGTGAGACGATCGAACACACGAGGGCTGGATTATTGGAAAGTGAAGGCTATGTTGACCGAAGCGTCAAGACTCTGAGGGGGATGGCTCGTAGGTAGTAACCCCTACTTTCGTTCAAATAATGATGGAACAGGACAGTACTAACTCGGACTCTTTAAAATAGGATGGCTACCAATCGGATAATCACCATTTCGATAATTACCGTCCTTGTTTTGCTTATTGTTGGTGTGATTTATAGCAAGTTCCGATGAACAAACCCCCTTTCAGTTTTCTGGGTTATGGCGCTATGGAGAACCTGGAGAACTTCTTTATGATTATTGTATGATTACATTCCCTTAATAGTCACCCTTTCGCGACGTTGGAACCTGATTTTAGATTATGAGCTTTTGGGCCGTCCCCTGTTATCGTTATCACCTTCGTCGTTTCGCACGTCGATATTTTACTTATAGTATATCCTTATTATACATAGCACGTTTGGGTATCCATTTACAAAAACCGCATAAACAAGGCGTTACGGCCTGTGTGAGGCCTCATCATAATATAATAATACAGTACGGGTGTGAAGGGAGGGACATATGTACCCTCAACTCAGCATCCTGACAGCTCCGAATCCAAAGTTCACCACAACCCCTACGAAAACGGCCAGCCCTTTCCTCCAGCTCCATACCCCTTCCTCTCTCAGAAGCCATAGTGCACAGCCAACAGGCCAAAAGAACCCCATAACAGAGCCCCATAGCATATCATCTAGTGCGCGCGAGGTGCCTGATCCAAATGGGCCGCTGCCACCATTATTATCCGTGTTTATGTCTCCAAAAATATTCGAGTCATCGCCGTTACCAGCCAGGCCACCGATGCCGCTATCCGATGAACCCTCGTCCATCCATCTATCCTCTAATCTTCGTAGGTCCGAACCAGACGGTAGCGTGTCTGGGGTATGCGAGAGGGACAGCAGGGCGAGAAACTGTGAACGAAGAGAGGATACCTCGGACGGCGTAAACCCAGCAGATAATAGCCTATCAAATCCCTGTGGTGCAGGCGCTGGAGTTGTACCGGAGTCATTACCGGCGCCAGCACCTGTATTATTTAGAGCTGATGTATTTCTGCCATCTGCTCCATGCGGTAAACGGCTTGATCCCGCGGACCCGTTCAGACCAGCTGAACCCCAAGAGTCATGACCTGCCGTACCTGATATCGATGTATCATGGCTAGACCGAGCAGCGCGAGCTTCTGCATCAAGCTCTGCGGGTGTAAGAGTGATATCCCCAATCGAACAATGTATATATACCCTCGGCTCCGCCTGGTCTCGAGCCGGCTCTTTCCCCTTCCCCGACGACTCTAATGGAGCCTGAGATGGTGTTGATGATGAAGGCGTCGCATATCCACCTTTCAGAAAGGGAGAAGACACTCGGGAGCCTGATTCGGACGGCGAACCCGGCGAAGGCGCTCGATAGCTGTTCCCATGCTGAGGGCGCAGGCGATTATTCCTCCCGACTTTTATCTGTGTTGCTAGTGATGTGGAATCATCTAGGGACTTTCCGGCATGAATAAGACGTAGTCGACGCGATGTGAGATTCGGCGGAAGTCTATCGCGAACCAGCCGTTTGAGCCCCGCGGCGGTGGTGCTTGTCGGGTCGGGGATTTCGAGAAATATATCGGGTATGGATGCGGAGAATCGGATGGTGAGAAGTAGCTCTAGCTCTAGAGGTAGCCGGTTGAAGTCCTCCATCTCTGGAGCTGTGCAAGATATCGGTATTTCAAGCTGTAGCTCAGCGTGTCAGTTACGCCATCCAAGATATGTCACGTGTGGCTATTTGTTAGCACTTTCACACTTATACTACGTTTATACCGTGGTAAAGGCAGCAGTCGAGAGTAGAAGGGGAGTCTTCGAGCTGACTGGATTGATGTTGGAAATGCTGCAACTTTTTACTTCAAGCTGGATGCTACACTAACTGATTTGAGGACAGGTTATTGTTTTATTGAATAAGAATTGGGTATAAAATGCTAGTATAGTATGGCAAGCATCTAGAAATGTATAGAAGAATGATGTGAGATAGGAGAGTCAGCCCAACCCAGGTCATTGATAGATCTTCCTATTCTCCAAACGCCAACCCAACGCTGTAAATGTGAGAGCAAGAAGTAGAATTTTATGACAATCGGACGTTGTCACCATTATACCATGAATGATTCACCACAACCGCATTCATCCTCTATGAGTAGGTTAGCATCGTTCTATCCCTATATAAAAGGACAGAAAAGAACTTACTGATATTTGGGTTGTTGAAAACAAAGCGGCTGCTCAGCGGGTCCTCGTGCCAGTCCATCTCGCTGCCAATTATGCTGAAAAGGGCCTTGGAGTCTATCAAGACCTTTACACCGTCCTGTTCAATGACTTCATCGAACGCAGCTGGCTTCTCGACGTATTCCAGGTTATAAGACAGCCCCGAACAGCCTCTGTTCTTCACGCCTATCCTGATCATCCTCGGGTCTGGCTGGGAGACCAGGTCCCGCAGTTTGGATAGCGCGGTCGGTGTCAGCGTTACGGCAGCTTTCCTTGCTCGTAGCTTGCTCTTGCGCGGCTTTGCTTTCGTCTGTGGTTCTGCGGCTGGGGATACGGGTTTCGACTTCTGGGCTTCAATTTCCGGCAATCCATACGACGACACGGAAGCCTTCCCTTCCTCCTTCGATATGCCTGTCCCTGTCCTCTCTGGCGGCGGGTATGATGGAGTAGTGTTTAAGCCTGGAATGGCGTTTGAGATGGAAGTGTCTGGAGTGCCCGCATTCCGTGGTGGGGGAACGACGGACTCGGGGAGTGAGTAGGGTCGGTATGCGGTGGCAGTCTGAAGTTCACGCTTCGAGGACGAGTGCGCTGGGTAAAAGGAGGAGAAAGTCCGGATATTCTGAGCGCATTGCTGTCGTTGTCCGGACCTGAGCAGTAGCCGGAGCACTGATGATGTCACTGGCTTTACAGATGCTTGACACAGCGACATGGCTATTAATAAAGGGCGAACGGCTAGAGGAACATGAACCGGTGTATGTATAAGCGTCTAAGGACAAGAGATGAATGCTGCAAGGCTCGGTCTAAAGCAGTGTATCAGAAAGTGAAGATTGGACTTTGTTATCGTGCTTCCATCCCGAGTTCTTCTTATTAATAAGGCTTTCTTCTTGCGCTTTTGGCAGCAAAAACTCGGACTAGGTCACGGGACTCGAGTTATGACCAATCAGAGGCCTTCAATTATCAACTCTGCGCCTGCTGACTCAGCATCATGATCATGCCACTTTTGCCCGATATCCAGGGGTAATTTACTATATATATATATATATATCTTGTATAGAGTAGAGTAGCTGAGTTGTAGATATATGTTGGTACGGAGTAGACGGTTGGCTGATCACGGTGGATGTACGGAGTAGATAATGCTGAGATGTAGTCATGAGATATAACCACCTGTTGCGATCAGCCCTTACAGCCACCCCTGGCTCCGTACGTACATCTTGAATCTGCTGTCCAGACAGCGTCCAGAACTACGAGTTAGCAGCTTGCTTTCTCTAGCTTTCCTCCAGCTGTTGGTTCAACGTTGGCATCGTCGATTGGTCGCCCATGCTAGTGCCATGTGGCTAGTTGATGAGTAAGGTGGACAAAGACACATAGCATCAGGCGTTCTCAGCTCGAGTCCACCGTCTTACGAAGCTGCTATCAATAAGGGAATTGTGATGTAGTGAACTCGACTCCTGATTCTACACATTAGCCCTTGACAGCGATGCCATCGAACGCATATCGGATATAAGAGCACCATGGAATCCTCTCCTCTAACTCAGCAGACCCGGCCCGAAACCTTCCAGCCTAAGATAGTGAAGCTCTATGAGTCTCTCCTTTTTGTACGTCAACGCCATTTTATATACATCCTTGTTCAGATACCCCATTCTCTATTATTATCGTAATATGCTTATGTGTGTTTTAGAACCCCGAGTATGCGCATCCCACGGAAGGGTTCTGGCGAGAGTTCTTCCTACTTCAGCCAGATAGGGCTCATCTATCAAAGGCCATAGCCTCGATTAACCATAATGACATGCTACACCTTCAAGTAAGAGTTTGGCCTTTCTGTTTGATGCATGTTCAGTGATACTTACATATCTAGTCCCAAACCCAACAACTCTTTGCTCGTGCAATACGGGAAGCAACTTCTGATAACCCGATAGCAAGTGCGCATGCCTTGGAGGTTAGAACCAGAGATACCCATAATACCCTGTAACTATGATTGTTGACAGCTTTCTTCAGACCTTGACGGCATTCCTGGCGAGTGCGTTGGCAAAAAAGTACACCAACCCGAGCTCAGATATTATTGCAATTCTAGCCGGCCTCGACGAGGTTGATCATGTCTGCTCCGAGTTTGTATCTGTCTTGGATGGCATCATACGAAATGGAAGCAACCGTAAGCGCCTGGATATTTGTATATCCAAGAGGAACATTGTTACTGACATTTCGCCAGTGGAAGTACGGCTGAAGGCGATTGACGCCACCACAGCGATGGTCAGCGGAGCCTATAAAACTGGTCTTATGTCTTATTTTATTCATAGAGATCTATTCCCTTCTCTGATGAAGGTTTGATCCCCCTCTTGCTTAATATTCGTCATTTTGGCAGGCGTAGCTAACGGATTCCAAGTTCATTCACGATTCTGATACCCATACGCAAGTATTGAAGCCCTTCTTGTTACTTGGCCTTCTTGCCAACTACAATAAATTTGATTTTCAAAACCCTTATCAGCTACGACTGAATGATTTCGTAAACGAAATCAAAATACAGAAAGTTGTCAGAGGAGCCGGTGCGGCGTGTGCCTCACTCAGGAATTCGTATATTGCCGTGCAAGATGACCTTCCTGAAGGCTGGAATTGGAGCACTACTCTATCCTTCTTTAGCTTTGGCTTCTTCTCTAGCGGAGGGAAGCCCCAAAGTCAACCTCTAACTGCGGAAGAGATGAAGGAGCGGTTTAAGTCACTGTAAGCTCTCACAGCCTATAGAATGTTCGCGAGCTCCAAATTTCTAATACCATCTCTAGTCCGTCGCCTGAAGCAGCAATCTTGTTAGCCGTATACGATTTTGTGAATGCGAACAAGCTCTTCGGCCATACATTAGTGACAACCAGCCCTGAGAAACGATCCGAGGAGGCGCCTTTCGCAAGTTTCCTCTCGTTGACCTCATATCTTCTCCAACATGCTTATCGTTCAACTCGAGTTGCGCTGTATGCGGAGGCCAATCTCTTCTCGCTTCGAAACCTGGTTGAAGATCCTGTCATCTGCAAGCAAATATGCAGTGATGAAAATAGTTCCAGGGTGAGGCTGTGTCGTCAACGCGCTCCGCATCTCCCTCTAGTGAATGGGGAAAGGGTTCTTGCAACTGTCATATTCGACATCTTGGTTGATACCATTAACCATAACCTTCGTCGAAGCCTTGATACGTACCTGTACAGGTAAGATTCGCTCCCATGCCCACACACTCTTCCATGAACTAATTTCAACTACACAGCCACACAATAACTACTCTCTTTCGCCTTCTTACATATGCTTCATCTAATAAAGTCCGCTTCTCATACCACTGGTCCGAACTTTGGCGAAGCCTACTCACCCTCACACGCTTCCTAACCACTTACTCCGCCGACCTCGTACATAGCCCGCAAATCAAAACCCTCACGTCCGACCTAATTGATCTCATCACATTTTGCATATCCGCAGGTGACACTTTTCTTCCCGACCCTTCATCCTACGACGACCTTTTCTACAAGGTTGTCGAAGCAGACTCTACCCTAACCCGTTTCCGCGACGTATACAAACACCTATCAACTGCACCATCTCACTCTGCTAATTCAACCATTTCAATCAACGCTCTCATCAGCGTTTCAACACACTTCCACTCCCTTCTATTTGTTTCAGATACCCCGGATGCATCTCGTCCTAGTAGCAAGAACGGTGAATCAGGCGCTACATCCCCTGCTCCAACAGCAAGGAAGAAAAGGCTGAGTCCAAGGGAAGTCCATCAGATCATCAAGGAGGGCTACTCAACGCTTAGTATTAGAGCAAATGATGATTTAACAAATTGGGAAAAGTGGCGAGATGCAGATTGGAAACCGCAATTGAAGCGCATCGCTAGGGCTGCAGTGGAGGATGTGACTGTTTTAGTATCACAGCCAGAACAGGGACAGGTTTCAATAGAGACTAAACACAAACCAAGTGTGTAATTCGTCCACATGTCCATATGAAATTAATGCTACGCCTTTATGTTGAGCTGCCCTTTGTTTTAATATTATCTTTTCCTAGAGAGTAGATTGTTTTCTTTGATCTTCCTAGTTCTGTCAAGTGGCAAAGATAGAAAGAATACACTGCATATTGAATGATTATTACCAATGGAGCCTATAGCAAATACAATTGCAAAACCCACTGCACCTGGATAAAGAAACCTCATGACAAACTAAAACATATATGTAACAACGAATACAGGCTGACCACAAAAACAAAGCAAACAGGACTAATAAATTCCAAGTGATAAACACCATCACAGCCAACCAATCTAGTCAGATTTATCGGCTTTGTCCATTTCAAAGAGACGAGCTGTTGCAGTGCCGGGTGCATCTTGACTATTCACACCCTTCGCCGTGTCAATGTACTCCTTGCTAGGGGCGTTGTATTTAGCGGAAAAGAAACGTTCAGAATGCTTACTGAGCCACATGGAGAATTTAGATAATTCCTCACGCAGCCTTTGTGTAGCTTGCTGGCTAAGACCAGTTTGCGCAATAAGTTCAGGAAGGGATGCTGGATTGTAACGACAAGAAGGTATTAGCAAGCCTTATAAGATAAGAGTGGTATATGGTTAAATGAGATGCATTACCAAATAGACGTGCAAGGTGCTCGGCACCATAGACTTCACAGGGTCCCTTGTCAACATATCCTTCTGCGCCAGATTCCCATTTATTACTTATGATCTTGTACTGCTGCCTCTCGAACTGGTAGAGTAAAATCTTCGAAAGTGATTTCTCAAAGTACTCCCTGATTCCGGCCACTACTTCCTCCAATACATCTACTTCTGAAGGACTAGCCCTTTTAGGCTTTTCCTCCTCAAAGTATTGATCGAGTATTGTCGAAACAGGTGCTTTTGCTGGGAGAGGGACAAGCTGGTTATTTTTTGTGACGAATTCCCAATCATCTACAAGGAGAGCCTTGAGATTATCAGGGATGACTATGCGAATAGATGGTCGTGAATTGAATTCATCCTCCTAAAGGCACATCTTAGCATCGAAGAACTGTATGAAAGGGGTTCAAGTCTTAGTTGCGAGTATGTCATAAGATGCCCTTACCTTTTCAATCTCAGTGTCCCTTCCTCTCTTCGTGCCCCTAGCCGGAATAGATGATTGTCTATCATCACTTCCAAGGGTAGAACCTAGGTCTGATGCTGCGGGCTTCTTCTTTTTGGATTTCTTGCGAGAGGCAGCCTCTGCTTCACGTCGTAGGGTAGCAGCGAGCTCTTTGTTGTCCTCTGTGGCCTTTCGAAGGCGGTCTTGGAATACCCAATCATCCCATCTACGACATATGGTCAGTGGCTACATTGCAACTCGTTTCTCTTAACACTGAAAGACAACCAAGACAGAATAAGATAACTCTGTCTCGACAAATACAGCTAGAGGGTGGAACCTAGCATATCAAGACCTCACCGCTACTCTCATACAGCTTGAATGAATAGAAGGAATAAAATAAATGAAATTTGACATACGTGTGTTTCCAACCCTTGTAATGAACTCGATATTCATAAGGGCTTTTCCGATCCTCGGGGTCGCTCAGCCTCAGAGCTATTATCTTTGCTTCATAGAGGATATCATGATGAAAACAGAGCACCGTCTCATCTTTATGGTATACTGGATGATTGAGAGGCATCTCTGTGAGGGATTCAAGATCAATCACACCCTAAAATGCGGAAGACTGGGAAATTATATAATGCTATGCGCCGGCTGGACCTGAGGAGGTCCGTTGCTGTAAAAATAACGAGGCGGATGCTGGCAAAGCACTCAAGAAGTCGCGCCTCAAACGAGAGAGCAACTTGATGATTATAAACCTGAGTCCAAGTTTCTCATGTGAAAATGATTTCAAAGTGAGAAATGGGAATTAACTCGACACGATCACGGCCTTTCTTTCAAGCGTTTGTGGCCTTTGAATGCCCGGGTGAGAGTGCTGAAAAACCGTTAGCTTCCAAATTAAGCAAGACTTGTCAAACAAACAGACGAAAAAAGGGATATTTACCTATAATGAAGAATACTTCACAGCCACACCCCAGAGAATGAGAATACAGGTGTCTAGTCTAGGATATATGCTCTCCTTACGCCCCTTTCACGATGTTGCCAAAAGGGCGAAATCAGCGAAAATTACATAATTTGTTAAGGCCTTGATATTATATCGTAACTTTGCAAATTTTGCAGTGTAACAATCGTTTGGAGTTGTAATGTAGATCACGTGTTAATCGCGACGCGACAAAGTAGAATTTCGTGACTTTCAACCTTCGTCTCAAGGCTATATCGAGAAATAAATCAATAAATGCCCACGCCGAGGGGGAGGACAGGGGCAGACACTCGTTTAGGCATCAAAGGAGGGTTGAGACATACAGAATTTTCTTAGATCATTCCTTTCTTTGAAGAAAGGTGCTAATTTCTTCGCATCATGGCGCCGTCAGAGGAGTCTATTCTCATGAACTTTCTGTTGTCTCCTTCGCCATTACCTACCGCTATATCTCTTGAACAATTTACAAAGCTGTTTCCTAAGCAGCTACAGTCTCATCCACAAATCAGGACATTGTACCGCGATCTACAATACCTCCGTGCGCAAGATATAGATCTGGTCCGGGAAAATATCCAGGCAGAGATCAAGAGTGGAGAGAAACAGAAGGAGGAGTTGAAGAATGCCCAGTTAAACTCAGGCGTGACCGGGATGAGCCGTGGTGATAAAGTCGAAGCCGATATGGATATCCAGCTTTTTGGCAATAAGGACTTGCTAATAACAAGACCTGAGGATCACCATTCCCTGGACACCCTCTTAGTGGATATGGAGCGTGCTTGTGCGGCTATGGAATCTAGTATCAAGTCAGCCGATGCTGAAACCTCGGAGCTTGCTAGTCAGATTACTGCCGCGGTGGGAGAACTGAGTGACCTCCGTTATGGAAAGCTGAACACTCCACCGGGGGTAGAAAACACACTCAGGGATGATATTATCATGGGGTTGAAACGCCTGGAAGAAAACTGTAACAATGTTGCGCAATGATAACGCAACTAGGTAATAGATTCTTCTAGCCAAATTTGGAATACTCGCCTCTACTTTACAAAGTGTTTCCAAAATCTAAGTCGCGAACGAACGATCTACCGATAAAATCAATGGCACTTCCAGCACTTATCTCAGCATCACCATTGCAGCACTTGGCAAAAAGTTTCCCGACCTCGTCAAATGGATATTGCTCCAATGGCTTCCGCTGCTTCCAATTCACCGTCTCATTTGCTGGCTCCCTGGGCAACGGAGGGAACCTTGAGTACCCCGACCTGCTTCTGTCGTCTCCCTCGTGCTTATACTCATCATGAGAGGGCCACGGTGCATCCGGGCGACCGTTCCTTGAATTCGATGGCGGCCTCCAGATCGTCTCTGCCGCTAGAACCAGACCTAGTTGGTCGTCCAACTTCTTCCCTCTGAATGCTCTGTCCACTTTCACCCCCGTCTTGTTCAGCTTGCCCTGTTTGGTGACGAGTTTCTGGACTATCCTGTGTCTATCCTCCTCCCTTCTTGATACCTTGTGCGATAACCATCCCTTAAATGTCCTTGGTACGAATGGAGATTTCGGCGCAATATATATCATTGAATCACGGATCCTTGTCCATTTTTCGAACTCCTTGGTCTCCTCAGAGACCCACGTCTTTGATGTGGTATGGGACATGTCGCCTCATATGTAGAGCTGTTGTCTTCACGCCTTGTCTGTCTGGGGTGATAGTTGATACAGGACTAGTGATCCTGATTAATAGAGGACTATGCTGGCTATTACTTTCAATATAAATTTAGCTTGTGCTGGGCATTCCTTTGCAATGAGCCTTACCTCGTCCCTTAAAAATGCATGCGGTAACGCGATATCTGATATCCCATTCAGTAGACTCCTTCTCCAGTTGACGCTAACAATATCAGATCGCCGCCTGCTTCCGACCCTAGGAACTCATGCTTGATTTGGCCGATAGACTGACTGCTTCTCCTAGTTCATGACTTTCCTCGCTAATAGATAACTGTGGAAAAGGCACAGATAAAAAAACAGGTTTGTTTTACGAGGTGTTAGGGAATTCATTTTAACTTCACTGCTTCAGGAAATTTCCGCCTTACCTGCATTAAATGTGTTAATCTCAAGGTGGCTGTGAAGGCATTCTTCCACTATCTTAAGGCCCCTTTCAAATGTTACATATACTTTCTTCTATGCTATTGTTTGCATAACTAGAGATGGGCGCAAAAGGATATTTCTACTGGGACCTATCTCATTATGAGGCCCCTATAGCATAGCAAGATATATACGGCTTATGAAAGTGCATGGTATTGCTTCCTTTAAACTGCGATGCTTTGTATAATTTTATACATTGACTGAGAATCCAGGTCACATGACCGTGTAGTTTTCAACCTTCTTGGGGCCACAAAAAAGACATCAAATACGCCGTATACCTTGACGATTCTTCCATTTACATGTAGCAGAGCAGGTTGGTAGTATTTCAAGCGCCATGCCGACAATTCCGCTCCATGTATCGGTTTCTACAGGCCGCAATGGCTACTCTACAGAGATATCAACCAATCCACTTCCTCAACTCCTCCAGACGCCCTCTGGGCTGGCCATCCTAGAGCTTCAAGGAACCATCAATCTTCCAGCCAACGACAACCGCGAGGTTCTTGAGCAGGACACGTCCGAAATTTCTCAGCCCACACCCAAGACTGAAACACAGATTGGACGCATCATTTTCGCAGACTACAACCCATCAGCCGAACCGTCTGATCAAAGTTGGATGAAGCGAGTATATTTAACCGTCGGTCAGCATCAGCGACTAACAGGCGAGGTAAAAAAGCTCTCAAAGCCTTTTGCAGTTATTCAACGGCGAAAACACGATCCTCAGGGCACCAGAAATGTCGCACAGGACGTGGGGAAGAACAAAGATCTCCCATCTGCATCCACACCTACACCTACAGATCAATTAGAGATTGTGGAGATTATCAGATATAAAATATTGTTCTCCTCGCGCCCGGAGCCTATCACTAACGAGGACTATTGAGTTCCGGCCTGCTCAGCATCCATCCACCATCTACACAGAATTTCCTTTGTTCGAATATCCTGACCTAATATTTGGTGCCTTGACCCACGCCGTGGCACCCTTGCGAGTAAAATTACTTCCATATCCCCGACCGATTTAAAATGGATGTGCTAGGTATTCCGAATTCCAGAACGGCACTCTAGCGTTCTTCCATGTGGCATAACCGGTCGAATCCTAACTTATACTTCGACGTGGATGGCTACATGCCACGGCAATCAACGGTCAGACATTTCCCGAACGGACTCGTCGGGTCGGCCCTGTCACAGCCGCGTGTTTTGGGAGGGGGACCAGACAGACCGGCGAGGGCTCCCGTCTACGGGCCCGAAGATAGTAGTTATTGACCACTAGGGTCAACCCGAGACGCGAACCCTAGTTAAAGTTGGCCACTGCAATGACTCGGTTCCTCTCCGTCGGATATAGGAGATTCACAATTGGCTGCCTTTTCCTATGATATGATCGAACTGTGCCGTTAATCTTACCAACTAAGAGGAAAGTGGTCCTCTACCTTGCAGGGGAAAGCAATGATGATTAGCCTGGCTCTTTAATGTACTTCGTTTGGGACGACAAAATCATGAAACTAATAGATATCGCGACCCCTGCTGCAGCTAATGATCCCTGTCCCAATCATATCAATACACTTATTTTAGTTTGCTTTTAGACCTGCTGGTGACGAAATACGACCCCAAGCCAATCCAGACCTGACTTCCAAAGCGGTATTTACCATCCATGCATCTACCATAAAAGTTGATCGTCACGGATGTGCACCGTTGCTCTTGGCATTTGTTTAAGGCAGGGAGGTGGCAATTTTTCTCCATATATATTATATCTAGCTCTGTGTCCTTTGTATACTCAGATTTTTTTCTCCCCCCATTGTTCTCCCTCTTCGCAACTCTCCCATTCTTATCAACTCAGTCGTCTCAGGGGACATCCGAATATCCTTACCATGGGATTTTCCATTGCTCAGGAGGACATCGTTCCAAGCCATCTCGGCCCCGAATACCTGGGGTTTGACCATATCTGCTGGTATGTTGGCAATGCTAAGCAGGCTTCATCATATTATATCACACGTTGGGGGTTCAAACACATTGCCTACAAAGGACCAGAAACTGGTTCCCCGCACATTGCAGGCCATGTTATAAAAAACGGAGACGTGGTCTTTGTCTTCATTTCCCCCATTATTTCTGCGCCCTGCGACAAGCTGGATCATAAAACGTCGAAGAGGGAAAAACAGCAACTCCAAGAAATACAGGATCACCTTGCCAAACATGGAGACGGAGTCAAGGATGTGGCGTTCCGTGTCAATGCAGATGTCAGACCCATTTTTAACAAGGCTATTGCTGCCGGAGCCCAGGCTGTACAGGAACCAACTATCACCAAGGATGATTTGGAGGGGGTGATACAGATATGCACAATTGGCTCGTATGGAGACACAACTCATACTCTGGTTAATCGGGAACTCTACAAGGGTTATTTTATGCCTGGATTCGAGCCTGTTTTTGAAAATGATCCAATCGAGCGCTTTCTTCCCCCGGTTCAGTTCATGAACATTGATCATTGTGTTGGGAATCAGCCTTGGAATGGGCTGGATCCTGCAGTCAGGTTGTGAGTACCGCATTCCTCATCCTTACACCCCCTTAATAATGTCTTGGAAGCTAACTCAGGGTGGAATAGCTATGAGGACTGCCTTGATTTCCATCGCTATTGGAGTGTAGATGACAAGACGATGTGTTCCGAATACTCCGCCATGCGTTCAGCTGTCGTGGCATCGCCCAATGAAGTCATCAAAATGCCACTTAACGAACCCGCAATTGGATTAAAGAGATCTCAGATAGAAGAGTTAGTCCCACCCCCAACGACACGCGCCTTTCCTCGTTTCACACATTACTGAAATCTAACTGGTTTTCTTTAGGTTTGTCGATTACTACAACGGCGCTGGCGTGCAACACATTGCGTTCTTAACAAATGATATTCTAGAAGCGATTGCCACCCTTCGCGAACGAGGGGTCAAGTTCATCTCTGTCCCAAACAGGTACTATGATACCTTGCATGATCGCCTAGCGAAAGCCGGGATGGCTCTCAACGAGGACATCGAGGCGTTGAGGAAACAAAATATTTTGGTCGACTTTGATGATCGCGGCTACCTGCTTCAAATATTCGCAAAACATGTTGTCGACAGACCTACTGTTTTCATTGAGGTTATCCAACGCAACAACTTTGATGGGTTCGGGGCTGGAAATTTCAAGGCATTGTTCGAAGCGTTTGAGCGGGAGCAAGCCCTACGAGGGAATCTTTGATTATTTTTTCTCTCAGGGCCTCGACGACAATTCTACGAACACAGTAAATGCACTTGTGATTCTTGTTATGCTAGCACTCTTGAAATGCCTTTTTGAGCGAGAGTTCGTCCGTTATTCAGGTATGGATTGCTTTTGGGACTGGTTACATGCTGGAGGATTAGATTAGACTGGGCTAGGCGCATGATTCGGCGTTCGGGGTATTATGAAAATAGACATCCAGCATAATAATGTTTTAACTGTGTTTCAGGCACCCGTTGGGGGCATGTTTTCGTCGCGCTGGCCGCGCTGGCTGTGCTATAGTGTGGATTCTTACTCTGGATCGGCAATGCACTCGTTTTGGGAGTTGCATATTGACAGGTTATCATATGCAATATAGGGCCCAGAGTACGGAGTAACGACGTAAACGGTCTTCCGTACACCACCTTGTTGCTCGCTTCCCTGATGCTGCGTATACGCCCTGTCAATAATGACCCGGAACCCTTGTTGTTAACTAGGCGCACTAAGGTGTTACAAAACCAATGATGCAGCAGAATCAATGATAATTCAGGAATGTCGTTGTTTTTTTCTTTTATTTGGAAGCAGAGTATAATTCTAGTTAATTCTAAACCCTTAAAGCGTAATAAATAGAAATCATGACAGTGGCACTTGAAGATGCCCCAAGAAATCTTCATTAAAGCGTAAGACCAATCAAAAGGAAGGATAGTTTAGCCGCAAGGACCCAATAAAAATAGTCCAGGTACCCATCAATCCTGACTGGCCAACCGGTAACATAGGGTTGACATAAGATAGGGAAGTCGTGAATAATTCTTTATGTCATGCAAAAGTTGTGGAACAGACACGCTAAGGGCAACCCAACCCATATACATACAAAGTTAAAAAACAATACATATGAAGTAAATATGCCCTGGGGAAAACCAAATGGTGAAATAGGGTAAAAAATAAGCTGGGCCGTGTTTCCAGTGACGTGGAGGAAAGATAGGTATACCTACACAACTGACCTCGTGAGAGGGTCGGTGAAATCATCGTGGTAGGTTGATGCAGTGTGACGACGGCGGGTTTTCTGGATCCAACATTAAAAGGAGTATCCAGTAGAACTGTGTGCCGAGCTCTATTGGTCCAACGCTTTGCGTAAATCGACTAGTTTCTGTTTTAGGGACTCATGGTTCTCCGATAGCTATATCACTTGTTAGTAAATATAATCAAGGTAACACCGTTAGGATTCTGGGTCGGGTATCGCGAAGGGATATGACGTGGATGGCTGCGAAGATGGAAAATAACGAACCTCTGCCCATTTCATTTTAGTTTCGACCAAGTCCTTCTCCATCTCAGCCATTTGCTCCTCCATTGATCGGTTCTCGTTTTGCACCTCGATGTTCCGCTGCATTATGCGATCCATTTCGGTCCTGAGCTTCTCTTCGAGTTCCGCGGGCTGTTTATCTACAACCGATTTAAGCTCTATCACCTCGACCTTCATACTTTCATTCAGGTCCTTGAGTTCTTCGTTCTCGACTTTGATACGAACTAGTTCGGACGCTATCTGAACATGTTCTTTGTCTGACTTTTCGGCGTGTTCTTCCAGTGACCGTATGCGAGCAGCTTGACTTGAGACTGTATGTCTATAGTTTTCTAGTTCATCTGCTAGCTCTTTTTCTGTCCGAGTTTTCTGTTCCCATTCTGCGGTGTAAGTCTTCAACATTTCTGGTGTAAGGTTGATGGCACAAGCATCTTCAACCATTATGTCGGCACGGTAAATTTCCTTGTCATTTGCTCCGGAACTGCCGAAGAATCCGGATTCAAGGATCGAGCTGGGAGTTGGCTGTTGATCAATGTATACATCGAAGACCTTTTCTTTTACGAAATTGGTCAATGCTGTCATATCATTCATTGTAAGCAGTGTTTCAGCATTTCGTTGCATAATGGCGACAGCAAATCGCAAGATTGTACTCTCAAGGCCTTCCTCGAATATTAAATCGTATATACGAAGCACAAGCTGTAATGGGAAGCGGTAGGCAAAAAGAGTAAGGAACCACTGTGTGGCATATAGCCCTGGGGAAACACCTCGTCGGTGGAGATGGCAAGCAAGAGCCGGCTGTAGATCTTCCAACAAGCGTTCGAATTGGTAGAGATGTAGATGAAGACCGGGCATGTCCTGAATAAACATGTTTCGCATTCCGTATTTGTTCATGAGTTTTACCATAAGGGTAAATGCTTCTCCGTCGTCCATCTGAGAGGGTTAGCTTTGGTCATGGTTTGTTACAAGAGTAAGAGGTTTACTCACATTAAACAATAGGGGCATGGCAATGAAGTTCATGCCCTGAGCATAACCAACACCCGAGTCATAAAGAGCATAGGCTTTGCAAATATTGAACAAGCCTTCTTGGTTGCGTTGCGACATGAAATATTTTGAATAACTGGTCCGAGAGCCAAGATCTCGACGAATTTGCTTTTCCAGCTTTTGTAGCGCAGCTGCATCTTCCTTTGACCGTCTTTTACGTTCAGCCTCCAGAGCAGCTTTTGCCTTGGCTATTGCTTCGGTATCCTTTTCGGTGACAGATCCGGGGGCTGTTCCATGGACAGAGCTTGTAGCTTGTGTAGAATTGTCGGAGCGGATTGAGGATCGGGAAGATGCAATAGATTCTCTCTCCTTCGGGCTTCCTGCCGAATGGCCGTTAATGGATACCGTGGAAGGCGAGCCGAGACTTCGACCTGGGTCCTTGTCTGTGCCACGCAAACAAAGCTCCCGGTATACGTGTTCCAATTCGGGATTCCTACTATCGGCAAGTACCTGCCAAATAACACCACGGATCGTTTGGGGTATGCCCCTCTTTATAGCTGCGTTTAATTTCTCCGAGTTCTCTCCAGCCAAGGCATCTGGACCATTGTTCACAACCTGCTGCCAGAGCTCCCAATCAACGGGCACCGAGGCATCTGTAGCAGAGGTTGAAAATCCGGACACAGTCCCAGGTGGTAATTCGGGGTTTATGGTCGATGGAAGTGGAGATGTTGCCGTTGGAGACGGTAACGGGGCCGCAAAGGTGGCAGCTTCACCGGGATCAAGACCTGGGCTACCAACAGACGAACGAGACCCTTTTCCTTCGCCAGATGTAACGCTGGCCTGGTCATCGGTTCCCGGAGGCGTACCTTCATCCTGCAATCTCAGTAGTTTGAACTGATTCTTTAAACTGTTGCGTATCTGGCCCCTAGAGTCCAGGCTTCCAGTCTCTCCATCACTACCCTCTTGAAGTCGGCCTAGATGCTCAGAGTTGCTCATGACTGTAGACACCGAAGCTCCTGTGTTTCTTCGGTTTCCATTCGTGGTGGCTGTGTTCTTGTTATCCTTCGTATTCCCCCTAGACAGCCAGGAGAAGGGACTCGTAAGTTTCCTTGACGACTGTGGGGCGGCAGAAATCGGGGGTGCTGGAGGTAGATTTTTGTTTACAGGCGGTGCACCCCACGGGACAGACGGAAGAGAAGCTGAAAGACCCTGTAAACGGGTTTGCTGAGGCGGTGAGTTTCTAGCTGATAGCGGTGGAGGGCTCCCTGGGTACAGGTCGGGAGACAATGGAGACCCAGTGCTGGTGTTGTCGTCTTCCTTCGAATTAGAGAGATTGACGTCGTCTAGGGAGGATGAGGATAAACGATGGGTCGTTAGCAGCGGTGACTTTGGTAGTTTCTGTTTCCTAGGCGTGTCTTCCTCCACCTGTGAGACGGGCGAGGTTACGACAGAGCCAGGCCCATTCTCGCCTCTTGGAGATTCCAACGGTTCCAACGGCTCGATCGGTGTCTCGGTGGCTATGGGGGTAGTGGGAGCCCTGGCAGAGTCGTGAGAGGGCCGTCGGTCTGTCAAGGACCGAGTGGCCTTGTAGGCACCCGGGTTATCGCTGTCTTGTGCTGTGTCTCGTGCGTCTTCGAAGGTGTCCTGATAATTGAACAGTTAATAAGTATTCCGCACCCAGGCAGCAGAAAAAAGACCAGTGGCAGCATTGAGGAGAGCAGAGGAGACGGCGTACCGCTTCATAGTCAGTATTCTCCGGACTTGCAACCATAGTTGTCAAGTATCGTCATATGGAGCCTCCAGCTGAAGATGTCGAATTGCGGCGGACCGGAGGAATCGCAGCGTGCTTTGGGGGCCACAGTCCGACTTGAAACCAGCTTCTACCAGGTTGTGAATAACACGTAACGTTACACTTCGGTGGAGGGAAATCGGAGTCGATATAGGGCAAGGTTGTCGTTGAGCGAGCGTGGAGCAGGGCAAAGTTCGCTGTCAACGGCGTCTGGCTTGTTGAACCTGTGATGTTGCCTAAACGGGAAGACGGATGACCTATCTCGAAGTCACGTTTCAAAAGTTGCAACGTCCGATGTTTTTCTCTGTTCGTCTCCTATTCTCCCGCTTCTGCTTCTCCTGACCGTGAATGTCTTGCTCGAGGGTTACTTTGTGACGATTACGCACTGAGACGGACAAGTTATTTTATGATCCATCCCAGTCGGGGGCAGCTGGTTGGATCCTCCAGCCCGGCCGAAACCTTGGCTGCAGCCACTGCATCTTCAAACGTGTTTCACCAGTCAACTCAATTTATTCCGGCGATGCTTATTGATCCTCGATGGCATGAATATATTGCCTAATAAAATGCACCAGTCACATCTGGCATTCAGTCGCGTGGGGGGAGGACAACGGCATCGCTGTCGAGTCTCCCATAAATACCTTCAAGCCCTGCCCCTGTAGGCCATGGACGGCTACGACCCTGGTGAATAGTGAAGACGACTGGGTTGCTCCCCACGGGGAATCCCGCCTGGAATTCATTTCCCGTCAACCAGATCGTTGGGTGTGAGACAAGATCAGCCTGAGATTTATAGCGGTATATGGAGTATTCACGGCAGCGAGGATGAGGAATAGGGGAAGCCTACCAGGTACTCGATAAGTTAGATGTCATTCTTATTTGGAAGGACTGGTAGAGGAAACCTTTTGGCTGTTCGTGGTGAAAATATATCAGCATATACGGAGTACGGAGTATACGATGAATAACTGTCCTGGTCGGCAGCTCAGACCATAGCAAGCGGCTGTCTAACCCCTGCGATTATACGGCAAGGTCCTACCACGACGGGGCCAGATACTTTTCTTGATTGTGACGCTCCAGCAGCCGTTGAACCCCTTCTTCACAGAATACGAGGAATCTATCGCGTCTTGGTGTTTTACTCCAAGTCCTTAGAAGCTTGTCCATCTGGTAGGCTGAGGGTTCTATTTACGATAGAACGGCCTACTCATTGTGAGACCTTCATAGAAGATTATAGTCTTCTGAAATTGCTACAATATGACAGTGATAGCTACACATACGCTTGTGATGTGTGGTCTTGTTTTAGGTTGCCGGTCTGTCCAACGGAGACAGACGTATCCAACAACCCAAACCAACGTCTCTTTTTCGGCTCCCCTGGTTCAAATCCGACTTTCCGGTCCTCAGCAAGCTTCCACAGGACCTGAGATAGAAAGGGTATGATGGCATTCTCGACAAGGTCCACGGGTATATCACCGTAGATGGATCTTACAATCTCTGGTAATGTCATACCAACCCTTCCTGCCTTTTTCGTGTTTTTAATATCCCTATTATTCCATGACAATGTCGTGAACACCTGTTCAACGCGGAACTCGTTGTGGTTGATATATTCTCGCATCTTCGTCGGCAGATCATGAATTTTTGCGCCATGGGCAGGATATCCAGCAGCACATCCCAGCTTTTCCATGCGGGCGAGGCTATCCATGTACACAGAGAGATCCTGCACTACCGAATACCCATGCCCTAGCACATTATCGCCCGTAAACAGTGCGGCCTCTTCCTCCAAGAGGAAACTCATATGGTCGACCGCATGTCCTGGCGTGAAGATAGCGCGGATAGTGGCCCCTTCAACTTGGAATATCTGACCGTCCACGATGGGATTTTGGTTCCGGTCAGGTTGATTTTTGTATACCCGCGACGCCAACACGGGCTTGTGGGCTATGAGATTAGGTACGCCGCCCGTATGGTCTCCGTGCCAATGGGTGAGCAAAATATACGCGAGATCGAGTTCGCGCTCTTCGAGGATTTTAACAATTCTCTCGATCCAGCATGGCAGACCCTGGAATTGGGATATCAGCTCTCCGTCTCAAAATCTAATGAACCAATAAAACAAAAAATTTCAGCCATACCTCACCGGTATCTATTAGGATCCTCGATGTGCCAGTCCCGACTAGATAGGTATTTGTGCCTTGTAACTGCATCACCCCCGGGTTTCCTCCTAGGACACGCATGACGCGATCACTGACATCTTCAATGTCGGCCAGGGGAGGCAGCTGAGCTTCCTGGCCAGCAAGGTACTCTTGCCAGAAAGATTCGTCAAAGGGAATTCGCATTGCCATCTTGAAGTGGAGGATACTCTGAAGCTGTGTCTGTTGAGATCATACTCTGGCTTCTGATCTGAGGTTAAGAAAGTCACCCCGGCTATGCAAGTCACAGCTAAAAGAGGCTGAATGGGGATACTTGGGAGTGTTTTCGCAAGTTTTTGTGAATGCACTAGGCTCTGAATGGTAGGCCGAGCTTTCAGCTCTCTCTCGGGATTTAAGCCGGATTTTATGCTCCTTTTAACGGCACCACCTCCATCGTGTGAGGGAGTGGTAGACTTTTTTGGGGAAGCTGTTGAACACCTGCTGCCCATTAGAGTGCAAAGCCCGAAATAAATGGGGTTACGATGCGATAAGCCCTTCCATCCATGAATCAAAGCTACTCCGACATAAATGTGACAGAGTTAGCTCATCTCGCCTAACCTAAGCAGAGAAGCGTTTCAATACTGTACGAAGTGCCATCTTTGCAAAATCCAACCGCCTCCATTTATACTCTTTCAGCATTTATCTTAGATAAAAGCAACCATGACGAAGTCGATATCAACAACCTCAGCCGCAGAGGAACAATCGCATGAAGTGGTTTACAAATCATGGGATCTTCTCATCTATGAGATCTGGGTTCTCGGAATCGTCAGCACCTGGGCTTGGGGATGCAGCACGACCAAATATCTCCTCCCGCAGTTTCGCTCCAACGTTGGCAAAAACCACCTCGACATTGGCAGCGGGACTGGTTATTATCTTCGAAAAGGAGGCATATCACCATCTACGAAGCTGACTCTTCTCGACCTTGAACGGCCAGCACTCGATGTCGGCCTGAAACGGTCGGGTAGGCCCGATGCGAGAGGAATACTAGCTGATATCTTGAAGCCGCTTCCTGTCCAAGACAAGTTCGACTCAATCTCCATGTACTACTTGCTCCACTGCATCCCTGCAACTGTACAGCAGAAGTGCAACATCTTTTCACACATCAAGGACAACATGACTGCCGACGGTGTCATCCATGGAGCCAACGTGTTGGGAAAGGGCGTTCGAAAGGATAACCGCTTCGCAGCGTATGTGCGGCGCTGTGTTCTAAAAGCTGGGATCTTCCATAACTTGGAAGATAACGCCTACGACTTTGAGCATGCTTTGAGGCAAAATTTTGAAGACGTCCAGACGTGGGTGGTTGGATCTGTCTTCATGTTTAGGGCGGCCAAGCCCAAGCTGTGATGAATTCAGGTATCTCGCGAGTCTAGCTCTGAGCCGTTGACACCGGTAGCTGCGGCTGAAAAAAAAGCAAGGAGACGCCCATCTTGGCGTGGTGGTTGGAGGAAGTATATAAAGGAGCCTAAATTTCCCGTATAGTGGGAAAAGGACGTTATATCAATGCAATCATGATTTAAGACCTTGATTCACTATGTTTCTCCGATGTTGAAGTAACCTTGAGTTATCAGTAGTAGTATATGCGTTCTAACCAATTTGTAATATTTCTTCGGACTCTAATTCAGGAGATGTGGTTAAAACCCGTAAGCCCCGAGCCGATGTAGGAGTTCGGTGCAAGCAATTTGACGTTTCCATACGGAGTGTATACTAGTTGAGCTTCCCCTGAGCTGGTTCAAATATATTTACCCACATTGTTGTGTTTCGAAAAGCCCCTCACACATACTATCTATATGAGGTACAAAGGGAAAGAATGCTTACTCACAACTTAGAGCTACACTGGCAGCGTCTCTCGCTCGCCTTGCCGCAGTCTCCAGCAACGACGGCCTTCACCATTTTATATGGCATTATTGCTCTCCTTTTGTTGCACTTCCTACGGAATTTCCTCCAGCCCAGCCTTGTCAGCATCCCAGGTCCATTTGCAGCAAAATTCTCGGATCTTTGGCGCCTATACAAAGTCTGGCAATGGAGATTCAAGGAGGACCTCCCTTCGTTGCACAAGAAATACAACTCCTCTATTATTCGCATTGGACCAAAGATGGTTAGCTGCTCAGATCCACAAGCCGTGGAGCTCATATATGGCTATCAAACTGAATTTAAGAAGGTGAGAGTAGTCCAGCCGCAACATACTCTTTACTGCTGCAATACTGATGAGAATATGGGCCAAGTCCGACATGGTCAAGGCAATGGCGCCGGTATACAAGGGGAAAAAACAGCCCACAATGTTTGCTGCAGCAGATAACAAGACGCATGCTCGAATTAGGAAGCCCGTCGCCAGAGCATACGCCATGACAAGTGTCATACAGGTAAATTGTGATAGCGTTAATTTTTAAAAGATATTACTGCCCAATTCCCACTAGCAGTAACATATACCTGCATGATGTTCAAAACGTCTTCCAATTGCGTTGAGTTTCTAATATGGAAGTAATCATAGTTTGAACCCTTCGTGGACGAGAATATTAAGCTGTTCTATACCAAGATGGATGAACTGTTTATCCAACCAAAGAAGCCATGCGACATTCACAACTGGGTACAATATTGTGGGTGTTTCCATTATATATCGTTCATACCTTGGAAAGCTAATGCCAGGTCAAGTCGCGTTTGACGCTGTCTTAGAGATGACAATGAGTAGCAATTTAGGATTCATGAAAGCGGGCGGAGACGTTGACGGCGTTCTGAAGCAGCTGCAAAAGGATTTGGATTACCGGGGTATTGTAAGTTCATCAAGGGCCATGGTTGACGCGTTGCTAACCATACAGTAGGCCCTGGCAATGCCCATTATTGACCGGATCTGGCGACTGAACCCAATCAGCAAATTCTTCAAGCCAAAACAATCTGGGCACTTTGCCATGAGGTGTAAGCGTATCTTGGAAGACCGGATTGAGGAAGAAAAGTCCCATTCAGGAGCCATCCGACAGGACAGGCCACACGATTTTGCTCACCGTTTCTTGGAGGCGCAGAGAAAAGACCCTAGCATTTCGGATGGGCAGTTGATAGGCTATATGCAAGCGAACCTCATCGCTGGCAGCGACACGACAGCCGTTGTTATGCGGACGGCAATATACTACTCGCTCAAGAACCCATGGATATACAAGCGGATCGTCGACGAGTTAGACACGAAGCATAACGGCGTACTTCCCATTCCTTTCCGGGTAGCCCGATTTGAATTGCCGTTCTGTGGCGCTGTTGTCAGGGAATCCCTCCGCAAACACTTTGCCTTTATTGGAATGATGGAACGTGAGACCCCGCAGCCCGGAGTACAGCTGCCTGATGGCCACTGGCTAGCAGGTGGAATTGTTATAGGTATGCATGGCGATCTAATTGGGAGAGATAAGGGAATATTCGGTGAAAATGCAGATGAATTCAACCCGCTTCGTTGGCTGCCTGCCCCTGGCGAGCAGGATGCACAGTACCAGGCGCGCCTGAATGTAATGAACGCTCACGATTTGGCATTTGGGCATGGTCCCAGGGGCTGCATTGGAAAACACGTTGCCGAAATGGAAATCTACAAATTCATCCCCACATTCTTTTCCCTTGTCAAGGTTAGAATTCGCCCAAAGCTCTGCTCGTCTAATTTGGACTATGTCTCGTAGCTAACTTTCCTGGCAGCCTCAACTAGTGCATCCCGAAGAGCCCTGGAAGTTGAGACAGCTCTTCGTCTTCAAGCAGTCGGGAATGGACATGATGTTGGACTGGAGAGCAGGCAGGGGTCTCCACAGCCTTGGTGTCCGTGGCATATAAAAGGATTCCAATATAGCTACGTGAAAAGAAACTTTCCGAGATAGCATTTTTTTTTTTCACTTTCTATTCTTTTGCACCAGCAATCCTTTGCAACGCCAGTTATGACATGGTCGTCTTATATCACCTGCTGCCAGTGCTGTAAACCTGCCCTTTATCAAGCCTGATATAGATCGCAAGACATATAAACGCTATATTTAGCCCCGCTTAATAAGCTACTTAGCGTAGATCCGCCGACCCACAGGCACAAAGTTAGCTATATTAGTTTCTTTTTCTGGTAAAGACTTTCTTCTCCTCGTGGAATCCTCCGCACAACTTACACTATTTCTAGGTTGAGAGCGGACTTTGTAGCAGTGAACGGTCGGGCCCCATACCCCATAGTCCAGTGAGATATGGACCCTATCCTAGAGTTAACGTTAACTTGACCGCTCTTGAACTGCACTACGAACATTCTGTTCCATCGGGTTGGATGATGCCCAATCACACCTTACACAGCTTCTCGGAACCGCCTCGGGTTATTAACATGAAACTTAAGCCCGAAACAACAGGGTCAAGCAGCCTTCTCCGAGCCTGTTACATCTCCCCCCAGCCCCAACATCTGGATCACGATGTGCACTTTTCAAGCAGTTATTATCGCTAGCACGAGGTCTGATCTCGAAACAGGGATTGCCAATTTGACCTTGCTGGATGGAAAGCCTTATGATATCATGGTATCCCTCGAAATAACTCGATCCACTGTGGCAATGCTCAGGCTGGAACATTGAAAATTTAGATCGCAATTGGCTGGCTGATAGGAATGTGACTGATGTTGATCGAATGTTTACATTCGCTGTTTAACTAGTTTTCTTGGCTTCTTTTATCAAGAACGGTTAATTATACAGGCATTTGAGATTTAATACCTTGTGGACCGACATATAATTAAAGAACGAAGTTGGGAAATTTGGGTGCCGGCCGACGGTGGTGTAATGGACATATGAGGAGGCGCTGCTTTGGTTCTGTGATAATTCGGATTCTATAAATTAACTTATTTAACTTGCCTAATTCATTCCCAATCTACCTTTACTATAACTGTTGAAGATGAAGCTCCTATCTGCAACAGGGCTGCTTGTTGCACTCGTTATATGTTTTGCTTCTACCACACCCGAAAGTTGTGCAGAGTATATTTATCTGCCTAGAAACTACGGAGTACATGGGATCCATACTAATTTGACCGTGTCATTAGACTCAAAGCAGGATAGAGTCCAAGGTATGGGCGGTGTTTGGTTACTACCAACTGGCAAGAGATGGTTGATATATACCTTTCTCCGGTTCTTCGTCTTATACAGCCATGAAACCAATGACGATTCACATAAACCGTTGAGAACTATGAATTAGACGTTGAAGATATATTAGAAACCCACATTTCTTCTAGTTAGCCTGATTGTACTAGAAAATTATATTAATTCGTTAGTTAATGGTTGCAATTGCGTATCTAGCATGCCAACGATTACTCAATACTTTCTCGTTAAACGGCTGAAATCAAGGCTTATTCCGAGGAAATCATCTCAGCATCACAGGCTAGTTATCTGCTGCATATGCAAACGCCGAGTGCACTAGTTAGTTAAGCCTTTGAAAAAGAAATAAAAGGCGGACTCCGTAAAGGCTTCGCGAATATAAAAAGCTTCTTTATACACTAGTTTAGTTCCTAGCTGGGCACCTCCATACTGCCAGCCTTGTATCCACGAAGCTGTTTATGGCAAGGGAATCACATCGGTTTTAAGAAGAGCCCTTCTAGATAAGATTTCAGTCTCACTTCTCGAAATGTAAGAAGGCCATTGCTGGAATCAGCATACCAGTTGGGATGAGAATAATACGATGTTTCATTTTATAGTTGCTCTAGTGGTTGGTTAGTAGTCTATCTTTAGCAACAGTTTACTCCAACTCCGCGCATCTCAACTTGATTTCGAATTGAGAGCAGACTTCGTATCAATGAACGGCTAGTTGGTGAGTCGCTGCTAATCACCACTCTATTCGGCCAGATTAGAATTTAACAAGTCTATCAATACTCGTATATGGTTGGATGCTGTGGCTATCATCGTAGCTACGACGATGACTGCATTTACTTTGCGCGGCACTAGGCAGCATATACGGGCATGGGCCGTATACTGACAAGGTTCTCGAGGACCATGTGGAGGGATTGGTCTAGATGCCCTCCAGGCCGTAGTTTGATGAGTGGCTTGAAGGAAAATCTACCCGAGCGGCATAAGTTATTGGACGAGATTTGTTCCTGCGGGCGAGATCCGAATACGCATGGTACCCCAGAGTCGCTGACGGCGTCTCCCCAAGATCGTAATACTCACTGATCAACGTCCCACTAGCACGCATTGAGCTCGGTATGGGCATGATAATCATCATCGAGGTGCTACAGGGGTTCTGGATACCCGGCGTTGATGTGCATTTTCCATGTTGGTAGTGGTCAGGGGGTAGCGAAGGCCGCCCACCCCCGAGTGGGTAGTTCATCGTGAGGGCCGTGAAGTCCCGGGAAGAGGGATTATAATGCAGCAAATGCACGTGGAAAGCGCCCAAGGCCAGGATGTCAAAGGATGATACCCTGGAAAGCCCAGAGCTGAGGGGGCGGCTGAAAAGGAAGCGCCGAAGATAGGGGGGAATTTGTTCCTCCACTAGCAAACCGTCCGAGACTGGCACCAACTGTTAGCTAAACCCCTGGTCCCAAGGAGCTTTACGTACGCTGATGCAGGTTAATATACATCGTGGCAAGTATTAAGCCCATGGGTGATCGATAGATTGCTTTGCATACCTGCGTGCATAGTAGCATTGCATCACTTCCCGCAAAATCCGTACTTCTTACGGTCCTCTCCCCCATTCCATATCTATCCACTCCATTCCATCAATATATTGATCCCTCTGCATGTCAAGGCCAACTCATATTTCACAAAATTATTCATAAATATTTCACAAAAGATACTCACGATAATAATGGGAGACAGTGATGATGCCCCCTACCACCAGGCCAAGCCGTTAGCCCTAGGCGTTCCACAGCTAAGCTGTGCACTGTGTCGTGACCGCAAGCTAAAGTGCGACAAACTCGACCCATGCACCAACTGCACATCCTCAGGCGCCGTCTGTGTTCCCATCCATCGCCCACGGCTGCCCCGAGGGCGCCATGCCCGTCGGACTCGCCCGAAGACAGCGTCAACGGCACCACCGCCAACGAATGAAACCGGTACCGCGGCTCCCACTGCGGCTGCCAGCAGCGATTTGACCGCACGAGTTCATCGGCTTGAGAGCCTTGTTCGACGGGGAGAAGCTGCTAACGCCAGCAAGGCTGGTATCGACTGCGATGCTGCCAATACCAATACCAAAACCAACCCCAATACCAACACGGTAGACCATGATCTCAGTCATCGTATCCGCAGACTCGAAAGCCTCGTACAAGGAATCTCAAGCACCACAGGTCCTGCGCCGGAAACATGCAGTCTTCAAGATCAGACGAGTGCGGCCGAGCCGTTGTCGTCTTCCACGGTAAGGGAGCACTTCCACAAAAAGCGTGAGATAGCCAACGAGCCTATGATGAGCACAAGACATTTAACGTGGTCCAAACTGGTGCAGATAGTACGGTCGGTCGAGGATTCGGACTTGATGCAGGTTGATGCACCGATATTCCCAAGTCCTACCAGATGGAGCCCCGAGTTTTCTGCATGGGCTGACTTGATAGACGACGAGGTAAGAGTTGCCATATCTAAATCAATAGAAGACTTATTGGTGTTATTAGTGTGGTGTGAACGTGTGAATCGTTTGCTAAGGTCTTCTTTAGACCCATGAGCCCGTCGACAAGGATAGGCCCAGTGACGTGGTGAAAAGTGACATCAGTGCTCTAGGCTTGCTAGGATCCCACCATTCGCTCTCCGCCAGTCCCCTAGGACCTTTCTACCGCGATAAAGTAGTTGGCAGCCAACTGTGCCAAGTATACCTCCAGAACGTTGATCCTATCATCAAGATTCTGCATCGCCCGTGTCTCCGCAGGTGGATGATCGATGGAGAGAGATATTTGGGATATGATGAAGATCACACTTCGGTCAGAGCCTTAGAGTCTGCGGTATATTATGCAGCTGCCAACACCATGACAGAAAGCCAGTGTCAAGCATCTTTTCATGCTAGCAAGTCTAGCATAGTAGCAGCCCATCGCAAGCGGTGCGAGGGCGCTATTGAGAGCGCTAGTCTGTTGACGACGCGAGATATGATTGTTCTTCAGGCCTTTGTTCTATACCTTGTAAGTGTGGTTTCCAATTATGTATACGGAGAATAAAAGAGAACCCGCTTTTCACCATGCTGGAAGAATTCAACCACTAACGAACCACGTATGTAGATAGCAAGGAGATCAGAAGAAAAGGGGACCGCTGTTTGGACTCTGGTAGCTCTCGCTGTCAGGCTCACAAAGGCTATGGGCGTTAACCAGGAGCCTGGTGAGGCAGTCAAAAATGGAGAGACCTTCTTCCATCAGCAGATGCGGCTGCGGCTGTGGCTCACTGTCTGTTTGATGGATCTGCAAACCTCCTTTGCGGAATCATCTGAACCGCTAATCAGCCATAGAGACGTTGCGACTGCTGTGGCCCATGTACGACACATCAACGACTATGACTTTGACGTGGATACCGCACAGCCAGTTGCCGACCGTGAAGAGCTCACCGAGACGACGTTTGCGCTTGTTACATACCGAGTGCAGATTGCTGGCCGACTACTCAACTTCGCTACACCAGATTGGAGTAGTCCTAGCCCATGCAACAACGACATAGGCAGCGACACGTCTTCTTCATCTTTCACGACCTTGCTCGACCCAGGAGAAAGACAACGACAGGCCCGCCATTTCCAACAAGAAGCACTTGGGTTACTTCATTTTTGTGACCCGGAATCGTCCCCATACGCCTGGTTTACCTGGCATAGCACCCAGTGTCTCGTATCGGCAATACGGCTCTCTGAACTGCTTCCCTTCCAGTATAGCCGCCTAGGAAGCCACATGCCATCGTCGCCGCAGCGTCAAGGAGGTGACACCGATCTGCTGCGGCGAACCCTCCAGAGCCTCGAAAAAGCACAGCTTATACACTCAGACCCCCGTGGCGAAGGGTTCCGCTGGTATATAACCACTCCATGGCTCGCACTTTCAATTGCAATTTCTGAGTGCAACAACTGCACAGACACATCTTTGGTTCGCCGGGCCTGGCCGATTATTGAGGCTTCATTCCAGCAATATGAGAGCTTTGCTTTAATGCAAAAAGAGCAACTGCCACAAACCCCACTTGTGAAGCTGATGAACCGGACGCGCGAGAAGCAATTGGCATTGTCTCAAGACCGGAACAACATGGATGAGAGCCGGAGCGCCAATAGAGCCGCTGGTACATCCAAGTCTCTGCTACCACCAATGCCGACTCCGGTCAGTTGCGTCGCGGAGGCGACGCCAGTCGACCCGTCATTAATAGAAAATTCTTCCATCATGGCGCCCGAGAGGTCCTATCCCACTTCGACGCAGCCATTTGTGCAACAAGCCTGGAATCCAGCGTCGTTTTCAACGGAGTTTATGCCTGCCCTAGATACCACGCTTCCCACTCCAGACATGTATCATCCGCTTTCATCTTCATCCTCGGATCTATTTGAACCATCGTGGATGACGACCGACATCATGGGCCTATACTCCACAAGGAAGACGACACAATTAGCAACCGATTAGGGAGCATAGGACATATTTTCAGTGATTGTCTATTCATACCTGCATAGGAGAGTTTTGGGCTAGGAATATGATTTATTCGGCATAGGTTTGGTCGGTTATGATATTAACGAAATGATACAGGACGTATTAGGTGATATGTCAAGCTTAGGCGTTGCTTATTTTGAGTATAAACAGCCACTAACTAGAGCTGTTCTCCTCGCGGGAGTAAAGGGTTGGGTTCCTTTAGGATTTTAGCGTTTCTGGCGGCCATATCAGTATCCCAGGACGTGTTTTTAACAGGAGGGTTCTAATCATCGCTTTACTTCTAGATCAGGGTGCGGGCGGTCCTATTCTATTCGATTCGGGTATAAGCGAGGGTTAGTGTCACTGTCGACCGTTCCATGCCTTGTCTTGCTGGTTTCCCGTCGATCCTCTGCTGCAAGAGAATAACATTCTCAAATCCAACCCTACTGCGTAGGGGTGTGTTGCAGCTAAAGGCTATCAGACCCAGTGATTCGATCACTGAGATGGAGCCGGATGCAGTTTTATAACAAGCTGACAATTGTCTATGTATAGAGCAGTTGTTTTCCTATCAGTTAGTAGATCGAAAATTAAGAGTCATTGCCCTTTAAATAGATTTTTAACAAGTAGCCTTCCCTGTCATACATTGCAACTGGCCGAACGACTAAGATATATATTGATGCAGGCTTAATGAAGCAAAAATGTTGTGTAGTCTCCGTTACCGTGTGAGGCAGAACGGACACAAACTATGCCCTCGTTTACAGAGAAGTATGGCATCGCTCATAGTTATGCCTATTAAGTTGAAATCTGGTTCGGTTGAGTCGCCTTTAGTCGCCTCTTTTCAGCAATATCCTGCCACTCCGCCATGGGTCTATGCAGCACATAAAAGCGCGATCTTGACCTCCTGACGGCATCTTGACATCGCCTAATAGAGCCGTCGTAATAGGCGGCCACAGCCTTCTCCAAGTCGGAGTTACTGGTGACTGCCGCCGTAAACTCAACACTATCCACAAGTGCATGATTGCCCCCTTCGCCGCCAAAAATGGGCATTGCATGCCACGAGTCCCCCACAAAAACAACCCCTTGTTGAGCACCCCGTCGAGCATCCTCTGATGTCATGTATACACAGCGGCTGATCCAATGGAATACAGAGTGTTGTTTAATGGTCTCAGGGTTGATGAAGCGTGACCAAGGTTCTGCAAGCTTACGCGATGCTAGCTCGTCCAATAGTGCCTGTGGAAGTTGACTTGTCTGCGCCTGAGTCCTGCCTGTCTGGGAAAACAGAGGATCATTGTTGCCACGGGCAGGCCGCGAGTATGACCAATCAAGGTGTACCTGTGTCTTGGTGATGTTGCAAATGGTTATGGGCGTGTTAAAGCCATCACCAACGCCGGCTAGGATATTGGAATCACCACTAATAGGCTTGACGAAGCGGTCAAAATCTTCGCGTGACAGCTGAAACTCACCGTGGTATACCACCACGGGAACTACTTCTGGGACAATATGTGGAAATAGTTGTGATCGCACTGCCGGCCTAATGTGAGCAACAGCAAAGTGGTTTGCGCGTTCATAGGTATATTGAATCATACATACCAGCTGAATACACACCGTCAGCAGCAACGATAAGAGAGCCTTGGTACTGGGATCCATTCTCGAAGACGGCCTTCACGTTGCCGACTGTCCCAGTAACACTCTTGAGCTTGTGCCCATATCTCACATCTAGCTCGAGATCACCACAGTCGCTAATCCACGATCGCAGGGCATTGCGGTTGGCCCGCATAACTGCCGGTCGCGCGGAGGCTTCAGGCGCAACCAGTACGTTTCCGGTACTATTATCGCGCATGGCGAGGTCAACCCAGCCACTGCCACCGACATGGCGGTCCGGTGCAACAGCTTTGATCATTGTCCGGAGGGATAGCCCACCGAGAGCCTCGAGCAATGGCGTATAGCCCCAGTCGTGCAGTGAAATAGCGAAACCCTGGCTGCGGTCTGGCGTGGAAGATTCGAAGACTATGTTAGGAATTCCATGGTTTGTGAGCAGCCGCCCAGTGGCAAGTCCGGAGAGACCAGCTCCTATGATAAGGATAGGACTGCTATTCGTCGATTTCATCTTCGTCTAATATGGCGAAAACTATTGTATACTGTGTAAATCGAGTAGGCAAGTGACGTTTGGGGGAGACATTGTATAAGTTCAACCTCGGGCAACCCATATCTCTGGATGCATAAAACACAAGCCAGGCCCCGGGTTTTGTGCAACTGTCATGTACGGGACCGACCCTGACAATCGGTACAAGCCCAAGTATCAAGTACGGGTAGGCTTCAGAAACCGTGTCCAGCTCTATTAAAAGCCGAACGTGACCGCTAACTAAGGACGGATGCCGACTGTAGGCTGGTAGTAGGATACCTTCAAGGAATAGAAAGTAACGGGTCGCCCTGAACAACCTTCCAAGGATTGTGCATCTCTTCTTCCACTAGATGCCAACTTTATATCAACAACTAGACACTCTATGATCATAATAATAGATCAATATAATGATGCTGTACTCAGGCAATTCTGCATAAGCCGCGCAGAAACCGTATATTGTAAGAATAATATGACTATCGCGGCAGTCTGGAGAGACTGAGGCATTAGTAGGCAAAGCTTCCGTAGTCAATGCAATAGATGTTGTATGAACGTTGATAGAAAGCAGAAGTTGACGTTGAAATTGGTTGCAGATGAAGCCAAAAGTGTGGACCGAGGCTTGCTGACTCATCTCCTCTCGGCTTATTATTAATACGAGCCGACTCGGAATGACGGATAATCATTGTTCCTCCATGCCTAATCCGGCAACGCGATATCACTGTTCTTCTGCCTGGATAAACTACACAATCGCACAACTCGGCAGCATACTACATACCCCGGGGCCAGCTACAGCCTAACGACCACCGCCAAGCTGACAACAAGCAGACATGCTCGCGCAACGGAACTCCATCGCTAGGGAGCACTGGTAAAGGACGGTACTTTTAGAGGGAGAGAATAGCCTACCTCGGCCATGGAGGCTTATACTAGCGCAATATCGCATCCTATTGCCATTGCTCCAGCGCCGGCAAGAGTTCCCTCTACTGAGCCTGACAATGGCCAGGACCCCGATTCGACCACAAAGCGTTTTAATTGTCAAACTTGCGTGCGCAAAAAGGTCAAATGCGATAAGGCTGTGCCGGTATGCGCGAGTTGTAGGAAAGGCAGGCTCCAGTGTATCTACCAGACACCACCGCCGCGAAAGCGGAAGCGTACCAATCTTGAAGATGTGCATGAGCGTTTAGCACGATACGAGCGCATTTTGCAGGAGAATGATCTCTTGCCCACAGCTCTTGGATCACCTGCGTCCAGCAACACACGGACACGGGATCCAACGCCAGCTCCAACTGCTAGTCAACTTGCTGCAGCACCTAAAGTTGGCAAACTTCTTTCCACTGATGGCAAATCCCGCTATATTGACAATGTTCTTCTACTTGATGCGGGAGAAGGCGACTTGTGCGAACTGTCTGATTCCGATCAAGATGTCTGCAACGAAGACAACACCAGACCTGGCCAGAGTGGCTCAGCGAATTTAGGCTTCTTAGCGGGAGATACTGTTGCTCAAGCCATGCTTGGAGGCAGCAAGAACCTCATCGAATACCATCCCAGCCATGAGGAAGCCATGAAGCTCTGGGATGCCTACGTGCAAAATGTCGACCCTCTTTGCAAAGTACTTCATGTTCCGACAGTAGCGAAAATGGTCCAAACAGTGTCAAAACAACCCACTATAGCTTCAAAGGGCGATGAATGTCTTCTCTTTGCGATCTATTATTTTGCTGTTTTTTCTATGGCAGATGTTGAATGCATACAGGTGTTCAACAAGACTAGGCATGAGTTGACTTCTAAATATCAGGACGCCGTTCGCCAGGCACTTGCCAATGCGGCGTGGCTAAAGACTACGGCTATGCCTGTACTCCAGGCTTATATCTTGTTCCTCATTGCCATACGTACTCAAGTCGATCCTCAGACATTTTGGATATTGACCGGAATTGCGGTCCGCCTCGCACAACGAATGGGCCTCCATCGTGATGGAGAAAACCTTGGATTGCCTCCTTTCGAGGTTCAAATGCGCCGGCGGCTCTTTTGGCAACTCCTCCCACTTGACGGCTATGCAGGCCAGGTTTCCGGGACAGGCATTTCCATATCTCCAAGTAGCTGGGATACCAAGCAACCGCTGAATATCAATGATGATCAGATTTACCCTGGTATGGCGGAGCAGCCTGAAGAGCAAAGAGGTGCCTCAGAAATGATATTCTGTTTGACAAGGATAGAATTATCTAATTTCTACACTCGAACTGGTGTAAAAATGAAGGATGTTGGCGCTACAATCCAATTTAGAGGGGCAGAAGATATCGAGAGGCTTATAGACGAAGTTGAAGGTCTTATCGAAATGAAGTATCTGCGATACTGTGATATCCTGAATCCCTTGCATATTTTAACCCTCGGAATAGTACGGTCTGCTATTAATGCCGTCCGACTGCGTAACCGGATGCCGCCACTAATAAAACAAACCATCAGCGATTGTCAAAGGAGAGATCTCTGCACTCTTGCACAAAAGATCCTCGATACAGACAGCGCCATCTACGGCAACCCAAACATGAAAAAGTTTCAGTGGCAAATGAAAGCCTTTTTCCTATGGGACGCACTTCTATGTATCCTATTTAGCCTTGCAAAACCGGGGTTCTTTTCTACATCAGAGCTTAAAACTACTTGGAGCAAGATAGAAGAAGTTTATTCAAATCATGAAGAGCTTGTTAAGGGTAAACGCGCCCTGCACTTTACAATCGGTAAAGTGACGTTGAAAGCCTGGCTTGCCAATCCGCCAGGTGATTCTATGCCAGAGCCAGATTTCATAACCACGCTACGCACCCAACTGGCGCCAAAAGTCAGCAGGGCCCAAGAGACCGTCAGCGAACCTGGGAGCAACGATAGTGTTGTGGACGACATACCATCATTTGATGGGCTTTTTGGAAGCGTCGATGGGGCAGACCTAAATCTCAACAATAACTTTAGCCTCAGCTCGTCGGATTGGATGTTTTGGGATCAATTGGGTCTAGGAGCAAATCCAAGTTGATCGGAGGTTTTGGTGGCTCTATATATATTAATAGATGCTGTCTCCTGGGGCCCATCTTCTTTGAGACTAGATGCCTAATCTAAATGATTACTCTCCTATTTAACGCGTGCCGCCGTTTAGTCACGCAGTCCGTTGCTATAAACTCTCGTTGGTAGGATGGTATGACTACTATTTTGGCGCAAGCACAACGTCTTTAAGAAAGATAAAGCTAGCCGCATGAAGAAGCGGGTCACTTCCATTTCGTACTGAACCCTAGACACGAGCTCAATTATTGCTGACTTTTATTGCTGACTTCCAGGATACTAGTGTGATGGCTAACCCGGATTTTGCAGGGGTTTTAACGCCGAAATCATGTACCCTGCAGCTAATTCTGGGTTTTACACAATGCCGCGCAGTAGTCCCACGCAACCAAAACCAGCGATCTATATGAACAACTTTGGATGCTAAATTTGAACTGGATCGCTTGCAGCAAGGCACGCTATTACCCGATAAATTCTTCGAACACATTATTCCCGCTGCGGTTCTGATGGTATTCAGCAGCATTGTACCGTTCAGACGACCATCCTTGTTTGTTTAATACCCATTGATCAAAATGTCTGCGGGTCTAGCGGAATTCGAGACAGTCTTCCCTAAGCTGGTCGAAGATCTCAGAGAGCAATGCTGCGAGGACTACAAGCTCCCCGTCCAAGTTTGGCAATGGTTTGAAAAGGTTTTTAATAACTGAGCCTCAAAGTTTTATGCCAATGCGAACATTCATTTGGTGCTAGGGTAGCTGACAAGGGAATTCAGTCTCTTATGCACAATACTGTCGGTGGAAAATGCAACCGTGGACTTTCAGTAGTCGACACCACACGGCTTCTCCTCGGTCGAGAAATTACCCCCAATGAATACTTGGATACCGCGATACTGGGCTGGATGATTGAGCTACTGCAAGCTATGATGCTTGTTTTGGATGATATTATGGACGCTTCCAAAACTCGACGTGGCAAACCATGCTGGTATCTTGTACCAAACGTCGGCATGGCGGCCGTTAATGACGCACCAATGTTGGAGAGCGCTATATACATACTTCTGAAGAAGTATTTCCGGGACCATCCTGCATACGTGGGTAATTTACCAATAAGATTATATTTTTCCTTACCTACATCTGCTAACCTCCCTTCCTCTGTGTAGGTCGATATGGTTGAATTATTCCATGAGGTAGCGTTCAAGATAGAATTGGGACAGGCATATGATATGCTCACCGCACCAGAAAACCACGTCGATTTGGCGAACTTCAACATGGAGAAGTACACCTTGATAGTCATCTACAAGACAGCATACTACAGCTTCTACCTTCCTGTCGCACTGGCCCTGCTCTATACTGGCAAGGCATCACCCCGGAACCTGAAACAGGCCGAGAGTATCCTCGTGCCGATGGGTAAATATTTTCAAATACAAGATGACTACCTGGATGCCTTTGCCGATTCTTCATTGCTGGGGAAAATTGGCACAGATATTCAGGATAATAAGTGCTCATGGCTTGTGAACCAGGCGTTGAATATGTGCTCAACAGAGCAGAGGAAGGTGTTAGACGAAAACTATGGGCGGAAGAATGAGGAGTGTGAAAAGAAGGTGAAAGCTCTTTACCACGAACTAGGCTTGGAGAAGGTATATCAAGAGTATGAAGAGGCGCAGGTGGCGGACCTCCAGAGGAGAATTGCAGACGTGGATGAGAGTCAGGGGATGCATAAGGGCATTTTTGAGGAGTTCCTCAAGAAAATCTATAAGAGGTCTAAGTAAACTGGGGAGTTGCATATGCAAAATTGCAATCGATGGTTTAGCTATCCCTTCAATTACACGTTCGATTTCATTTACAAGCACATACTTTACATTATGAAACCTATTACTTACTGAAGGTTGCGATTTAATCATGCTAGAACATCTTGATTGGTATGAATACCCAAAAGAAGTTAAATCAAGAATCTACAAGTCAATGGCAGTAGTTAAAGATTTTCTCCTGCTACCCAGCAACTAGAACTAGGTATGTCATGGAGACTACTTTACTACAATACTTGCAAAAATGACGCTCGAACATTAACCCATAGCGATATGCGTTCAACAAAGATATACTCCTCATCAATTGAATTCATAATTAATAGGAATCAAAGCGACTGCGCCGTTGCGATCGTGATGTAGGGCATATCTCTGCCTGCGTCTCCGCAAACCTCCTGTATATCTGTGGCAAGAAGTAGGATGTGATATCAATCTCCCCCTTTTTGACTGCAAATGCAAAGAACGCTTGCAGCCCCCGGCGCGTATCCAGCTCCTTCTCGGTCACCATTCCGTGTACCACATTCATATACGCCCTTGCATCGTCGCCCTGGCCACGGCGCTCTAGGAAGCTAGTCACTGCCTTAATCGCAGCTGCATCAGTCTCTGCATGCTTGCTGACATCGACCTGTAACTTGACGTGCAGAACAGGGTACTTGGGATGGATGTCGAAGTAGAATGTCACTCCACTAATATTGGCATTCGCACCGGCAGCACGTCCATGTGCACTGCCGTTGACGGTGACACTGGGAGGCTCGGATGAGGTTGGGAAATCGGCCTCCAGTCCTTTGAGTCCGTACCACAGCTCCTTTAGCTGGGCTATAGACTTGGGTGATTCTGGCTTACGCCCACCCAAGGTCATGACTGCGGCAATGTGGTCGAAAGAGGTGTTGTTTGTCGTCACATATACCTTGAATCGTGAACTTTCGGCTGAACAACAATCAATAGCTGTCGTGCCGAGCATTGTGAGGTGACGGCCATGAGGGTCCGTCTCAATAAATTCGCGGACGATGTTTAAGCTATCCAAAGATGCATCTTCACCATAGGCATCACGCATAGCCCTTGGAAATATGGTGTTTAGCAGTTCCTTGACTTGCGAAGGTGCCTTCGTCATCAACCCTGCCATGACCTCTACACTATCAGAATCTGGAGCACATTGCAATCCAACAAGCATGGAAGAACCCGCTGCTTGTCGTGCGGCCTCATCTGTCAGATTTGGCCGGATGTGGGCAGCGAACTTCCACGCCAGAGGCAATGACGCTGATGGGATGATCTTGCCCAGGTGCCACAGCATTTCTTTGGCGGCAAACTCGTTCAATGGGTCAGCGGCTGTTCCTGTCAATAGGCCCATTGGTTCAATATAATGTCGAATCAGTGGCTTGCTGCCGCGTCCAGTACCCCATCTCCAGCTATATCCGATTGGGGAGCCGTCACCAATACCAGGGGCAACTCGGCTCCTGAACCGCGGCTCTGCTGATGTTGGCTTGGGCCCGAGGCGGGGAGCGATGACGAACCGATAGAATAGCAGGAGTTCGACTTGACGTGGCTCTGGATACCTTGCCTCATGGATCATTCTGGCGAAATGGCGGCCAGTAGTTTTCCACCAGAACAGGTGGTTCTCATCATCATCGGGTAGGAAGCGAGAAACATTGTTGAAAACTCCGAGCTGATACTCGAAGTTAGATGTTGCCTATGAAATAATCAGCAGAGAGCTTGATATTTGTTAAATTTCATGAATAATATGAAAAATATTAAGGCTTACTTGGATTGAGCCATTGCTAGGAGCTGTGCTGGTACCAATAAGCGCACGCTTGCTGCCATTGACACTTAGGGGTGTCTCGACCGCAGGACCGTTGTCATCGAGGTTGGGATGAGGAGCCATACTGTTGATAACTGCAGCTTCTATTGTAGTTATGTGTGTACCTAACTTGGTATTTACGGAATGGGGACTTCAGCACAAAGGTTAGGGTTGGAGTTGGACCCGGAACCAGAATATAACCGGTAGCCAGTATAATATATCGATAAATTGATAATCACCAGCTTTGGGATGATGGACAGCTACATTGTCTCCCCGCCTATTCGGAGTTTAGCGAGTTGTAATGTATCGGGTTTTGGGAAACGGATTCCCTCGCGACCTAGCTTGCAGACACCCTTCAACCCCTCCCTCAACTACCAGGATGCACCGGGTTTTGGGCAGCCATTGAATATCCCCATTTGTCAAAAATAGCCCTGTTGCATAGTACTAGCTGTAAGCATCCAGGGCTATACACATATCACACGAGCGTATAGAACCTGGAATAGACATAAGGTTCGGGAAAAAACACGTTGATGGACGAGTTTAAATTCAATTTCAGGTCAGTTAAGTATAGTTAAGACTTTCTATAGTAACTGTCCAAGGCAGCTGGAGAATCGTTTCTGATGATAACCTATAGCCCAGACCTACGATCCAGGTATAATCTCATTGCCGGGGAGCAGTACAACATCCGAACTCAATATGGCTTCCCATGAACCACGGTTTACCGCCTGGCTACACGGCGATTCCATCCGAAACAAACTGGTCCAGTTCATCAAACAATTGCATGCCTATGTGCACTTTCGGCCAACGATTTCAACCGATGAGAAGTCAATAATTTACGATAAAGGCAGTGTCTCGCATGACCAAGATGACGAGTTGCTCTGGCGTCATCCCTGCCCCCAGGACAGCCAGATGTGGGAATTCATGCAGTGTGTGAACTTGAAGCATGGGACGAGTTTTCAAACATACCAGGAGCTTCACCACTGGAGTCTCGAAAGTACAGCAGAATTCTGGGGAGAAGTATGGGACTATTGCAAAATTCGGCACTCGATTCCATATGAGCAGGTCGTCGATGACGCAGCGAAGATGTGGCCAAGATCCACCTGGTTTAAAGGCTCAACGCTGAACTTTGCAGAAAATTTATTGTTCCCTCTTCATCATGTTGCAGAAGACGATTTGGCTGTTATATCTGTCGATGAAATGACCAGAGAAACAATCACCTGGCGGGAGCTGCGAGAGAAAGTACGACAATGCCAGGCAGGAATGAAGGCCATGAACCTGAAGCCTGGAGACCGGGTTGCAGGATATGTTGCAAACCACAGTAACGCCCTGATTGCCATGTTGGCTACTGCGTCTTTAGGAGCTATTTGGACGGCTGTTAGCCCAGACACCGGCGTAGCAGCAACTCTTGATCGGCTAGTGCAAATTGAACCACGATTGCTATTCACGGACAATGCAGTCATGTATAATGGAAAGACATACCACGTTCTGTCAAAGTTCCAGGAGATTGTAGCGGCCCTCCCGTCTTTAGAGGCTGCTGTCATATTCGAAACCTCAAGTACTGCGGATTACAGCATGGTGTCTTCAAATCTGGAGACAAAAGTCTTGAAATACGACGAATTCATATCTCAACAAGACGTCAAATCAAAGCTCAATTTTATCCAAATGCCAGCCGAGCATCCAGTGTATATTCTTTACAGTTCTGGGACAACTGGTGCTCCAAAGTGCATCGTTCATGGAGCAATTGGGACACTTATTCAACATAAGAAGGAGCACATTCTCCAAAGTGATATCAGACCAGGAGATCGACTGTTCTATATCACGACATGCATGTGGATGATGTGGCACTGGTTCGTGTCTGGACTAGCATCTGGTGCCACCATTGTTTTGTACAACGGCTCCCCGTTTCACTATGTGTCTGGTGAACAATCGGTCAGGGACGATCTTGCTATGCCAAAGCTAATCGATGAGCTTCACATTACACAATTTGGCGCGAGTGCTACTTACTTTTCTATGCTCGAACGAAAGAACATCATGCCGAAAGAACGTGGCCTGACTCTTAGGACACTTAAAGCCATCTACTCGACTGGATCGCCCCTCGCACCGTCCACCTTTAGATACATTTACAAAGCATTCGGCCAGGTAAACTTGGGTTCCATATCGGGCGGCACAGACCTCATTGCAGACTTTGGCACGCCGAGTCCGCTTCAACCTGTATTCGCTGGAGAAATCCAAGTAGCGGCCCTTGGTATGGCAGTCGAAGCTTGGAGTCCTGCGGGGAAGGATCTAAGCAGTATTGGAGAACCAGGGGAACTTGTCTGCGTAAAGCCATTTCCTAGTCAACCGGTGAGCCAAACCGTGCCATGTTGTTGACGTTGGTATTTGACTAACGTGACCGTTGAACATCATAGGTGAAATTTTGGGGCACTGGAGGAGAAAAGAAGTATAAATCATCGTACTTTGAAAAATTTCCAGGCGTTTGGGCGCACGGAGACTTTGTACGGGTAAACCCTCGGACAGGAGGGCTATTCATGCTTGGTCGGTCCGACGGAGTTTTGAATCCAAGCGGAGTGCGGTTCGGAAGTGCAGAAATTTACAATCTGATCCTGAAACGCTTTCCCTCTCTAGTAGAGGACTCGTTATGCATTGGAAGGCGACGACGCGAAGACACGGATGAGACTGTGATATTGTTCCTCAAGATGAGACACGGTCAAAAATTCACTGCCCAGTTTGCAGCAGAAGTCAAGCAGACTATACGGGATGATCTTTCTCCAAGGCACGTCCCTAGCATTATCGATGAATGCCCAGACATTCCTGTGACAGCAAACGGTAAGAAAATTGAGGTGCTGATTAAGAAGATATTGAGCGGAATGGACCTCAAGGCTGCTGGCGGTTCAGGCGCAGTGAATGGAGACTGCCTAGACTGGTATCAAGAGTGGGCTAGAAACCACTAATAAGAAGACCACAATTCATTTTCTTAGAATCGTTTGCGTCTCCTTTCGCCCAACGTCTCCAACATTTTGTTTGCTAGGTATACGTATCATTTTGTTGACAGGCATGGAGGAGTTGTCGTATGTGGGTGTTCTTTTGCTTAGTCATCATTCTCTACAAAAATTTATTCCTCCAATCAGGATTCCCTCCTCGTAACTACATCCATCAATCCTTCGAGTCTGCCATGTTCTCTATATACCTCCCTACGTTCAGCACGGCTTTTATGATGGCTATTAGCTCTTGTGTATGGTTGATGATATACCCTCATTGAAGCTGATAAATGTTTTTGTCACTGTTTTCTATTTACAATTGCACTTGTCGCGATAATACTAATGCATGGCAAAACGGAAAAAATATAGATGAAATACCCACGACTAATAAATAAATGTCGGCAATATATATCTCTCACTTCCATCATTACCTCCCAATACATCTGTGTGATCAGCAGTTCTGATCTATCCAAGCCTTTACTTCGCCAATGGTGGGACATTCGAGGAAGAGTGAGCTCTTGACCTCAATACCAAGCTCATTGCGGAACTTCTCAGAGAGAACCAGAGACATAAGAGAGTCAACTCCAAGCTGCACAAATGTTGCATCGGCGGTCAAGTCGCTCAGGTCCAGATTTGTCTCGCGTGCTATTATCTGGATGCATTGACCAACAATCCCAGTGTCAGTTTCCACAGTTTCCACAGTCTCCACTGATTCAGTGGGTGTGAAAGTCGCCCCAGGTGTGTGGTCGCTGCTAGACGAGGAATTCGAGCCATTCTGACCGCTCACGCCATTGACGCCGTTGTCCTGTTCATGACTGGCAGGCTTCACCCCCAAATAGCCTCCTGGGACTCCTGGTGGGGTAAAGGCTGCGTTGTGACGCGGCTTCCCGTTGGGTATGTGATGTGAAGATGTGCCATTAACCATCGAAACAGTGGAACTATTTTTCTGGCTAGTGGCAGCTGGCATATGACTCTGGGTATTGTCGGAACTAGGAGGCGAGAAGAATCGGTCCATTAACAGCCGTGGCACACGACGGAACCGAATTTGACACAAAACGCCCACAATAACATCACCCTGCAAGATATAGACGTCACCTGCGTGCATGTTCCCAGCCTCCACGGGAAGCGGGAACATACGGACATAGCTTTGGTATTTGGCTCCAGGCTCGAGCGGCTTGAGGATGCGGAGGCTATCACTGCCTGGCGTCACATAGAAGTAGTCTTGCGTGTTGGACGCATCGCTGCCGTTCATAATCAGGCCTGCAAGATGGCAGACGCTATCGATCCAATGTGGCGGTGTATGCCATGACCCATGGCGATCAGACACCAGGGTCACGTCAGCAACGGCCTCGTACTCGTGCATTATTACGTTGTCAATTCCGCGATACCAGTCTGAGTAGTCAACGACATTTTTGAAGAGTGTATAGGCGAGGCGCTTGGAGATTCGGTTGGCCTGACCGTCGGCAGCCAAGCGCTGTAGAGCCTCAATACGCCCAAGAACGAGATGAGCTGTGCGGTTCCATTCGGTACTCCAGGCCATGGGGTCCTCGAAACGTACCCCAGCCGATGCAAATGACTCAGCGGCCCGTTCTCCCGTCTCAGCACTAACGTTATACCATGCCAGTGACATATACTGCGAATTCAGGTCAAGATGAGCCTCGAGTGCGAGTGGTTGCGAGCAGCCCTTAACCTTACTGGCAACCTGAGCATGCAAGACCTCCAGGTCACAAACGTTCATATGAACATCTTTAGTATGCGGTACTAGCCGACGATATAGATATTGTCCCACAGATAGGGCCATGTCTGTCCAGATAGACGAGGTAGCCACGCCGCAGTTGTTCATCGTGTGTCCATATATAGCGCTGCGGAAATCTGGATGCTGCATATCAGAAAGCGTATGCAGTGTGGCCGTCGTTGCTTCAATCGTTTCACTCGTGATCTGATGTATCGAGGACGTCCGGAGAGCCGAGGAGGAGAGAGTCGCAGGCGTTTTACCACTGCCGGCCTTCCCTCCGTATTTCAGAAGTGCCTTGTCAAGTGCCCAGGTGCCAAGGTATGGAATCCAATAATTAGTTTCGTTCCAGCTATACTTGGGCAAGCTGAGTAAGACGTAGGCGCGTTCGTTCGGCCTAAAGTATTCATTCCAGCATGGTGTGAGGCCTGCCAGGTGCAGTGTGACGAGACTTTTGGAAATGGTGGATATGTTGTCTTCGTTGCGCCGACACGAAGAGGCAATCTTCGACGGCGGAGACAGCTTACGAACAAAGCCGACGCAGACGGGGTGCGGACCAATGTCCAACCATACGGTCTTATCGTCTACTATTCCCAATTCCCGTGCAGCGTCGACAGCAGCAGCGAATTTGACGGTATTGCGAGTTTGGTGGCGAAGATAGGTTGCATTGATCGTCTTGCCGTCGAAAATCGGGGTTCCGAGCATGGTGGATAGGACGGGGATGCTAGGGGCCTTGAAAGGCACCTTCTTAGCTAGGTTCTCCAACTCATCAATCACTGCCTCCATCTGAGATGTGTGGTAGGCAAAGGGGATCTCCAGTGGCATGCATTTATAGTTGTTGGTCTCAAGCGTTTGTCGGATAGTGTTGATGTCGGCCTTTGTTCCGCCGAGCACTGTATCGTCGTGCGTATTTTGACATGACACTTCATATTTGACATTGGCTGTGTCAGCAGCACTTCTCAGGACTCTTTCAATATCTTCAGGTGAGGCCAGTACCGACAGCATCGAGTGGCTGTATGGTGCGCAGCGTTGTTCAGTAATCTGGGCACGACGCCCTACAATATAAAGGACATCTGCCGCGGAGAGAACACCAGCAACAGCGAGAGCCGCATACTCGCCTAGGCTATGGCCAATAACTGCACTGGGTCGGATGCCTAGCAATGACCAGAATCGAGCCAATGCGATCTCCAACACCACAATACTTAGCTGACTGACCACCGGGGATGTCACTTCATCGTCCGTGCTACCGGTGATAGCGGGCACAACAGAAGGGAAGCCTAGTTTCCGGACAAGTTGATCAAGCTGCAGGACCTGAGTGCGGAAGAAGGGGAAATCATCAAAAAGTTCCTGCCGGATACCTCGATAGGAGGCTCCCTGGCCGGTGAAGGTGAAAACCACCGCCGGAGGGCTGGATGGAACTGGCTTTGCGTCAGCAGCGACCTTATTATCTACAGATGTGCGGAGGAACTTCTGTAGTCCAGGAATGCTGGAGACGGTGGTGGCAACACGCAGGTTATGGTGCATACGCCGAGCGCACGTCGTGTAAGACAGGTCCGCTATATCAGTGTCGGGATACTTTTCGAGGTAAAGTATCAGGTTCTCCAGGTTGGCCTGGAGCGACTTCTTGCTTCTTGCTGAGATAAGTATAGTATGCAAAGAACGACCATCAGCACTCTCGGGGCTGGCTCGAACCCTCTTCCTTTCCGGGGCATCCTCAAGAAGCAACGTTGTGTTTCCGCCATGGGCACCAAACGAATTCACTACTGAGGTGCGTTTCTTTCCCTGAGGTCTCGGCCAAGCTGTAGTCTTCATAGGCAGACTAGCATTGCGCCTATCAAGATCCTTCGGAATGGTCGGGTTTATTTCTGTCTTGATGCCAACATGAGGAGGGATCTCATTTTTTTGGTACATGAGCAATACCTTAAGAAGCGACGATATTCCGGCAACAGCTTCGCCATGTCCGATGTTACTTTTCACTGCGCCGAGGTGTAGCTTCTGGTCAGCGCGACGGCGCGGTTTGAGTGGAGCAAATACATCCAAGACAGACTCTGACTCGATGGCATCACCAGCCTGTGTGCCTGTACCATGCATCTCGACGAAGCTAACATCCAGAGCGCTGACACCAGCCTGCCGCAGGACTCGGCGGCAGTTGTCCTTTTGATGTCCAGCATGCGGGTGTGTGATTGAGATGGCATCTGCACAGTGGTTCGTAGCTGCGGATAAAACCACAGCCAAGATATTGTCGTTGTCGGCTTCAGCGTCTTCCAGCCGTTTGATCACAATCGAGCCAATCCCTTCAGCTCTGCAGTATCCATCTGCGTCCTTGTCCCAGACCTTGCATTGTCCGGTTTTGGACAGGAAGTGAGCATTACCAAGGCCAGCATAGTTGTCCGGGTCAGTTATGATATTGACTCCGCCTGCAAGTGCAGTATCGGCCTCACCCGCCCATAGAGCCATGCAGGCAGCATGTACTGCGGCCATCGAACTCGAGCACGCAGTATCTATCGTGAAACAAGGGCCCGCAAATTTGAAGAAATAGTTGATGCGTCCTGTGGTAAAACCCCGTACTCCACCAGGCACCGCATAGGTCCCGATGTTCTGTGATGCGTTTAGCTCACGCCAATCATCGCTCGCTTGACCGTAGAAGCTCCCAATGCGCTCCCAACGTGTCGATGCTGTACGACCAGGGACAAGACCCGCCATTTCCATGGCTTCGTACGCCGTCGTCAGCGCAAGTCTTTGCATTGGGTCCGTTTGCTCGGCCTGGTGATATAGCAGCGTTAGTCAATATACTCAGTATACGGTCAATGCAGCAAATTACGATAACATACCTCTTTAGGAGACATTGTGAAGAAGGCCGCATCGAAATATCCCGGGCGGTCAATGAAATTTCCGTATGGAGTTTGTGCAGCATTTTCTGTCTTGCCTGTGGGATCATAATGCGTATCCAAGTCAAATCTGTCCTTAGGCACTGTTGTATGAACGTCACGGCCTTGTTCAAGCAGCTCCCAAAACTGTTCAGTATCGTTAGCTCCACCAGGCATACGACACGCCATGCCAACGATGGCCAGCTTTGAGTTGGCCGGGTTATTGCGGCGTCGTGTGCCAAAGTCTTTATGAACCCATTCGACCATGTCATTCCTTGAGATCTCCATGTCAGGGAAGCTTGCAACAATAGTCTCGAGGATACCCTTGAATACAAGCGATGTGCGGAATGTGTCGATTTGGCAAGTTGCTGACCCACCCACAGCGTTGATATGGTCAATTATACCCGCTGTTACATTATCGAGATAAATAGTTCCAGTGATTAATTCAGTGGCAATCTCCAGTAGCAATTGACCTGCTGTGGTGGCCGTAAAAGGCTTCCCTGTCTGTGATGATATCAGGGGAAGCTGCAACGGACGGGAAACCGGGATGAGTGACTCTGAGATGTCAAGGACAGCGTTTACATCTTCTTGACTGTAAAGATGTGTTGCGTGGCATAGGCCATCATACACCGGTAATGGCAGTGACTTGGCATATCGAAGGTCGCTAGACTGTAGAAATGCGGACTTTATGCGGGATGGTGGTCCGCTGACGCTCACGGATGACCTATCTGCTGCACTTATAAAGACTTTGGAAATCTCGGGGTTTCCTAGTTCTTCATTTACCCTAGCCAGTTCGCTTTGAACTGATTTCTCAGTCATCCCGGTAATGACATGTGCCCAACTCTGAAGTATTCCATCTGGCTGAGGTGCTTCAAGCTTTCCGGAGAAATCGCCAACATAAACTCCCAGTCGGAAGGATACTCTCAGACACTCTGCACCATTCTTAACCACTTCTGCAAGAGAGGTAGAAAGCGCTACTGCTGCGCCCGAAAAGAGCCCAACACTCAGACCGGCTAGTGTCGTCAGACCATCAGATAGAGTCAGTTCTGCATCAATTGCTTCGTAATGTCTACGAAAAAGCGAACAGTCTTTGTTAGCACCACGGGTGTTATCGAATTCAAGAGACCAATCAACCTACCCTATGAACAAGCCAATCTGTAGTACAATAAGCAAGGCGCTTTCCATGGCAGCTCCCAAGCCAAGTTCGCGAAGATATCCATTTTCAGAAAGCGTTAGGATATTATTGAAATGTGGCACCTGACTCTTAATTTGGTGTGGAAGTTTTGCAATTTCATCTTGAATAACGAGCGTTGACTCCTCGAGAAAAGCGGCAAGTAATCGAAAACGTCGGTCTTTGCTATGCTGTAGCAGCCGACGAAACAAATCGTTCAAATCATCGTTGGGAAATTCATTTCCGAAGTAGAGTAGCCTTGCTTGGGCAGAGGTTTGGCACTTGTCCCAGGTACTGCTTTGATTCTCAACTGGACCAGGCATATTTGCGAGGAGCTAAGTATCAGTTAACAACCGTTGCATACCCATGGTTTGACTGTTTATGCTAATAAATATAGTGCAATAATGAGCAACTGGTTTGATTACTTACCTTGTGGTCAGTCTCCTTTAGCCGTCGCTGGTATACCACATAAACTCAGCTATCGAAGAGGCGACGGTAGTTCGTACTTATGCTAAATGCTAAATATTGTACGCGATGAATAATTATATAGATGAATCATGATAAGTCACACAGACTAGGTTGCCCTCGCCAATCCCGAAAGTTCGGATAGCGGATTTTAACACCCGCTCCTATGGTGTCGCCTTTCGCGATTGTAGACTCCGTCCGACAAGAGCAGGCGAATGCCATTGGTGAAACATGGTTGCTTTCAGCCACCATGCATGCACCTAATTTGTAATCGAGCTGAGTCTGTTAGATTCGAATGAAGTCTGTTCGTTGTGCCGCATTTGGCACAAAATTATGTGCAAAACCCGAAAGGAATATCGAATGCTTAAAACTTAAATCACGAAATATTTGACTCCCCTTGTAAATGCCTAAAACCCGTGGGATTTGGCGTAGCTAGTAAAACTAGTCGGCCTCCACATCGAGTTTCTATTTCTCATCAGCTCATATTTGGCCGTTAACATTAGCCAGACGTTCATTATGCAAAACCCGAAGAAAGGCGCGTCCAAGGGCCAAGAGCGATGTCCGATGGTCAGGTCAGCACTAGTTTTAATTAGCAATAGCCGCATATAAAAGAAGAATGGAAGGGAATACGGACGGTCCTCTGAATAAACTTGTATATTGAGCACCCTTCTGTGATTTTCGCTTGAGAGCTACGGTAGTAACGGTTAACCCTTGACATCCATCGTCAGTCATTTAGCTCCCCTTAGCCGCGCCGAGAATATTTAAAGGTCTGCATCGACAATGGGGGCGCAACCATCCGATCAAGGTCAAGTACCCCTATTAGAGGCACCCCTTACCGTCATAGACTGGGGTCGATTGAGGTCCAATGAAACACAGGAGGGGAAGAAGCTTCTCGAGGCATGCGAAGGTCAAGGCTTCTTTTACCTAGACCTGAGCTGTGACGAGTCCTTCTTGCAAGACTGGAAAGCAGTTCTGGCTTTTATGAACCGATATTTCCATCTTGAACTGAGCGCAAAGATGAAAGATGATCGGAAGAGCGACACTCACGGGTTAGTAAAACACTCTTGACGCGCCCCCCTTTATTTTTAAGCGCGCCCCTGACCCACAACTCCCGCGGCGCCAAGTGAGCTAAATATGACCACATAGATATGAACCTGTCGCAACGTCAACCGGAGCTGTCAATTCACTGCCAGACTACTACGAGTCGCTCAAGGTAAGTTGTGCATCGCTGCTGAATTGATGGCTTCCCAAAAAAAATAACACACTAGGAGGCTTCCAGAGATGAACTGCTCGGGAATACGAGCGCCCTTGCTCCAGATGTTAGGGACAACCACGCCCTGTTTCTCCGATTTTGCAGCACTGCACACAAGGTCTTTATGACCATTTTGCGCCAGCTTGATGATTACCTCGGCCTAGATGATCAATCAAAGCTCGTGAGATTCCATCGGGAAGATCGGGAATCGCTTACTACCCTCTCTATGTTCCGCTATCCAAAGCAAGAGTCCCTCGACATGGGTGTCGGGCACAACAAGCACACAGATATCGGTACCTTGACTTTTCTCCTCTGCGAACAATGGGGTCTACAGGTTCTCTCGAAAGATCCAGTTGGCTGGAGATACGTGGCCCCGAAAAGCAACCACGCAGTCATCAACGTAGGAGATACCCTACGCTTCCTTTCAGGAAACCGCTTTCGCTCCGCAGTTCACAGAGTTATACCTACGCGTGGTCTTCAGCACGAAGATCGCTATAGCATTGCTTACTTCTTGAGGGCTGAAAATGACATACAGTTCACAGACAGTACCGGACGCCAGGTCTCTGCTAAAACGTGGCATGACGAGAAGTTCAATGTGTTTAGAGAAACGCATGAGGAGCAAGAAAAGCTGCCAATTTTGACTGGCGGTATGGAGCGTATGGAAAGTCTAGTTGTCTGAAGAAGGCAGAATAGATAGTCGCAAGTTGTATATGACTTTGCTCAAGTGTATATTTTATCCGTTGATGTTTGTTTGCTCAAAATACACGTGCAAGACTTGATCAATTAAACGTTTAATTGATCAATCAACTCGCATCCTCGCCTTTTTGACCTAGTCACTTGTCTAGCCACATTTTTAAACTCGAAGACAGAGAACGGTCTATGGGCTAGATCTAGCTATGCAAAATTACAATGGTAAAACACACAACTCTTTGAGGATCTCACAGGCATTTTGAATCTTAACATCTATTACTTGTCATTCATTTGCCACTTCGGCAGGACCACCACATTCATCAACTAAACCTAGTGTTTCGTCGTCAAAATCCCGTTCATCAACTTCTCCAGCCTGTTCACTGCCTCGTATCCGATTTGATAATGGATCACCAGCCTTCCTCCCATGAATTTTAACCCGATGGCCTCGCCTTGCTCGATAAATGCATCTTCGCTTATTCCGACAGCAGCAAGGTCAAGCCATACCATGTTGGTTTCTACCGGATACAAAATCGTCCCACCAAGGCTCTCCCACATCTTAGCGATTTGTTTTGCTAGAGCATGGGACGTCTGAAGTTTTCCGCCGAGAAAGGTATCCTCCACGCCTACCCTTGCTGCCGCACACACGACGCCAGACTGACGAAGCCCACCACCTATACTTTTTCTTATCCATCTCGCACGCTCCCTGAACGACTCGGTTCCTACAATTATAGAACCGATGGGTGCCCCGAGGCCTTTGGAGAAACAGAGGCTGATGCTGTCGAAGCACTCGCAATACTCCTTCAGTGATCCTGCACCGGCCGCGACGGCTTCCCATAGACGTGCCCCATCTAGGTGCATCGCTATGCCATTTTCTCGTGCCCATTGGCTTATGCGTTGGCATTCTGTCAGGGGAAGAATGACACCACCCAGTGGGTTTTCGAGAGATATCAGCCTGGTAGGACAGTCTGTGATGAGCGTTCCTCTATTCACCTTCTTTTGCAAATCTTCCAGTGTTAGGTATTTCCCATTCGAAGGTTGAACGGATGTTATCATAGCTCCACACAGGCTCGCAACTCCGCCTGCCTCATGAGTGACGATATGACTTCTGTGGTCACACATCACGCTATGCGGAGGGCCTTGTAGTTGCGTTCGTATGCAGAGTTGGTTTCCCATTGTTCCACTGACGACAAAGAGGCCAGCTTCCTTTCCTGTAAGCTCGGCAATCCAGTTTTCGAGATTGAGGGTCGTGGGATCCTGTCTAAAGTCATCGTCTAGCAAAGTTGTGGTCGTGATGGCAGCAAGCATGCGAGCTGTCGGCGTAGTCACAATATCACCTAGCTTAGGTATTAGCAACAGCGACCATTTTAATCACTTTTAGCCTCAACATACTGCGAAAATCGAATGCTGAAGCACCTGGTCCATTCCAGTTGTTAATTTCGGTGGCTTTAGTGCCATTTACTGGCTGTGTGGTATGGCCATTCTCCCCTTTCTTATCCAAGCTTATACCAGTTGTAAGTGTCATGATTGCTGCAAACTTGATGAAGAAATTTCCAAATACTAAACAGTCAAAGATCAGGCAGACTATGAAATGTTGACGCCAGATCTTACATATTCCACCCCCTTTACTGAATCCATTCATTTACTTTAATTATACTAAAAAAGATTCCTATGTCAAACCCCGAAACCATTTTCGGGCCAGAATCGACTCGTTTGTCGGATTTTAATTAGTGATTAAAAGCCATGGCGCCCATACACCCAGGGTCGTAAGGCCGGTCATCGTCATTGGCTTCGGAGCTATAGAAGTTGATAGGAAACTGAATCTGAAACTGTTCCCATACAAAATAATCCAACGGAAGAACATTATTTTAAAAAGGTGGACATCGTACTTGTACAGTGTCAATAGAAGGGCTAAACTATCGGCCTAGTAAAGACTACAAAAATTCATTCATAGCAAGTTCTAGCTTAGCCGTGCTGCTTCAATGAAAATAGCAGCTGTTGTATGAAAATAAGGAGGTAACTCCATCACCGGCCCGTCTTTACCGGCATTAAGCAGAGACATTAAGTAGTCAACAAGATTGATTATATCTCATTGAATCAAGTAACTGTGGTTTAAATTGCATTTATGAAGGACTATAAATACCCAGCCATCTAGATCCAATAGCCAGTCGAGTTTATGGTTCAAGCGAGCTTCAAGTGACAAATGAGTGGAGGTTATGTGACATGGTATGTTCGGCGTTACTTAGCTACGCCATTGCTCACACCATTGCTTAATCCATTGCCCATCTTCCGGGCAGGACTAAACATGACACCGAGGTCCTTCTTGATAAAAACTCCAAATGATTTTTGGTCCAGCCAGTCTTTCGGCACATTTCCATGTAGCTGAAAATCAAAATTCCATAGCAACTTTACCATGATCAGACGAGACTCGGCATTTGCAAGGTTCTGGCCCAGGCACTATATAAGATAAGGTGGTCAGCCAAGCCTATTTTGTGGCATGATAGAAAAATCGAGGTACCTACATTATAGGCTCCAATGCTGAAAGGGTGGAATGGCTCGTGATTGTCATTCGCAAATTCGGCGGGTGGGTTGGGCATGAAGCGCTCGGGACAGAAGTCCTTTGGTCGGGTAAAGTAGGCGGGATTCTGTGCAATTCCGAAGAATGACATATTGCATCCCGTCTTTTGGTCGCAATTAGTATGATAAACAACGCTGGCCTGTGAAAATGGGACAAGAAAATTTTGACTTACCCCTTCGGGGATAAATAATCCAGCTGCATTGCCTCCACCTTTGGGCGGAGTACGCCAGAGCATAGTAATGACAGGTGGGTATAAACGCATTGTCTCCTGCAGACAAGCGGTCAAATATTTCAACTTATGAACGTTGACTAGGTCGATCTCCTCACTGGACTTGAAGGACGTCCGAACTTCATGCGACAGTGCCTTCATGGCATGAGGATTAGAGCCAAGGAAGTACACAAGGCCGGTCAGCAATGTAGAAATGGTATGAGAGCCTGTTCCAACGAGGGTCACTGCAGCAACAATCATTTCTTCCTTTGTCAAACCCTCACCTCCCGCATTGTTATCTGCGCTCTTGATAGAGACCTTGTCCCAAAAGTCGCCGCGGACACCGCCCTCTTTAATGCGTTCCTCTACCCTCTTCCGCGCATACATAAAATTATGAATACGGGCAAGCTGAAGTTTCTTGGGAATGAAATATGGTGCAAGCCACATTAGCCCATGCTCACGGAAAAGGAATTTGAGCTGCGAATCGAATGCTGTTTCCGCAAAGGTTTTCATCTGCAGTCGGTCAACTTGGATTATCCGTGGTCCCTATTTGAGAGAGTAAATTCTTACCCATGGATGAACGTCTCCATTTTCCACACAGTTGAAGGGCTCACTCCAGCCTAAGTCGCTAATCACATCAAATCCCACCATTACAAACCTAGACCCCAAATTTAAGAGTTAGTTATATTGTATATAAGGATTATCCTTACATTGGCTGTATATCCCTCACCATTTGGTAACGTCTACAGGTTCTCCAACCTGCGCAAATGTATCGATTTTCTTGGTAAATTGATCGATGTATTTGGTGATTAGCTCCTGCTGCTCCTGAAGACCTTTCTCGGAGAACGCGTGGTTGAGCAGTCTGCGGAAGCGAGCATGATAGGTACCGGCGGTATTCATAATACTCTGAGGGCCACCTTTCCCCTGGGGAACTCTCTTCGGGTGTCTTGGCCACTGCTCTCTGCCTGGAACTTTGGCGAAGATGTCGTTCCACGCCGCCTGATTCGCAAAGCTCAATTCATTTGGACCAATGCGGACAACTTCGCCATACTTCGCGTGAACCTTTGCAGTATGCTGCGGAAGGCGGCCAGTCCATTGCCAGTAATCCTTAATCAGGCTCAATTGTTACTTAAAATGCATTTCAGTGTTTGGATAATTGACTGGAGCGTACCCATGGTAATTTGCTAACGCGACAGTAGAATGGCCCTGGAACTTTCGCAAGGGGATGGAGGAAAATGTTGTAAACTGCCTCGGCGGTGAAATATAGCGTTACTGCGCCGATGAGAAATAGAAGAGGAAGAGACTCTGGTAGGATACGCGCAACGCTCTCCTTGACAAAGGTCGTGTCCACGTTCTCCAGAAAACTGGCGGCCATTTTTGCGACTGATGAGAGCCAGATGGGTATATCAAGAAAAGAGAGAGCCTTCAGAGAGTAGAAAGGGGTTCCGTATATATATACTCGGTTATTATTAGTAGCTAAGCGCGTATCTTAGCTTAACATAATACAAAAAGAGCATCTCGCTTGCTCTTTGATTGGTTCTCCGTTTACATTGCTTCATTGATTAACAGGAACCCTGCTCCACCACCATCAAGTCTGAATTACGGGTTTTGACCGCCACCAGAATCCGGCTTTCAAACTGCGATCATTGAACGAGTTTGAACAGCTCGGGGTTTTACCCGTGAAGCATAATTTCCCACTTGCATAGTGCTCACCCTGCAGTGTAGGGTCAGGATCACTAGCATTCGAAAGAATCAAGGGTAGTCGGCCGTTAAAACCCGACGAGGATACTGGTACTGCACGCCTCGGGAGTTGATATGATCTGAATCTATTGAAACACGACAGGCCTAAAGATATAATCGTATAATTTGCCTTTCGATAGCAGCACATTCTAGCCTGTAGCGTAGTTTGTGTGAAGCAATATCTCGAGCATGAGATGTTTGATGTTAATTCTGTAACAAACGCGCTCTGAGATACGAGAAGAAACGCGGCTAATAAGTTGATGACTAAGTAATAAACACTGTAAATACGCAACCTTCGAAATATTGACATCTTAATTTCATCGTAATTGCATAGAAAATGTACAGAAATAAGGACGAATTACAAATTTCGAGAGGAGAGTTGGCGAGTTTAGGAAATAACGGAATTAATGCTTTGGCAAAACATATGAAAAGGTGTTTGATGGAGATGTTTATTCTTGAATATAATTACAGTACATTTATGACCCCTGTATCCTCTAGTTATGCGCGTAGTGAATAGCCCAGAGGATTGAAAAGCTGATCAAATATGTACATCCTCAACAACGCTGCATGATGCGCCCCAACTTCACGACTGGAAGTGCTCCAAAGAAATAGAAAGCTCTATCTACAAAATTTGGCTTGCGCCAAAGCTCAGTCAGAGGCATACTTGGACATGGCACGGAGCTTAGGTCCATAGTGCCAAAAGGCCAAAGGGCTTACCCAGCCAACACCGATGCTGATGAATGCCAGGACGCTCGTACCCCATCCGTATCCTAGACTCTCATACATGTAGGGGGCGAACAGTGGGAAGCCAAAGCCAGCCAAGCTGCGAAGAATGGCACAAGCAGCCATAGCACTAGCAGCGTATGTCTGGTAACTGTCAACAATATAGGTCTGCATACCCTGAAGACAGGATATTGTTCCAGCAGTGAATATCAGGGCTCCAATGTTGGGCATGATCCAATGCACGCTGCTGCGTATACTCCAGCCGTACCAAAAGAGGCCGATGGTACTAATGACAGAGCCAACAGCCAAGGAGGGCATGCGAAACTCAGGCTTGCCGACGCCATTATTCTTCGCTTTGAGGGTCTTGTAGATGCGGTCGACTAGCTTGAGGTTGAGGAAAAGACCAACGAAGGAACCGATGGCAATGGACAGATAGTTGAGCCCACCAATACTCTCACTCTCCCCGTACACCTTGGTCCAGATCTCAGGAAATGTTGCGAACATGAGATATGTGGTTCCGAAGAGATACCCCATGTATATGGCCATACAAAAGACGATGGGCTGAGTTGTGAACATGCGCACTGGTCGTTGTAGGGCATGTCCAAGTTTATAGGCGAGACTCTCTACCTTCTCCGCGGTATGCAGGTTCTCGTTGCCCGTCTCCTTCGCGAGTCGGTCCCGTCTCTTTCTCAAGAGCGTAGCTGGGTGACACTCGCGCAACCATATAAAGCCAACTACTTGGATTACCACGGCCGCAGCAGACGTCGACCAGAACACCCAGCGCCATGTCGAATACTGTGCAATGAAGCCTCCAGCGATGGGTCCAACGACAGGGCCAAGTATTGGGCCAAGGGTGTATATACCCATGGCCTTTCCACGCTCTTCGGCACTCCACATGTCACTATATATGACGGGTCAGCAAGATATACATAAGGATTCGCAGATATACTGCGCACGGCTTACCTTATGGCACCTCCTCCGATGGCCAGGGGCGCACTGCCGCCAATACCAGCGAGAAATCGAAAAGCGAAGAACTCGGCCTTACTCTTAGCGAAACCACATCCCAAGTTCCAGGCCAGATACCACACATTGCTGAATTGAAGTAGACGTACACGGCCGTATAGTTCGGAGGCTGGGCCAAAGAAAATGGGACCGACGGCGTAGGCGAGAATGAAGATGGCGAGAGATAGATATACCTCAATCTTGACGTGCATCCCTAAGCTCTCACCGAGTTCCTCCAGTGCTGGTGCTATCATGGCAGACGAAACGGGAGAGATGAAGACGAATAGCGAGACGGCCCAGGTGTTTTTCCATTTCTCACCCTTGGGCCAATTTTTCGGGTTTTCTGGATCATCTGGCCCATTCCAGGTAACGAGGTTCGGGTCTTTTGATACTTCTGCGTTGATTGAGGGCTCGGTTGATTGTTTGGCTGCTTCGAGGTCGACGTCGATATCTCTGGCGTGCGTTTGGTCATCCTCAGGGTGTTCTTTGGGTAGGGTAGCGCTCTCCGAATCGGAGGGGATATGGGTTTTTTCGCTCATATTTGAGGACAGTTCCAATTGAATGAGATATTGGAGTTTTCTTCCCGTATGCTTGACTTCTCCTTGACATCGTAGCTCATGCTTGGACTCCTGACCTATATACTCTTTTGACAGCCAAATGTATAGATTGATACAGCCAATCGGCGTCGCGTATTTTCCTTCGGGCCCGCGCCGTCCGGGAAGGACCGAGGTGGTATCCAATGAGAGGACGCGATTCTTCGGGCCCGGGTAAGGCTGGAAATCCGGCCCTAAACTGCCTCTGATCCCTGCAAATAGTTCATATCTAGCTCACCACGAGTGTTAAACTCTTCCGTCATGCGTCTTTTAGTCGAGAGTTAGATTGGGTGACAGTCACTCACCGGGGACTTCTTTTAGATAGCGTCTTAGTTTTCGAGAAGATGGTAGAATTGGTGTTGGATTCTCAGTCCTAGGATGCTATTCAGACTTGGGAGACCATAAGTGAGTATATTGCTGGCAAGGCCATACCCGTTTCTGCGTAAGGAGCTAATCTAGTCCATCTTCGGTATTAACTGCTAAGCCTTATGGGGTGAAGTTGAAGTACAGTCATTGTTTTCGAGCCACGCTCACTGTTTCGATATCAGCGTACCTGGCTTGGCCAACGATTCTTTCAAATCATTCCATCGACCTTTTCTCAATGGATCTAACCGTTTCAACGCGGTCAGCCACCCAGAGATCCGTTCCTCTTGTACAGCTTCCAGTTCTTTGTTTATTTTCGCGATGAGCAAAGTATAGGTAATCAGTGCTTGGTATATCCATTTACAGTCATTAGTATCCTCTAGTATATCTTCGATGGCTTCTATCTCTTGCTCGAGATACTCAAGTCGTTCACCATCCGTTAGATTCGTGGCCATGGTCTGGGGGGCGAGATCGGTGTCGCAGGTGCACATTAAATACTGATGGTAGAACCAAATAGACTGATCGTACGGGTCGATCAGTGCGCGATGAATGAGGCTTAACTCTGTAAATCATAATGAGAAACCGGGATGCAGTCAAGTTTACTAATTTATCATGGAGAAACATACCGCTATCGAGCATCTTTTTCCTCTTTTTATCATCGGCCGCACTTTCGTGTAAAACTTTTAGAATCAGTTTGGAACGGTTATGCCAGGCCGAGAAGTTTGATAGGTTGGTTCCGATCATCTTAGTGGTATAATCCAACTCTTCCTGCGTCATACTCTGGGACGGATTATCAGCCGAGGTATCCGATGGCTCACAAGATATACTCTCCAGGGCCTCAACCACGGCACGCCGATAACCCCAGCCGTGGAAATTCCGTCCATCTCTATTGAGCATCTTGCCAACCAAACCAAGTTCGGTTTCCCAGAACTTTCGGGAAACACTAGGCTCGAGGCGCTCAGTCGCTTGTTGTAAAAGCCATAGTCGATGATTCCAAATCCAGTAGCATTTCGGGTTCTTTTGCAGTAGTGGCAAAAGGAAGACCAGGTCTTGCTGGATAGCCTGCCGAATATGGTATCCAGGCTTTGTCTCAGGGGATACCGGGTCCTCTAAAGACATGGATTGTAATATCATGCGCCGATAATTCCATATCGTATAATATTCTGCATTTTTAACAAGCAGCTCTGATGTCTTATCAAACGCTTCCTTGGAGAAATCATGATCTGCTTTCTACATTTCGATATCAGCCTTTTCGTTCGCTGGAGTGATACGGCATGACGATATGCACCTTTTGAAGGACAAGGCTGTCGAGGGTCTGGTAGTCACTTATGGCTTTGAGTTCAGCTTGTCGTTGAGCTTCTGTTCTCTCGCTTGTGGATGTTTGTCGTAGAACTCCGTGCTTGATATCGGGGTTATTATCGAGTATTTGCTGAAATAACGTAAAAGCCAAGGAAGATGCAGATACCTACGCTTGACATGTCTACGGCGTGTATGTGTAGTGTTCCGATAGAGGTTTCTTCAACCCCAGGACCGAGATGCTGTCTCTCTTGTCTTGTCTCTCATCTTGTTGCCTGTGGTTTGTCAGAGGAAGTTAGCGATGTCATGTGATTTACAGTGATTACCTAATCAGAATCGTGAGTAGAACGCGGCTTTCCTGATTGGGACGAAACAACGACATCCCATCCAGAGGAAGGCGAGAAGAGCCAGCGGCCCATGGCTGCTCGAAGATGGAGTCTCTTCACGATGTTCACGATTCATTATATAGCTATGATGAACCACGAGTCTTTTATTCTTATGCCCATGTAGCTTTTAAGAAGCGCTTGGTGTGTCTTGCGATTTCGCACTTCAGCGGCGATAATGCCACCAAGAAGCCCCGAAACAGAGGTGGCAACATTCTCTGCGGGTAGGCCTTCAATTACTCTCATTACCTCACACGAACAGCCCAGAACCCCCAGGCAAATCACACCAGGATCTCCGCCTCTTTCGCTTTCACCGGTGTCCCCTACCGAGTCAGAATTTCCTTCTCTCTTTTCACCCGTAGACTCTCACCACAGTCAGCGTACAGCCGCTAGCAGTATCTCTAGCAACGATGTCTTTCGAATAGGAGAACTAGAAGATCCTCTTGGGTCAAAACGGGATGTAGAAGATACTACACTTGCTGAAACTACGCCTGCTACTAGTCCCTCGTCGAGACTGTCCTACAACCCCCTAAAATCTCCAGATCGTTTCTTACCCGCTAGGAATTTGCACCATTCCGCATCTTTGCCATTTAGGTTGTCCAGACACCCTTACTCGCTTTCTCCGACTGAACGGATACGTCGGCATAGAGACCCTAGCGTGGATGTTTTCGCGTACCCTTGTCATCAACCGGACTTTGGCTTGAGAATAGCTGAAGTTGGAGACCCTAGAATATCGCCTCATCATTTACCTCGCCATATAAACCATGGCCTTCTTAGCGAACACCCGTCAAACCCAGGAGAGATTGTCCCAACCACGAGGATTAGAACGCAGGCAATGTGGACTTTCCGAGGTGGTATAGTAGCGCCTCCTGGGCCTCAAAATGCTGTATCTGATGGCCACGGAAACCTCATGGGAAGCGGAACGGTAGCACCGCTCTACAAAGCAAACTTTCTTACAAGAGAAACGCCAGCTCGAAAAGATTTAGCATACCAATCACGGCTTTCATTTGCCTTAGATGTTGATCAAGCAGCTAGGGTTATTGACCTATCGATACCTCAATCAATCCAGGATAAGATACCATCTCTGATAAATTCTCCGGCAAGATGGGACGCCATCGGCTGGGGAACCCCTAATTCAAAACCACGTAAGTGAGAAAATGTCGGGCGAATGAATCATACAACCATTTTATTCTCAGAGCTTGCATTCCTATGTTCCAACGGACTGTATAGCTGATGTTGTCAGCAGGTTCGCCTAAGAAATCATCCAAGAAGTTACCTAGACCAGTGCCTTCGACTCCATTTCGTGTTCTCGACGCACCTCTTCTCAGAGATGATTTCTACTGCTCTACGTTAGCATATTGCTATACCGCTCGAGTCCTAGCAGTTGGGCTTGGCCACAAGGTTTACATATGGTCTGAAGGAACTCATGTACAGCATCCTCCATTTAAGGACTACCCTGTTTCAAACCATGTGACGTCCTTGTCCTTTTCATCCCAGTTAGGTGGACATAGCATACTGGCGGTTGGACGACATGGCGGTCAAGTTACACTATGGAGCACCTTTGATTCGGAACCACGATTTGAGATCGAGATCCCCAACGCTGTGTCTAATGTCTGCTTTAAGGGTCGTACCACTCGCAGGCCCTCAAGCCGGCTCGGTTCATCGTCTGCGGACGTGGAAGAACTCGCTATTGGTGACGAACGAGGGCAAATTTGGTATTATTCTGTGGAGTGGACAAGCACTAAATGGCGGCAACGCTATAAGTGGAATGGTGCGATGGTTCTCCTTGCGAAGATCAAAGCACACACGCAGCAGATTTGTGGGATGGCATGGTCTCCTGATGGGAGATACTTGGCCACAGGCGGAAACGATAATTTTTGTTTACTCTTTGACACTATTGAACTTATTAGGAAAATAGAACAAAATCAGTCAGTTTCCGCTGAAAGGGCTGGTAACCCTGGGGCAGGCTGTGCGTTCTCGGATAAATTATATCTACTTCAGTCTTACCTGCAATGTGGAAACTCCCGAGGAACGAATTCTATCAACAGTGCCATCTTGGACGCAGGCTCTCCTGAATCGAGACGCACGGTCGAAGGTTCTCCTCCAAAGAAGGCGATCCCTATACCTATAGATTCACATAAGCACAAGTTCTTGCATGCTGCTGCTGTCAAGGCCATCGCCTTTTCTCCATGGCAACCAACTCTCCTAGCAACAGGTGGCGGTACAAATGATAGGTGCATTCGATTCTACCACGCCACTTCGGGCGCATGCTTGGCTATCATCAACGTCTACGCGCAAGTTACCAGCTTGATATGGAGCAAGACAAGGCGCGAGATAGCTGCTACCTTTGGATACGCGTCACCCGAACACCCTTACCGTATAGCCGTCTTCGCGTGGCCAAGTTGCCAACAGGTAGTAGCTATACCGTGGTCAATAGCCACGGGTCACGAAAGATACGGTAGTGGGGTACCAGGCGATTGTGGCCGCGCACTCTGGGCAATAAGTTATCCCGGTGGTCCAAACGAGATGGCCCATCAACTCGCCGAACCCCCAACCACCCGCAGACACCCTGGCCATGGTCTTAATAGAAGCGATGTCGGCTCAGAGGATTCCCAGACTGCGCAGTCCAACAGGGAGGGGGATACATGGTGGTCGCGCACTGCAGAGGAAGGGTGCATAATCGTAGCCTCTAGCGATGAGTCCGTGAAGTTCCATGAGGTTTGGAGCGGGACTCCTAAGAGCATTGCTGGTACGAGTGGTCTATTGGGCGGAAGTGCTATTTTAGAGGGCTTGGAAGGAATTGAGAAGGAGACGGAGGTTATTAGATAGGGCGAGTTGAATGCAGCTGGCTTGTAGTACAGAACCCCTATTTCAGTGTTTACTCGAACAGCCCCTGAAAAGTCTCTGTGGATGGCAAATGTGCATGTACGACATATGCACTCGAGACCTAGGTACACCGCATTAAATATTATTAACCAGTTATTACTATTAATTCGCCCCTGGACGGGATATAAGAGAAAATTACCTGACTCCTGCATAGTTATTGTTGGGACGTCGCATGCAAAACATAATATTAGCAAAGCACACCAGTATAGCAGTAACGTAGTATAAAGCGGACGACCAAATAATGCAATAAAATAATATTTTTTTATAGAAGGCAACAGGCATAAATAGACAGACAGATAGACAAGGCAAGGCAATAGTATGTATGATTGATCCTCCGTCTCGAAGAACCCTCCAGCAGATGGATAAATGCCAAAAAGGAAACGATAATAAATAGAGGATGAACGAGGGATGGAAACAGCTAAATAGGCTTCCCTCGCTCGCATAGTTCCATTCTATCTGGGTGTATCTCCAATCAGTGCTTTTCATTCCCTACTCCAGCGTCTAGCGAGGAATTTTATTCCCACGTCCAAGACGACTTGATTTGAATTCACTTCACTTTACTTCCTCTTCGGCTTCGTAGCAGGGGCATCAGATATGTCTGATTCCTCCTCGTCCGAATTAGCAAGGAACTCTAACAGGCTTGCTTCCTCTTCGTAATTTGGTTCCTCGTCGCTATCCTCCTCATCGTCATCCTCATCGTCGTCGCCAGAAACCTCTGCCTCGTCATCGATTAATTCTTCCTCATCATCTTCTGCTTCATCGTCATCTTCTCCTTCCTCATCGTACTCTACGCCGTTGGTCATGGGCATATCTTCGTCTCCGTCCTTATCAGCAAACATGTTATCGTCTAGTAGGTCGGTCTGGTTACGGATCGTTTTCATTTCAGCGTTATCATCGTCTTCATCCTCGACGATGTCTTCCTGGCCTTCAACGTAAATGACTCGATCTTCAACATCGTCGTCATTGGTACGGCCATCGTGTACTTGAAGACTCTGCCTCAATGCAAGCTGGGCATCAAGCATATCTAGCTTTCCCTTCAAGAGTAGGAGAGAAGGTAGACTTGCTGCTCGCTGTTCCATGACTTTAAACAGTGAGCTGACCTTCTTGAATACCTCTGGGTTGGCTGCGATCGAACCACCATGTGCAATGCATGTCCATTGCACCCACATGAGCAGGTGGCCGTATCTGCCTGGACGCGTGGAGAGGCGCTCAGCTAGTTTCTGCAGTAAGGTGGCGGCAAGGGATGAGTCGAGGCGCTGGATTGTTGCCTTTACAATAGCCATATCAGTAGTGTGGAAGCAAGACTCGAGCAGTGAAGTGTCGTTTGTTTTGAGGGATTGGGAGAGAACGGTAGAGAGGGAGAGGCCGGTGGGGAGTTGGAGAGATTGGGCGGGGAGGGCTTTGGATTGGAGAAGGGAGGATTTATCCATCAAGTCAGCGGAGACGTCGATGGTCTGGGGAGCGGAGGCCAGCAGTTCACCGAACGAAGGCTCTGCGGCGTCATCGGCGTCAGTGTGATCTGCCATTTCGATGTCTTCGTTGGCTGTTGTCAAGGCTTTGGAGGTGGGCTCTGCATCGTCTAGTTCCTCGTCCGATTCTTCGTCTTCATCAGAGTCGGCAATGGCCACATTACTGTCCTCCGTTGCGTCGATGCCTTCTGCAAATCCGCCTTGTCCGACGATAGCCTGGCTCTCATCGACATGGCTCTTGCCTAGGTTCTTGACACCGTTCATCATAGCATTTCCAATGTTAGAAGAGGACTTGCCGCGAACCAACTCCGTTTCACCAGTGTACATCAACTCTTGCGTTGTCTCGTTCTGCCACGGTATCCTGTCGAAGACAAGGTCTATTCCTCCCTCGACCCAAACGACAACCAGGTCAGCGCCATCAAAGGACACAGATACGACCGGGACGCGAGCTCGTGATTTATCAGGCTTGACTAGCTTGATGATAGCGTCTGGTCGACGGGTCATTGACTTGCGTAGTGATTTGAGACTAGCATTGGCGTTGCTGGACGAGGAGTCGCTGAATCTGTGGAAAGGGTTGGAGAAGATCTCAATTGCGCCGTCACGAGTGACGACCGCAAGCTGTTGTCTCTGGCTTGGGTCGGCCGTCTTTGTGCTCCCCTTGTGAGAACCGGGGTATAGAGAGACTAGATCGATTTCTTTATCGGCTACTAGTGAGCCGAGTAGTTTCTTGTTCTGTGGGTTGAAGACGTTGATGTAGCGGTCGGAATCAGATGCTAGGAACGGGCCGGATAGGTCGGTGTAGTCGGTGCTAGAGGAAATGAGAGAATGGACGGCGTCTTTCATGGAGCTAAACGATGGTTCAGCATCGGTTGCTTCGTTTTCTAGATCTATTAGGTACGGCGTTTGCGATGCGCATAGCACTGGTGGGTTGGCAGGCACAGGTCTAGCCAAAGCAGAAACAGAGGTCGACGGAAGAGAAATTACTCTATAAACCACACGTTAGTTCGATGGCATCTTGAAAAATTGCGCGCGAGTATCATACCGTATGACATGTCCCTTGCGCAAATCCCACTGCACCAGCTTCCCGTCACCACCAATACTCCATCCTTCAACCGCAGGTTTCTTGAGCGTGAACTTGAAATCTCTGATCCCTCTCTCGTGTCCACCCTGCAGGATACCGGTGATCTTGTCCTCTGCGGGGCAATACATCCTAATCTCAGACGTGCTCGTTCCAAACGCAACGACAACATCTCCGGCATCAGCTCCAGCAGCGCCATTGACGCCCGAGCTCCGCTTGCGCTTCTTCTTCATATGCTGATCCCTGTCCCCGCGCTGAGCATCACCATAATATCCCCAGTCCAAAGAGGTAATTGACTCCTTGGGATTGACTGCATGTTCGCATTGAAGCCGGCCTGAAGTGGTGCTATGTATCCGCAGGTGATGCGCATCTAGACCCTGAATGACAGACGCAAAGAGCGCCAATTGGTATTCGGAGGGGGAGAAAGCCGACCGAATGATAGATGATTTCTTCACGGTGACCGTCGCAGAGGCTGCTGAAGGGGTAGCGGTAGATGAGACCTTCGACACGGCTCTAGACGAAGCCTTCTTGCTGACCATCTTGGGCAAGTATATTCCTGATACCGGTGGACCAGGGAGGTTGTTTTGAAAGCCTGAGCTTTAGGAGCTAGCCAGAAGCAAGTTCCAAGATACCTCTGCAGCGTCAATGGGGCGGTACAAGGTCTGGATAAATGAATGTATCCCGCTCCGCAAGACCTGGGAGAACTTGGCCTTGTTCGTGGGCTTACACTCGCTCACGATGTTTTCCAGCTTCGACTTTTTAGCAGCGAAAAAAAAAATTTAAGGTGATACCACGTGAGCTTAACCATATTGGGCTTAGCTCGCATGTTTATTCTTGGTTATCGGATCTACTATTTTCCGCTGACCATAGCTTGGGTTATATAAGCGTATAGATGTCAAGTCACGTGGATCCACCCATATAAGGTCGATCTCGTCCATATGTCAACTCCATCAAGATGCTACTCCGTACTTACGACAACTATATATCCGCATCTTACGGAGTACTCAGGCTCGTGCCTGCGGTAGGCTCCACGGAGTACTTCATATAGAGTATTTCCCTTTACAGGACAATGCGTTATTCGGCTGAGAAAGATCCTGAAAGATTCCCTGCTCGCGATCTTCCATCTCTGCCGTCAGCGAGACGAACTATATCCCGTCCTACTCCGTACAGCTTCATCCTCCCCTCTGCTGCCTCCGTTTCCTGCGTCATATCCCATATTAAAATCTTCCACGTGACATCAAAATCTGATAACACGTGACCTGTAGTGGTGACATAAGGGGGTCTATGACGAAACATGTTACGGGCAATCCAATAGAGTGTGTGACTGCATCAACAGCAAGACGATGCGATGCGCCTTCGAAGCCGGACACAGGATGCAGAACCCAGCTGCATACGAGCACTGCAGATATGATATATGCATCTCACACGCATACGTGTCGGTCCACGGTCAGATCAGATCAGATCAGCTCAGCTCAAGTCAGGATCACATCAGGATCAGGATCATGGACAAGTATCAGTGTAGATGGACGAAGGAGAGCGTATCGCCGTACACCGTAATATACACAGGCAGCCATGAAACCTGGGCAGACTGCGCCCGTCACACGCGTCCCATACGATACCGTACCGCCTCCTTTCAACAAAACGCCCAAAGGGGGTGAGGGTGGGTCCGCTCCGGCCAATCAGAGCGCGAGACACAGTGGACGCGTCACCACGCAGCCAATCAGGGGGCGGCAAATATCCACTGCAAGGGCCGCCCACCTTAGCTCGGCCATCCGAGGTTAGCGGCAGGAGGCTGCGGTGATTTCCTGGCAGCACGAGAGGCCCGTACTTATAAGGATTCTCTGACCCCCCCCCTCCGACTTCCCTCTTTCACGCTCTCTTTCTCGCCGTGTTCTCGTCGCCTGCTCTGCTGCCACGCACCTCGGCACCCGCTCCTTACCCTGCTGCCCGCCCCCGCCAGCCACACGCTGCTGCTTGTTGCCCGCACACCGCCCTCGCGCCACGCCCTTCTCGCCCTCGCGCCACGCACTGCTGTCTTTTTCGCCTTTTTTCGCACCCTTTCCAGTGCTTACATCAGCGGCACTAGTACCTTCTCGCTGCTTGGCACTTTTGTCCCATGGTCACGTTACCTTAGCTTTCCCTTCTTGGTAAGTCCTTCCCACGCGCGGCTGGCGCTTGCAAACCGCGGTTGAACAGCGCTTGTTTTTTGCCGCCTGTCACGTGGGTCTGCCATATATAAAGGCCGCTCTTCCTTTGCATGCGATTCAATATCAACTTCCTCCTCCCTCACCCTACACCTTTTCCTCCTCCTCCCACCGTCTAGACTATCTGGACAAACCTCGCTCGACGACGTTGTGGCCCTGCAAGCGTCACTTAGAACCCTGTATAGAGTCCTTTCTGTTCGTGATACCCCTCGTTCGAGTCTTGAGTTTATTTGCTTACTCTGCGTGGCGTGTCCTGTCACCATAGCAAAAGTGGCGCCAGCTGTTGTGTGTTAGTTCCTGTGTTATTGTTTATATCAGTTCGCTCTTACTGCGCGTGTTCTCTTCTCGCGTGCTTCCTCACTTCTGTCACTCCTTTTCTCTCTCTCTCTTCTTCATCTCTAGCAGAATCTACACTCAGAACTGGCTTATTCTGACTTATTACATGTGCTCTTCGCCTCGCAGCCTCATATCATACATATTATTCAGGCGGACACGCTATTCTGGAGACATCCTTGCCGTTTAGCGACTGAAGAACCTGGCGCTCAGTTGTCTACCCGTCTTCTTTTCTTTATACACCGCGCCGATATCGTAAAGCAAAAGAAAGATAGGTAGTACCGGCTCAACTGGGTCTCAGTGAGGTGTCCTCTGGTATCACGATCATCATGGAAACACCGCCAGCTCAAGGCGCGGCTGTTGTCCCGGATATGGCACAGCCGGCATCACAACAACAGCAGCAGCCTGAATCGCCAGCTGTTCTTCCACCAAGGTCAGTGATTCGCGTGTTTATAATGCTTGTTTGTCATACTCTGGCTAACATATACTGCAGTGAATCTGCTACAAAGGATCTGCCGATGAAGCGCGAGTCACTGGTTGGACCCGAGGGGACCCCCGGCACTAACGGCGTTTCCCAGCCACAGCTCAATGGCCACTCTTCTATATCAAATGGCGTAGCTTCGACGTTGAAGCATTCTGATGTGCAGGAACCCACGCTGTCAGCTGACCTTCTATCCCCTGTCGATCAACCATCGAACCACAAGACTACAGGGGTAGAGTCAGAAACTGCAGCTCTACATCTCAATTCAAGCGATGTAAATGGGAATGGCAAGGAATACACCAAACCTTTGGAAGCTTCCCACGTGGATACCAACATGGACCTGCCAGATGACGGCCATGACCCTCTCTTTTCATCTACCTTTTCTCAGGATCAAGATATTGATCATGACATGGGTATTACTCCGCTGATTCCGGTGGGCGCACCCGGAGATATTCCACTGGAACAAGAAGGCCGACCGGAACCTGCGTCAGTGAATGAGCCCGCAGAGAAGGGTAAGCCGGATCAAGTCATGGGTGATGACGTACCCGCACCAATAGGCTCAGTCGGCACAGCCAAAGTTCCCCGGGAGCGTGAGGATGATGACGATGAACGAGCCGCCAAACGCAAGAAGACTGAAGACCTCGCTGCCGACGAACAGTCGTCGCGGGCGCCGGAAGTCTCGTCGTCCTCCCCTACCGCCCCGGCTGCCCCTGTCACTCCCACCGCCGACGCTAGCAACGGCCTACCAGACGTGCTCCGGCCTATCACCAAGCTTCAAACCAAGTACCTGATCCGCACTTTGCAGTCCCTAAAACGACTTAATGATGCTCAAATGTTCAAGACGCCTGTCGACCCAATCAAGTTGAACATACCGTCCTACCCTACTCTCATCAAGCATCCAATGGACATGCAGACGATAGAGGGTAAACTAAAGTCGGAAATTTACAATACGCCACAGGAGGTCATCGGTGATTTCCAGCTCATGGTAAACAACTCCAAGACGTTCAACGGACCCGAACACCCCGTCTCAAAGTCTGGAGATAACCTATTCCGAAACTTTGAACGACACATCTTGAAACTTCCCGGCCACGATGAAGTTGAGCTCACGCCCGCCGAGAAGAAGAGCAAAAAGGCAGCAACTGCGCCCACCAAGACACAACCATCTCGACGAGAAGCACGACCAGTTGCTCCACCGCCACCGCCACCCCCGCCGGCGGCTGCTATACCGGCCCCTCGAGCCAGCACTGCCGCATCGCCCACCTTTGCGCTCGGCCCAGAGGGGCTACCGCTGATCCGCCGCGACTCCACCACAGTCGACGGCCGGCCGAAGCGATCCATCCACCCTCCCAAAAACCGTGATCTCCCTTTCGCGATGAAACCAAAGAAGAAGAAGTTCCAGTGGGAACTGAAATTCTGCCAGGAAGTACTCGACGAGCTACACAAGGGGAAACACTACGCCCTTGTAGCACCATTCTACTTCCCTGTCGATCCTGTCGCCCTTAACATCCCAACCTATCATCACGTAATTAAAAAGCCCATGGACTTGCAAACAATGAAAACCAAGCTGTCAACCGGCCAATACGAAAATGCGAAAGAATTCGAAGTCGACATGCGCCAGATCTTCAAGAACTGCTACAAATTTAACATTTTCGGTGATCCCGTCTACACTGCTGGAAAACGCGTAGAGGAACTCTTCGATAATAAGTGGAGTCAAAAGGCGCGGTGGCTGGAGGCACATGAACCCTCCTCGGGACACCAGTCTGCTGGCTCCTCGGATGAATCCGATGATCATGATGAAGAAGATAGCGACGACAATGAGCAGGAGAAGCTTACACTGCTGCAGAAACAAATTGCAGAAATGTCCAAGCAGGTTGAAGCAATTACGAAGAAGAAAAAGACCCCTCCGGCTTCGAAAAAATTAGGCAAAGCCAAGGGAAAGAAGGATGCGAAGAGAGGTACTACCGGAACAGCTGGTAGGAAAGATAAGAAGGGGGGTGGTTCAAAGGCCAAGTCTGAAAAGACGAGATGGATCACCTACCAGGAGAAGACTATGATTTCGAACGGCATTAGCAGTTTACCTGAGAACAAGATGAGCGAGGCATTGACTCTTATCCAGCGAAACGTGCCTTCGCTTCAGGTACGCACCTTTATGTTTTTTCTGTTTCGTTTTTATCATGTCGTACTAACAACTTCAATACAGGGAACCAACGAAGCCGAAATCGAACTTGACATCGACGAGCTGCCCAACGACGTGCTTCTATTGCTGTTGAAATTCGTCAGAAAACATGCCCCAGCTGCTGCTTTGGACGGATACAATGAACCCAGCGACCCAGAACCAATACCTTCTTTGCCCCAATCAAAGCCAAAGAAGAGTAAGCCTATGAACAAGACAGAGCAGGAAGAGCAAATTCGCTCCTTGCAGAGCAACCTGTCCAAGTTCAAAGGTGGTGCCGGTGCTGGTGCTGGTGGAACCGCTATGGGCGGAGGGCAGTCATACGATCAAGGTAAGCTTGCCATATATAATCTATCACCTTCTTAGTACTGGTCCGAGTGAATGCTAATCACATATGGTTATCCAGCTCACTTGTCTGAAAGCAGTGGTGACGATGAAGACTCCGAAGAGAGTGAGGAAGAGTAGACTTGCAGCTGCTCCCGTCAACCCATCCCATCTCTCGATATGGGCAAGGTTCAATAGGCTGGCTTTGGTCTTTCGCACACAATTTACCTATTTTTATACGTGTGGGAGAATAGTGCATTCTATAGACTACCTCACAGCAGTCAACTCCATCACCACTGTCATGTTATTGCTCCCATCCCACTCTCAATCATTGATTCCTGTTATTGGCATGCACATGTATCTATGAGCAGGGATATGTTCTCGTCAATTCAAGAGGAAGCTTGACCAGAGCATTTGCAACATTCTCCTCCATCTTCTCTCCTCCCCCTTTCCACCCTCATCATACGACGTGCCACGCCCTTAATATTCATGTAATTAGATGTTCACCCTGTTTTCTACATCCTCTTTTCCCCTTTTCTTCTCTCTTTTTTTAATCTGCTTTCAACTCAGCGCTGGGAGGGGTCTTGGGCATGGTATGCATCGTCTATCATATCATGGAGCTCGCGGTCTGCGTGTACGTGTCTATGGGGAATGACTTTTTTTTTTCTTCTCTTTTCCTTTTCTTTTTTTTCAAATCTTTGAGTTTGGTTTGAGTTTAACTCTTGCTCCCTTTTGCTTTTAGTACCGTACCTGAATTCTCTCCCCACTTCCTCCTCCCCTTCCTCCTTTTGCCATTTGCCATTGCATGGTCCTCATGTTTTCTGGGTTCGAGTATGTTTCCCAAGGCGAACCTGCGAGGCTGACAAGGGCGCCCTAAAAGACGTTTCAAGGCACTAATGTATGAATATGATAAAAATTCGCTTGGCTGATACATTTTCTTCCTTCGTGGCTTGCTGTGGAATGTGTCTTATATTAAGTATTCGCATGTCGTTGTTGCATCACTGGCTCTCGGTTGCTGGTAAATATAGGTAAGGATATTACGGATGTTGCATAGAATACCATCAGTCATTGGTCCAGATGCATAGTTAGGGTATTATTATGTAATAGGATGAGTAAGTGGATGAGTAAGCGGTAGATTACCTAACGTAATCCACATGCGAGCCGGCCATCCAAGCGAGCCGGCCACCAAATTGATTATATATAGATTAGTCAACTTTTTATATGATAATTAATACCAAAAAAAAAGTATTAAATTAAAAATTAAATAACACTAGGATTAGGATATCTTATTCTTCTATATCTAAGAATATTACAATTACTATATCGTGGTTAAGCTTGTAATTGTGGTTATAAGGCTGGTGGTTTAGCTTTAGTAGGCTGATCAATCGTACGTTTGGTAGATAAATTAGGGGGGGTAACAAGGCTTTGAGCTTCTTCTCTTATAATATCCCCTGGTTATTGAATTCTGCAATTAGATCTTGTATATTTTTACTTCTCTTTTTGTCACAAGCTGACGGCGCTCCTTGATTACCTAAAGGTGATCAGAGGTTCACACCTGCCGTAAGACAGAAGGTACGAAGGTCTTAAGGAAAGCTTAGGTTGGAAGTAAGTCGTTATAGGAGACGGCTTGGTATTAGGGCGAGATAGAATACTATAGTGAGACTATCCCTTAGTTCTAAGTGTGGCTTCAGTCAGTGCCTAGGTCAGATAAAGGCTAAAGGTCCTTATAAGTAGTGAAGACAAAGTTGACCTGCGTTAATAGGCAAAGGGGTATTCAGTGAATATAGTATAAGACAACTGGAATGGTGCTTTGTATTAAGCAGTATGGTAAAACTGTAGCTGGTTTGATCGCGAGTATAAGACTCTTGATTCTGAGGTAATGAGTGTCTTTATATATAAGTCCTTGTATATCCTATTCTCCTAAGTCGCTTGGTCGCGCTGTTGACTCCGTCAATCTGGCGACTTATACTGGCTCTCCCTACTCCCTCAGTTGCTCTAGTGAGTTGGGTGACTGGGCGAGTGGGACGTGGTTGTTCTGTTCCATCTTGTCCGTCCAATGAGCGTATACTCTGGGGCTGCGCCGCAGGTGGTCTGTAACACTTTTTTATTTATAGTAAATATATCCTGATATTGCTTCTTCATTATTATTATAGTAACCATCCCATACTCACAGGCCTTAATAATTTGATTAAAGCCTTCCTTAAATTGCTTAGAGGGTTCTGTACGGTCTTATCTGAAAAGGTTCTTAACCTTATTTGCTTGTCTATATAACTAGTTGTTACAGACCATCTGCGGCGCAGCCCCAGGATATACACTCATTGGACGGGAGGATCACGGGCCAGACCTTGAGGGCACTAGTCACGTGACCAATAGCGATAGGACCAATAGGATGGGCTTGGCAGCTTCCTATCGATACTATCACAACAACCAATAGGAGTGATAGGAACCCCTTGGTGGAGAACTATTGTATCTATTACTAGATATATATTATATATATAAAGATGCTTATTATTTTAGAATCAAGAGTCTTATACTTATAATCAAACTAGCTATAGTTTTACTATACTACTTAATATAAAGCACCATTCTAGTTATTTTATACTATATTTACTGAATACTGTCACAAGCTGACGGCGCTCCTTGATTACCTAAAAGTGATCAGAGGTTCACACCTGCCGTAAGACAGAAGGTACGAAGGTCTTAGAGAAAGCTTAGGTTGGAGGTGAGTCGTTATAGGAGACAGCTTGGTACCAGGGCGAGATAGAATACTATAGTGAGACTATCCCTTAGTTCCAAGTGTGGCTTCAGTTAGTGCCTTGGTCAGATGAAGGCTGAAGGTCCTTATGAGTAGTGAAGACAAAGTTGATCTGCGTTAATGGGCAAAGGGGTATTTAGTGAATATAGTATAAGACAACTGGAATGGTGCTTTGTATTGAGTAGTATGGTAAAACTGTAGCTGGTTTGATCGCAAGTATAAGACTCTTGATCCTGAGGAAATGAGTGTCTTTATATATATGGTATATCCGGTCCCTTCCTCCTGATTCTTCTCAGGTCCTGTCGTGGACCTGATGTCCCGGTCCCTTTGTGGACCTTTCATGTTCGGTCCCATAGGGACCTGTCCCTGGTCTTGGCATCTGGGACCTGTCCTTATGGTCACGTGATGTGTAGTTATTCTGTCCCGGAATCTTGTTGTCCAATGAGTGTATATCCTGGGGCTGCGCCACAGGTGGTCTATAATATCATCCCCTCCTTTCTTATCAAGTCATCTCAACAAGTATATAAGTAGTGAGTATGTTTCCCTCCTTTTCATTAGGTAAGTCTCCTTTCTTCCTTCATCATGGCTCCCCATTCCGTTATAAAGAAATCTTCCCATTTTCCCCGTAATCGGGCTGCCGAGCGTATGATTCTGGCAGCAGCCATCAATTGTTCCGGTTCCTTATCGTGTTCTTGTTGTGATAACTGTTTTTGGTCTCTTTAGCCTTGTGTTGTGATGGATTCTCACAGCAAACGTTGTTCCTCTTGCGTTTGTAAGGATTGTCCTTGCGTCGGCCGTCTTATAGATGACTCTCCTTGGGCTAAAGAATTGGCCTGGCTTCCTTACCGTCTTGGCAATTCTGACATGGATGTCGCTAGCAATATCCAAATGGTCCGTTGGGCCCAGGAAAAGCTCGCTAAGGCTTAAGACAAGCTTTTAGTTGCGATGGCTTGCAATCTTGAGCTCCGTCGGCGTCAGGTCGAGTTGTCTAATAAGGCCGCTTCTTTTAATGCTACTGGTGAACTCCTTATTGGTCCTCCGTCCTCTAGTGGCGTTTCTATTGATCAACTTCTTGAGATGTCTTCTCCTGCTTCCAAACCCTCTGGTAAAAGTCTTTGACTAGTCCTAGTGAGTTCTTAAGATGTCATGCTAGCTTGTAAGTGTTTTCTAAAAAGTTATATCCCTTCTATTTGACTAAGTAGTGGGTTCATCCGCTGATTACTTTCTTATCTAGGATCTTTTCAACTTTATATTCTTTTTCCTGATTTTCTGGTTATATTTCTGGTTCATATGGTTTGGCGTTCTGGGGTGCTTTTTTGATTAATGAGACGTGAAATGTTGGGTATATTTGCATATGTTCTGGGAGTTGGAGTTTGTAATTGAGTTGTCCAATTTTTTCCAAAATCTTGAATGGTCCCAGTTTCTTGTGGTCTAATTTGTCGCTTGGTCTCAATGTCTTAATATTTTGTCAGAGTAGAAATACTTTTTCCCCCTTCTTAAAGTCTGGCGCTTCCACATGCCGTTGGTCGTAGTAGTGTTTCATTCTGTAGTTCAAGAATTTAAGATCTAACTATAGGTGTTTATAGAGTTCGCGCATCTGTTCTGCTGAAACCTCTGCTTCTAAGGCGTGCGTCTTACCTTCTTTTAGTGTTTTTATTATTTCCGTTTCTCTTCCGTAGTTTGCAAAGAAAGGTGTCATGCCTGTTGAGGTGTTCTTTGCTCCGTTATAGGCGAGCTATGCTATTGGTAGTAGTGAAACCCAGTTATTCTATTTGTAGTTGATGTAATATCTTAGGTACTGTTCCACTATTTGGTTTATCCTTTCGCTTTGTCCGTCTGTCTGCGAGTAATATGCCGTTGAGGCTTTCTGTTTAATCCCCATTCTTTTAGTGAGTGTCGTCCAGAATTTATATATGAATCTTATATCTCTGTCTGATATAATTTTGTCTAGTAATCCTTTGTCTGCGAAGACGTGTCGTAATAGGATGTATGCTGTCTCTGGTGATGTGGTCTTTTTGATAAATGGTATAAAATAAGTATACTTTGTCAGTCTGTCCGTGACTGTAAGTATTGAATCGTATTGAATGCCCGTTCGTGGCTCTGTTGACTTTGGTAGCTTGACTATAAAGTCCATCGCTATTGATTTCCATGGTGTTTCTCTATATGGTATAGGCTGTAGGAGTCCATATGGCGCGTGTTGTTCTGATTTGTTTTGTTGGCAAACTTCACACTCCTGGATGTATTATCTGATCTCTCTCCACATTCCTGGCCAATAGTAGTTTTGTGTAATTCGGTCCATGGTTTTCTTGATTCCAAAATGTCCTGCAACCTTTGCGTCGTGGTTGTCTCTTAGTATTTGTGGTCGTACTTCTCTGGGTATGTATAC